TGCTTGATGACTCCTGTCTAACGAACAGTCCCGAGACCTTTTAGCACCTACGGGCTGTCGGCGATCTAACTCTCTTCTACCGCTATGTCAACGGGCTTTGCTCCTCAGAGCTCTTCTCCAGGTTGCCGCCGCATGATGTGCCTGCCAGACAGACCCGCCTGACTTCGGCCTCCTATCATAACCGTATCGAACTTCGTACATATAGAACTGGCCGATATACTGGAACAATTTACCTGGGCCTTTCCCAATTCTTCTAACCTTATTCAGTTCAAAAATCGGAAAACAAAGTTCCTTTAAGCTCATAGTATCCGCGGTACCCTGATATTCAAGCTTCTTGCCTACGCAGTTGCTTCGGCATACAAAACATGATGGAACTATCTTCATCCCTACGTTATTTGTGCAAAATTCGTGAATAGGAATCTAGGGACAGCATTTTGTTTAGAATTAAGCTCGCCCCAAATGTAAATTCCTTTATCTTTGAAGCTAGATACGTAAAACTTTCGATGCCAAAGGAAAGTAGGTAAATATTTAGTGCAAAATTGCTGGGTAATTTATCACTATTTCAAAGAAATAACTACTACTTTTTTCAAAAGATTAGCGTAAGCTATATCGAGTATGTAGACAGAATAATGAGGTACTCAATTATTAACTATGCGGTAGTCGAAATACGAGTAAAAAGTAAAAAGTTCTCAATACAATCTTCTTGATTGAATGATTTGTCCATAAACATTTTTACAATACGGTTATCAAGTCGAGCTCTGCTTTGCTGATAAACATTTTATTATCATTCCAATTATATGTATGTACTTGAAAACGTTGAAGGTCAATAAATTACGAGGATAACGTGAGTAAGTTTTCGGCCTGACAATCAGCGAAAAGGATCAGGGCCTGTACGCGTCCTTGAAAATAACAAAAATTTTAATATACTAAGTGACATATAAATCTGAACACCCAGTTTAAATGGTTTTATTTTAATAAAATGTTGTATACGTACTTAATGAATAAGTAAATGATAAAAATTTCAAAATGATTGCACTGCTTTGACCTTTAATAATGTGTGGATGCACCCTGATGTGCTACGCATTCTCCAACGCGCCTAGGCATGCTTCTGATGAGGTGGTCAATGTCCTCCTGTGGTATGTCATTCCTCTCGAAGTGCTTCTAGAGTCTGAGGAGGACGTTGCAAATTGAGCAATCTCCTAGCTATAGCACCCCAAACCATAACTCCAACAGTGTGATGAACATGTCTTTCAACAAAAAACTGTGGATTCCTCCTTTCACCACGTCGCCTTCTAATCCTGGCACGACCATCGTGCATGCCTAAACAAAATTGAGACTCGTCACTAAAGACAATACTGTTCCATTCCTGATCCCAGAGTGACCGTTGTCTGCACCACTCTAGGCGATTACGTCGGTGTTCTCGAGTTAAAGGGAGGACCCAGTGTGGCCGGTACGAAAACAAGCCAAAACTTCTCATTCGTCGGTAAACACTTCGCATGCCAATAGGTCTTCAGTGTTCTGCAAACCATTCATTTGCAATGGACCTGGTAGTGGAGAAACGGTCCCTTAAGGCCAATATCTTAGGCGGCGATCTTCACGGTCTGTTGTTCTACGGCGGCGTCCAGTGCCCCTTGCTCTTTGCGTACGGCCTTCTCGAAGCCATGCCTGACAACACCTAACCACAGTGTCTACACTTCTTTGCACCCTAACTGCAATTGCCCGAAAAGAAAGTCCAGCTTCCCGAAGTCCCACTATACGGCCCCTATCAAACTCACTAAGTTGACGAAATCGTACAGGTCTCCGTACTCTAGGCATCGTAACCGATCGTAAAGGATGTCAAGAACCAAAATCCGCCACCGTTGATTCTTTACTGCGGCTGAAATATTCATTTTTAGAGCGTTAGTGAATTAAAAAAAAGCGTTTTCACTTGTTATTTACAGTAAGATAAATACATTCACCAACTTTTATTAAAATAAAACCATTTAAACTGGTGTTCGGATTTATATGTCACTTAGTATATATTAGAACATATTTTTTTTTTTTTTTATAACTCCAACTACCACGAAGGCCTAAGGCCTAAGCACCCATTGGGTACCGTGGGGCTATGGGGGATGCATGGGAAAGGGGGGACGCCACACGGACTCTGGCGAGGGAACACGTGTGCATGTAACATGCACACATTCTGGCTCCGCCTACCAGAACCGCCGGGTGGTACCTCCGCGTTCGACAGTCAGAGACCATCTACCACCTACCTCCTTTATTTTAAACTTTCATTCACATTGTCCTTTTTATTTCGGTCGTTAGTATTGTAATAGCAAAAAGTTTTTTAACAGTATATTTATACGCTCCAAACCCCAAATGTTTTCGATACGCGTCTGCTTCTGCTATCTGGGCTCAGCGCCCGTGATGGTCTGCTTGATTGTTCTACATGTACTGCGGCAGTACTTCACTGGCCCCTCTGCGCAGTGTTGCCAGGTGTAGTTGATCAGTTTTGGGTAGATTTATGCATTTTTTTTTCGATAAATTTTGTTAGACAAACAGCAAAAACTTTCCGGCGATTGAAAATTGAAGGGGCACCTTACTCTAGCTCCACTCGGTTTTGAAAGTTGAAGATTGAAGGAGGTGCATCGAATGCTGAAATGCAGCTATTTAAAAAATTGAACGCAGGGTAGCACTAAATCGAAAATTAAGGAGGGGGGTTTCAAAGTGTTCTATTCTTCTGTTTCGTTGAATTATATCAGAAATATACTATTTAAGAATTTGAGAATGTTTTCGGTAAATTTCACGTTAAAATCTGTAGTTCGGTAGATCAAGACTAAAATCGGTAGATCTACCGAAACAACTGGATTCACAGAACGTTAAGGAGCTTGGACTCAAAGCCACACTCAACTTTGCTAGAATGGCGAGACTTAAAAGGTCTAATAAATGTCGAGGTGCACAAAGGCCCGTCTAAGCAGTGGCCGGTATGCATCTAATTTCATGATATATTCATTCATTCACCGAAACATTGGTAGATCTGGTAACAGTGTTGCCCCGTCTAACTACTACTACCCGTAGGGCAGGCAAAGAATGTATATGGAATGATTGTATGAGCATGTTTGACTGACTTGATCCGTTTAATTTGTCTGTTATACATGATCGTAACTATTTTTTTTTTCTCAAAGGGCTCAACTTGCGCCCAACTTAATCTTTTATGAACTGATGACGCAGTTGCGTAAGAAGTGCAAAGTCAACCGACTTGACGCCATTTTTTAAATGCACAAATTTCACAAATTTGACATTTTGTCCAAAATTCGTCCAGTTTGCGATATATAACTCGGTAATTTTATAAGAGCACTTCAATTCTACAGGGTGTAAACGTTATGGTAGTCATTATTGAAATCTTACTAATTTTTATAATCTAATCTAAAAGTAAATTTCATTAAATTAAATATTTAAAACACGCATGACAACAGCGCGTCGGTCATTCATCACTCTTATCGAACCGGCAATCGATCACAAACGGTAACAGTGGTTAGTTATTGTTCGCGTACGTCGTCGTGTTTATTTACAATCAAGAGTTCGCCGACATGTTGTTAGTTTTACGGTGAAGCTCGTCAGAATTCAAATCTTGCAGCTCAAATATATCGCGACAGATTTCGCCAACGGGTACACCCAGACAGAAGGACATTTGTGCAAGTGTACCAAAGACTTCGAGATACAGAAAGTGGTCAGCCCACTAATATTCGCACTCGTGAAAGACAGGTTACTGTAGAGCAGGAGGAACAAATTTTAAATATCGTGGAAATCAATGCAGATATCAGCACTCGGGAATTACGCCGCCGCGTAGGACTATCGCATACCATATTCCACCGACGGACGAATGCACTTTTACGCGAGACGGGATATTAAATTACCATAATATTCACATGTGGGCCCAAGAAAATCCTCATACCATTCGTGAAGGTCATTTCCAACAACGTTTTAAAATAAATATTTGGGCGGGTATCCTTGACGATCAGGTAATTGGCCCTTTCGAGTTACCCCCAAAGTCGTCAGGAGAAGGATACCTCAGCTTTCTAGCCAATAACCTACCAGAATTTTTGGAACAGACTTTAGACAACATGCCATTACAACGGAAGCAGAATTTGTGGTTTCTTCATGACGGGGTACCACCACACATTTTTAGAGGCGTCATTCAGTATTTGAATGAACATTATCCAAATCGCTGGATCTGTCAAAATGCGCCCGGTCCTCGAAAATGGCCAGCAAGATCTCCTGACCTCAATCCGATGGATTTCTGGTATTGGGGAGAACTTAAAGGAATGGTTTATGGGGCTGGTCCAACAACAACTGAAGCACAACTTCGCGAAAAAAAATTTAATGCGGCTGAAATAATAAATGGACAACTTCGAGGACCTAGAGTAAGAAGAAACTGGGTTCGTCGTAATGAAGCTTGTGTGGAAAGTGGGGGACCACATTTTGAACACCTTCTTCAAATACAAAAAAAGTGCAATGTGGGTTAATTAGTGTTTTAATTTATTTTAGAATTATCTTTGATATCCACCGGCAAAACGCCTGGTCCAGGCGTAGAATAAATTTGTTAAAGACACCGAGGAACATAAATCAATAAAGCCGATTTTGACCAAAGTAGATCATTCAATCAGCTAGCCAAGCCAGCGATGTCAAATCCAGCCTTCAAAATCCAAGCGTCATGTGCACTATATCTCATAATAATCCCAGTGAACACAGTGACGTCATATTGTCGGCATTTTTAGTGCACTACTGACGTACGCCGACCAACAAAATCACGTAGAAATGACGTCATTTTGGCGGTCTAATGTCACCCCCAATTGACGTCAATATATGACGTCATAGTATGTCGTATAAAAGACCGAATACAAAATCGATATGAAGTCTGTAAGACATGGATAAGACGTCTTTTTGAAGTCGAATAACATCTCTGTGACCTCGAGATGACGTACAGTCGCTCGCGAAAAAACTTTTATACTTTTTTAACCATTCAGTCTTTATTGACAGATTTGCATGTTCAATGGTGATAAATCCAATAAAACTACATAACAACAAACGGTTGATTGGGTGCAGTATGCTTTTATTGGATAATGGACATACACAATGAAATGTAACAATGCTTAGAATTTATTTCCAGTACAAACATATCCAATAGTGCATCTGGTGATGACAAATTGCGGATTAAAATTCATCGTTCTCGAATGGATGGTGAGGATTGCCAAGGCCACTGAAAGAAAAAACAAATTAGAAAAGTTCAATATGTTGACATTTTATACTGTAATGTCTTTCCTACAAAAGAATGTTAAGTATGATTTGCATAGTTCTCCAAAAGTTCAATATGATTCATGCTTTTGTAGGTACTTATCCAAAATTAATGAAAATACTTACTCCTTCATTGGACAGAACCGTCCATTGCAATCAAATCCGTCCAAATAGGCTATATCTTCTTTAGACAATGAAAAATTGAAGATGTCGATATTTTGTTGCAGTCTCGATTTTGTAACGGATTTTGGAATAGTGACTACACCTCGATCTATTTGGTTCCTGGAACCAAAATTAGTCAATGAAATTAAATTCCCAGTCCTTAATGTTTGAAGTATTTACTAATATTGTCTGCTATATAATGCCTCGAAAGTTCACCATTAACAATGTAGTAATATTATGTTCCGTTCAGTTTTTTAAATTTCAAACTAAACTGTCTGGACTTACGAAACATGCAAAATTGCTTCATGCGTTTGAAATAGTTTCTTAAAAGTTACATAATTTGGATCATTTAAATGATGTAAGAAGTGTTAATATCCACAACATTTAAAAACCCATATCGGATAATAAAATGTTCTTAAAAAATTAGCCTTCCATTATTTTATTGCAGCTAATGGATTCATTTGATTTTATTTACCTCGCTCATTTTGCGTATGACCTTTTGAGTGCGAAGATTGAAAGCAACTGATTTTAGTGTCTTTATATGTTATACGTGTGCCAACATGATACCTTGTGTAAAAAATATTAGACATACTCATGTATTTGGCTGCTTCACTGGTAAGTCAAAGATGAATAAAGCTGTTACGAAATACTAGTTAAGATTACTGGGTAAAAGGTTTTGAAAAATTCTACAATGCACAGTTTAGAGCATTTTTAGTCTTTATAATTTTTACTGCCGGATTACTTTCGAAAAATGATGAACTAGATTGACTCATAGTACTTTCAATGCGTAGTATGGGGGTCCATTCAAGTTTTACGCAAGCACTAATGAAGGGGGGCGGTGTGGTCTTCGCTTTGCTTATTTTTGATGACAGAGGATGGGGGGATCTGGATGATGGTGAGTACGTCAGTAATATTTATTTCTCACTTTTTTCCGATTTTCTACAAGTTTTGTCGATCTTGATTTGAACACATATGGCAACTCTGCTTGTCTATGGTCTAAAGCAAAACATATCTTCAGGGATTCTCCAAATATGGATACGTTTACTCGTTTATAACCTTAGCTATAAACGCTTGTGATAGAAATAACTTTTAAAGGTACCAAAATGTTTACGTAAGCATGGGAGGGGTATAAGATATTTGCTTACTATTGCTGACAAGGCGATTAATAGTTGTAAAAAATCTGCTTTGAATGATCCCAAATTTCATAAAATATGTGCAGTATCTAATTGCAAGGGGAAAAGCGCCTACAGCTAAAATATACATAAGCGAGCTGCCGGAAATGAGTCGCGTATAGATTTCCATTGCGTAGACCTCACAAAACATGAAACAGCTCTAAGTTTGAATTTTTAAATCGTCCTTACAATACTTCTCTGCCTATGTGTGGATAATAATGGGTTTTCAAACATTTTTAGTATTAGCATGATGTTGTCGTCTGTAACACTCGATACTCATATTGTATTTTTTAGTCATTTTTTTTTTCTAACAATAAATATGTAGTACCAAATTCTGCTCCTCTAGTGCATAATATGACAGAGGAGGATAAGACAAACTTCAAAGTCATTTACTCTTAACTCGGTAAAAGTGAATAAAAAAACTAGAAGATGGTGGCATTTTGGAATTGCGCGATGGAGTTATTACCTAAGCAGAATTTGTGCAGGAGTTTTCTTGTATTTATCAGCCAACTGTTTCAATTTGAATCCTCTAGCAGTTGTGGATCTTCCGGTTTTGCCCAGGGACGATCAGGAGAGCCCAAAGGACTATAGCCGGTTACAACAATGTTTTTCGATCTACAGAACTCGATCAGCTTCTTCTGGTTGAGATATGGGTGACATTCTACCTGTAAAAAGAATGAAAATTGTAAGAGATATAGAGGATGAACACAGACGGATAAGTAAATCTCGAAAAGAAATATTGTTTCCTAAATGGCTTCACTTATTATGGGGACATGTCCAATTATATTGATTGATGGCAAAAGACAAATTCTAAGTTTCAATTATATTACCTGGTTTACCACAGGTTTGATGGTAGCAACAGACAAAATCCTCTCAATCTGTCTACTGTTGAAGTTAGAGAGACCAATAGATTTTGTAAGACCTTTACGGACGCATTCCTCCATTGCTTTCCAGGTATCTACGTAGTCAACATCACTGAAGATAATCTTGCCATTAGCATCTCTAGGGAATAGTTCGCCATCTTCCTGAAATTAATGTTAATTATTGTCAAATGTATTTCAAAAAAAGTAGTGAGAAATAGTGAGTTTATACATAAAAAAGTGAGATAATTCTCTGAGAAATTAAATCTCATAATGCCAAATTTAAATATATAATATAAATAAGAATGTGTGAAAAAAACAAGAATAACTCTTATAAGGTCCTGTTACTGATTTATTGACGTAAGCAAACATAATTATTTATATGTACGCATATTTTAAGATCAAATGCATACGATGCATAAAAGAAACAAAAATATAACAAATTCTTGTAAATACGGGAGACTTACTTCATTTCTATTAAGTTAACTAATTGAACCTACATTTTAGCGTTACTATCTAATGTTACAAAGGTGAAATTTGATTCAGTTATTATAGATGAGTATTTTTCGCACAATAGTTGACTAAATCATCAGACCGTAAGACTAGAGCACTTGTCATTAGAAATTAAGAGTTATTTTATTCAATGGGTTCCGATGACCACTTCCTTGACTTATCATCAGATCATCTCCATGTCATATGATTCTATTGCATTGTCAATTGTCATATTAAACGTCCGCCATACTGGATTAAAATTACGTCACTTTGCTAATTCTGTTTCTGTCATCAAGCCCTTTCATTTGATATCCATAATGACTATGGAAATCAAAAATCGATATTTTGCTGCGGCCGCCATATTGGATATAGAATGACGCCACGTTGCTTAATGTATCTCTTCGGTATAAAAAAACAGACTTGGACCAGATAAGTTGGTTACACCTGGATTTTACCAGTTGAGGTAGATGAGTCATAACCAAAATTCGGAGACACGTCATTCTGTTGATAATACATAAGGAATCAAGCCTTTCGATAAGCAAACACAGGTATTGAAGGTACTGACCTTGTAAGCTACAGGCCAATGAATCAAGTAAAGGTCCAAATAATCCAGCTGTAGGTTTCTCAATGACTCTCTTACTACTTTCTCTACCAAGTCTGGCCTGTGGAAGGAATTCCACAGTTTGCTTGTGACCCATAAGTCTTCCCTTTTCACTGTACCATCGTCAATCTTGGCTTTGATACCAGCTCCTACTTCTTTTTCATTGCCATACGCATAAGCGCAATCAATGTGCCGGTATCCGATGTCAATGGCATCCTTTACTGCTTGCTCCACCTCACCTGGTTTGGACTGGAACAAACAATCAAGATAACGTATTAGAATAATTGTGTTTAACCTCCTATTCATAATAACCTATGGTCCATATGGCATCCTGGAGATATTCTAGTATGCAGTGAAAACCAAATTTGTCTGACAGCTTGAGTTCAATGTGTGTACGAGAGAGAAGAGCGAGAAGTGTGTATCAACACATGTTAGAAATAGATAGAAGCCGGCTGAAGAGCGAAGATCATCACCACATTGCCTAGCAACGGTGACGCAGCAGATCTTGCAATCTGCCGCGGTGCCAATATGTTACACCATAAAATATTCGCACAGGCTTCTACAATAGGTTAGGTTACTGTCAAACCCAAGAGGGAGGTTTGTACGAACAATTTATTAAACTTTTATTATTTATTTCAATTTTGATGCGAAGTGTTGTTTTAATTTATTTTAGAATTATCTTGGATTTACACCGATGGTGTTAAAATCAACACATGCAGATTTATTGACATATACCATTACGCAATACAAATGATCACTGCCTGTGTGTACGCAGGTGAAAACCATTTCAAAGCTGAGTACTGACCGACATCTCTCATCTATGATCAGGGAAGTGGAAGCCTTGCCATGGAATGTACGAGATGAGGGGTTGCCAAGCGAACCAATGATACAATGATGAAGAATTTCGTCCTAAAATGGAGCGCCGTTAGGACCGATCCGCAACGGTACTACGTAAAAACCCTAAAATAAAAAACGTCAAAAAACTGACAAAATGTCGTCTTGCAGACTAGGTAGTTTTTGGTGTGCAAATAATTCATTCCACGTTTGTTCACTATGAGCGTTGTTCGCTGACTTTTAAGCAACACTTAGAGCTACAAACAAGTTCACAACAAGTGTATAACAGCTTGTGGTAATTTAAAATCTTGTAGGAAAACCTACGTTATGTCACAAAAAACCTAAGAAAAGTAAAAAAAAAACGAAAAAATGTTACTTTTTAAGATACGTGATACCCGTGCCGGAATCGATCCTAAACAGATCCGACACAATTCACAATTAAAAAATGCGTACGCTCGTAATAAAACCGCATGAATCTTAATTCACCCAATTGGTGTAACATATTCGGCCTCGCGGCAGATTGCATCGTCAGCGTTGCTGGGCAACGCGCTGATGAGCTTGGCTATCCAACCGGTTTCTATATCTTTCTAATACACACTCCTCTGTCGTAAACATTGAATTCAAGCCAGCAGACAAATCTGGTTCTAAGTGTATCGAGGACTGAAACAACTGTGTGTAATGCTGACAGTACTTTCTCGAGTGATCTCGTCTTGTCTCGCAGTGACGACTACGATAATGTACACTCTCGACTCTAGCTTGTGAAGGTGCGGGAAGTGGGAAGGAAGTGGGGGCTAGTCGCTATGAGTCGATTAAGTTATAGGACAGTCAAATTATATGAATTTGTTGCTATGCCCATATCGAAACAATGCGCTTTATAGATTATCTACATTCAAAGCAATTATATTGAACTATTAGTGTTTTTTTCGTTATTGCACATTACTCAAATATATAATTTATACAGATAAACCAATTTTCACCATTATTAACATATTATGACCATACTATACGCGTGTCGATTCCAAAAAGAAGCAGAAAAAAATGTAAACAGACACTGTAAGTTTGTCGTGAACTATGCGCATCCGCATTTGTCATGTATTGCGGTGCCTCGAGTAACTTTTCTGACATCCTCAGACATATTTATCACCAGTAAATTAATTGATCGAATTATTGCATGATACGTACAAGTTTCGAAGTCAATGATGATGTTTTTGTTTATATCAGAACTTATACCTTTTTAATACGTGCCTATTGTGAAAGAAAGTAAATCAAAACGTAATGGTATCGTCATGTTCTAGATCCGTCTCTGTGTAGTTCCGACGCGCCTCCCCTTTTTAATCAATCTGACCTTGCTGCTTTGCCGGCAGCCGGCTTCCAAACCAAACAATGGAATTTCTCCAAGATACGTTCAACGATCTAACAAGAGGACTACTTCGCAATTATAAATTATATCGATGAAAATGATACTATGTAACTAGTTTAAAAATAACTAGGACAAGTTCTTAAAAAGTCTTACCTTCCAGGTTCCTAAACCGAATTGAGGGATTTCTAGGCCGTTGTTGAGTTTAATTCTTGGTACTTTTTTGTCCATCTTCAAGGGATTTCGATCAATAATTCACGACAGACGATAATAAACTGAATTGGTAGCTCAGAACTCCAGAATGAGAGCTCAAACGGAACTTGTAAACAAGTGGATGACTTGCCGGTTGCTTATCAAGAGTGGATAAATGTAATTTACCAGAGTTGTTCATATAACATCTCCGGAAGTATACGAGGGACGAATTGATATATGTGTGCGTATGACGTTGATCTATATTCGTCAGACCGGTCCGTAGAACCTTAAAGGTTCTTTGAGGGTAAGTGTTGATGTTTCAGTACTTCCTGTCCTAAAAAGACATCAAAATAACAGCCTTCTAAAGAACGTCTTGTTGTCGTCCTAAAAATGGCGTCAATAACATCGTCATTTTTGAGTCAAGGACTTTTCCGAACAACAGTGACCGAATACTGACGTCATTTTGGCGTCATCATTTTCACTGGGTTTGTTCTTGATTAACGTTCTTTAAGTCAGTACGTCTGTCAGGTCTAGCCGGTAGGGCTAATCAAATATCAGAAAAAGTGATTGGAGAAAGAAGGGAAGAAAAGAGAATTGACACCGATTATTTTGCAACAGACAGAGTAGTTTCAAACAATCGAGCTCCTCTTGGAACAGAGACTGGGTACCTTCTAGATTTATGTCGCAATTGTGGAGTGTGCCATAGGGAGGGGGGCTTTGGACAGAACTCCACTGCCAAATACGTTAGTTTTTCCTTATATGTGACTTCGTGTCCTCCTGACTCAAAGGCTGGATCCGCCCATAAACCACCACCAGAATCTTTTTATATGCCACTAACCTTATTCAGTCATTTATTTGGTGAAGCTCATGTCGTTGATGTTGATATTACCAGATATTACAGAAGCTTGTTCTTTCCAATGAAAACTTCCATTCTATTCATATAGAAAAAAGTGTTGGATCTCAGTATAGTCTGCCTGAGACACACAGCGACACAGACCATGCACCAAGGACTCTTCTCTAACCTGCAGCGATTTCATACGGTATCCTGACCCACCCCCTTCACATGCAGTTCGCGCCTGAACGTATTTGGACCAGACAACAGTCCCACCACCAACCTTAGGATGGCTGTATCCCAAAGTAAGCGAAAGCGTCCATCCCTAGCACTGAACCATACGATGAGCTCCCGTGCCTGACGAAGATGTCTAGAGATGCTTCTCCATTTCTGAGAGTGTTGTCTAGCACTCCACTTCTCCATTCTCCTCCTGACTCTTTGCGCGGGCACCCCTAGCGCTGGCTCAGGACCATCAAGCTTGCTAGCTAATCTGCTTCCGCAGGAGCCACTCTAACGATACCGGATGCCTTGCTGCTCAGCTATCTAGAGCCTCCCTGCATTGGAATACAAGGCTCGAAGTAATCTTGCAGGCACTTGTTGCCTTCATCGTAGCCTGGCTGACAAATGAGATTGTTATTCTTATCCAGGTTCTTCGCCATCCAAAATGTGCACCAGCCAGAGTTGCATAGATTTCTGCCTGGAAAATAGTGGTGTATCTGCCGAGAGGCAGAGATAGTCTAATTCTAGGCCCAAAGACTTCGGCGCTAGAGCTCTCTTCAGTAACCGAGCCGTCCGGGTACCAGGCGTACCCACTTCCGAAGTCTCCTCCTCGGATAATCAACATTAGCTTGCGGCTAAATCGATATGTAGGGGTGATCTGCTCAGAAAGACTGTGTCCTCCCTTTGCAATTCGATGGCAGTGTGAACCTTTACACACTGCGCTTAGCATATTGTGACAAATAGTACTGTTGGCGCCATCTGTTGGGCGTGGCTCCTAATCGCCAGAGCTTCATGACCGATCTCTGCTTTTACGCGAATCACGACCGCACAAGCCGCTTGGCGGCGTCTGTGAGGACCGTGGCAGTGACTTACCTTCTAGATCGACGCGAAGTGACCTCCAAAATATTCTAGATGCCGCTGTGTGGTTCACCAGACCTTTCCCGAAGCAGCAATGGCGGCTATATATAACTCGGCGGTCGGGAGATGGAGGCAGAGTACAGATTACACCAGAGCAGAGCGGAGTGAGGTATAGTGCAGTTAGTGGCGACGTAAGAATTAGTCAGACATAAATAGTGGTGTGTATATATGTTCTATCAAGTTAAATAAATTAGTGCATTTCTTTTTGTGGAATCCAGTGTTTTAATCCACATCCTAAAGAACCCAGAAAAGCGCTACAACATATTAAAACCTCCTTCGGAATGGGATCAGTCCTGAGCATTGGCGAATTCAGGAGGAGGATTTTAGCTCTTAAATTTTCTGTCACTAGTACCATCCCCCCAGTACGTTTTTCTGGATAAGTCAGTGTTCATGAGTTCTCACGTGTAGATGGCATGCCCTGAAAACTCAGCCAAATCTCATCCTGCAAAACCTATCCCATATTCGAAGAAACCTGCGAACGCCATTTCAAGATTCCATTTTAACTAAAAATTGTGCCAACCTGGTAGATTAACACCTAGTATATTGAACTTCTGTTTCATAATTGTTATGGTGTAGTTTATAAATTCCATAACAGTATATCATTATAACTATGGAGTGAAGCACCCACATGAGCAACATTTATTATTTGACTCGGAGAATGACAAATATGGATATGTAATAGAGTGGTAGTGTGCTATTAATGCATCAACAATCAATTGCGGTTAAAAGCAAAACGCTTCGTTTTATTAATGACAAAATATCGGCTTTATCTCATAATGGTAGATAGATAATCAATAAGTAGGTTAGTAAAAAACGGAGATACTCATATAGCTAGTGTGTACGAATACATATTCGCATAAGTATACAGGGTGTTTCACAACTTTTAACCACATATGCACAGTTACGAAAGAAGCTGATTTATCAAAGAAAAAATGTAATAAAAGTTCCACAGAAATTCAGTTACATATAAGCCTGAGTTTCAATTATAAATGGAAAAATAAATATCTATATTTTGCGTTCATCGTCGTGATATTAGAACACATATTAATAATTTATTGTAGCAAATGTTGTACCCAACAAAATACCAGGAATTTTTTATTTTTTCATACTGAAGAACGTGTAAATAAGGTTTAATCGGTATCGTGGGTGATCTGAATGAAGAACGGTCGATTTGTGTAAAGTTAAATAAGAAAGTATTTTGCGAGTTTATGTTTTTAGTTATTTATTAATAGAGCTGGCACATGTGTACACTAATGAGAAGTTAGTGGACATTGTTTTAGCGTATGGAGAAGTAGGACAAAATTCGCGAGCGGCTTCTCGAGAATTTTATTATCTCGATTTCTGTAGGATTTTCATCACATTTTTTTTTTAAGAATGCAACTTCTTTCGTAACAGTGCATATATGTGGTTAAAATTTGTCGTATAACTTGTGAAACACCCTGTATCACATAATAGCATGCCCATAAGTGTAATTTAAAAGAAATTTAAATTGTATAAATGAGGCAGTTTATACGCTACGACCACATTGCAAATAAACACAGAAAAACTGTATTTACTACTATACTTCCAAAAAGGGAAGCAGATGAGGTTGTGAAACTACGTGAATACAGCGCTGGGCAGTCATGCTACCTCGAATGAACACTAATCGTCACCTGCTGCCGTAAGCAATGGTACCTTTCCCAAAAAAAGTACGGCCCGGAATGCGTTCAACATTTCATCAGCGTATTCTTCCATGATAGCAAATATGTTTACAGGTTTTATCAAAATTCAATAAATAATATTGAGTGTTGTATTTTATATGTCACTTAGTATAACTGAAATCTTATTCTGAAAATCGTGCTCCGTGTGTGACTTAAATCAAACGGAAAGGCGAAAATTATTGAGGAAATGACGGATTTCTATAGTCTGTCCGTACACCAGAAATATGTATAATATTTTTCTTCTGTGCGGAAATAAGTAAAAAGTTAGTCTACGTTTCCTGCTTTGCCCGCGAATACGATGTAACGCATTTTTACTTAAGTATTGTGTTTCAACAGAGAATTTCATACTGATGCACATTCAAGTAGGTATCACTATACAATATTTCTGTGAGCATCGTATAACAGATAATATTTATGTTTTCAGAATCGTGAAATCTGAGACGCGGTGATATGTTTCATAAGCTTGAGCTCATTGAAAAATATGAATGCTAGGGTCTGTATAAACAGAAGTATATTCTAATAAAATAAACCTAAAACTAATATTCACTACTAGACAAACATTGTTCGAAGACATACAAGATCCAGATTATAATGAATACTCAATCATCTAGGCTAAGTACTATAATGTCTGCGGTCTGCTTCGAGATGGGACAATATACTATCCAGTGATTCAATTATATGCTGTCATGCGTCTTTTATATCCTTAGAAATGACGAATGGCAGCAAAAAAGCCTGAAGGATAAAAGTTTCACTTTCCTAATGTTTGAAAAACATCAATAAGGTTGTTGGGCTATGAATCCCTGTTCGCCCTATGGATGCTTCGACTATCGTGTAGCTCCCAATTATCGGAGACTATTACACCGTCAAATACATTGTTTCAAACTCTAAAATCTAAGCAAAGCAACTTGACATGTCTAAACTGAGAATAGATTACTTTTCATTTGACCTTGCTATTCGATTCATTTAAGAAATCATACTCTCATCACTGTACCCAGGTGATTTTGATTTTGACAGATGGATGGTCTTTAAGCCCAAGGTCATGCCACATTTGTTGTTTTTGCCTTTGTTTTTGACTATTTAATATTTGGATATTTTTTCAATTGAACCCAAATAATTCAACACATCAATACCACTTTTTCACCAAGCAGATGTTCCCGATCGAACGAATAAACAACCATTGATGATACAACGTCAATTTGCATATTTACAAGTTGAGTGTGTACCAGAGTTTCTAATCCTAATCTCTTTAAGGTAATCCATTAAATACGATGTTTAAAACCGTGGTGAATCATCAATGCTAATGTAGCGTAAGTAGGCCGTAACTAGAACAATGTCAAAGGAAAAAGAATATGGGGTTTTACTGAACAACAGCGTACTGAAGGATATTCATCGACAGCAAACAAAAACAGCTTTGCTAGGGCAAGTGGTCATTATTGATGAGAAACATCCACCGAATGTTGTTCTGAGATTCTTGAAAGAAGGAGATACATGGGAGTCTACACCTTTCGTTTGTCCAGAAGATAACATTTTGTATGTTAGTGCTAAACTTTGGCCATTCTTTGCTTCTATTACATCACCCCAGGAGAGAGTTAAGCTAGCGAAGAATACAAAGCTGTGTAAAAAGTTGCAAAATGTTGGGAAGGATATGATTGTTGGTTTTGCTGATGTTAAAGATATTTACCTGGGAAAAGTAAAATATATTGGCATAGTAAAAGGAATGGGCTATTGCTTTGGAATTGAGCTGCATGTGAGTAAATATTATATGTAAATATACAGTAATTGACAAAAGTATATAGACAAACATGAATATTTACCTACATGCCTTTAGAAAACGAGTTCATACTTCATTGCTCCATAAACAAATGCGTTATTAGTAGAAATATTAAATTCCTTGTTTTTACATTATCTGCAATGAACACAATACAAGTCTGAATATAAGCACTTTTTATGAGAGACAAAAATATGTAGACAAGTTCTTTTCAACATTAGTTTCCTGTCAGAAGAGGATTAGTTTGTGTTCATCGAGTATTGTGGAATAAGTTCAGTGATTCAAGATTATGCCGCCTGGTCCCAAAATTTCTTTTGATGTGAAAACTAAGAATATTGAGTCATACGAAGATGGTCAACATCTAGTCGACATTGCCAAAAATGTTAAGCTGAAACGTAAAGCAGTTTGGGAAATATTGAATAAATATAAACAAAAAGGTATCTTGGAAGCCTCTAAGAGAAATGGTCGGCCTAGAAAACTAAATGCTAGATGAGTTAGATTAATAAAAGTAATTTCGTACAAAGATCCGTTTAAAACCCCAAGACAAATAAATGCCGAAATCGAGACAAAAGGAATTGGCAGTGTTTCTACGAAAACTATAAGTAGAAGGTTGACTGATGTGTGTTATTTGCACGTCGCCCGAGTAAGAAGCCACTGATCTCGAGGAAAAGCTGTAAGGACCGATTACAATTTGCACGGTTGCATCTTGATTGGAGCATCTGTGACTGGAAGAGGGTATGTTTCAGTGACAGATTCAAGTTCAATATGTTTGGATCACTGGAGTGGTGTTCATAATGTTAGACGTCCTAGTGGACAAAGATTGAACCCCAAGTTCACTTTGCCCACTGTCAAACATGGAGGCGGGTCTGTTATGGTTTGGGGGTGCTTTTCGGGGTTTGGGATGGGACCTTTACATAGAATAAATGGCATTATGGATAAGTTTGTATACAGAGACATACTAAAGCATGTCATGTTACCCTATATGGAAGACAATATGCTCTTCAGATCAATTTTCCAGCAAGATAATGACCCGAAGCACACTTCATATCTTGCAAAGAAATTCTTTATGGATGAAAAAATACCAGTTCTCAAATTGAAAGTAGATGGGAATACTTAGATACGCAAATAAGAGATAAAAATGATTCGAACAAAGATGAACTTTTTGCCTCTTTAGAGCAAAAGTGGAGACAGATTGATGAATCTTATATCAAGAAACTTCTACAATCCATGCCGAGACGATGATTGATAATAATGGTTATGCTACAAAATATAAACACAAACATGGTTGGTTGTTTATAATTCAATGAACTTTGCTTGTTTTTTCTATAATTGTTTTGCTTTGTCTATATATTTTTGCGTTTCATAGTTCCAGTTTTTTTCAATTAATTTTTTATTGAAGGGTGTCTAATGAATTTATTTATGTATAAGTGAGTATTATGCTATAACGAATTATGTATACAGGTTGGTGTATTAATAAAGTTAAAAAAGAAATACAGAACAATATTAATTTGTCTATATACTTTTGTACATTACTGTATATTTCTCTAACAACATGCTCTTACAATCATAATTGATAATTCCACAAAAGACACTACAGAAATGCTTACGGCTAATTTTTTAAACATTTAGGATGTTGTACACTTGAACACTTGGAACAATAGTACTCATGAGTCCATAGTTTTTTCACAAGTAGTTTTTGATTTCCATGGCCTCTAGGTTGGCAATAAGTACCTTATTATATCATATTGCAGGCATAGTACAAAATACTAGATTGCTATTTTATTATTTATTTTACATAATCTGAAGAAAGGTGATTATTGTTATTATCCCTATTATTATATCTCCAGTTGATACGGAGTTTATCCAGTCCTTTAATTGCACAAGACAGTTAGATATACAGAGTTATCAAATAGGACCCTGTGATTTTCAAATTTATTATTTGAGATACCTAGTCAAAGTTTATGCAACATAATTGGGAGATTTCATTTAAAAATACAACTTAATATGACGTTTTTTAGATGAAATACACAATTTTACCTAGAATAAAAACTTGATAAAAGTATTTAGGTGTATCCAAAACTGCAATGAAAAATATGATTATCTATAAAAAACTTACTTTTATGATGTTCATTAGTGGGACACCTTGTATTATTCTGAGCATATTTAAAATGTATTCATGCAATAACAGCACAAGGTAATACTGAACAGTCTTTAAAATAGTTTCTTTCTTGCCTCAATATTTCATCCATACAAGTTTGGGCCACCCTGTTTGCCCTGAACTATAATGTTGGTGGTAAACTACCTAGTAGGAATGATGATAAAAACGTAAATGAATACTGAATAACTATAATATATAACAAACCAACAATTTGCTGAAATATGGTATGGATTGTCCAACTTGGAAGCCCTGTATGTCTGACACTACTTGTGGAAAAGCTTTGGATGGACATGTTTGTTCTGTTGAGATATATGGCATACTAAATTTTTGAATAGCCAAAGCCATTCCCCATAAGGTTTTAAGTTTTGCAGTTAGACTCGTTTTACGTTTGTTTATTGTAATTTGAAAAAGACTGCTCTGGCAATCAAATTCATTTATTCAACACACGTTGCTTTAACCAGAATCATAGAGAGAAAGAAGATGTATTGTAACATTCCTTGCAGGAGAAGAAAAAAGACAACTATTGCAACGGCTCCTGTGCTGGAATTCAATATTTTGAATGTGCTCCAGGTTATGGTGTCTTCACAACAATAGAAAGAATCATTCCACAGAGTTATGCTAATGGCCCTCCATCTCCCCCTTTGAGAACCCCCTCCGAATTGGACGTGTGTCTAGAGAAAAACTTACAAAGCATGATCAACAGTAACAGCTATGAAAAACCAAAATATGAAAACATCGTTACTAAGTATGGAGAGTATTCAAACAAAACTTTGACTTCTACTAATAAGCCTGTCAGTGGCCTAAGGAATTCCTTATCTTTGCAAGACATCGTGGAGAATACCAGTGTAAATACTAACAATGATTTTGACCAGAATACCATCATACAGTCTGATAAGACTCATTTGACAAATGAGCAGAGGAAAATCAAAAATAAATCTGAAATGGACTTGATTGAGGTGATTGGTGGCACGTGGTCCGGTTCGACAGATAGCAAAACGTTAGAATCATTTAGTGATTTGAAAAAAAACCTTGACAAAAACGATAATTTAAAGGAAAAATACTCACAATCTCAGTATAAAAGTAACACTTGGAGCAAGAGGAATAAGAGCGTTAATCTTCTGTCTCACTTTATTGACTCCCATCATAGTAGTAATACTCTCAAAAGGACCGCTAAGTTTTACACTGATTCTGTAGAAAATGGTGAGGAAGATGCAAGGATTCACAGCGTTAAAAAGCCGGAAAATGTTAAGAGTAAGTTGTAGTTATTTTTGGGTTTGGTAATTTTAGTGCATGCAGTGGCGTGTCTGAATTCGCATTTTTGGGGATCAAAGATTCAGATTTATAGACCTTCCGTGAGGCTTGTGGCTTTCTTAGAAACAATAGATTTCAACTTAAAAACAGTGAAACAATGACGCTTCCTGAAGGGGGGCTCAAGGGAGAATTTAAATTATCATTTCACCATAGGCTGTAACAGTTCACATCACAAGTTGTCATAGATGTCACAAAGATATTTCTTTGCTGTATCTGTTGATAAAATTGGGACGATTTGGAACAATTCGAAATAAGTAGTAATGTGTTAGCTTCCTCTAATTACAGCACAATCAGATAGAAGTAAAAAACTGAATATAGGCAATCAGTTGCAGTTGCACTGAATCGTTCTGTTGATTGCAAGTTGTAGATTAAGTCTGTCAGATTGAACTACCACGGTATTTCACAAAAAAGAAACATATTTTGTACCCAAATTTCATTGTAAAATAAATTATGATTTGTGGCTATGAAGGAAGAAGTTTAGCTAGGAGAATATGCATTTGAACGAAAAATAAAAACAGGTAGCAGCAGCTTGGTGCAACTGGTTGCCTATATTCAGTTGTTTATTGCTTTGTGATTGCCTTGTAGTTTGTGAAAGCAAACACATTATTATTTTGCATTGTTTACTGATCTTCAGCACATCTAAACCAAATGGACACAATTTTATCATAAAAATGCTGAATAGATACTGTCAGCCAAGAAAAATCTTTGTGACATCAATGACAGCTTGTGATGAGAACTGATACAGCCTAGTGTGAAATGAAAATTTAAATCCTCCCTTTAACGTTCCTTCAGGAAGCGTTATTGTTTCACTGTTCGCAAGGAAGGTCTATAAATCTGACTCTCAGTTCTTCATCAATGACTAAGAGTGCCCACAAACTTCGGTACTTCATTGCTTGACTCGCGGACTTTCTGTCTCGAGGATTGAAATCCGGTATTTCTATAATTTGAATTTTTTAATGGTTGCTGTACGAATGCTAAAGATGTCGCGCTTTTAGTACGTGGAAGAGGATGCATTTTTGATGTTTTTCGCACACTCACAACGTAGACGACGCGTTACTATGACGGTTGCTATAGCCCTGTATAACGAATATGAATAATGTGGCGTAAACGCGGTACCGGTTAAGAAATTTAGTAATTGTTCGAGTTTTTGGTAACGTAAGCATTGTTAAAAATATTCAAAATCGATGACATTAAGTGTCGGCGATGCAGCAAGTTAGTGCGAGTACACTACGCAGGAAATGAATTTTAGATGCTGCGCATGTGGTATCTCTCTCTCCCTTCTCTCTATTTCTCTCTCTCTCTCTCTCTCTCTCTCTCTCTCTGTGTGTGTGTGTGTGTGTGTGTTGCTATAATCATGATTATAAAGAAATCGAATTTTGACTGTTCGGATGAGTTGTAAGCAGTAATATATGTTTGCATCAGTCGATTTCAGGTCCATTTTGAAAAATTGTTTGAGTCCTTTATTCATCATTTCTAATTTTTTTCGGCGCAGTTCAACGCACTGCACGTTTGCGGCATGATCGTTATATAATTACCAAAATTACATAATAATTAAAGAAATAAAAAAATTGTTCAAAATAAGGCACATAAAGATTGCGGCAGGTTATGTTGACACGTGTATCCTTTACGCAGTTTAACCTCCTATCTTTAGTCTTCGTGGCTGTCTTTGACCCTTTTTGCCGACCCTGTAGTACCAACAATTTACTACTCCACAAGCCACCTACTGATAAATAAATGAATAAATGTAAATATGGCTAAGGTATCCTTCTCCTGACAACTTTGAGGGTAACTCCTGATCGTCAAGAATACCTGCCCAAATATTTATTTTAAAACGTTGTTGGAAATGACTTTCACGAATGGTATGAGGATTTTCTTGAGCCCACGAGTGAGTATTATGGTAATTTAATATGCCGTCTCGCGTAAAAGTACATTTGTCCGTCGCTAGAATGCTTTTAAAAAATCCGGATTTTCAATGTTTTTGTGCAAAAACCACTGACAGAATGTTAGTCTGCGAGTATAGTCTTCTGGTAACAAGGCCTGCACTCGTTGTACATGGTAGTGATAAAGCAAATATTCCCGTAGGATTATATGGACTATGGTATGCGATAGTCCTACGCGGCGACCTAATTCCCGAGCGCTGATATCTGCATTGATTTCCACGATATTTAACATGTGTTCCTCCTGCTCTAAAGTAACCTGTCTTTCACAAGTGTGAATATTAGTGGGCTGAACACTTCCTGTATCTCGAAGTCTTTGGTACACTTGCAAAAATGTCCTTCTGTCTGGGTGTACCCGTTGGCGAAATTTGTCGCGATAAATTTGAGCTGCAAGATTTGAATTCTGACTAGCTTCACCGAAAACTAACAACATGTCGGCGAACTCTTGATTCGAGAACATTGTAAATCAACACGACGACGTTCGCGAACAAAAACAAAACAACATATTAACCACTGTTACCGTTTGCGGTCGATTGTCGGTTCGATAAGAGTGAGGACGACGCGCTGTTGTCATGTGTGTTTTAAATATTCAATTTAATGAAACTTACTGACTACAAATTTTGGCCTAACTTAATGCCATTTATTTGTTAATTACCCAAAAACGATTTAGATTAGATTATAAAAATTAGTAAGATTGTGGTGATTGTGGTCGATATAAAGCACTTAAAGTTGTAAACTATAAAGCCATTTAGACAAAAATCTATTGACTTTTGGACCATGGGTCATATGAACTTTTTGACTTGTTTTGATCCCCCTATTACCCATTTCAATAATGACTACCATAACGTTTACACCCTGTATGTTGTTGGCATTTTTGCAAACTACAAATAATCTCGGTCATGCGCTGAAATTTTGGGAACGATGTTTTATGTTTTTGCGTCCTATTAGTTATGCAAAAAAAACCAAAACACTTTCGGCCCCCTAAAAATGGAGGGTCATATTCGGCAAAAAAAAATTATAAGTATACTTGTACCACTTATGATCTGATCGCTTGATGTCTTAGCTCTATCATTTTGCAACTGATATCCACTTGAATGCTACGTCACTGGACTTTTCCTGTCCAGCAGAGCAAGTTGTAAAATAGAGAAAACCTAAAAATAGCCGCTGTTATATGTTTGGCAGAGTATATTACGCGCTTTTCCAGCCATCTATTTTTGTTCATCAACACCATCATCATTAATTTGTAACCAAAGTGATTCACGAGCGGCGCATGTAGCCATGTGCTGTTCAACGAAACTGCTAAAAAGTTCGTATCATTCGGTTACTTCCTACCACCTAAAATGTCGCTAAGTCATCGCAAAAACCACCACAAACTATGTTTCGACTTCAAAAAGAAACATCCGCCATCTAAACCATCCCATCGCGACGTATATGCTAACATGAATGTTGCAAGTGACAGTGATACCGACTCGTCCCCTAATATTCCCCTGTTTATCCTAGAGTTGAACGAGAAGGTGGATCAACAGCAGAAACCTACGTCGAAGTTTTACGTGCACGAGACCCCGAAGTATCTAGAACCTCAGCCGGGTACCACTAAGGAACTGGCTATTGGAAGCTTGGTAGAGATCTCTAATGACGTGAGTGAGACGCCACTATACGGAGTTGTACGGTGGATGGGAGTGGAACAAGGAACTAATTTTGTGCTGGTAAGTTTACTATCAGAATACCAGAAAAGAAATACAGTGGACCCCCGATAATCCGGCCCCTGTCTAATCCGGAGCCCCCTGTAATCCGACATGTCTTTGAATATGTCTTACATAAATACGTATTTGACAATCTTGGCTAATTTAGATTATGCAGGTTTGAACAGGTTACAACTTGTACGCGCCACCGCTATCGTGCTCGACGCGTAAACATTGTTTTACTTAGTTTGGATTTGACTACTTGTGATAGCGGTACGGCCTAGCGTGCGTTAATTGTTTACTATTTATTCATTGTGTATTAAGTATAGTACCTAGTAATGTCATCAGAAGCGAAAGCACAAAACATTGACAATTAAAAGAAAATGTGATATTTTAGACCGCTTAAATCGCAATCAAACTTTGAGTAGTTTAGCAAGTGAATACGGCGAAAGCCGATCTACAATTTATGACATTAAAAGAAACCACGAGAAGATCAAGAAGTTCGTGTCAACTACTGACAGGAAATAACAAAAAAAGATGATTTTGTGGCCAGCAAAGGATGGCTAGAACGTTTTAAAACTCGTCATGGCATACGTTTAATTACTATTACAGGAGAGAAACTTTCTAAAGATGCCACCTACATAGAGCCCTTTAAATTGAGATTTTTGCATAGGTGAACGATCTAAATCTTGACCCGTCACAGGTGGACAATGCAGACGAATCAGGGCTTTTTTGGCGTGTGATGCCTAACAAAACTTTTGTTTCTTGTAACGAAAAGTCCGAACCTGGACGAAAATTAAGTAAAGAGCGTGTAACCATACTACCATGTGCTAACGCTGCGGGCACACACGCGCTTAAGATGATAGTCATTGGGAAATCTAATAAATCACGAGCATTCAAAGACATTGATTTACCTATTACGGACAAAAAAGTGCATGGATGACAAAAGACCTTTTCAAAAAGTGGTTTGATCGAATGCTTCGTACCTGAAGTTAGAAAATGGTTAAAAGACCATAATTTTCCTCAAAAAGCGTTGTTGCTTCTTGATAACGCTCCCGGTCATCCGTCTGAAGAAGAACTAACAACTGAGGATAAATACATCACTGCGATGTTTCTTCCGCCAAATTGCACTGCACTGATTCAACCAATGGACCAGAATATCATTCAGTTTGTCAAGCCAGACTATAAGAAAAACCTACTTCTGAGAGCCGTATCAAAAGACCAACCAATAGAAAAAACTTTAAAAGAATTGAATATGAAAGACTTGGTTTTTGCTCTTTGTCTCTCGTGGAATGCGTTACCGTCATCAACTATTAAATCGTTTTGGAAAAAGTTATGGCCAGATATACTCACCACTCCTAGCAACGTTCCACAAATCAGTGTTACGTCGGAAGTTATAGAACAAGTCGCTACTGAAACACAGATAAGTCCGGAAGATTTGTAAATCTGGTGCCGTGGAATGGATAAAGAGGAAAATGTTTTTCATGAAATTTCTGACGAAGAGATTAGAAAAGAGGTTTCTAATTATACAACAAACAATCAGGAAAATAACGACGACGTGATTGCAACTGCTCCACAAGTCACAGCACAAGACGCAATTAACGCCTTTGAACTAGGTCTACAATGGGCTGAAGAGAATGGTACATCCTACAACGAACTTTTACTTTTGAGAAGGCTGAGGGACAAAGCTCTGATTTCGCGTTATCACAACCTTAAACAAAAACAAATTGATGAATATTTCCAAGCTTCATAATTTGATAAATTCATTAATTATTTTGAGTAATAATTCTTGATTATTGTGGTACATATGTATGTGCATTTATGCTTAATTTTATAATAAAACGTAAGCTCTCTATTGTTATTTAATTTACTAAATTCGACATACATAAACTATGTATGATTTGTACTTCAAAGTACATACATATACATAACATATATAATCTTACTATTGGATACGTAATTTGTCGGATTACAAGTAACTCTTTTCTAAAAAATTCCGGACTATAGGGGGTCTTAGGCAGTGCTCTATAATCCGACAAATTCGATAGTCCGACACTGCCGTGCATAATGTTTGTCGGATTAACGGAGGTCCACTGTATACCTATCCATGAAACAAGAGACGTACGTTTTTTTTGATAATCCTATTTGTCAATATAATTCCCCCTACATCAGTGCACTTGCGCTATTTCTCCTCCAGTGAACTGATGCCTTATGCCTCTCAAAAAAGTCGCAGGTTGCTTTTGGGCCAACATCTGAGTCGAAACGGCGTCCTCGAAGATTTTTCTTTAGTAATCTAAGGAGATAAATGTCAGACGAAGCAGTCCGGACTGCAGGGAGGATAGTCTATCTCAACGAAGCTGATTTCGTGCACACTTTGACAGCCTTTATGCAGAGTCGCATTGCCATGCAGAAGAAATACCTCTGGATTGGAAAAATCGGGCCTTTTCTGGTTGATTGATTTGCGTAAATTTTTCAGTGTGTTCGCTTAGAGGTCCGCATTTATTGTTGTCTCTTTTGGCATATATTCAATGAGAAAGATATAACCCCGATGTCCAAAAAACGGTTGTCATCAATTTTCGAGCAGAGGGTTGAGCAGTGCAGGGGGTGAGGGGGGGTGGACGAGACCCTTTATGAACCCACTGCTTTTGTTCTCTTTTTGTATTAGGATCCCAACGAGGCAGCCAAGTATCGTCACCTTTCACAGTTTCAAAGTTTCCAAATGACTTTGAGGAAATTATTTTCTGCGTAATGTTTGCTCAGGGGACAACAGTCGTGGAACCCACCTTAATCATGTTCAAATTGTCGTGCAAGACGGTTCAGGTATATTCAATGCCATACCACAGTTTTGATAACAATCAGCTATGAAACTCTCCAGTCAGTGTCAAAAACGGCCGCCATTACAACGATGAAAGAGGTTTTAGAGCTCAACAGCTCAAGTTGCCAAATTATCAGGAAATCGCATTAATGGTGTGCGTGATCCTTTTTATGCATACTAAATCTACTTTCTTTTGTTTGCAATACTAGGTAGGTGTGGAGTTAGAAGAGGAACAGTCTCATCTGCCTTTAATGTTGACAGATGGAGTGCATAATGGAGAAAGATATTTTAAGTGCTCTGAAAAAAGGGCGCTATTCGTACCTTTGGACCAATGCAGTAAGGATTCAAGGTTTCAGGATGGAAATCCTACACCTGTCAGTCAGCCTTCTGCAGCTGAACACATCAAACCACTTGTAAGTATCTGAGCCATTCAAGTTAATCGTTGAACAGTAATACCTGGTGTACTGATATTTTTCTGTAGCTGAACCAACAAGATTTGTTCCCATTATAAACATCTACTATATTACAGAAACATCTCTTTTTCATAAATAATCAGAAATTGGAAATAGTATGGAATATTCCTAGATCCACACTTGCATTGGGATGTTCTTATTTCATATATTTCAAAAAATATTTGTCTCACATAAAATGAAATACCTCAAAAATATTCTAAAAGAGAAATACAGTTCTATTCATAAAAAAAGCGTACACGAATTAGAATGAGAGGAAACCTTAACCTTATTTGCGTAAAACCGGCTTGTCTAAATGATTGTTTATTGGAGGTTATCACACGTCGTAGATTGTCAAAAATGCAAAGCATTGACGTCGGTGTAATTCATTTCGAAAATGCGTGGTGGTAACGTTTGATAAACTTTGACAGAAGAAAATAAAAATGCCTCGTCAGTTGTCTGAAGTTGAAAAGGCTCAAATTGTATCAAGAATCGAAGAAGGATGGTCAATCCGTGCTATAGCGCAGTTGTATAATAGCAATAAAAAAACCATATTGAAAATTAAGCAACGCTGGGAACAGGAAGATTCCCTAAAGAGGAAAATTGGTTCAGGTCGTCCCAAACTTACCAACCCTGAACAGGATGCTGCTTTTTTGGGATATTTAAGAAATAATCCATTTGCAACTGTAAGGGATGCTGTTATTGATACAGCATTTCCTGCCTCCCAACCTACCGCCAGCAGGAGAGTAATGAAATCTGAACTAAAATGTCTCCCTGCTGCGAAAAAAATGTTTCTTAACGAAGAACGGCGACAATCAAGGATTATTTTTGCTTTAAATTATATATACCGCAATCCTCAATTTTGGAACAGGGTCATTTTTACTGATGAAAAGACGTTCCAGTCGACTTATAACGGCCAAATTCGTGTTTACCGTCCAAACAATACCAGGTTTGAAGAGCGATATACTAACCCCCTCAATTCTAGACCTGGGCGTTTCTCTGTAAATGTATGGGGCTGGATAAGTGTTCATGGACCTGGTGTTTGCTGGCGAATAGAGGGAAGATTTAATGCCGGAAATTACATTAACATTTTAGAAAACATATTGTTACCAAGTGCTGAGCAAATATATCCCAATAATACGTTCATATTTCAACAAGATAATTGTCCAGTTCATACGGCCAATGCTGTAACCCACTGGTTTCAAACCCATAATGTGGAAGTGCTGCCTTGGGTCGCTTATAGTCCCGATATCAATCCAATCGAAAATATTTGGGGTATAATCGTAAAAAAAATATATAATCGAAATTTTAGGCCACAAAATTCAGAAGATTTATGGGAAATAATACATGCGTGCTGGGAAGAGCTTGATCCAAATATTGTATCAAATATAATTCAGTCAATTCCGAACAGACTGGCTCAAGTAGTAGAAAAACAGGGATATATGACCAAATATTAGATTTTATTTATTCTTGTTAATCGTTTTTTGTTTCTATTGTAATTTTTATAAAACTGTTAAGATGTAAAATAAAGAAATACATTTTTGTTACTGTATTGAACTAATGCCCGACGCCCATGCTTTGCATTTTTAATAACCTTTAACATGCGATAAGCCGGTTTTACGCAAATAAGGTTAAGGTTTCCTCTCATTCTAATTCGTGTACGCTTTTTTTATGAATACAACTGTACCTCCGTACCTTATACCATACCTTGATCGAACATTTAACCAGTGGGAGAGTTCACATTTCAAATTTGAATTACGCGGCAACCGTATACGCGAGGAAGTGAGTAGCGGTCTTGATCGACGCGTTCGGCGTGCGGGTTAAATAGTCACAATGGAACGTTGGACCGGAGCGCAACGTGCTTTTGCTATCGAGGCTTACTTTCAGAGTGGTGATTCATACGCAGCTGCCCTTTGCAAATTATGTACACTATACAACATTCGCCGATCAAGAGATGCTGCAAGCAAGAAAGTAAGAACCTATTGAAAAATTGGACTAAGAGGTCCGTGAAACATTCTCTATTCTTAGTAAACCCATTTCTGGCCCCACACCTACTATATCAACCGAAGAAAATGTGCGTCAAGAAGTGATTTGGTCATTGCAAATCCTCGACGTTCTGTACGGAAGCATTCCGCTGCTTTGGGAATCCCTAGGTCAACACTGCATGGCATTATGAAGAAAAAAATGGATTTTCATCCTTATAACGGGTGATTTTTTATGAGGTATAGGATTTGATTTTCAAAAAAAAACAAAAAATTTTAAAAAACGATTAAATCTTTATTTGAGTCAATAGAACGGTCGATATAATTTAATGTTTAAAGATTATTTCATGTAAATGTTGGCCGCGGCTCCGCATTAGATGGCCCATGCGCAAGGTTCAATTTTGGCACACTCTCTCCAACATATCGGCCGGTATCTCACGAATAAATGCTTCAATATTGGCGTCCAGTGCGTCAATCGTTGCTGGTTTATCCCTGTAGACATTAGCCTTAACATGGCCCCACAAGAAATAGTCCAACGGCGTTAAATCACACGATCTAGGCGGCCAATTGACGGGCCCCAAACGTGAGATAAACTGTTCATCGAACTCGCCTCTCAATATGGCCTTTGTTTCGTGTGCGGTGTGGCATGTGGCACCATCTTGTTGAAACCACATGTCAGCCAAGTCTAGCTCTTCCATTTTGGGCAAAAAAAAGTTTGTTATCATCGCGCGGTAGCGCTCGCCATTCACAGTTACGTGCCGGCCATTGTCGTCTTTGAAGAAGTACGGCCCGATGATGCCACCGGCCCATAATCCACACCAAACAGTGATTTTTTCGGGATGCATTGGTAGCTCTTGCAATGCTTCTGGCTGGTCTTCACTCCAGATGCGGCAATTTTGCTTGTTAACGTACCCATTCAACCAGAAATGAGCTTCGTCGCTGAACACAATTTTTCGATAAAAATGTGGATCTTCCTCCAACTTTGCCAGCGCCCATTCACCAAATGTGAAACGTTGTGGTAGGTCGTGTGGCTTCAATTCTTGCACCAGCTGTATCTTCAGTCCTCACTCTACGTCTGCGTGTTGGTGGTTTAATGTCCAATAATGTAAACTGGGTTCGGAATTTAGTCACAAGCTTCCGAATAGCTCCCTCAGTAGGCCGATCAAATTGCCTATAACTTGGCAGCAGTGCTCGATGCACTCTCTTAACCGAGCATGAATTTTGATAGTAAAATTCAATAATTTGCAAGCGTTGTTCGTTCGTAAGTCGATTCATGGTTAAATTATAGACCAAACTGAACAAGTTTGACAATGACACAAGACACGATTCACGCGTCATCTGTCAAAAACAGTGTTGCCAAAAAGATACTAGCAAAAAAATCACCCATTAAAATCCATTCAGTCCATGCGTTAAAGAAAAGTGATTACGTATTACGGAAATCTTGTGCAAAATTGTAGATATTGGGCACCAACGAACCCAAAACAGAAACATCAACAACAGCTACATAGTCCCAAACGTGACTGTTTGGCGCGCCGTATCCTCTAGCGGTATTATTGGGCCGTATTTCTTTGAAAATGAAAACGGTCATTGACAGACAATTCCGAGCGATACAAGGACATCTCCTATTGTAAGAACAGAACATCGTTTTAACATAAACACATGGTTTCAACAGGATGGGACCACTGCCCATACTTCCAGAGAATCGTTGGACACGCTGAAAGCACTTTTTCCTCAAAAAGTTATATCGAAGTTTGGGGACAATCACTGACTTCCTAGGTCACCCGACTTCACGCCATGCGATTATTTTTTGTGGGGTTGTCTAAAGTCAAAAGTGTATTCTAATAATCCACGAACACTGGAGGACTTTAAAGACAACATTCGGAACTCTGGAAGAGTGTTTCAGAATTAGCGCGCGCGACTAGAAAAGTGTGTCCCAAGGGATGGCAAACATTTGGACGGAATAATATTTAAGAAATAAAACCTGCCGATTTACGAATATGTTGATAGTGATAAATATTTTATTTTCATTAAGTTTGTATTTTTTTCTTAAATCAAAAAATGAACTTTCCCACATGGGGAGCTGCATGCTCAACTCATATTTATAATTTAGCAAAAATGATTCTAAAAGTAGTAATAAACATGTGTTCCACGGAACTTAATCGATTATTATTCTAGGAATGCCCTGTGATACCTGGAGCAGTAGCTCCTCTTTGCATGCCTACAGAAGAAGATGTGGAAGCAGTTTGTGGGAAATTTCGGGGAATCCAAGGACACCACAACTCGTGTTACTTGGATGTCACTCTTTTCTCCATGTTCACCTATACAGCAGTATTTGATAGTTTATTGTTCCGTCCTAAAAATAAGAATGATATAGATGATTATGAAGAGGTATGTCTATTTAAAAGTAATATAAAACAGCTTTAACTTTACCAAACACCACTGTAATTTAATACTTAGTTTTCATAAGAGTATTATTACACAGATGAAGCCTGTCATTTCTCAGCATTTTTATATTACTCTAACTACAACATAACATTAATCCAAGATTACAAAGTGAAAATTTACAAAATATCCCGCTCTAAATACCTCATGGCACAATCAATTTCGTTTCTTCATAGGTTCAACGGGTGTTGAAGGAAGAGATTGTCAACCCCCTCCGCAAAAACCTTTACGTAAGCGCGGATCACGTAATGAAACTCCGCAAACTTTTGGACAAGCTCAGTTCTGTATCCGGCCTAACGTGCGAAGAAAAAGACCCCGAGGAATTTCTAAATTCTTTGCTTGCTCAGATTCTTAAGGCGGAACCGTTTCTCAAGCTGAACTCCGGACAAGAGGCTTTCCACTATCAGCTGTTTGTGGAAAAAGATGCGGGTCTCAGTCTTCCTACAGTAAGTAGTATAATATTCTTTTTGTGTCTTTAAGCAACATCTGAATGCCAGAGTAACGTATCTATTAACAGGCTACAACTTGGAAAAATATGCCTCCCTACTCCATAAAAAGTATGGTAATTCCAATTCCAAATTTGTGAAAGTAGATATCACGGACTGACAAAAAGGGAAACATGAAAATTTTACTTAAATTGATCATAATCGCTCACATAATTCCCTGAATCGAAAGGAAAAAGATAGATAGTTAAATATGCCTTATTGTCTGACAACCAGTCTTATCTTTCTAATATTATTCTATACATAAGCATGCGCTTTTATTGTTTTTTGTCAAAATCCACTGATTAAAACATTTCTGTGCTTCAAATGCTGTGCTTTTACAAATTAACATATTTATGTAATGTCATTTTGACGTAATTTCACTAGTCTAGTATTTTTATGGAATAGGGTCCAACAGTATTGTTTTTTTTTTTTTTGTGGAAAAAGTGAGTGAAATGATTACTTATCTGTAGGTGCAACAGTTATTTGAACAGAGCTTCCTCACCAGCAATATCAAACTGAAAGAGGTACCATCTTGTCTTATCATTCATATGCCAAGGTTTGGGAAGGACTACAAAATGTATCCAAGGATTTTGCCCTCTCAATTGTTAGATGTAACAGATATTATAGAAGGATGTGAGTATCATACCTATGGTAATTTTATTTCATATTTTTCAAAACATACGTGCAATTTTTGATAGTTTTCATAGTTTACTAGACTAGACCCACCGCTCCGCTTACGTGGAAGTAGAGTAAAGTATAGGTGAAGGAGATTGGTTTCAGAAAAAGGAATTCAATATTCAAAGTAATCCAATAGTTACTTTCACAATAAACATTTTAATGCAACAATAAATTAATTTCAATGCAACGCTTTTTTATAATAAACGTCTTTATTCGCCAAACAATAACAAATAAACTTTCATGAAAGAGAGAGTTTAGCGAAAGGCGATCCTCGACAAATTTAAGGAGTTTACTTGAAAATTTATCTGATCTTGAAGGCCATGGACAGGTTATACTTGGATATATTTGAAAAAAATTGACCGCAATTTTTATTTCAGTAAATAAAAAAGGTGCTTCCCGTTAAACAATCATTTGATCTTCAAATAACCTTTATGGACATAGTCAAGGTCGAGGGCACACTTGAACATAAAGTTTCTTGCTCTTTTTATTTCTAGTTAGTCTAATCATATTAGCAAATTTCCCCGAAATAATTGTAAAGAGACCTACAGAACGAGACCACACGTAAAAAAGATCCTACTAACAGCAAAGCTGTTATGGCCGGAAAACGAGGCAAAATGCATGTTTTGGCACTTGTTGGTAATGCGACGATAATTTCACGCAACTACTTGAAATTCATCAAATCCGTAGGACTCATACTTCTATAACAACAAAACTGGTGTATAGTGGTAACGAATTTTTTTGAGAATATCTAATTGTTTATCCCAAAACGCCTGTTTTCCGGCCATCACTACTAGTTTATTGAGCAATATACAGGGTTCGTTCAAGGAGCATTTAATAGCAAAATACACGTGTTTACCTTGCCGATATGAATCACAAACCATTCCGAAAGATAAATGTTATTTTTATGCGAAAAACAAAGGTTACGTTTCTTTCTTCTAAACAAATTCAAACATTTCGTATTTTTTTTTTGGGTAACTGAACAAATGCGCTACGATATTCGAAAACATACGTTACTAAACACATTTTGAAACAAAGCGGATGTGTCTTATCATATTTTGTTGCGAATTACTCACAAATACGATATTTTTGGATTTGCTTAGAAGAAAAAACGCAACCCATCCTTTTTTGCATACAAATAACATTTATCTTCCGGAATGGTTTTCGATTTATATCGGCAAGGTAAACTTGTGTATTTTGCTATAAAATACCGTTTGAACTAACTCTGTATATTGCTCAATAATCTAGTAGTGATGACCGGAAAACAGGAGTTTTGAGATAAACAATTGAAGATTCTCAAAAACTACTTGACCAATCTACTCCAATTTTGTTGTGGTTATTTAGAAGTACGAATCCTACGAATTTGAAGAATTTTAAATAGTTTTTTCGTTCCTGTCAACACTTTCGATTGAATCCCAAAAAACACGTTTTCTTATTCTTTGTTCTCTAATAAAAAGTTTTCCATAAAAATTGGTATACCCATTTTATGCGTTCATGTTTTGAATATCCTCTTGAACAACTTGCAACAATAAAACCTGACATTACAATTATTTCACAAACCGGTTGTATTTTCGTCGAATATGATTACACTAAGTGCCAAAAATAGGAAATAGGAGTTTCCCTTTTAAAAAACTGTCTTAACCACCAAATGAGCTTGAAGGTCATAGTCAAGATCACGTTCAATAATGCCATTAGATGAATCTTTTCAAACCTCACAAGTTTATTAGACAATATTTTTTCTTCATGAAAAGTATTTATCGAGATATTTTGTCCTTTCAGGAATACGTATTTCTTGAGATATTTTTATCTATCCATACTTTTTGAACATTCTCTATATTTTGGCGAATAAAAACATAACTTATAACCTTCCTTGAGTTCATTGTGTTAGACAGAGATATAAGCCAGCTGGATAGCACAGCTCGTTGCCTAGCGACCGCAACGCGGCAGATTCCACGACCTTCTGAGACACCGTTGCTAGGCAATGAGGCTCTTCAGCCGGCTTCTATCTCTTTCTATCGTGTGTTGATACCCATTTCTCGCGCTTCTCTCTTGTAGACATTGAACTCTAGCCGTCACACAAATTTGGTTATCCCTGTATAAGATCTATTTCTATCAGTATGGCATTACTGACCGTGTGATTAAATGTTTCAGCTCCAAGGCAGTGTATTGTTTGCGGAAAGCTAGCAAGGTTTGAATGCACGGAATGCTTTGATGATTGTAGTAGTGCTGGCCTAGAAAGTACCGCTTTTTGTTTAGAATGTCTGAAGATTACTCACAAACACGAGAAGAGGAGGAATCACCAACCTATTCAACTAGAGGTATGAAAACTTTTATTTATATTGATGTTATGCAAAAAAAAACATCCTTGCTAATATGTATGCGCATTTAACGTTTACACGCCAATTGAATTTTTTAACTGTACAGAAAATCATAGATGAGGCTAAATTGATTTTATCATATGAAGTTGTAATTATTAAAGCGCTATCTTATTCTAGCAAAGAACCAGTCACAAAACATATGGAATTTGACCACCGGTCAATTTTAAAGAAAATTCATATAGTCATAGTTCCTGTTGAGCTGATCAAATATTCCAATGGGCACAAAGCCCAGAAATGTTTTGTACTGGAGATACTGTGTGGAAGTTTTGCGCCTTAGCATCTGTAGGCACGCCTGCTTAAAATTTACATATTGTAGATGTATCTTTGAACTATTTCGAAATATACAGGGTGTTGCATAATTCCGTGGCAAAACAAACATGTTCTTTTCTAATAGAACAACCCATATTAGATATTGGGAAAGACGTTTCGAAAACAAGAAGAGTGATATAATATAGTCATTTGTTTAAGTATTTATCATTTGTCTGAAAAAATGCACTGAATTTTGGAAAGAGCATGAAAAGTAGGTCATTTTTATCAGGGTGCTGCAAAACGCAAAACGTTTTTCTCAAAAATTTTAAATGGAACATCCATCCCCTTTACATTATCAGATTCGCGTTCTTATAAGTTTCTCCTAATATCAGGTTGAATACTGCTTTATTAGAATGGTTATCTGTGGGTTTAATTGAAAAAAAACATGTTACTTATGCCATGGAATTGTACAACACCCTGTATATCTGCAAATAATTTAGAAACACACCTATAAGTTTCTCCCTATAGGAAGTTTCACTGAATTGTTGAAAGAGAATGAAAAAGTACGTGAACTTTATCAGGGAGCTGCAAAAAGTTTTTCTCAAAAATTTTAAATGGAACATCCCCCATCCTCTTTATATTATCAGATTCCCGTTTTTATAAGTTTCTCCTGATATCAGGTTTAATACTGCTTTATTAGAATGGTTATCTGTGGGTTTAATTGAAAAAAAAAACATGTTACTTATGCCATGGAATTGTACAACACCCTGTATATCTGCAAATAATTTAGAAACACAACTATAAGATGTTAATCTTACTGCGCAAATCGTTTCCGAAATCTCTACTTTAGTCAAGGTCGACCGAAAAAACATATAAAAATAAATACGATTTTATTCCTAAACTCGACAGCCTCACCCTTATTCTAAAAATACATCTTTCCCCAGTAACAATAAACAGCAAACAAAATCACATCTCTATTCTTATTAAAAGTCGACAAAAGGAGAGGAAACAGCGGGTAAATTTGCCATGAGTTCAAAAAAGAGTTATTTTCCTGGTCATAAATTATACCTAGGAGAAGCATGGGTACTTGTACCAGGCTCGCTAGCCTGAGTTTTCATAATGTTCTCATTTTCACCAAATGCCGTGAAATTAGATTCTTCTAGGTCCTTCTATGTTTGTTTCTGAAACTGATATACTGGCTGTGATAATTGGGAATGTAAACCAAACACCATTAACTGCGTAAATGATCTATTTTTCTACTCTCTTTAGTCCAGGTCGGCCAACTGGGCGGAAAAGAACATACAAAGATATACGAATTCATTCCTAAACTCTACACCAACAGAAAGCATTTCAGGGCTTTGCGCCGATTGGAACATTTGATCAGCAAGACATTAACTATTAGGCCCGTATCGTCAGTCGTCCCTACAATTGTAGGGCGCCTTTATGGCCTCCTTGATTGTCATAGTTTTCTACTTCTCCGCGTCAGAACTCAATTTTGAGGTTATGTCACAAACATCTATTTGCATCAAATTGTGCTTGCTTTTGAGTTATATCATGTTTTATCAGCCTGAAATTTCCTACAATTTAAAAAGAAAACATATCTTCACAATAGGAGAGCGCTGACGCTGACACGGGACAAGTGTAATCTAGAAATTTTTGAAGGAGAGAAAGGCGTATGACAATCAAGGAGGCCATAAACGCGCCCTACAATTGTGGGGACGACTGACGATACGGGCCTTAGTGTACGAATTTTCATTGAAATTGATCGCTGGTCAAATTTCATGTTTTTTGCCTAGTACTTTATGTTGAAAATATCGGGTACGCTATCGTATGACATAAGATCAAAAGACAATTATTATATGGAAAGATTCAAACCCAGGACATTGGAAAAATGTTCTTTTCGTTGACGGTTTTAGAATTAATAATGGTTTAAAATAGCACAAAATATAACGATTTAGACGTTCTTTAAAGCACAATTTTAAAATCAATGTTTGGTAAATCAAAATTATACCCAACAATGACGCAAAATGTTCCTAAACCAAACAAATTTGTAATGAAATGATCTCACGTCAGCTCTAAAATTGTATGACTCTCTACCAAATGACTTAAAACTATACGTATTACATGAAGCTTAAAATTTTTTTAAATAAATGGATTAACAAGCTTGGGAGAAACCACATTCCTGAATAATCTCAAATAATACATAGTAAATACCATCTTTCTTACAAATAATATAATTTAAGTTTTTTTCTCTTTCTGTTCTTTCCTTTTTATATGTTGCAATTCAACTTTAACATAACATTTGATCCATGCACAATAATTTTCTTTCTATGGATAAATTATATTTTACTCCTTTTATGAAACCTGTATTTATAAAGTAAATAGATTATTATTACTACCATTTAAGAGGAAATTAAGGACTTTCTAATTTAGATCCAAGTGATATGTAAAGCCACAATGAACATAAACATTGTGGCTTAAAGCTTCTATGAATACAATACGATATAACTTTATTATTACTTTCAGATCGCCGATGATTTTTCGCTGATGCAAGATGCCTACCGACCCCCAAGACTGTTCATGGAATTATTTGCTGTTATATGTATAGAAACTTCTCACTATGTGACGTTCGTTAAATGCGGCGTAGGTCACGAGGCACCTTGGTGTTTTTTCGACTCTATGGCGGATAGATTAGGTAAGAAGCTTCACATTTTAAAATCATTTTAATAAGAGCATTTAACTAAAATTAATGGATGCCTCAGCATATCATAATGTAACGGAAACAGCATTTTTACTGTACAAAGTCTAATTTATTACTCTACACTCATTTATGATACTTGCAACTAATTTATGATTTATTTTTAACCGTATCGACTAGGCTACTGTCTTTTTCACGAGTATTATCCATTACACTAACAGCTGACTGTCTAGTAATATTTTAAAATTCCCCATAACGACAAATGACACACAGTTCTGACGGATCCGTCAACCCCAGGTAGACAGAGCCGTACTGTGTTGTTTTTTTTGTACGCTACAGATTCATTTTGTACTTGTTAACAACTCTTTTATTCAGAAATGCATAAAAAACTCTACAAGCAAAATGGTTGCTAATGTATACATTACAAGTCAGGCAGGCTAAATTGAGATGAACACTTTTTCAGTTTGTTTATTATCTCTACTTTTTATTAACTTTAACTTGAAACACCATATGATTTTAAAGGGCAATGAAACGGTCATATTTGAACTACGTTACACTGATGACGGACAATTAACCAGAAACACGTGTCAGTATTATTTTTACATATAAAATTACAGCTGGTGGAAAGGGCAACACAGTTTGTGCTATTGACTTACCTCGTAATGAATTCCAGATGTATTATATTAATTTTCTAATAAACATTTTTCGAGGTGTACTTCTATATTTCGGTGTCCAAATTCACAGTCACTAAAAGTATCTAGAAGTATGTAAATGTGTCACTTGCTGATCAGCTCTTCACCTCAGTAGACGTCAAAACGTAATGGATACTCATGAAATAGGTCAACGTGTCGGTTGCTGTTCTTTGACTGTCCTCCTTCCAGTGTCGTTGCGCCCATGTATGTAATTTGAAATGGACTAATCCAGAGGCTCTCGTGAACATTCGCGCGATATTTCTCGAACGCTCCCGATGGCAACCGCGAACCCTCTTGAACGCACGCGAACGCAATCGCTCTAGAAGCTTTGCAAGCTGCGATACATGATGGTGTAACTTTGGGTGCCTAAATTTGCCATTCAAGGTCCCATCGTAGATTATTACATCGTAAGTGGTAACACTGGCGTTTATATACAAAGCCTACGAATAAAAGCTTACTGGAATTATACGGAAACTAAAACATCCACGGAATTGAAACTGTATTCTACCAGGGAGAGACCAAATATGTGATTCAAATATCGTTTCATATTTTTATTTACAGTCTATATTGCTACAGAATGACATCGACAACTTTATTTTATACTTAAGCAGTTATTAGTATTAATAAAAAATGGAAAAAATACGCAAATATCGAAACGCAACACTACTGGAGCGACTTGTGACCATTCTTTGTTAATTGATCTGTCCGATTTAAATGACTGTCATTGATTGTCAACCTGTCCGTTTGATGTTTGATCACTTCGATAGAATACAGTTATTCATCAGACTGTCTTACTTTCTACGCCACTGTGCGAAAAGAATCGAAAATGAGATACTGTGTTTTTTGGATGTAATACATGTACCTCACGAAAAACCATGTCACTAATTTCCGTCTGTCTGACCGCTAATCCTTTGCCCGTCTATAACCTGAGAAATACCGCTCGGGTTTTGATGCCATTTTCTTACAAGCTTGGTAATATGCCAAAGACGAATAAGCTTTGTAGTTTTTGAAAAGGAGATGGGGAGGGTATATCAAAATTTGTTGACCTTACTATATTTATACGCTCCCAACTCCGGTAATTCTATGCACCTATTAGCCATATTTCATACATAAATTTCCCGGTACATTTGTCTTTAAAACCTAAAATGATAGAGATTTTTTTTTATCTGCGAAGTCCTACTATACCTTATATCACCTAGCTGGTCAGCTTTTAAGGTTCTAACGGAATATTACACGCTTCAATGTGCAAATGGAGTTTCAGTTCGAGTTTTAATTTTTTAACCTCAAACACACAAACTTACTCCATAACAGATGATGTTTGAATCACTGATGTTATTCCAGGCGAAAGGAACGGTTTCAACATCCCGGAGATGGTTGCTTGTCCAGACATTTCCAGCTGGTTGTCAGACGAACAGCTTTGCAGGCGGCTGCACGAGGAATACCCAAATGACCGGTACTTACCTGAACACGCGAGGAGGCTATTGTGCGACGCGTATATTTGCATGTACCAAAGTCCAGATGTCATGATGTACAGATAAGCGCTGGTTACTCTACATGTTTACGTATTTTTTCTCCGGAGTAGCATTTTGCCCACGAGCTCTTCAAGAATGCCACGAAGAAAACTACTTGAAGCCATCGATATATAGATATAGACACTGGCCAAGGAAGCAACGTCGCACATAATCACCAAAACTACCACAACTTTTAATCAGATGCCTTTTTGTTATAATTTTGCACTGTTGGCGATAGTGAGACTTTTTTATCTCTTTATGGAAAACAAATATGGAGTATGTCATTGAATTTAAGTGTTGTCTCCTTTTTTGAGCTGAAGTATCGTGGAAAATATACGTGTAGGTATGATCACGTTCTATCTTCATCGGCAACAGAAATTCAATCGTATCGGTTAATTTCTTTCGCGGGAGGTTTGTAATCGATTCTCTACTATTTTCACATTTCTACTTCAATTTTTTACAATACGCTAGTAAAAAAACGAGTATGATCTGCTTCATCCTTAAAAAACGGACTCAAGCAATCTATTTCAGTTGTTTTTTTTTATAATAGAACACGGGTATCATATACACTGAAAACCAAATTTCTCTGACGGCTTGAGTTCACTGTGTAGGCAAGAGACGTGTGTATAGACAGTTATTGCTGTTTCTCAAGAATAGTGACACTATTCAAAAAAAGCTTTTTTCAGGGGAGGCATTATTAATATTTGTTGCAGAACAATTTCGGGTATCTGAAGATAAAGTTAATAATTTGGATTTAGAAAAATTATCAATTAAATGACGTTCATTGGACTTTCCGATTTATTGAATAAAAGATCAGTATGTTTTCAAAAATATCCCATTTTATTACTTTGTTTTGCAACTTTACAGAAATTCCTGCCATTATTCCTTAAAAAAAGTAATGCATTTCTGAAAATATACATATGACAAATAATTCGTGGTTCCAGAACAAAGAGGGAAAAATTATTTTAGTATTACTACTAGTGATACACAACTAACATTTTAAAGGCTACGTGGAGGTAAGTACAGAAAAAAAAACAAGTGCAATACAAAAATGGGCCACAAATTATATTGTAAAAATCCGGTATGGGGGTATTATATTTTTTTTTACTAAATTAAGTAAGGCGCTTTTCTTTTTCTCGGAAATGGGAATATTACGTTTGTATGCTTTATCCAGAGTAACTCTAGGACCTGTTTTTTTGATTCGTTTTTCTTAGATCTTCTATGAGATTTTTTATCTACCTCAACTTTACGAAAATCAGTCTCACTGCATGAGTTTTTCTAGAAGAATTCTACCCTTATTATTTTAACATCGGATAGTTTAAATGACTCATTTTCCGGATTTTTATTTTGTTTGTTTGTTGAAGATTTATTTAGCATTAATGCTACAATGTCAATTTTGTATAATGATTCGGTTACATATTTTAAGTGATTTTTTAATTTTACCTTAAATATTTTTAAATTCGAACTGTGTTTAATATCATTATTCAATTTATTAAATTCAAATACTCCATTTTGAAATATAGATTTACAAGTTATGCTACTATTACAATTTTGCAGATGAAAATCTATACTGCCTCTAGTTTCGTAGTTATGATAATGACTATTTAATTTTGTGAAGTTCTCTAAATATGGTGGTAATAAATGATCCTTTAATTTGAATATGACAATGAGAACTAAATAATATATGAAATTTTTCACATCCAACCACTGCAGTTCAAACATAGACTTAATCCTAACATATTTGTTTTTATTTAAAATGATTCTCATAGCTTTATTTTGTAGAATTTGTAATTTTGAAAATATGTTGAAGGAAGATAGTCACAATGCACTTTATGTCACTACTCTTGATTAACATGGTCGGTTTTTAGCGTACATTGCTCTAATATGCCTTTATTCTTCAGAAAAATGTTAGTATACGTTTTGGAAGTCGAGCCGCAACCCCAAAGCATTCGATATTAAAGAACAACAACACTAGCGCCATCTCTGGCGAAAACTTTGAAACAATTGTAAATGTGTTATTCCTGATAAAATAGTCAACATTTGGAGTGGATCTGAAATTTTAACTAATTTTTCTCGTTTCTTGGATAGTGTCACTAAGAAACGATATGCTAGGTTATTTTAGGGCGAAATGAAAGGTCAGGGTCGCCACAAATTCCTGCAACATTGCATCATTGGTTAGCTTGGCAACGCCGCATCTCGTACATTCCAAGGCAAGGTTTCCACCTCCATGATCATAGATAAGACATTTTGGTCGGTACCCATCTAGCGCTCGTAGGGGAGTGCCATCTGCTTTGATATGATTTTCACCTGCTTGCACGCAGGCAGTGATAATTTATATTGCGTAATGGTGTTTGTTACATTTTGCGACAGCGCTGCGCTCGGAAAATGTAACAAATACCATTACGCCATATAACAATAACTCAGGATGTGTTGATTTTATCACCATTGGTGGAAATCGAAGATAATTCTAAAATAAATTAAAACACTAAATTGCATCATAATTGAAATAAATAAATAATTCTAATCGAAATGAAAACAAAATACATACCTCCTCCTTAGGTTTGACAGTAACCTAACCTATTGTAAATGCCGGCTTCTATCTCTTTCTAACATATGTTGATACACACTTCTCGCGCTTCTCTCTCGTATACGTTGAACTCAAGCCGTCAGGCAAATTTGGTTTTCCCTGTATACAGCGTGTTCGAATTTCATTGTTATGATCGCTAAAACATTGAATGCTTTCCGCCTATGCGACGGTCAATTCCATGATCATTAAAAACAGTCAGTGGAACGTAAACAGAGGAACTGTAAATGATAGAACAAACCTCTATAGTATCTAAAGTGACTAAATTTCATAGTTTATATTGATTCTATTATTTTAAAAATAATAATCTATTGAAGGGAGAGAAGAGAAACTTTATTGAAAAAAATATTGTCTATATCAAATCTAGAGAAAATTTATGGTCAAAAGGCTTAAAAAATGCAGGGTATTTTCTTACTATGGTAGGAAACTTCAGAGTGTAATTCATTAGGTCGTTTAAAGTTAAAAATCTCCTTTGAACATATGTCCGGAATTACTTCGTTTCTGATTTACATGACGAGACAGTTCAAAAAAAGTATTTTTAAAATATCATAAATATCCTTAGACTGATTTGTTTGAAATTCGGTGCAATTACATATGGTACTAGAAAAGTTTTGCAATACGGCTTTATTTATTGACCTCATTCAAAGTCATTTCCAGCACTTTCAATACACTACCGTTTTCCTTTTAGCAAAACAGTGCAAAGTCGCAGGGAGCGATATCTGGACTGTAAGGAGGATGCTCAATAAGTTTTAGTCCAGTACTCGGTGCAGGCCTTGGCACGGTGAGCTGGAGAGTTGTCATGGTGGAGGTACCAAGTGTCCAGTCTTGACTTTGGCCGCAGGTTTTTCATAGACTATGACTTTAGGCAGGCACTGTTCCATGTACCACTTAGATGTGACTGTCTTCTGTGTTCCAAAACGACACGCTCCACAATCCCGCCAGATTTGAAAAATACAGCTATCAACAGATCGGGATTTTCTGACAGCTACGGGTGTGTCTTCATTATCAAAGACCCAAACTTTGTTTTGAGCCTTGGTCGGCACACCGTAATAATGGAGTCACGATGCAATTCACATACCGAGATTGTCCCTTATCAAACATTTTCGGCACCAAGTCGTACGACGAGTCTTCTGCTCTTCCGCCAGACTATTCGGTACCCAGAGAGAACAAAGTTTCATTAAATGCAAATGGTCATGCAGAATTGAATGAATTGCTGGTGCATGAAGGTGTAAGGTCTACTCTGTCTGTTGTATGTCACTCTCCGGTCTTCGTCAAGCATTTTCCTCGCAGCAGTAATGTTTTCCTTTGTTACTGACGTTCGTGGCTTTTCTTCCCTCTCAGCGTCCTCCAGAGTGAAATTCTCTGTACCACCTGAATATAGTCGTACGATGAGGACAATCATTCTTTAATGCAAGCGTCATTTCTTCTAAGCACTGGTCTTTGCTTAAACCACGCGTAAATGTCTCAATATGCAGTAATAAGCAGTCTCCTGCGTCCGTTTGTTAAGTCATATTGCAAAACTTTTATAGTACCTTTGGTATTTGGAGAAGTAAGGTCTACATTATTTATTTTTAATTTTTGGTTTTTTATGATGTCCATGGATAGTTTTTAGAATGAGTTGAATATACAATACATAGAAGCGTTATTGCCAATCAGTTTCTGTTTCAAGCCCTCAGAGAAGGGTCATACTCGATCGGACTTTGTACAGCTCACACGATGCTAGATATGAAGAAAACACAAGAGACCAAGAAGTACAAAAACATCACTGTCATACTTTTTTCTCAATAATATCTATGTAAATAAACTTATTACTTCTAATCGCACCAAATTTCAGCCACATCGGTATATTTTTTTGACTGCAACGCCCTATATCTCAGAAATAAAGCAACTCCTGACATATAACTAAAAAAAAAAACAAATGTAACAAGTTTGTGATACATCGTTGAATTCGTATAAAAAGATGCTATCATATATGTTTTTTTTTTAGGACCATTAAGGTTGATGGTGGTTTCTTAAAAACGAAACGTCGGGCACAAAATTTAAAAACACCATAATGTAGTGCCTAAAAACTTCCAATGAAAAAGTTGAATTAGTTTTTTGATATACCTTAAAATAATGTCAGTAAAAATGAAAATGATTTGACCAGTTTCAAGCCAATTTCAGTGTTTCCCAAATATGTCAGTGAGCCGTGAAATTTTTACAAGTTTCTCAACGGCATGTAAATACGCCCCAAACAATGCAATTTTTTCTTATTGTAACCTGAGCTGCAGCATCTTAGGTATTGAGATCCCGATGCGTGGAATCCTTGTCCATAGGAACTTTTTTCTTAAAACGATCTAACGAGTCACCCTTTGAAGTTCCGTACAGTAGTTAGAAAACACCCTGTACATACAACATGTTATCATAGACTGAGTGCAAAAACTATATTCCTGTTGAACACTAATAGAAGATGAATGATTACACAATATTTAACTAACTAGACACCGCAATTGACGCTGTATTTATATGTAGATCAGTAATGAAATATTTCAATTGCATCTATACTTGCACCATCACCCATGTTATTTACATTGTAAAAAAGCTAATGTAGTGTATGGAGTCGCAGTAAGTTATTTTAGCTGTAAGTTCTGAAAAGAAAATGTATTTTTTATTCTTAATGACAGTCGACTGATGCAATATGTAATTAAAAATTATATTAAAAAGATATTAAACAGTTACAATTAATAGCATATATATTTTTATTCAATCCTTACATAGTGCCCTTTATGAGATTTTGTTCAACAACGAGATTTTGCCTGTGTTCTTGTGAAAGTTTCTGATAAAATGGCTCCTAGAAGATTCTTGAATCCATCATATATGAGGGCGGTTCAATAAGTACCCGTGTTAGAAATGAAGACACCATTTTTTTCAATATATATACAGGGTGTCCGCAAAGTTGGAGTTTTCCTTTACACGACGTGTAGATCTTGAAAACATAAGCAATTTTTCTTAGTACCATATACACCAATGTATAAGGGAACCGAGATAAAGGGCTCTGCAACATCAAAAATATCTGAATACCGTCCTGTAGCCGCGACATCACCGACTGGTACAAGGTCACTGGCTCAACCCGACGACAACTGGGTCGGGGTCAGTGTGTCAGGTCAGTATGCAACCTTCAACCGACGGTTACGGTCACGCGTGTAGAGGTAATCGCGTAGACGAGAATCCCTCAACAAGCACTAGAGACGTGGCTAGAGAAGTGCAAGTATCAAAAACTAAAGAGTGGCAAACGCTGCGTGAAGAGGGGCTGTATCCGTTTCACGTCCAAGCCCTTCAACCTGACGATTTTCCAGCAAGAGTGCGGTTTTGTGAGTGGTTGTTGCATCAACATGACAATAATCCGGACTTTTTGAAGTGCATATTGGTGACAGACGAATCTACGTTCACGCGTAATGGGGTGAATAACTTTCGCAACACTCATGTTTGGTCAATAGAAAATCCGCACGCTGTCCGTCGGGCACATTTTCAACAAACATTTTCGGTGAATGTTTGGGCTTGCATGGTGAAAGGTATGCTCATTGGACCATTTATTCTCCCAAATCGATTGGACGGGATGCAATACCTAGACTTTTTACGCAACATTTTGCCTTCCTTGTTAGAAGATGTGCCATGCTTTTATCATAAAATTTTAACTCTCAGGCAGCCTCATTACCTCTACGAGAAAATAACATTCAGAAAAGACATCCATTCCCTAAATATTCGTTCGAAACAAAACATTACCGCTCCATTCCACAGAACTAAATTTTATGAAAGATCATTTACGTATAATATATATAAGCTATACAATCCTATCCCCCAGTACCTCAAATCATATGAAATTCACAAGTTCAAAGCGGTTTTGCGTGATTCTTACCTTGAATGTAATAAGTAGAATTATTCTTACTGCGGAATTTCAACTTTATTTTGTTTGCATTTCATTATTTTATTTATATTTTTTTTTCATATGATGCATAAATGTACGTATATGTATTTGTATATCATTCTAGACTTTTACATTTACCACCACGTTTTCTCTTTGCTCTTTTTTTCAAACTTAATTGTCGCTCATATTGACGTTTGTTTATGCGGTATGTATGGGTATATATGTATATATATATATATTATTCTAGACTTTTTTTTTAAATTTATTACCACATGTCTCACTTTTCTATCTTATTTTTTTTTTTTAAACTTACATGCTGTTCATATTGATGTTTTTATATGGTTCATGGATGTATTTACTGACATAATGTTTCTTACAATTCCAAGGGATGAGTGGAAGAGCACTAGATAGTGAACTCCCCCTTGTGGTTTTCAGACAGTCGACATTTGTTTTATTTATTTTTTTTTCCTTTTTTTTGGTTAATACTCATGTTTCTCTTTCTGATTTTTTTTTGAAAACTGTTTGGAAATAAAGGCATTTATTATTATTATTATTATTATTATTATTATTAAGTGTAAGATAATCAATGTGGTTTCTGCGTCTGCTCGGTAGCGCATCAGCTGATTTCATTTTCTGTTGGAGCGGTATGATTTCGGGCATAGACGTACTTAGCCCTTCTCGTCAACTGGAGAGTGAGTACTTTTTCCTTTTTTTTTACTTGGTCGCCCTCGTTTCACTACACATTACCTTTGTTATTTCAAGGGTAGTTGTTTCTGTAAAGGAAAATTCCAACTTTGCGGACACCCTGTATATATATATATATATATATATATATATATATATGTATTTCAACAACCCCCTTTTAGAATCGTACACTTTTCCCAACGTTCCTGTCATTTTTTTTATCTCTCCAAAAAATAGGATTTGACGAACTATCCTCTGTCTCGGCAATGACTTTCTCGTTTGGGCAAAAAAAAATTCCAGATAGCCATTTCTTTATGTTATGGAACAAGAAAAAGTCGCAGGGGTCAGATCGGGTGAATACGGAGACAGCCCGGGGGGTGCGGCAGTCCTTCATAACGCAATTCATGCAGTTTGGCGGCGACAACTCTGGACGAATGTGCTGGTGCGTTATTGTGGTGAAACAGCACTTTCCTTTTCGCCCAATGCGACACTGCTTCGAAGTTAACAGCCGCATCCGCTTGTTGTCCATCGTGAGCAATCGCGTCACCCATTGGGCCGACATTTTTTTCATCTCCAACTTATCTTGTAAAATATTCATTGCCGTTCCGGTAGACACACCTACGCCCTATGCTACTTCGCGCACTTTCGTTCAACGATCAGCGAGAATCATGTAGGGGACTTTTGAATGATTTCCTCGCTAACCACGTCTGCCGAACGTCGGGGTCGCTCCTCATCAAAAACGTGTGTTCGACCACGTTTAATTGCGTTGAACTAATATCTAACTGTGGTCATAGATGGCAAACATAAACAGCATCCAACTTTGTTTTTATCTCTTCGCATTTTTTATAACATTCTAGCAAAATAGCAGAGGAGCAAAATCGTCCGATGAGCTGGCAACGCCGCAATCCAGGTGACAAATATGACAAGGTCAACTTCTTGTCAACTTTCAAAACTTATGTCTATCCCGGGGTAACAGGCTTCATCTTCATTTGCTTTTATTGCTTTTAAGTGTAGTGCAACGATTTCGAGAAAAAATTCGCTACGGATAGTCTAGCAGTGTATATCAATAGTTGTCTTGTGTGGCAATATAATCTTTACTTGGGCCAATTTCTCCGCAAAAGGGAAGTCCTCAAAAGAATATTGTTTACACAAGGGAAAAAAGTACTAGATTTTAGCTAAAATGTAGTATTTGTCCCGTGTATAATACACAATTTTTTTTCTGTGACGGGAAAAACGACGATTTAATATTGAAAAATCATATTACAATATTTAAGTTAGAAAATTTTCGATGTGAAATTTGAAATTAGTAGGCTATGTTGTACTTCTTTTATACAATATCTGAAAAAAAGTACTCATTTTTTTACCGAGGAAAAACCTGTCAACAGAGATAAAATGTCAAACGTTTTTCCCGTCACAGAAAAATAGAACGTTTCATTTCAAATACGGCACTGCTTATAGAAGATCTGCAGAATCGTTTTACCTATGACTGCCGCTGTATGTTCACAGCGGTAGTTGCGTGCAGCGTGAACATTTTGTTCTCTGTGAACACTTGCGTGTTTTTTGAGGTTATGTATGGTGTCAACTTTGACGTTCCAATTTCATGTTTTCAATCAAAATTATCGGCTAATGGTAAATTTGATCCTGCCTATAGATAAAAATAGTGTACATTTGATCATTGATTACGTGTAATGAACTGCTGTTGGGGATAGCATAAGCAGAACAGTTTAGAAATGGATTGTTTACCCGGTATAGTAGTGGCGAGTTGCAGCAGTACAAAACCCAGATCTCTCATCAAGCTAATAACAAAAAATAAAGAGGTACTCGATGATCCAAAAATACCAGGCCTTATACATCAAACATGGGAAATAAGTAACAAGTATTATACAGCAAAAGTGAAATTTCTTGGTTTGGAGATGCCCGTAAGCCAAACCAATGATTTAGACACCAATGTACAAGCTTTAATCCTTCATATGGATCCAAACAAGGAATCCGGTTTGGTAGATTTAGAAAAATGGATGTACCCAAATCAAAATCATTGCTTTGAAGTTAAACTGCTTCTCTCAAATTACTGTACAGAAGAAACAAAAATCACAAAGTATCAGGCACTACAATGGTGCTTGAAACATGATTTTGAGTTCATCGAGTTGTATCCTACCAAAAGTAAAGAAGAACCAGAGGAAGACAGTATTATAAAAGAGAAAACAGGAGTAGAGCGAATAATTGAAGCATTGCAGTGTTATACATGGCCAAACCTTGTACTGAAAGATAAGGACAAACCAAAGGGTGATGTGAGCTCCAGGAGTTCAAATAATCCTGAAGAATGTGATGATGGCGCTGATGATTTCACAGAATTGTTCGCTCAACTGCATATGATGAAAGACAGTTTACAGAATATGCCTGTAAATCAAAGGAAACAATGTGCGGAACAGATGGTCACAGCTTTCTGGAAAGCTATTGGAGGTGAAGAAGAAGAACTATTAGAATAGATTTGATTGTAGTGTATTTTCAATGTTTGTTACATGTTGAAGAGGAACATGTATGTGATCATATTTACTGATTTGTAACTGCCCCATTACCTTTTCTTCTTCTACTGAATTTGTTTTGAACATAGATACACCATTTTTTAAATTATTATGGATTGGTGAAAGAGGATAAGGGAAATTTTTATCCATAGTATTAAATATTTTTTTTGCTGTTATCCTAAATATCATTTTGCACAATAAACCAGTGCAGTATATTCTTTGTTTCACGTTTTTTGAGGACTGATGTTTCTATTTAGAGTATAATTTGTCTTTGAAAAAATTGTGCCCTTGGCACTAGTACAATTTTGAGTTAAATTTTAAATTAGGTAAATAAATATTATTGTAACAAGCAAAAACTGCACTATTCTTTGGATGAAAAAGTATTAAAGGTAGAATAGTAAAATCTATTTGATAATTCATTTATTTTGCCATCTGCATGTTTATAATTTTATTTGTTATCTGTACTCAAGCTGAATTTGTACACTAGGAAAATGATACTCCTACTATTTACTTTCATATTGGAATGACTGCTAGAGACCTACAAATATGTATAGTTTGTTTAGATAGAAAACTAAATTATTTATGTATACATGGAAAAATAAATATATTCACTTCTATCATTTGTTAAATAATGTTTCCTTCCTCGTTCTCTGTAACATTTTTTTTTAAACATTAAGCTGTTTCATACTTGTCTCTTATCAACTACTGATTGTTCATCACTGCATAATATTCAAGTTGTTCTGACTTGTGTAGTTCATATATGCTATAGAATGATTAACTAATTGTACTTGTAAGATTGACATAATAAAATACTGTTCCCGACTTTTTTGGGACCTAGAGCGGTACACTAACCTGAGCAATCACTAACTTCAAATTGAGCTTGACAATTTATTTATGTCCAGTAAAAGGTGACTCTATTTTTTTGCCTACCTTGATAGATGCAAACAGATAAAACTTTTTATGTTTCACCTCAGGCTTAATGTCCCCTTTGGCGTGCTGGAGAATACATAGGATTTCGCATCTTTAGTTCAAATTTCAGGCCATGGACGGCTGTTTTATGCCCTAGATACGTAAATAACTATTTTTGTACCAGTACCTGTGTGCAAGTACAAAACCTGACAAACATACACCGTGCAAGTGTGCAACATGTTCAATGCAATGTGTGTTGCCTAAACTAAACAGGTGTAAAAAGTTGGGTTAGGGTTATCAATTTCTTTAATTTTAGATAAATCTCTGGTTTATGATCTATTTATAAGGAATAATCAAGTAATGGACTCAAATGATGACAAAGTGGACCCTGATTATGTTACAAACAATGCCGCTCTACGAAATTTGGAAAAAAGAGATGGTATAAAATCAATACCACCAGTCCAAACAGTGATAATAATCTGTTTTTATTTTAGAAAATACAGTATCAGCAGAGACTATACATAGGATAATATCAGAAGAATTTACTAAGGAACTTACCCTAAGAGAAAAACAATTAGAAGAAATTGAGGAACAAATAACAAAAGCACAAAAATTGTTACACTTGGTTCGTTATGTTATCATAACTTCTTATTATGATAAAAAGAGCTTAGAGCATACTACTACAGCAGAAGAACAGATGAGTACAGTATTTGATAGTCAAAATAGGATCCACCCTGCTGTGAAGAAACTTATAGGGAAAAATCCTACTTTAGACGTGTTCAACATTCATGGTAAAAGGAAAGCAGCAAAGAGCTCTCTTTTTGGTGAACCGTCCACTTCACAAGTTGTTGAAACTAAAAAGCCAAAGCTTGAAGTAAAAGGCATATCGAAAACATCTGTTGATAGTAATCAAAATTGTCTACAAAGCAGGAAAAAGACAAGACATAGGATAGTTGTAGGCAATATTTCAAAATATATGTCTTCAGTGGAAGATGACAATATGACGCACAAGTGGATGGTATATGTAAGAGGAGATAAAAGTAAACCAGATATTTCAGATATTGTTGAAAAGGTTGTATTTTATTTACATCCGTCTTACAAGCCAAATGATGTTGTTGAAGTAAAGTAAGTACACCTCTAATATAATTACAGATATTGGTGTAGTTCCATCTAAGAAGGCCTATATTAACTTTGCTGATGATCAAAACACTTTGATTTAAATGTGTCCTTTACTAGATAATAAAATAAACTCAGTGAGAAATATATAATGTTCATAATCGGGTACTTAGTTGTTTGTATTTATAAATATTTTGCATGTAATTTTTTGGACACATGTTCACTTGATTTCAAAATATGTTTCAGTTTTATTCGCTTATTTTATTATGACATTTATTTGCATCCAATATAGAAACATTGTAACTGTCTGGCCGTTACAGGATGTAGATACTGAATGTGAATGGTTAAACAGCAATGGTTTATATACAGTTGCGGTTCCAGGGGGGTGTCTTGGTGTTAAATTGAATTTGTTTTCCTATTCGCAGATGACCTTTTTCTTTAGCAGGCAATTTCAAATACACTATATGGACCCCTCCAAAAAAATTCTAAATCTGCCCCTGTTTATGTATCATGATTTACAATATGCTTTCCTCGTTTTTCCTATACTTGGGGCAAAACATTTTTGGCACAAAAAAATCCCCATTAGAGGGTGTTGGCAATCATAAATACTGCATACATATACGTTCGCTTCTTTTAACTTCAAGTTCATGATTTATATGATGAAAATGTTGAGAAGGTTCAACATTAACAATTATGCACTTATGTATGTACCTACTTATTTTATACACTAAAAACAATGCAGGGGAAGCGGAGTAAGGGATTTGCGTACATAATTATAGACAACACAACTCTACGTCCCTCGTGTGCCTAACTGCCTGAAAGTACAGGGTGTCCGCAAAGTTGGGGTTTTCCTTTTCAGAAACAACTACCCTTGAAATAACAAAGGTAATGTGTAGTGAAACGAGGGCGACCAAGTAAAAAAAAATAAAGGAAAAAGTACTCACTCTCCAGTTGACGACAAGGGCTAAGTACGTCTCTGCCCGAAATCATACCGCTCCAACAGAAAATAAAATCAGCAGATGCGCTACCGAGCAGACGCCGGCGGTGGTGCAGACCACGAACAGAGGTAACAAATATGACGGCGTTGCCGCGTTTTCAGTTTTCAGGTAAACGTACTTTATAGGTATTGTTCGAAGTTATCGCCGTTTGATTCAAAAACACAGGTGCGTGCACGACGTAGCCAAGCATCGGTGCAGGCTTTGAGAATGGAGTCCCTCCCCCGAATGAAAGCACCAGCTTGTTCAATTCTGAGACGAAGTTCTTCAACCGTATGCACTTCAGTTTTGTACAATAAGCGTTTTATTTCTCCCCAAAGAAAAAAATCACATGGTGTTAAGTCAGGAGATCGCGGAGGCCACGCTACGGGTCCATTACGTCCGATCCACCTATTCGGAAATAATTAATTCAAAAACTCACGCACTTCGCTTTAAAATGGGGCGGTGCACCATCGTGCAGAAACCACATTGATTGTCTTACACTTAATGGCACATCTTCTAACAAGGAAGGCAAAATGTTGCGTAAAAAGTCTAGGTATTGCATCCCGTCCAATCGATTTGGGAGAATAAATGGTCCAATGAGCATACCGTTCACCATGCCAGCCCAAACATTTACCGAAAATGTTTGTTGAAAATGTGCCCGACGGACAGCGTGCGGATTTTCTACTGACCAAACATGAGTGTTGCGAAAGTTATTCACCCCATTACGCATGAACGTAGATTCGTCTGTCACCAATATGCACTTCAAAAATTCCGGATTATTGTCATGTTGATGCAACAACCACTCACAAAACCGCACTCTTGCTGGAAAATCGTCAGGTTGAAGGGCTTGTACACGTTGGACGTGAAACGGATACAGCCCCTCTTCACGCAGCGTTTGCCACACTTAAGTTTTTGATACTTGCACTTCTCTAGCCACGTCTCTAGTGCTTGTTGTTTTTTGATTATACGGGTTCGTTTACCTCTACACGAGTGACCGCAACCGTCGGTTGAAGGTTGCATACTGACCCCGACCCAGTTCTGTCATCGGGTTGAGCCAGTGACCTTGTACCACTCGGTGATGTCGCGGGTCGCGGCTACAGGACGGTATTCAGATATTTTTGATGTTGCAGAGCCCTTTATCTCGGTTCCCTTAAGACATTGGTGAATATGGTACTAAGAAAAATTGCTTATGTTTTCAAGATCTACACGTCGTGTAAAGGAAAACCCCAACTTTGCGGACACCCTGTATATTCATATGTATGATCAGTGTTGCCAGACGATTATTTTTTTCTCCCTAGATATTTAGCCAAAATTTTTCTAGATTTCCCTAACAACTTAAAAAAACATTTTTATTTTAGAATTCCTTTTATATATTTAATATTCATCTTAATATTGTTTGTAATTTGGGGTAGGGGTATTGATAAATAAATGCAAACAACTTTTTTACGTATAGTTAGTTTAATAAACGTAACAGGTATTTCTTAAAATATATAATATAAACTAAAATACATGATAACTTAAGTATGCATATTATGAAAAATATAAAAAAAAATATTCTATATAAATAGCGAACGGACGAACTTAGCATAACATAAAATATTTTGTTTTTAAGAAAACAATAAAGCAAAATAATCAAAAGTAGATATTATAATTTAAATTTGAGTTTTATTGTACATTGACGAATCCATTCTTCTAAACAAATTATTAGGGATGCTAAAGATGTAGCAACTGTCATTTTTCAATAAAACTTTGGTATGCGAAATTCCACTTAAAATTTCAGTCGATAATTTATTTCTTATTTTAGTTTTCTTAGATTTATTTGTGAAAATATCCTTTCGACATTTGCACTTGAATGTGGCAAACTAAACAGATTAAACTCAAAATTAGTTAAGGTTGGAAACATAAGAGAATCATCACCAGATTTTAATGTTGAAATTTTTCCCAAAATTCTTGAACGCTTGAATTTGTATATTCACTTAAATCAAGATTTCTTAGACAACGCCATCCTTTGTCTATTTCATTTACGTAATCAGTTGTCAAGTTTGGAAAATGGAAAACTAAAGGCCCTAATGATGCTTGTTTTTTGCAATTACTTCATCTGGTGATATAAGTGACATATGTTTTTTAGGGTAGCGACAGTTTTGCTTTTATCATCAAATCTTTTAAAAATATGAAAACAACTTTCTATTAATAAATCACCGACGGGGAATCACCGGTGAGGAATCACCGAATTCCCCGAATGAGTTATGATTTCCGACCGGTTTGTTGATACAATTTGGTGTTCGTAAATGTTAATATATTTTGAGTCATATTTTATAGGTACAATCTGGAGGTATTTTAAAAGGAATATATTTGTTTCTTAGTTTATTCTCTATCTCTCGTTTATTTTTTGTCACTGTTGCTTAAAATTGTCTTACAGAGTTTAGAATTCCCTAGATTTTGTACAAATTTAAAAAAAAATCCCTTTTTCCCTAAGCTTGCTCGTAATTCCCTAGATATAGGGAAATTTCCCTAGGTCTGGTAACGCTGTGTATGATTGGTATGGGTGTGTGGGGCATATAACTACTTAGACTACATGGAATTCATTTTTTACTTTTATTGTTGGTTCCGGCTCTTTTTCGGTAAAAAATGTGGAAATTACTGAATTGTTTTAAAAAATGTGGGATATGAGGGTGTTTCCGGTATTTTGATATATAAGGTCTCATTTCAGTAGAAATCCTAGAAATACCGAAAAATTTGTAGAATGGGCAACGCTGACTCAAAGTGTTCGCGTCATTCATCATCGGAATTCCAAAATTGACATAGTATTTCATATCATTCATTTCGTATATTTTTTTATATTCCTATACAGTTTGTTGTTACAATAATCTGAACAGTCCTTTAACATGCTGAGATTGCACGGATCCATCGTTCCAATTTTAAGATAGTACCGCGCTAAGAGCCCCCGCAGACTGCAGATTTTCTTTCGGCCCACAGTCTGCGGGAACCCTAAACCAGCAAAGGTCACGACCAACTGGGGTAGGCATTCCCACACCCAAAAGGACGTCCAGCCCCGCAAAGCGACAAGCGAGCATGAGGTTATCTGTCGTTTTGAATGTACCAGACACGTCACCTTCGTCCATGGTTCCGGTTAAGTATACTAAGTGACATTTAAATCCGAACACCCAGTTCAAATGCTTTTATTTTAATAAAAGTTGGTGAATGTATTTATCTTATTGTAAATAACAAGTGAAACATTTTTCAGTCTTATCAGTTGGATATTCCGGTTTTTATACTGGTGTTTTTTAATTCACTAACGCTCTAAAAATGAATATTTTAGCCGCAGTAAAGAATCAACGTTGGCGGATTTTGGTCCTTGACATCCTTTATGATCGGTTACGATGCCTAGAGTACGGAGGCCTGTACGATTTCGTCAACTTAGTATGTTTGATAGGGGCCGTATAGTGGGACTTCGGGAAGCTGGACTTTCTTTTCGGGCAATTGCAGTTAGAGTGCAAAGAAGTGTAGACACTGTGGTTAGGTGTTGTCAGGCATGGCTTCGAGAAGGCCGTACGCAAAGAGCAAGGGGCACTGGACGCCGCCGTAGAACAACAGACCGTGAAGATCGCCGCCTAAGATTATTGGCCTTAAGGGACCGTTTCTCCACTACCAGGTCCATTGCAAATAAATGGTTTGCAGAACACGGAAGACCTATTGGCGTGCGAAGTGTTTACCGACGAATGAGAAGTTTTGGCTTGTTTTCATACCGGCCACACTGGGTCCTCCCTTTAACTCGAGAACACCGACGTAATCGCCTTGAGTGGTGCAGACAACGGTCACTCCGGGATCAGGAATGGAACAGTATTGTCTTTAGTGACGAGTCTCGATTTTGTTTAGGCATGCACGATGGTCGTGCCACGGTTAGAAGGTGACGTGGTGAAAGGAGGAATCCACAGTTTTTTGTTGAAAGACATGTTCATCACACTGTTGGAGTTATGGTTTGGGGTGCTATAGCTTATGGTTCCAGGTCACCTTTAATCTTGTAACATGAACGCGCAGCGTTATATCCACGAAGTTCTAGAACCCCATCTTTTACCCTATCTTGACACCCTGGCAGATCCAACTTTCCAACAAGATAATGCCCGAACACATGTTGCAAGAGTCACAATAGACTTCTTTCAACATAATGATGTCACATTGTTACCATGGCCACCAAGATCTCCCGACTTATCCCCAATTGAGCACGTGTGGGATATGATGGGTAGGAGATTGCTCAATTTGCAACGTCCTCCTCAGACTCTAGAAGCACTTCGAGAGGAGTTGGTGGTTGCCTGGAATGAGATACCACAGGAGGACATTGACCACCTGATCAGAAGCATGCCTAGGCGGGTTGAAGAATGCGTAGCACATCAGGGTGCAACAACACATTATTAAAGGTCAAAGAGCTTTAAAGCAGTGCAATCATTTTGAAATTTTTATTATTTACTTATTATGCTTCATTAAGTACTTATACAAAGTTTTATTAAAATAAAACCATTTAAACTGGGTGTTCGGATTTATATGTCACTTAGTATATTATGCAATCTTCGACTACAAATTCTTCATGTGCATTGTTTATGGATCTGAAATGTCTCTAACTGACAGTCTCGGGACCCTTTCGCGATCTGTCTTTCTTCTACCGCTACGCCAACGAGCTTTGCTTCTCAGAGCTCTCCTCTATGATGCCGCCGCGCTATGTGCCTACTAGATAGACCCGCCTAACTTCGGCATCCAATCCTAACCGTGTCGAACTTGTACATCCAGATCTGGCCGATACGACCGCTCGTTGGTCCCTAGGGTATCGAGATTGTGGAACAATCTACCTGAGGAAGCTTTTCCCAGTTCTAATAATAATCTTAGGAAGCTCAAAAATCTGATTAACGAAGCTTCTCTAAACTCCTCATAGCAGCCGCGGTGCACTGGTATTTACGCTCTGCCTGCGCGACAGCTTCCTTATAAAAAAATCTATAAATGATTTACCCATTATTAACAAATATATCATGTTCATTAAAAAGTAGTTAAGCGATATGACAACGATTATGGCAAAACATGTGGACGTTCATTCTGTGTAGTTAGATCGTGAAAACAAACCAACAATAAGAATGAGCTTCCAAGGTTATACGAGTACATAATATGCATGTATCATGCAACGAACTGACATGTGGGTATCACAAACTTTTTGTTGCATGGGTATGACATGAAATAACCCTTAATACTAATTGAAAGCATATCTATTAAAATAGTAGGAACGTATACAGGTAGCGTCAACTAAACTATTTCCCTCGTTTCTTTTACCGAAATTTTATGGAGTTTTATATCCTTTAAGATTCTATTAATGAATAACAGCTGGCAGGGGAGGGACAGAAATATCTTCAGCCCTGCATGATTTTTTGAAAAAGACCAATTTTGCCCCGGATTTAGACACTCTTCGGCTCTTCTCTGATGGATGCGGGGGGCAAAATAAAAATAGCTTTACCATCCACATGCTAATGTTATGGTTATTCAGCTTTGCTCCAGAAACGATTAAAAAAATAGAAGTTATCTTCCCAGTGCGAGGATACTCTTATCTTCCGGCAGATAGAATTTTTGGGAGGGTGGAGCAGATTTTAAGATGACACGCGGTCATAAAAATACCTGAAAAATATTGGGAACTGTACAAACAAGAAGGTGAAATCAGAAAACTTGGAACTGATTGGTCATTGGTGAATATAAAACAAGCTTCAATCTGTTTGAAAAAAAGTGCTAGGAATTAGCTGAAGTAAAAGAATATTCATCAGACGAGAGAAGCCCTCAGGCAAAAAAATTTCAAACTTTGTTGAAATCTAAAAAGCGGTTAGATCAAATCGAAATTCCCGAAGTACGACTTGGACATGAAATAAAGCTGAAAAAATTTGATAGTCTGAAACACCTACTTGTTACATTGTCTGGTGACGAATGGTATGAAACAGACCCGGAGCTGAAATGGATGGCTGAAATGTTTGAGAAAACTGTGGCAAACTGTAATGATGAAGATGAAGAGCACGAAAATGACGAAGAAGCTTGTGGATCGATTAGTACTAATATTATTATAATACTTACAAATTTTGTTTTGTTTTTTAATAAAACACGATTTTTTATTTTTGGTAACTTGACAATGACATTCAAATTGCATTTTGTCCACTAGAGACAATCAAACCGCATTTTGTCCAATATTTTTTTTATTTTTTTCAAGTTGTTTTTCGACTTTTTTGCACCAAAACTTGTAATGGAGGTCCATACATCTGATAACATTATATTATCCCAAAAGTTTTTTTTCTCTTATGGCTAGTTTTTCTGTACTAGTTTTTTGCTCCTCCTGAAAATTGGTAAAAATGGACAAAATGCGATTTGCAATTAAAATTTTGTAAATTCAAAATGGCAAATTTGAATCAAGAATTCCACCTTTGAAATTTATATTTCACAGGCTACAGCTTAAACAGCTTGATGGATTTTGGCATACTAGGTGCCCCTAGATTTGTATTGACAGTGCGAGCAATACTGGGTACATTAAAATTTTATAAATCCAAAATGGCGGATTTTAATCAAAATTTTCTGTTTCACGAGCTGCAGCCCAAATTGCTTGACTAATTTAGACATTAGAAAGGTCGTCAGATTCGTCTTGAAAGCACAATTAAAACTGCATTAGTTATCGTAGTCGAATATTTAATTTGTTTTTAAATGTAGATACTGACTAATAAAATCATTTTTTTTCCAGTGAATCTCCATTCCACCTGTCGCGAAGAGGATGGGGCGAATTTCCACTTAGGGTCCAAATATTTTTCAAAAGTTCTTTAAATAAGCCTGTCGATATTGTACATAATTTGAAACTAGATAAATCCTGCACAGGTCGCCAAGTATTAGGTGCGTGTAGTTGGAAGTGATGTATACTAAGTTACATATAAATCCGAACACCCAGTTTAAATGGTTTTATTTTAATAAAAGTTGGCGAATGTATTTATCCTACTGTAAATAACAAGTGAAAAAATTTTCAGCCTTATCAGTTGGACATTCCGGTTTTTATACTGCTTTTTTTTAATTCACTGACGCTCTAAAAATGAATATTTCAGCCGCAGTAAAGAATCAACGTTGGCGGATTTTGGTTCTTGACATCCTTTACGATCGGTTACGATGCCTAGAGTACGGAGACCTGTACGATTTCGTCAACTTAGTGAGTTTGATAGGGGCCGTATAGTGGGACTTCGGGAAGCTGGACTTTCTTTTCGGGAAATTGCAGTTAGAGTGCAAAGAAGTAGGACACTGTGGTTAGGTGTTGTCAGGCATGGCTTCGAGAAGGCTGTACGCAAAGAGCAAGGGGCACTGGACGCTGCCGTAGAACAACAGACCGTGAAGATCGCCGCCTAAGATTATTGGCCTGAAGGGACCGTTTCTCCACTACCAGGTCCATTGCAGATGAATGGTTTGCAGAACACGGAAGACCTATTGGCATGCGAAGTGTTTACCGACGAATGAGAAGTTTTGGCTTGTTTTCATACCGGCCACACTGGGTCCTCCCTTTAACTCGAGAACACCGACGTAATCGCCTTGAGTGGTGCAGACAACGGTCACTCTGGGATCAGGAATGGAACAGTATTGTCTTTAGTGACGAGTCTCGATTTTGTTTAGGCATGCACGATGGTCGTGCCAGGGTTAGAAGGCGACGTGGTGAAAGGAGGAATCCACAGTTTTTTGTTGAAAGACATGTTCATCACACTGTTGGAGTTATGGTTTGGGGTCCTATAGCTTATGGTTCCAGGTCACCTTTAATCTTCATCAGAGGTAACATGAACGCGCAGCGTTATATCCACGAAGTTCTAGAACCCCATCTTTTACCCTATCTTGACACCCTGGCAGATCCAACTTTCCAACAAGATAATGCCCGACCACATGTTGCAAGAGTCACAATAGACTTCTTTCAACATAATGATGTCACATTGTTACCATGGCCACCAAGATCTCCCGACTTATCCCCAATTGAGCACGTGTGGGATATGATGGGTAGGAGATTGCTCAATTTGCAACGACCTCCTCAGACTCTAGAAGCACTTCGCGCCTAGGCGCGTTGGAGAATGCGTAGCACATCAGGGTGCATCCACATATTATTAAAGGTCAAAGGGCTTTAAAGCGGTGCAATCATTTTGAAATTTTTATCATTTACTTATTATGCTTCATTAAGTACTTATACAAAATTTTATTAAAATAAAACCATTTAAACTGGGTGTTCGGATTTATATGTCACTATATTTGCCGGAATGCAGTATTCAAAAATTTATATTTTAGGTAATGAAACTTTGGTAGACGTATACTTGCGCGATTCTACACCAGCAAATACGATAACAATAAAAAAAGAACCATCCGATTTAGGTGTTAGCGAAGAATCTCTTGATTGGCAAGAGATCGCAGAATCACAAAGTAGCTCTAGCACTTCAAATATTGAACTCAAAGAAGAGCCTCCTCATTCAGAAGTTGGTATATTCGACTTGGATCTACTCCTACCAGGGTCTTCAAGTCTTGAAACAACATATATACCCTTAGAAGACCTAGATAGTACCAATGAACACAGTTATTGCAATAATGGGTTACTGGATAGTAGCATAAGTCAAGACCATTCATATAGTTTACCATCTGGCAGTGAAGATGATTCCAAGATAGTAAAAAAAGAAATCAATATCACCGATATTTTGGAACAAGGGAACAATAGGTTGATATTTGGTTTGGGTGATAATTATTTAGACGACAATAAGAGGAAAAAAGTAGTCATCCCAAAAAAGGTGAGTTGTCGAAATATCCAAAGGTTTGTTTTTAGTTCCTGGTTCATGATTTCCAAACAGTTTAATACCAACATTTCTCCGCGAATCTCATAAACAGAAACCATATATTGAATACTGTAGTTCTATCAAAGCTCTATAACGTATACTTGACTTGAAAAGTTGTTCAATATAACAAGGTTGGCACCATCGAATTTGAGGTCCAACTTGGCAAAAATTAGAACAAGTTCTAATTTCGTGAAGAAATCCACGGAGAACTTCATGGATTTATTTGACGTCAAACTTGTTTTACACTTTTGAAATTTGGCCATAAACTCAATTCATGATGATATCCGTCAATGTTAAACGGGCATAAGGAAGATAACCACAAGAGCGATGACGAAAGTTCTGCCTATACAGGGTGTCCCAACAGTCATGGAGCAAACAAATGGGGGTATAGTGAGGACCATTTGCAATCAGAAAAACCATATATGACTTTATCCGATCCGTTTTTGAGTATATCGAGAAGTTTTTCATTACTATAGACACTTTCTCCGCCTACTAATTGTTTGTACATGACTCGTTGAATATACTGTAATCTTGTTCACAACAGACAAAATTGCAGATTAGCCGATTGCTGTACCTACCTTAACTGGACTAAATTTTCACTCATTGTTTTTTTTCTAGCGAAACATCATTCAGAAACATATCCTGTAAATCTGGTTGGAAAATGACAAAAGACAACTTCAGAAAAAAATAGTACAGTCTCAAAAGTAGCGATTTTCCATAAAATTTTAAAGATAGCGATAACTCAAAAACCGTGCACAAACGGAGGACATATATGGTTTTTCTGATTGTAAATTGCCCCCCTATCATCCCATTTCGTTTGCTCCATGATTTTTGGGACAAACTGTATAAAGTAGAACCAGAGATCTCACTACGTTATCCTTCTAAAACTGAGTAAATCACAACTCAATTTGGAGTGTGTAGGACAAAAATAGAAAAACGAAGGATTTGGTAAAAGTCCGTATTTTAGACTTAGATTACGTTTCTTCTTTGATAGTGAAGAAGTGATAGAAATTGATAAGTGAAGATAAGTGAAATGTCTGATTTCATTATCTTTGAACCCCTTAATTTGCACGCCGATTGACGCGAACTGAATCGCAGCGACATTTGTCATTTGCACGCGTCAAATGTCATACGTCGCTTGTCTTTGTGTGGGCACTCATTTGCTTGTGTGCTTGCTCTCAGTATCCTCAGTGGGTGTGAATCTTATTTTTCGACTACGTCCTCAGGTGACACTTGAAATGAAAAATGTCGAAAAGCGACGTTTCGATTTTAATAAATGTTAATACCTCCAACAAGTTTGTTGGCTACGCCCAAAAACGATTAGAACCCAACCAATGAAGAATGAAGTTTGGGAACGTTTTGATAATTTTCATTCTTCAACTTTCTGTCCTCCGCAACGGGGTCGTGTTTACTCACAAAATGCTTTCGTCCTTGGTATGGTACAAAAACCTACACCATTTTCGGTAACTGTCTGGAACACTAGGATTGCATGAAACCCACGCACTTTTATACGTTTTCTCAGAAAAAATCAAATTTAATGTGACATGTCATCAACTGTTAAACTGGAGATTTAAGTCTGATCGACCTGTAGTATTCTGACTACTGACTACGTAAATTCGGTTACAAACAAATCGTATACTTATTTCTTCTATCTAGTCCGAATTCGTTGGTATCTCTAACCATTAATTTAACATCTGTGGTTTAATTTATCAGCCAGAAAAGGCTGGCTGGATAGAATTGACTCCTAACTGAATTTCAACCGTTGAAATTAATTTCGATCTCAGCTTGCTGTCGCACATATGATCTGCTATGATACTTGTGTACTACCATGTTAATTTCAATATAGGCACGGGTATTATGTAAAAATCATATAAAACGTCAAAAAAACCTATAAAATTTCGTCTTGGGTGCAAACAGTCATTCCACGTTTGCTCACTAGGATCGTTGTGAGCGTCCATCTATGGAGCAATAGCTCAACTACACGCAGTGTTGGTTGTATATGTTTTGTAAACCCGAGCAGTCTATAAGTTTTCATCTCTGAGAGGAAAGTTGGTTGAATAGCAAGATCCCATCAGGATGATTGTGTGTATTGGTCTTCATGTGTATAAAATCAGTGATATTTACTGTGTGAGGAAATCATTACTGAATATGCTGCCAATGTGTGCCCGACGGGAAATTTATATGTTGTCCTTTCTGAAGACAAGTTATGTTCAAGTTATAAATTACGATTTTTTTACATTTTTCTGTTATCAATAACTTTGAAGAGAATTACGGGAAATCATCACCGCGTCCGCGTTGTATGTAATTACTGTTAGTGTGTATATGACTTGTAATTCGACAGTGTACAGTGAAAATACTTTTCCGCAAATTTGCATATGTAATTTCCAAGATGGTTAAGGAAAAGTGGATGCGCTACTAATTTTTAGCTTTGAGCAGCAAATATTATTAACACACAAATCCTCTGTTTGCACCTATGCATTGCCGTTACCTCCAGTAATGCCATCTCTGAACATTGGTAACTGAAGCGTCGTGACGTTTAGGCAACACGTACAACTACAAAACGAGTTCACAACGTGTCCATCAGCTAGTGTCAAGTTAACATCCTGTAGAAAAACTTACGGCACGGGTATTAGTTATCTTGAAAGTGACTTTTTGACATTTCGTAGGTTTTTCTACAATGTTAACTTAGCACAAGCTGTTGTGAACTCGTCTTGTAGCTGTACGCTTTGCCTAAACGTCAGGGAACAGCGTCATAACGAGCAAACGTGGAATGAACTATTTACACACACAAAACTACCTAGTCTGCAAGCCGACAGTTTGTCTTTTTTACGTTTGTTACATAATAACCCTGCCGGTGTCAAAAGTATCGTGGTAAATCATAAGAATAACGGCAAGGCGACGCGAAATTAATTTTACTGATAGGAATTATTAGAATCAGGTCGCAAATTCATACTTCGCGATCTAATCGAAACAGACATTCAACAACATTTCTGTCTTCGACTAAAATTTCCCGTCATCTCTGTACTAGTCAGTCGTTGCTCGGTTCAAATTTCAGTCGACTCCTGCTTCGACAACATCAACGCCTCTCGCCCAGTCTATCAAAATTCTACCAGCGACGTACTCGAAACTGGTCAACTTGAACAATGGTCACTCCGTCCAAGTGTGGGTGTTGCCCCAAGGTATCCCGAACCAACAGAAACCTACTCACTCGAAACAGGTCGAACTACGCACTGTACAGCAGGATACTCCGATGATCGACTACGAAAAGTACAAAGTAACGCTGCCGAAGAACCGGTTCAAGAACCTTGGAGAGGCGCTGATGTATCTGATGAGGAGGTTGCCGTTGTGGGACGAGAGGAGGAAAGATCTGAATTTTAGGTGCACGTTCCCCTACGTGGCTGGTAACAGGCAGGAGTTCGAGAGGTGGAATGTCGGCAAGAGGGCTAATTCGGAGGTAAGGAATGAAATATCACATGATTAACTACGACCTTGGTCTTGAGTTATAGCGTTTTTCAATAAACATTTAGGCGTTTTTCTGGGTTCTTTTGGGTGTGAATTAAAACACTCACAAAACACACAAAAAGAAATGCACTAATTTATTTAAAACACAACACAACTAACTTTAACTTAACTCGATAGAGCATTTATGATCACCACTATTTATGTCTGACTACTTATTTACGAATTATTAAACGTTATGGTAGTCATTAATGAAATGGGTAATAGGGGGAGTCAAAACAAGTAAAAAAGTTCATATGACCCATGGTCCAAAAGTCAATAGATTTTTGACTAAATGGCTTTATAGCTTACAACTTTTAAGTGCTTTATATCGACCACAATCACCACAATATTACTACTTTTTATAATCTAATCTAAAACGTTTTTAAATTGGGTAATTAACAAATAAATGGCATTAAGTTTTCACATAAGCCAAGATTATATCCGACGAAGAACTTATATCAGGAAACAGGGATACTTGATACAAGGCAACTTTATTTCTGACATGCCACCACCTTATACCATAAGTATTGTAATGAAAAAAGTCCTATAAACACGAGCATAACACACGATATCGAATAGACTCATCTAATATCCAAAGACCACACAAAACATTATTCAAAAAAGCATTTAAGTTCTTAGCAGCTAAATTATATAATGTAGTACCAAACGAAATAAAAATACTTAATTTGGGAAAAAAATTTGACGAAAATTGAAAGACTGGGTTTGTACTGTGCAGCGAATGACTATACATAATTATATAGAAAACTAAAGCTACAAAATTCCAATTATATTAACACTTTTTAGAATTAACAATAATTGTCATACACATATGATTGATTGTTAGTTATTAAGATATAATCCACACACACAGGCAATGCCTTCTGTGCTTTTCTCATATTTGTTTGCCCATTTTTTGTATTTTGGCGAATAAATATTATTATTATTTCAGGTTAATCACAACATTATACTTATCCCATACATGATCCTCTGGTTCAAGTTAACTACCGCTTTTTCAGAGTTAACTTCTGGTTAGCTGTCAAATTACAGGTAACTTGCGAATGAAAAACTCAGTGTTAGGTTAGGTAGTTAACTTTAAGCAGAGGTCCATCTATGGGTTAACTAGGCTCGGTTTTATCAATAACAGGTTAACTGTGACTTTACTGATTACCGGGAGTTTTGAACAGCGTTTTTCAATGTCAGGTTCGCCCTAAAACGGTAGTTACCTTAAATCAGCGGACCTAATAATTAACTAGAAGGTTGTAGTTAAACCGCAACGCCTAAACTATTTTACTTGACACGAGATACAAACTCCCAACATCACGAAACACACAGTTAAGACATAAAATCAGCGTTGCCGCATTAATAATTACGAGTTAATTAACCAGAACTTGAAAAATGAATTCACGGAAATCTGATAGTTGACTTCCAAGTTATGGCTAGCCAAGTTTTTTTTACACCAAAGCAGCCGCGCAGTGAGAAGCCTAAATGCCAGGGCAGCGCGACTGCTATGAAGAGCTTAAAGAAACTTTGTTAATCCGATTTTTGAACTGCCTAAGGTTAGCATAACGGGGAAAGCCTCCTCATGAAGATTGTTCCACTATCTCGATACCCGCGGGATAAAGGAGCGCTCGTATGGACCAGTTGTTGGAGTCAGGCGGGTCTGTCTATCAGGCACAAGGAGGAGAGCTCTGATGCACTGGCGTTGCGGTAGAAGAGAGCTCTGAACAGCATCGAGCATGGATAATATATGGGGGAAGGAGCACCCCAAACATGTGAGCAATACTTGATGCTAGGTCTTATCTGGGCCTTATAGAGAGCGAGGTCATGTGGAGATGTGTTTATGCCAGATCATTTCTTCGGTGATCTGGACTGTGAGCAACCAAAATGAATGGCTCTTTGGTAGAACTCGGCCATCCATCGAAACCGGATGAGCGCTAGGACGCTTCTTGTTCGTTAAAATACAATACTGTGTTTGGGAAGCATTAAACTGTACAAGATTGTTGCGTCCCCAAGCAGTGATAACCTCCAGGTCTCTCGTCAGATTCCTGCATATAGAGTGCTGTCATCAGCAAAGCTGTGGATTGGATTGATCGTACAGGAAATGAGGTCGTTTATATCGTCGGCTTTCTCACGAAGTGTCCTAACCAACGGTTAGAGAATTTTACAGGAGAGCAAGAAAACGAAATCAGCGCGTCGTTGATTGAGCATTGTATGTAAATTTTAGATATTTCCGAATTGAAAATTCACGTGTATTAGCCTATATTCATTGTGAATCATATGCCGTTTCAATATTTGCGGTAGCTTATCAAGCTATTTTGGAAAAAAATGGAAAACGCACGTAGGTCACTTCATGAGAATTTTCAGAAGATTTTTGTCAGACAAAGCTAAAATATATTTTTATTGAAGTTCTTGTTATTATAATTTTTTAAGATATACAGAATTTGTTTCATTTACTTATAAGCAAAGAATCATATTTCCAGCCAAGGGGGCGATTGACTCAGAAAATTTGTTGATTGTTAACTTTTTTAAGTAATCGTTGGTCTGCTGACAGCAAAGTTTTTGTAAAAAAGTTCAGATCAACTTTTGAAGTTTGGCTACCCCCTAAAATATTTTCCTCAATGTCCAAGCCTAAAATTGATGTAGATTATGACAAAAATATTACGTGATTAGATGAAGAAAACAACTCGAAACGTCAAACCAATTTTTATTGAAATAAAAACTAAAAGAAAAGCAACTGACTTAAATATTATATTTTGACATATTACCAGCAAATGTTGATGTGTTGTGATACACAAAAAAAAGGCAAAATTATCAATAATTCATTCCGTTTCATGGGCCAAATTTTGTAAAAGTTTTGGAATTCTGGTAAGCGTACAACTAACTGGCGTTTTTGGGATTTTACATAACGAAATTAAGTGGGAGTACTTCTTTTTTGTTATTTTTAGGTTGTTCTAGTTTAATATCATTTATATTATTACTATTTCTCATCAGCCTTTTTAACTCAATACTGTCATAACTAGTATCGTGGTCGCTAGACTTAAAAAATATTTTGGTGGGCGTGTCTTTTATTACAATAAACTCTGTTTAATATTTTGCCCCTCCTCAGCTTGCCGTGTGGACAATATTCTTAAATCTTTAGAAAGTTTCTTGAAGTCACAAAATTCATTGGGAATTACTAAATAAGGCTGACGTTTTCTGGCGAATCAAAAAACCGGATAGAGTTATGAGGGTTCAAAAAGATCTCCAACTCCCGTTATCCCAGTATGAGTGCACTGTGAGCAGATTCTCCCTCACTTTGGCCATGATTCCACCACCGAGGAGCGTATACTAACAAGGATTATTGGACACTAAGGGACTTATCTTCATTTAGGTCTCTTCGTGGGAATCATAAATTTACCTTTGCAGATAAGACACCCAGGGGCTAACGGTGTGTTGCCCACACTAATAGATATATAGTTATGCTTCTTCGTCAGATTAACCAGCATAGAATAATACACCTATATGCGGGTTATCTGAATTTTTGGTATTTTGTCAGTTAGAACACTTCGTGAGAAAGGCGACGATATGTAGAAGGATGAATGTCGCAGCCAAGACCGATCCCTGGGGAACACCCGCGAGTTATGTTGCTGTCATTCAACACTTTATTAATTGATATAATTGCATTGTATTTCTTTTTACTAGCTCATCAATTTTTGTTTATATTAACGATTTTATCTTAATTATGAATCAGTCATTCAATCTCAGTCACAGCGAACACACACACTGTAATTCCGGTTCGGTCCATGTACACTATTGTTGGAATCAAATAAAGTTTTTTTAAAAACGAAGTTTGAAGTTCCGACTACATAACTGGGAGGGATTTTTGCCGATTAGCCCTTGAGTCCGAACTCTTAATTGGGAACCTCTGTGACGAGCCGGTACGACTGAAGAATTTGGACCACAAGTGCCCTTTGTCCTGTTGAAGTCGACGTCCACCTGAGGAACCTAGGCCAAGAGCGGGATGAAGTACTGGACCTATCAGTAAGTGCTCATTGTATCCTTATTTTTCATGAGTGACTCACCCCGACCTGTACATCCTTTCGAAGGTGATAGTGCAGATCAAATCGTTAATCGCATAGTAAGCTTAGAATTAGGAAGTAGAGAAATAAGACAAGAAAAGATAATAATGACTAGCCCCAGAAGAAATAGTGCGCCCCAGTTCGACACAAAATTACTAAAAATTGTCCCAGAATTTGATGGGAATCCCTGTAGAAGAAATGAGCACAGATTTATTAAGTAACTATTGGAACATTGACGATACAGGATGTGTCCAAAACAAAATACTGCTGCATGGCATTTTCTCGAAATTGCTGCAGAGCAAATATTCTCTCTTAGCGGTTCCACAGACTGGAACAGTATCAAAAATTAGCTAATTGCTCATTTTGGTGGTTAAAGAAACGAGATATTATTGTCCTTAGACAAAATTCTAATGAAAGCTCTTTACAATTTTATTCTAGAGTTGTAACCATGCTCAATCATTTACATAACTATATAAATATTCATGAAACAGTTGATGCTATGCAAAACTAGTAAAAAGGCACGGTATGATAGTCATGCATTGCATACACTTTTAGTAGGTTTAAAGGAGCCACAAAGTTCGGTCTAAAAATTTGGCAGAAGCTCAAGCTTATATTTTAGAAGATAATAACATTAGATATTTACAAAAGGCTGGTGCATATTCAAATTTCAATAAGCCACCTCAGCCTGCCCTTTCATCCAATCCACATTTTCAAAATTTGTTTAAGCCTCAAATGCAGCCTATGAATCAATTTAGGCGTCACCAAAATTTCAATTATCATCCTCAATTCTCAAGAGGACCAGTTCCGATTCAACCTAGACAAAATCCTCTTCCACAAAGATTTCCATCAAACGCACAAGTTTTTGGCAATAGACCTAATGTTAATGTTTGGCGTAATCCGCCTAATCAAGGACCTTCTTACAGGCCTACTCCTATGAGTGGTGTAATAGAAATAAGAATTTCCAAAATAATGATTTTAGGCCTTCTGGCCCAAGGAACTTTGCTTCTCAAGAATTACATAACGTTGAGAGTGATCCTTATGATCAAAATTTTGGAAACAACACTTACGATGACTACGAGGGATGTCTTTTAAGTTTTGCATATAGAAACATAGCGCGCGGATCGAACGTCAGTACTGAATCTTAACCTCATTCTTTAGTAAACTTAAATTCAAAGTTCTACAACAATACGTGCAGTGTTCTCACTACAGTGAATTTTTACGTGTCACCAAGTATTACAACTTTCGGAGACAATTATTCACAACAAGAATGCCTTGCTGAGTTACTGTCTGTTTTCGGCAACGAAGCGCCACATCAGTCGACAATTTCCCGTTGGTATGGAGAATTCAAACGTTGACGGGTGAGTCTTAGCGACGATACTAGGGTGGGTGCACCAAAGACGGCAGTCACCCAGGGAAACGTCGATGCTGTGCGCAAACTCGTCATTTAAGATAGACATGTAAGATTGAGGCATCCTTGAAGATCTCAAAGACCTCAATTCAAAAGATTTACATGAAGAATTAGGAGTAAGAAAATTAGTTTCTCCTTGGATACCCCACTTGTTGACTGAAGAGCAGAAAGCAGCTAGGGTTAATTGGTGTCAAAAAACGCTTGACCGTTTCAATTCCCGAAACTTAAAAAATGTGTACAGCATTGTTAGTGGTGATGAATCGTGGATTTACTGTTATGAACCAGAAAATAATCGACAGTCGGCTGTTTGGATGTTCCAAGGTGAAGAAAAGCCAACAAAAGTCATCCGTTCTCGAAATGTTTCGAAACATTTGAGTCAAAAGCGGGTCATATTGCAACAATTCCTCTTAATGAGCAAAGAACTGTTACTGGGGATTGGTATACCACCATTTGTTTGCCAAAAGTCGTCACCGAGCTTCGAAAAATCAACCCCTAAAGAAGAATCATCCTCCACCAAGACAATGCAAGCTCGCACACAGCCCAAAAAAAACTCAGTATTTAACGGATGAAAACGTGGAATTATTGGACCATCCTCCATATAGGCCCGATCTAAGTCCTAACGATTTCTTTACTTTCCCGATAATTAAAAACAGACTGCGTGGTCAAAGGTTCCAGTCACCAGAAGAAGCAGTTGACGCATTCAAAAATGCCGTTTTGGATCTGCCAGCAAACGAGTGGAATAAGTGCTTCGAAAATTGATTCGAGCGCATGCAGATGTGTATTAATCTTCGTGGAGAATACTTCTAAAAACAATAAAGTCATTTAAAACTACCTACCGTGTTGTTTTATTTCCAAATGCAACACTTAAAAGACATCCCTCGTATTACTCGGAATATTGACAGGATAGTTAAAATCAGTATGACTGTTCTGATCTATATTACGAAAACCCCGATGAGACACAAAATGATGTTTCTGAAACTGTTCAAAAGCCTGATGAAGAAAAACAAAATTTTCAGATGGCCGTGCCTATGATAGAGGAGACGTAATGTACTTAAACACGATTTATTACAAAACAGAGTTACCTTATATTGAAATAAAAAATACGCGTTTAAAGCTTATTGATACTGGTGCAACGAAATCATTTTTAAATCCTGATCTTGCACAATTGCATTTTCCAAAATGTATTTATAAAGAACCATTCGAAGTAACTTCAGTTTTTCAGCATTCGAAGACAGACTAACTCGATGTTAGTGAGCCTATAAAATTTAATTTGTTCAAATTTCACAAGTATTTTGATGGTTTGGTTGGTCTAGATATTTTGAAACTTCTAAATTCACGTATTGACCTTATAAATTCTATTTTGCATACCAAAAACGCCAAAATTCCAATCAAATTTCATGATTTGAAAAATCTTTTGTTATTTTTCATAGAAATTGAGCCTTACACGGCGGCCCAAGCCAGAATTCCTGTCGATACTTATAATGGAGAAATTTTGATTCCAAATTACAAAATTAGAAATTGTGTAATCAAGGAAACGCTTACTCATGCTGTAAAGGGTTTTACACTATGTAGATTTCGAACTGATAATTAAGGAAGTAAATTCGCTAAGTACAGTATTTCAAGAAATCAAGAACCAAAGGGAAAAGAATAAAGATAATTTAGGATTCATTCCAGATACACATTTGGCAAATATAGAACAGCATGTAGTTCACTCGAAAGTCCATAAATCCATTCTGGAAAACGCAATATCGCCCAAGACGAGGCTTTAGGATCAGTTATCAAAATTATTTCAGGGACCTAGATGATGACGATGCTAAAAAATATTACCAGGCTATTGAACAATTTCAGAAAAATCAGAATCAAGTAATTGAGACAGTTAATCAGCAAATTTCCTTGACCCACGAGGTTCTCAAAAATAACAATAAGATGGTTCTGGTTCACAATCAAGCTGTAATAGAACAAACTTTGGTAGAGTTGCAAAGGAACAATACATACTATTTTACTATGTTGGATACACTATTACAAATAAAGTTTCTCCCAAAATCTATTAGTTTTTGCCTTACATGTTCCGCTTTTGCACGGAGACAAATTTAAGCATTATCATCTTTATTCCATTCCTACTATTAACCAAACTACTATATATTATTCCCAAAAATTCCTATTTCACAATGAGTACCAAAATGTACCAATATGATGCTGAACCATGTCAAATGATAGAAGATATTTTTATCTGCCACGAAAACAAATTGGTCCATGTAGCAGAAGAAGAAGACGATTGTCTATTTGCTATTTTACAAGTAAACAAAAAGCAGCCAAATTGTAACAAAATTCCCGTAACTCTTAAAATGGTCTTAATTGAAGTAGTTTCAGAGTCCAAATGCATTGCTATTTTCCCGAAACAGTGAAGCACCCCTAGAAATGGAGTCTACCCCTGTATGCAATTATGTTAATTGGAATTGCATGCATTTTCGTGAAAAAATATTACCAGAGAAGAAAAGGATCAAGAAGAAGCCAGCATTTAGAAGAAATCGAAAAGAAAAGGATCAAGAAGAAGCCAGCATTTAGAAGAAATCGAAATTCAACCCCAGAGGCACGAGGTTTTGTTTGTGCCCTCCAAAACTTCATCTTAAGGGTGGAGGAGTTATGTTGCTGTCATTTAACACTTTATTAATTGATATAATAATTGCATTGTATTTCCTTTTTACTAGCTCATCACTTTTGGTTCATATTAAGGATTTTATTTTAATTCAGTTATTCAATCTCAGTAACAGCGAACACACACACTGTAATTCCGGTTCGGTCCATGTACACTATTGTTGGAATCAAATAAAGTTTTTTAAAAACGTTGTTTGAAGTTCCGACTACATAATTCGCGTTGATGTTATGGGATGAAGAGGAGAACCCATCAATTACGATATATTGCGTGCAAAGCCTCTCTGGGAGGCCAAAGGATGGAAGTTTGCATAGGAGAGCAATGACATGAGCCTCACACACCTTGCTGCCTGTCGCTAATCAGGTCGTGACGATCCAGAAGCTCCCGATTTATGCATCTCTCCATCACATAGGTTAATCTAAGATTGAAAAACAGGGTCGCAATTACGTAATAACTGTTCCAGATCTAGGGAGTTTTATCTCGATGTTTTGCATATGCTGTACCAGTTCAGCCTGTAACTGACGTACAGGAATTAGCTTGGCACTTTTCAACCCTTTAAAATGACCCTTCTTGTAACATCTCCGTTTCGCGCATAGTAAACTCAGGTCGGTACTTTTTTGGTACATATTAAAAACCAGACAAGCTGTGTATAATAATTCTGTCAGATAGTAATTTAAGCAGTTCTATTTTGTGTTTCAGTGGTGTCGAGCTCGAATGCTGAAATCAATTCTCTCAGAGGAAAAATTCCCGTCCGTAGAAAAATGGAGTACAAAGACATACTTTATGTATGCCCGATCGCATGGTTACTGTGCATTAGTGAAACATCGATCACTATTTTCAAAATACTCCAAAGACATCACTTTAATTAGTGAATGTTTCTCTACGTCTTTGTCCTTGCCAAAAAATATATCCAGGCGGCTACTGGACGCCGATTTAGACTATGATGTTGACGTAGAATCTAATGGTGGTAAGTTTTTAGTTCCTTTTTTTGTCTACATGTTGTCCTTACTCGAACTATCTGGAGTTTGTCTATCCGTGAAATACATTAAACCAAAACATAACCAGCAAATGTTCAGTACGTTATCGGCATGTTGATATATTCCATGAAATGGGGAGAATAACTGTTATTGGGCCGAATCGGTCGAGCCTTTATACAGGATCAATATCAAACCAGGAAGGCGGAGTGGGAGGCGAAACGGCGGTGCATGCAACCTCGTCCGCCGGCGGCGTTCGATTACGTGAAGTATGCGTGTTCTTAACATGATCAGGAGGGGTAAAAAACATATATTAAAAATTTGGCAAATGAGAATGATTCAAAAAAATTGTGAAATGATTATTTTATGTCTGTTTATAGATATAAACCTGTTGATTTACTAGTTTGCGAGAACTATTTCACAAATAAATTAAATTCTGAATATATTTTTTTATTAAATAAGATTAGTTCAAATGACGTATTACAGGCAATAAGGAGCCTAAAATCTGATGCGAAGGGAATTGATGTATATTGCCGCTGTCAATGAACAAGCTTTGCCTGCCCGTTATTCTCCGTCACGTCGTCCATATCTTTACCGACTGTTTGGAAAAAGGCTACTTTCCAAACGCATGGAAACAAGGTCTAATTATTTGAATTCCTAACAAAATGAAACCCACTGAGTATAGTGACCTCAGACCTATCAGTTTGTTACCAATTTTATCCAAAATTTTAGAAACAATATTAAAGTTCCAATTGACCGCAGCATCAATCATAAATTAATACTTGCTAAATTAAATTACATAGGACTTGACAATGTATCCCTTTAATTTTTCGACAGTTACCTTCAAATAACGCAGTGTGTTTTTGTCAACCAAGAAATGTCTCCAGTGACAATAATTCCCTCAGGCGTGCCTCAGGGTTCTGTATAGTGGCAGCTGCTGTTCCTTACATATACTTTCGACTTATGCAAAAGTATTGATAATTCTCATCTCCAGTGCTTTGAAGACGATACGCAGTTGCTCTATTATTTTAATCCAAATAATGTCAATAGTGATACCCAAATTTAACAAAACGATGTTAGTAAATTAATTAAATACTTGTCAGTTCATAATCTACTTATTAATCCACAAAATCTAAGATATTATTTTGCGCATGAAGAAAAACATGCAATGTAACACATCTCTTGAACATTCAGATAAATAACGAAATCTTGCAATTTTCTGATTCTGCAAAAATTCTTGGTGTTGTGTTTGATACAAAATTAAGGTTTATATTTTAATATTATGGTGGCCGGAAAGCCTCTAATTTACGTTATTCTAAACAATTGTATACGTTTCATCTTTGCCTTACGTAAATTTGATCATGTGTATCTTACATGTATCAGCGACATATCCCGTTCTAAACTGGTTAAAAATTAACGACTTGGTCAAGTATCACTATTCAGTTTTTGTTCACGTCTAAACCCTCTTACTTGAGGGAAAAAATCATTTAATAATGATGTTCACTTCTATATAAAAGAATATCAGAACACCCCAGCATACGTCTACACTTTTTAAACGCAGTTTGTCCTACAATGTTGCTATTATTTAAAATGACCTTCCTAAAGTATATAAAGAATTTTAATTACCTGTCTTCCAACAAAAAGTTACGAGTACAACAATATTACTCAACCCTCCAAACATATAATTTACGTAATCATGCATTTCTTTTTCATCCCTTCTTTAATTCAGGTTAATAATTTATGGTTACTTTCGATGTAATGAACCAAATCTATTTGTGAACAGTGTATAATTTTGAACATCTGCTAGCGACTATATGGTTAAGTGTAAGAGTAGCAGCATACTGAAGTTCGCCTTGTAAGTCTGACATTTGGTTGTACTACAATGTAATTGTGGATAAATAAAGACGTCTATTATTATTATATGTTTGGGTTTACTTTCTTCGATAGATGGACCATCAATGATATGAAGGATTGGACATCACTGATTTTAAGACTAAAACCCGTGTCGTCCTTTTTTTCAGATGCAAGAAGTAATTCATTAGAGCCGACGCTAACAATTGACTTAGACCAATCAGATACCATTTTGAAGAATCAGTGTGTGTTTGTAAAAGAAGCTGCATTGGACGTTGGAGTTGTGCTGAAACCAGAACAAATCGTAGAGGGGGTAACAATGAACGCTGCAGAAAGAGTGATGTTAGAGGCTGTGAAATGTTTCGCGGAAAATTTGATACGAAGAGCACACCATCATTTGGTCTGCCAGACAACACATAAAGAGTAAGTACGTTATAGAATATAGATTACACTGTTACTACCATTGATATGACGTTTTAGAGAGACGTACAGTAAATGCTAATCTAATAATCCAGCTATAATATAGTGCATCTATACAGGGTGTCCGCAAAGTTGGGGTTTTCCTTTACACGACGTGTAGATCTTGAAAACATAAGCAATTTTTCTTAGTACCATATACACCAATGTCTTAAGGGATCCGAGATAAAGGGCTCTGCAACATCAAAAATATCTGAATACCGTCCTGTAGCCGCGACATCCCCCAGTGGTACTAGGACACTAGCTCAACCCGACGACAGAACTGGGTCGGGGTCAGTATTTCAGGTCAGTATGCAACCTTCAACCGACGTGGCTAGAGAAGTGCAAGTATCAAACGCTGCGTGAAGAGGGGCTGTATCCGTTTCACGTCCAACGTGTACAAGCCCTTCAACCTGACGATTTTCCAGCAAGAGTGCGGTTTTGTGAGTGGTTGTTGCATCAACATGACAATAATCCAGACTTTTTGAAGTGCATATTGGTGACAGACGAATCTACGTTCACGCGTAATGGGGTGAATAACTTTCGCAACTCTCATGTTTGGTCAGTAGAAAATCCGCACGCTGTCCGTCGGGCACATTTTCAACAAACATTTTCGGTGAATGTTTGGGCTGGCATGGTGAACCTAGACCTAGACTTTTTACGAAACATTTTGCCTTCCTTGTTTGCCTGCGTCTGCTCGGTAGCGCATCAGCTGATTTCATTTTCTGTTGGAGCGGTATGATTTCGGGCAGAGACGTACTTAGCCCTTCTCGTCAACTGGAGAGTGAGTACTTTTTCCTTTATTTTTTGTTTACTTGGTCGCCCTCGTTTCACTACACATTACCTTTGTTATTTCAAGGGTAGTTGTTTCTGAAAAGGAAAACCCCAACTTTGCGGACACCCTGTATATCTTTTAATGATTTATAGACACTTTATCGGGACTAACTCGTAAGGCTGTAAACAGTCAAGCACCGCCCTCAGAAACGGTTAATTGTTTAAAGAAATGTCTGAAACGAAAGTTGCAGGGAATTAAACCCACAGGAAGCGAGATCTTTGTGAAAAAACAATTTTTGTGGCATTTGACCCTTGATATCTCAAGACGCGGACACGAGATTTCCTGACACTTTTGAGACCACTTTCAAAACGACAAAGGTTTTTACGAGTTTACAGCTTGTTATCTCTCATTCCGGGGTTAACCCTCTTTTATAGCTCATATAATTTAACTAATGTGTGTAAATGGTATGGCAATCACGATCCAAAAATTTGTCAATAAAAAAACAAGCATATACGTATAGATTTCGGACAGAATGTTAACTTTAAATTATTTTAGTGGCTGTTTAGAAGTTACCAAAGACGAAATCCAGGTAGCCCTGAAGGATCGTTCAGAAATGGAGTCCATTTTCACATTTAAGAGAATGAAGAAGGAACGGCAACTCTTCTCATAAGACTGTGTTATTTATAATAGTTTTGATGTATATTTACCTGTACATGTTTTAGTATTAATTTTTTAGTATCTGTTATGTTTTAAAATAATTTTAATAACCTATCATGTGCCTGTAAAATGAAATTAAAAGGTATTTTTAAAGGTCCAAATAAATATCCCGAGCTTAAAAAAATGTTTATTTACACTAGCCTATATACGTGTTAAATATTATATACATGCTCTATATTTAATATTAGATAATCAAAAAAGTATATCAAATATAATATTTATCACCAAATAAGGGATGGCAAATTCAAAAGAGCCATCAGAAACAACACAAATCATGAAATAGGGTTTGATATTTCTTCTATTGAATCCTCATTATTGACTATTCTGATCAAAGACGTGAATGGAATGAAAACATGGCACAACACTTTACAGCACCATATCTTTCGATATCTACTGAACAAAATTTAATCACAAAAAATATTTTGATTTAATGAACACATTGTGAACAAAAATATTTACAATTTTTGAATTACCATTGTTGCTTCATCATATAAAATTATGCCAAATAACAACTTCATTTTATTTTTAAATATGTATATTCTAATTCACCAAAGGTACTTTTCTAAAAATTTTGAACTTTATTTCTTAATGTAAAAACTCAATTTTTTATGTACAAGCCATATATACAGTGCAGGCCAGTCATTTTCCCTTTTAGATTTTCATCTGTACGAGAGAGAGAGAGAGAGAGAGAAGCGTGTTAGAAAGAGAGGAATTACAACCGCGCTCCCCCACCGTGATTGCCAGGCAACGTTGTAACGACGCTTATATGGCGCACTCTCTCTCTCTCTCATACACAAAGTCTAATAGGAAAACCGACTTTGGCCAGCACTGTATAGAAAATACAAGGAGAAAACCTAGACAGAATGTTTTGAGCAGTATACAAAAAATGAAGCATGGAGGAACTTGAAAGGAATGGAATGACGGTAATAGAGACATTTCCCCGTATAATTAAAACGGACAATGCACATAGCTCACCATGACCACACATAATTTTGTTCCTCAAAAATTATACTTATTATAAAATGCTTCTGCTTGGTTCACATCCATGTACTCAGTGGTTTCAAATCTAAATATGGACTGTTCTCACCAAAACCAACTGACTACCTGAGTTGACATAAATTGTGTTCCAAAATTGAATCAGCCTCGAGCATGCTAGTGATTATTCTTGCAGGTTAAAAAAATAATTCATGAAAAAATGTAGGGTTTGCAGAACAGTGAATAGTGCATGACATAAATAAACTTAATATGAAATTTTCCTTCAACATCAATCCTGTCTACAAGCCATAAAGTGCTAATTATAGATTCTTGTAAAAACTGACCCTCCATAACTGCAATTGAAAATAACAGAAGAGTGCGAATAACAATAAAAACATTTTAAAAATCATGGATAAATGATAAAGTAACTTTTTTTAATACTTGCCATACCTAATTCTAAGTTCAGGGTATGAATGTCTGGCGTTAGAAAGGTTTTCACTGAAACTTAGACTTTGGTATGATTTTTATGTGGGTTTTTCGCCATCTTAAGAAATAATAAAATAATACTGTGCCAGATGGAAAGTTTAATTCAACAATCCTGGTTCAAGAAGATCGAAATGTCGATGGATTAACTGTATGTAAGCCAGTTTTAACCCAAAAAATTAAAACTATAAGCCTTTTACCAGAACAAAAGGTTGTCATATAGTAGATCATGACGTGACCAATTTGCAGTTGCAGGATCATTCTTCATTTTCAGGACACCTTGTATATATATGTATCAGGAGTTCTTTAGTAAAAAAATACCACTTATTGATTGGGATAGATCTTATTGGCAAAATACCTTACATATGCGGTTTTCCTTTCAATCATAGTTTTTGAGAAACAAAATAGTCTACTTGCTTTCATTTTATTATTAGTAGTAGTAGGAAATATACAGACAGTGGCTTTATCTACAACCTCAAAATTAAGACTGCCAGTTGCTATGGTGGCAACACAAAATATGAGGTTGGGGTTGCTTTTGGTGAGAACACTTCCTGAAAGAACTGATTCATATTCAATATGGCATAAACTTACAACTATTCAACCAATTGAAAACATAACCACCTATCCTGTCTGCACAATTTCATTAGCATTTATCGCTCTGAGGACTTTCGTCTTCTCTGCTTTCCTTTCAGCTGCCGTCTTCTTCAGCCCTTTCATCTTCCTGGTCTGAATCTTATCGATATTTTGTTTGCCTATATGGATACGGCCGTGCACGTTACCCAAATCGTCGGCGCTGATATTCTTCTTCTTCGTCACCTTCAGTTCTTTGGGTTTGCGACACGCTTCGCGCATCAGGTCTTCGTCAGGTAACTTGCTGCGTCTCAGTCTGAAGTCGACTCGGGGACCTGACAATTGAAATAAAGGTATTGCAATGAGTGCAGTCTCAAAAAACTTAAGTTAGGTAAAATTCAGAACAGTTTGAACTACTACTGTGTGTAACGATGTATGAGTATCATACCTACTTTGTAAAAAAATAGAAATTAAAAAAATATACAGGGTGACGGGAAAATAGATGCGGAGCCGGTGGGGGGAGATAGTACAAATCAATCTGAGTCGATTTTACTATAGGAAATTAGCCGTTTTCGAATTATACTGATTTTTAAGATTTCATAAAATTAACGTCCTTTATACGTTAACAAAGTCATAAAACTTGAAAATTGGGTGTTTCATTCTATCTCCCGCCACCGGCTCCACATCTATTTTCCCGTCACCCTGTATATAATATGTTGAGTGTCACCAAAAGTAAACCAAACAATACTTTTGAACAGAACCATGTAGATGTAGATTTTTATAACAAGTCAAATTTTGCTTGAAATTTCCCTTATAAAGAGATATCACTATTATATGATATAATACATGATGGCAACTTTTTCAAAATGGCAGCATATGTAAAATTCAGTATACATTTTGCGACTATTGATGATCGACTATCTACTTATAATAGTGATTATACAGGGTGTCCCAATATTCTGTGGATACAGAAGTGCTACACATTTTTAGACTCAAAATAAGTCGATCGGGCATGATTCACCTCTATGCAAAAGTGCTTTGTTTGACAGTTAGAGGGCGTCAAAGTCAAAACAGGCCATCTCGCGTAGTTTAAAAGAAAACAGTGTTTTTGAAGCTGGTTTCTAAAAAATGTTCTCACTACATAAAGCTTTTTTGGGCTGTATTTTGTGTAGGAACTAAAATGGTGGACTTATTGAACACCTTTTATGGAAGATTCATACTCTTGCCTGTATTAAATAAAATTGTAATAAGTAATATTATTCTTGTTTATTTTAGCTAACCACCCTTAAAGAACACTTGGGAACATCTTCATGCAACTCATTTTTTTTCTCAAAAACTATCCAAGTTGGCCTGTTCTATAGGACTCAAAAAATGAAGTAAATGATCTGCTAAGTAAAAAAAAATTCAGAGTCGTCGCGAACGTTTTCAAAAAATTCTGCTATAATTTACGTAAGGTTAGGGGTAGTTTTCACCATTTGCAAACCCTTTGGAGTTTTTCGTAAAAGTCAAATATTAGAATGTCTAGTAAAACATGTGTTCCAAGTTTCACTCAAATCAGACTTTTGCTTCTTAAAATATCTTGAAAATGTGTTTTAAAAAGAAAACTCTGGCGCCATCTAACTGACAAACGCAGAACTTTTGCATAGAGATAAATCATGACCAATCAACTTATTTTGAGCCTGAAAATACATGATACTTTTATGTCTACAAAATATTGGGATACCCTGTATAAAAGTGCTTACAAGTTTTTGTTTTCAGTTAAAATGATTTTATTTCCAAAATGGAGGATATTTTTTACACAAATATACCACTTTTATATATTATAATATTACCACTTTTTTGACGTATTTTTTCTCAACTGTTCAACAGTGTTCACTTATCAAACCCTAGTATCAAAATGTATGTTTTTTCAACTACATCAAATCGCGCAATATGCTGCTTTTTCCATTTTTGTTTTTTAATAACTGAAAATGGTTTTTTTCTGAAGATAAATGATATCAGGAATTTTGATGTATGGAAAATGTACTTTGATGGTAATGTTTAAAAAGCAAAAACTCATTCAAAATATTTAAGAATATTTACATATTTTCAATCATTACTGTATATTTGCATATTTATCAAGAATCAGAATACTATTAATACTAAATAAAATATTGATCAATTTATTTCCATAAGTCAGTAATATAAATTTTGAAAAAAGTAATACAGCTATTTTGAGTTGGGGCCACTTTTAACTGGACAGTAACCAAAATATGATTTATACCCAGCAGAACAAAAAAATGCTTATTTATACATTATAGAGCAGATTACTCTTGGCTAACTAGTTAATAAACAAAGGTTTAAGATTTCTATTTTTCATTTATACATAATCCGAATTTTAAAAGTATGCTGTTGTGCACACTTGCAGGTATTATTCCTGCGAAGTAAAATTTAATGTGTCTGTTACAAGAATTTTGGGTAATAATGTACAGTGAATATAAGTAAAAATATAAATACATTTTGTATAGTTTTGAAAAAAAAAACACGTTTTCATTCAGTTTGCATATCTTCATGTAAATGTGACAATTTCATGATTTGACCTCGACCAATGAGTAGTATATAACAAAATAATAGTTTGAAATTATTGTGATTTGGTTTACTGATACCAGTTGCTCAGATAGTGTCATAGTGATTTTTTCTTTCTACTTAGATGATAAAATGACTTCAGACTAGTAGATGAAAGAAATGGGACTGAAAATTAGCGCAAATATGAAAGGGCTGAAATATTTCACTATATACTAGATTGTTATTGAATGTTTTTTTTCATAGGTTGTGCAATGTTGCCAGATTTCATTATTTCATAGGTTTTCATGATGATGGATGTTTTTAATGATTAAATTTGTATGTATGACTTCGAACTCCACAGCACTACATGACATTGCTGTGATTCAAAGGGGAGGTAACTCTAGAGTAAAAGGGAGCTGCTACATGTAGAAAGGCGTGTTTTCATTAATTTTCTTATATTTCCATATGGCAACATCACAGTATGTATAGGATGTGTCCTATTCTGCACTGTAAATATCATGATTTACCTTTTAAAACCTAGATAATATCAACAATATTCTGCAACTAACTCATTTGCAGGCATTTTTAATCTCATTTTCATCATTTACAACACAAACCTAGCATCTATTTATATAGAGAAGCAAATAAGGCTGGCCTGGTACAAGGCTGGTATAGCTGAAAATTTGCTATTTTTAAGACATATCTATGTTGAATTTTTTTCATAGTTCAAATGTCATACCTCTAGCCGTACATTTTTTCATACCTATAAAAGCTGTCAAAATCAAAATATCATCTGAGTGTCAAATATGTATATCATAACCATACAGTCTTGTGACAATGAATATGAAAACAAAATGAGCTATTTTTCTTATTTAACACTGAAAACACAACTACCATAAGGTGATTTTAACTTGTTTTTAAAGTACTGAGTACTTTGGATGATGAAATACCAACTTGCAGGTATATTCACTGCTGTGACTTCACTTATATATATTTTGGTGAACATATGAGGAGCATTTTAAAAACAAATTATTTTTCAAAAATTTTTGAAAATCTTACCTATTTCTTCCAGTTCCACCCGTGGTGTCCTCTGCCCAGACTTTTTCAGCATAATCTTGTAAGACCTCAGGTGAATTTTACCATCTGCTGTTGCATTAAAACTTATAGTATGCTCTATACCTTGTAGCCTAATATTATCTACAGTTTCTCTATGAAAAAAATCTATAAACAGTGATTTGAGCTGTTTTAGTTCAGTATTTTGCTCCCAAAGTGGCCCATTAAATATCAGACATGGTTTTGTGCCCAGTAGTATCTTTGGACCAGTAAACTCACTCATACCTTCATAATGTTCTACAAACAATTCTATCATATCTAACAGGTTGTAATTGAATGTTCTGCCTAAAACGACGTTATCGGGTCTTTTTTTGCTATGTGATCCCAAGAGAAACAATGATGATTCAAATTTTTTACAAAAGTCCTCTACAGGTTTTGCATTTTCAAAGACAGTTATGTCATGTTTTCGGCTCAATTTTAAGGCGTCAGGCTTTTTGAAATCATATAGGTCCTTCACCAAGTTTCGAACTTTCTCTGAAGCCTTTCTTCCATAGAGGAACAGGGCACGTTTGGATTCCTCTATGAGCTGCGGTTCTTTCTTCAGTAGGACCTTTTTACCTTTTCGTGTGGTAGGTTTTCTACAAAAAATCATCTGTAAATTGGTGTTCAGGGGTAGTAGGTATTATATACTTACACCACACGTTGTAAAACAGACATTTTTTAAGTATTTTTGCACTTTATTTTCGGTATTTTTTTACTACCACGTGCATAGACAACCTCTAGGTATCTTATGACACATGACGTGACATTGACAATTCACAAGTAACAGCACGTCATTTGCCATAGATGAAGATTGTACAAGAGCCCATTCCCATATTTCATTGAACTAGAACGACCCCAGTACCGTAAGCGGCCATTTTTCAACCCTGCAATTTAAGAAATTATAGTCACATTAATGTCTTGCATATTCTGATGTGTCCGTCCTCTAATAGTTTGAAGGCTTTTAAGAATGCGTAAAAGTAACGCAGTTAGCGTTGCAATTAAATTTGTTGTCGATAATGATGATGACAATAATGTTAATTCAATGAATACTGGTCTGAATTTGATGTGGTATATTTGTATTTCCAGTAGGATTTGTTTCAAATATATTTTCAAATGCATGCTGTTCATCAAAATGTGTAACATGACTTGAGTTTGATTAAATACTTAATGGCATCCTCAATCATGATGATTATAAAAAAGTACTAAGTACAAGAAAACATGAATCGCGAAGAAAATCAAGAGAATGCAGAATTTCACCTCTAGTCCCTAGACTCTACACATATCCAGTCCCTCTGTGTCTAGCAATATCTAGTACTAATGCTCACAACGTGGCAACCATGCAAGATTAATTATTTTTGTTTTTACATGACATCTGACATCTGTGATTTTTCGGTCATTCACTTTTTAAATTATTTTGATTTGCAAATAAATAATAAGATAAATAGTTTTCGATAGCAAAATTTATGTAATTTTATCATTTATTATTGAAGCAGATATTAATTACTCAAGATCAAGAGAAAGAAGTGTAATTATACTGTAGTAGTGAATCTCCTATACAGGGTTTTCTATGTGTTTGTGATTCTAATGAAGCCAAAATATTGGAAATATGAGTTTTATAAGTGATTTGAGCCAAACTCAGGAATACCTCAGCTTCCGAAGCAGCGTACCATTACGAAGGATAGTTGTAGATTCAGAAAACTCCAAGGTAAACATTACAAAAGCTGATAGTTGCTTCAAAATTCATACAAGTTATCATTAGTATCATTGTTAGTATTTATTCTATGTCATATTTTTACTTCTTAAGGTCTGACCCATTATTGTGTTATTCAATTTCCAGAAAGATAAATATTATGATACATGAATCACTGGTTTAAATAAATTAAAAAAAAATCTATCTTTTAAAAATATGAACATTAGACCTTGCTATGATTTTTCCCATGCTTACTCATTGTTTCTTCTACTAATACATAGCTAGACTTTCCTGTAAATATAAATAATATACTTCTATAGTTGTTTTATCGTTCCATTCTAGGGATGGCGACTATATGACTGTGGCCCTAAGAAAGTTACCTGTCCCTTGATATGTCTACCACCTGTATCAGGTACAGCTGATATCTTTTTTAAGCAAGCATTAGCCCTATCAGCAAAAGGAATTAGAGTTATTTGTGCTGAAGCACCTGTTTACTGGAATGTGAGAGAATGGTGTGAAGGATTTAAGAAGCTACTGGATTACTTGGAGTTGGATAGAATCCATATTTTTGGGTGTTCTTTAGGTACAGGTATACTTTAACAAAAAATAATTTTGGAAGCTCAATCCTCTCACTGTTAGCCTGGTAAGGAAACACAAAATTTGGTCAAAACCTCACAAACACTCTACAATGAATTAAAATTTGAATTTGCTCATAGAAATAATGTTGTTGCATAATGGAAAGTTCCGGATTCTTCTATAGAAACTGAAAAATGCTTGAAAAACTTCTATTTTTCACTAGCCACCCACATTGCACAACAGCTATCTCTACAATATTTTCATATCTATGATAACGAGATTAGGGCAATTTTCTTAGAGCTCTCATTAGTGAATGTGAGTAGCTAACAAAAATATGTCATGCTTGTTACAGAAAGATGGCTGTTTGTTATATGTAAATGTCATTTGAAATATATTTTTCAAGAGCTTAACGATTCCACTGTCCAAGCATCATCTCAGGGCTCTGGAAGGAAGGGGCGTAACATTATTTTCAGTCAGGATAATCACATTTCTGGACAAGTCAACATTTATAAACCTTATTCAAATGCTATTTACCTCGCCTTATATCATTCATGGTGCCTAGATCATCAAATTCTTGTGCTGCTATGCAGAGAGGTGCTGAATGAGCAGATGTTCATATTTTTATATATACATACAATATTAATGTCACTACAATTTATGGGCTATAAAATATGAAAAAAAAAATTCAAAAACTTGACTCTGGTAAGGATAGAACTCTGTACCTAAGGATAGAACTCTGTACCTTTAGATTACCAGCCAATAATTTATTAGCAACAATTTACATTCGATTTTTAAAATTATCTACAGTAATATATGCACTTACAATATACAGGGTGGCGCATCGAAAACAAAACAGACGCATTTACTGGCAGTTCAGTTTTTTTTTTTTGGAAAAACGCTCAGACCCGTCGATTTTGTTTTCGAGGGGGACACAAGTATGGCAAAAAATCACGTTAACACGTGCAACCCCCTGGGCGGGGGTGACACCAACCCTAAAATCTTTAATGGAAAGGGGGGTCGAGTGATACCTTATTTTAAAGGTCTTTCAATTGCCTTTATATTGATGTAAAATACATGAGTTTCAGGTCAGTAGTTTTGAAGATCTATTGATTGAAAGCTTAAAGTAGACTTTAATAGGTACATCAGATTAGTTTGTACTACTTTCAGAAGAAATTTGACTAAAAGAATTTACTTAATAATTAAATGCTTGTCTTCATTACATCCATGGTCTATCATTTTGTTGTTGAAAATAGCTATTGGAGCGTTTTTTGTGGCAAAAAGTTATTTCTTGAAGAAAGATAAGGAAATACCTCCTACTTATTTTAAATAGGAATTTAGTACAAAGTTTGTGATTGTTTTGATCAAACTTTGTTGCTAAAATAACTTGTAACGCTTTATTTCATAAATTAACCATGGTATATTCCACAGCAGAAAGAGTTGAAATTATCGAAATATTTTTCGGAAATAATCTGTGCGCTAATAGAACAGCAGAAATATTTAATGAGCGACATGAGAACAGTAACGTGCATGGAAAATATGTTCTAGAACTTGTAGCTTAATTGAATGGCCCCCAAAATCGCCATGGATTTCTTTATGTGGGGTCATTTAAAAAGCAAGATCTATGCTACTCAGCCAACATCATTAGAAGACCTGCGACAAAGAATTGTGAATGAGTGCCTTCAAATTACTCCTCAAATATTGCAAAATGTGCGGCAACGTTTTGAACAAAATCTTTATTATTGCATGGAGAGTCATGGTGGCCATTTTCAACATTTACTTGCCTAACGGATCAGTTCATTCTTCATTTGTAAATTACTTTGCTGCCAAATGTGTTGATCTCCACTAATGATGATGTATTAGTTTTATTTAAGCTTTAAATCAATAAATCTTCAAAACTACTGAACTGAAGTACATTAATTTTATATCATTATAAAGGGAATTGAAAGACCTTTAAAATAAGGTATCACTCGACCCCCCTTTCCATTTAAGATTTTAGGGTTGGTGTCACTCCCGCCCAGGGGGCTGCACGTGCTAACGTGATTTTTTGCCAAACTTGTGTCCCCCTCGAAAACAAAATCGACGGGTTTGAGCGTTTTTCCAAAAAAAAACTGAGCTGCCAGTAAATGCGTCTGTTTCGTTTTCGATGCGCCACCCTGTATATACAGTATGATAGTTTGGCTAAATGCTAACATGGTAATATTCTTTGTGGAATTGAGTCCACACTCAATTTGATCCACAGAGATGCTTGTTGTTAAGCAAACTAATTTTATAGCATTTACGTGCGGGTGGTTATATTAATGTCACTTCCAAATGATAAAATGGTATTTGGAAAAGACTACTACAAGGCAGATGGTCTACCACTGCACCAAAATAACAGCCACCAGCTTTCAAAACTAGTATGTAATTATATTTTTTGTGCATTATTTTGGGCACAATTTTTGGCTACAACCTGTATGTGTCAATGCAGAGTCTTTCCATTCTTAACTGTACCACACATATAATCTGGATCTGCACAACATTTTCAGGGACCATTATTATTATTAAGTATAGTTTCAAATTTTCATTCAAAACTTCACAATTAAAAAAGTTTCCCAATCCTCTTATTATTATTGATATTAAATTCCCTTCAAGATAGGGGAGAAGGGGGCAAGTTGTTACAAAATTAATATAGTTATTTATTTGGGCAAAAGTTGTTCTTTTATATGAAAACTAAAATTGGAGAAAGGTACCACATATATCTGTACATGTATTATCAATTTTATTTTATAATTTTTTTAATTTTTTGTACTTGGTAATTATAAGTTCAAGTAACTTTGTAAACTATAACAACTTGCCCCTCTGTAGGGCAAATTGTTACAGTCTAAGGGGTAAGATGATACAAGAAAAAAAACTCAAAAACTTCAAAAAACAGTTTTGATAAATGAAAGGAACCTTTATTCAGCAACACAAAAAACATTCGGAACATTACATAAAGTAAAATAAAAAAAATTAAATGAAACCTTTGTAAAAACAAAAACCTAAAGAAACTTGTAAATGAAAGTTAAACTAATCACTATCGGACAAGCAGTGAATACAAACATAAAAATCGATATCTTTGCCACAACCTACATGCGCCCACCCTTTACAGGCAATGCACTGGATCCACTCTTCATTTCTAGAATGTGAAAATGGAGTTAAACATATCAGACATGCCGATTCTTCATCCTCTTCTGAGCTTGTAGAATCTATTTTTTAAGGGTCTTTTTAGCGCTCTGTTTCTTAGATTTAGACTTTGCCCCACTTGTTAATTCACCTGATATGTTTCTTTTAGTTGCTTCCACATTTTTTTTCAAAAGTGCGGAAACTCTTTTCTTCCGACCTACTTTTGATTTTCTTGGCATGGCTTTTGGGTAAGGTTTTAATTCTCGGGGCGTTATATGAGTACCAGTAGATAGTAAATCAACAGATTTATCTAACGATAAGTTGCAAGCTTAACTCTTAGAAGGTTGTGGGGTTCTTTGGTTTTCCCTATTAAATTCTGGTTCAGGACTTATTTCCATTGCTGTGTTAATATTTTCTGGCTTTGGCCTGTCTGTTACTTCTGAGGGTAAGAATTCATCATCTTGAAATATTTCTCTGTTGAAAGGCCAAATTCCAGTCACCTTAAATCCTTTTTGTATATTAAGATGCGTAACAGCAAGGGAAAATGAATCTCTTAGAACGGTAGGTATATCATAGATGTTCATTACTTTACCTGGATTAGATCTTAACCATGCATCTGCAGCACTATTGAAATATCTTTTAAGTGGGCCAAACACAGTGCGATCAAGGGGCTGCAGCTTGTGAGATGTGTGGAACGAGAAACTTAAAAGAACAACTCCATTAACTTTGCAAAAGTTCAACACAGGGATAGATAAATGTGATTCATGATTATCTAAGACCATTAAAACTGGTTTCTCTTTGCTACAGCGGACAAATTGGACAAAATTTGCGTTAACCGCTAATGCCAAGGTAACAAGTTGACCCCTTTCTCCAGAAGTGATAGCGCCTACCTGCTTAGTTCCCCTTTTTGCTATGATTTTTGTGGGCCTTTGGACCGTGGTAAGTCCAGTCTCGTCCATATTATAGACATCTTGAAGCTGGAATTTATATTTATCATAAACCTTGCCAAGATTATTGAAAAACTGCGACACATTATGGCGATTAAACACAGTGGCTCTGCCCATACTAGTAGCTTCGGGTGTTCTGACAGATAAAGTTTGATGCCTCTTCAGAAATCCATATAACCTATCCTTGGAAGCTATTTCTTTCACCTTCCAATTTTCTGGAACAGATATGTTGTTTGCTATCGCAAAATGAAATGCAAGTTTGCGCAAATCAGAAGTTGTAAGACCGTAATAAATTTTAGCGGAATACATGTATTTCGCAAGTTCCTGTTCTTCGGCATCGTTAAATATTTTTCTGTGCGCAGCGTAGCCAACTAAGCACTTGCTTCTGTTTTCAACGTTTAGGGCTAACTTTCTTTTCATATAGCGGTGTAACGTCATAAAATTAACCCCGTAGCGAGTAGCAGCATCTCTAATTGATAATTTTTCTTGTAATATGGCCTGCATGGCACTTTCATATTGTTCAATTGGAATAATACCTCTTGCAGTTTTCTTCTTGTACGTTCGCACCGTGTTCAAGAACCTGAAAACAACAAAAACAATTTTATTGTGTAAATTTTAGTGGAATAGAAAATTATAGTACTTGTATTAAAATATATGGGGCAAGTTGTTACAGTAACAACCTGCCCCCAAATTATTGTAACAACTTGCCCCGCGTGCACAAAATGAGGTTAGGCCAATGTTTTTTGGTAAGTATTGTGAATCAGGTAAAGACATCGGCATGCAAATAAAGAGAAAAATATAGGCTCCAGAATAGTATAATATATATATTTATACTACTTACCAATTTTTCACAAACGGAAACAAAAGCGAACAGACAACCGTACAGTTTTATAACTGAAACAACATTATACACGAAAACACCATGAAGGACGCTACATATGAGTATAACTGTTAGTGTACAGATGGCGGGTCGGCAGAGCCAATCTCTTGTACATTTTCATGCAACCCGTCGTACTTGCTGGGCTTTAAAATAATTATGTAACAACTTGCCCTCGTAACAACTTGCCCCCTTCTCCCCTATTGTTAAATTTTGCACAAAAAATGCTCAAAAACAATTACTAAAAAAAATTAACTTAGTTGTGCTATATTGTCTTGCCTAAAAAGTAGATACTTTTGCTATTCAGTATGATTATTCTACAACAAATGGGAAACAAAAGGCTAGAAGGGTTTCTCGGTATGATGAATTTGAAAAGATCAAACAAAAATGTTGCTCACTTTTCCACTAGAAACAATGGGAGCAATTTCAACATATTCACGATAAAATTTAGCATTTTTTTCTATATCTTGTGTCAATTATACAATTATGGGACTTGGTAAATGTCCAAAAAAACTATTTTAGCAATAACGTGGCTCGAAAGTCTCGCATACGAGCATTTACATGGGTCCTCCTAAACAAACAAAGATATGAAAATATTGTAGATTTGACTTTTTTCTATATCTTATATTTACAGGAGCATAAGACAAATCAAAAAGTAACTCAAAACCTTTCAGTTCCTGCCTAAAATAGGAACTGGAAGTTTTTGACACGTCAAAGAAAAATATTTCAATAACCTAAATCCCAATTTTCATCCGTTTTAGAATTTTTGTTAGGTCAAAAGTGTTCATTTACAGGGCTATGTCCCAATTTGGAATATTAAAAAACGTGTGATTTGAGTCACATATTTTTTTCCAAAAATATTACAGTTTTAATGATATTTTTTCATTGGGTTTTTGAACATTTTGGTCTATTAAGATATTAAGAACTAAAAAACAAACACTGTGACCAACAAATTCAGACACTAGTGTGGACCACAGTGCACTTGATAAGTCTATCTTTTGACAGTTCTGTCATTAACTGGGTTGGCAGATAACTTTTAAAAAAAAGTTCCATTGACTGTGACTAAGTGACCCCCTCCTGACTCATATATTGGCTTGCTGACGTAGTGCTCTCCTTACTGTTATAACTACATTTGTGTCATATTGTTACAGGTGGGTATTTAGCTCAAAAGTTTGCTGAATACACAGTGAACTGCCCACGTGTGTCTTCCTTAATATTATGTAATACTTTCACTGATACCTGCATCTTCAACAATCATGATTCAGCTGCAATATACTGGATATTACCCGCCTTAGTTTTGAAACGAATGATTATGGGAAATTTTTCCTCTGGTAAAGTTGATCCTGAGATGATAGGAGCTATAGACTTCATGGTTGAAAGGGTAAAGCTTTCTATCAGTTATACAACTGATATTTATCACCTTCATCACCTTGAAATAGTCTAAAATTCAAAACTAGTGCAATTTTTTTAGAACATCACTACCTTTGAGTGGCGAGGAAGATAAAAAAATCAACTGCTACTTTCATTGTAATATTTACAATGCATGTTAATGGTTTGGATTTTTTCAGCTTGAAAGTCTTACACAAACAGAACTAGCAAGTAGGCTAACTTTGAACTGTCTAAAAGGGTATGTTGAAGCCCATAAGCTCTCTGATGTTCCAATTACCATCATAGATGTATTTGATGAATGTGCTCTCTCAAGTTCAGTTCGAGAAGAACTATACAAATGTTATCCCCATGCTAAGTTGGCACATTTGAAGTCTGGTGGAAATTTTCCATATTTGAGCAGGAGTGGAGAGGTGAACCTTCATTTACAGGTAAAAAATTAGTAATTACCAACTTTAAACAGTTTATTTGATATAAAAATTAGGTTTATATGATTTCTCGTTTTCTTGTGGCTGCTGAGTTAAATTGCTTAGGATGTATATGGATGAGTATGGTATTTGGGTTTTCAGTGTCAACTGAGAAAAATAGCTCATTTTGTTTTAATATCCATTTTGTCACAAGACATATTTGACAGTGCCAGATATACAGGGTGTTAGGGAAATAATATTCGTAACTAAGAGGTGATTTCTTGCATTATTCTAAGCAAAAGAGTTCATTATAACCTATGTCCGAAACACGCTACACTTACACTTAACCACCTATGTGAGAAAAGTTGTTGAGTAGAAGATAGCTAAAACAAAAAAGCTAATTTGCACAAAAGTTTACTATATACATATGCATATATGAAATGAAAAGAAAAACCGTAATAAAGAAAAGAGCAACACATTTAAATTATTGATTCAAGCTTGAAATTTAGCGGGTTTCTTGAAGCATTTTAAGGACATATTTTTGAATTAAGGACTCAAAGCCTTGAATTAAACTGCAGCATTCTACGTGAAAAACGCTGGACAGAGTGAATCCGCAGACGAACCTAGCACATTTATTTTGCACCACTTGAATCCAATTTCTAGTATAATTTCTTGGCAGAACATTGGAATCCCAAATATCGAATATTCACCCATATGCTATTTCTTGTCAGTAATTTGAGACTATAAGCATAGATGCCCCTTCACTGAGGCCTGCTTCATTTGCCTTGACAGCCCTAGGCTCAGAGATGTTTACTGTTTGAAGTCACAAAAAATTCACATAGAATTCATACTTAATCTTACAGATACATCTGAGGCAATTTGATAATACTCCTTACAGTGCCGCAGATAGACCTCTTGTTAACAGGAACAGAACCTAAGGTAACGGTAAGACTGATACATTGAATTTGTTATTATATTGTGCCAATTGTGTGATCAATCATTAGGATAAGCTTGAAGTATCAATTATGATGTGCAATAGCAATTGACATTGACAAGAAAAGTCATATGATTACTTGTAATGATAATCATAGTAGTAACATCAATGAATTTGCTCATATTTTTATATTATGTTTCATATCTGAAAGAATATTAGATGCTAGAAAATGGGGACGAATGATCAGTGAGGATGCTTTTCAACCTTATGAATGTCAGCTTTATTTGTGGAATAATTTTCCCATACTCAAATCAGGAACTGCTCTAATATTAAGTTTCTACTTCTACATAGAAATTCTTTTGTATCAGCCAGTGCTGGTCAAACGTCTAAATAGTGCTTCTGGTTGTTATTTATATTCAGGTTTTTGTGAATTTTCTGTATCTGCGTCTTAAAAATATTGGTTTTGTGAAAAGAGAAAGTGTATTGGTTGGTGTGGAATGATAATTTTAGGAAAATCTAAGAATATACTTGCATATTATATCATTCATTAACGTATTCTACCTGAAGATAGTCAATACTAGCTTATTGGAGATGAAATAAGATACAGTATAGTGTTATCTATGAGAATTTGTCATAGCTATCATTATCCTATCCGCAATGATTATATACTTTGAAAACGTTAGTGTCTCATAGATGGCGCTGTAACCAACTATACAGTACCACTTACGAGACACTAACCTTTCCAAAGTAGACTCCCAATTATTGGGGAGAGGATAAACCTCGTTGAGACAAAATCTCGTAGATGGCGCTACAGTATCTCATTTTAGCTCGGATAATTTTTTGGAGGCGTAAATATAGTACCTGTTTGGTTATCTTCAGGTAGAATACGTTAATCAATGATTATAAACCTTACTACTTTATTGCTCTGTTAATGGTCAATTTTTTCAATATTTTAGTTTTGTATCCAACATCACTCTTATCCTATCATTTTATAGCTGTTTATACCGTTAATTATATTTGTACCAAAAATTATATGTGATAATGGCTGAATAGATATCTATGAACGAAAATAGTTTGTGTATATGTGTTACATTAGGATATATGACTAATATTCCCATATCGTGTTGTATGTAAAATGTATACAGAATGATACAGAATGCAGTGCGCGGATTTTTTTGTCGTTTTCAAATAAGGTATAGTCGTTTGAGACGCTATTTTAATAAGAGTTTTTTTATTCTTAAAATATATATTTCTATTCATTGTTTGTATAAATTCATTCCTTTTTTCTTCGCCATTCTGGTATTTTCCTGAAAAGATGATGTGATATTAACCACTTATTTTTATCGAAGCTATAAGATGTTTTATCTCTATCTCTGGAGATTGAAGTTGCTATACCTCTGTATCGATCGAGGATCGTAGGGAGCGTAAATGGTAACCCTCCCTCCCCCGCTTTACCAAAGAAGAGAATGCTGGATGGCAGCACCGAGCCAGTGTTGCCATTTGTACCTATTTTCCAAAGAGTAGTCTTATCAAGGGAACAAATTTCGCGGATATCTCTTATAATCCGCCGGTCGCCTCCTTTGACCTTGGGTTTCTTCAGCATTATAGTACGGGAACCGACCGCCAAGTTTTTGTTATATCAACGCATCATGACACGATACCAGAAAAACTGGTGAAAAAAGCTTACGTATAACGTAAGGTTTGACTAGCTCGCGTATTATTTAAGGTTTGACTAGTTTAACATACTATATCAGTACGCTGTGTAACCAAAATTTTGCGGTCAGCTCTTGGACTATTACTGGTTTCCAAAAAAATACAGCAATTTACCGTTCTTGGTTTGGCGATTCAGTCAGAGATGACTGGACATTCTGCCAAGGATCCGCATGTATCGCTCTGCTTTTACCGAGGCGGTGTTGCCAAACGGTCAAAAAATATTTAGAAAATGCTACATTTATACTGAGCTGAATAGAATTCAGTTATTTTCACTGTATTTGGTGGTTAAATAAAAAAGTCATACGAAATACGTAAACATATCGTCTTAAGGCCAGGCTCTCCAGTTTACTGGCAACTACATTACCGACGATTGCTCATATAAGCTATTTGAGGTTAGAACAGAATGGATTTCAGACTGAATTTGATCTTCTACTTCTAACCTAAATCGTGCAATATTCCGCATAGTGATCTAAAAGTTAAAAAAATATATAATAACTTTCATGTTAGGAGAATAACATCTGTTTAGCATTAAGAACTATTTAAAATAATTAATTATGCTGATGATACCAGCATGTTCATTAGCGACAAAAACACCACTTGGGTTAGAACATAAGGGTCGACTTGTGTTTTAATCAGTGAAGAAATTATATGCAATGAATAAATTTGTACTAAGGCCCGTATCGTTAGTCGTCCCTATAATTGTAGGGCGCGCGTTTATGGCCTCCTTGATTGTCATACTCCTTTCTCTCCTTCAAAAATTTCTAGATTACACTTGTCCCGTGTCAGCGTCAGCGCTCTCCTATTGTGAAGATATGTTTTCTTTTTAAATTGTAGGAAATTTCAGGCTGATAAAACATGATATAACTCAAAATCAAGCACAATTTGATGCAAATAGATGTTTGTGACATAACCTCAAAAAAAGGGTTCTGACACGGAGAAGTAGAGAACTATGACAATCAAGGAGGCCATAAAGGCGCCCTACAATTGTAGGGACGACTGACGATACGGGCCTAAATAAGCACAAAACTGATTTAACAATATTTAGTACAAAACAATCACAGATTGATATACCACAAAATATCACACTTTCTGATAGTAATATCCAAGTAAGTCAGCACACATTTAGGTGAATTTCTGTCTTGGACTCCACACATAAATATAACTGCTTTGGAACTGGATAGCACCAGCTATGGAATAAGAGAGTTGTCTAAGTATATAAATTCAGAATGTTTAAAAATTGTGAATTGTGCAAATTTTTGAATCGATTTTACGTATTGAAATAACCCTGCTTGGAGGCAGCTCAGAATTGCAAAAATTATTTGTTATTTGAAAAAGGACCATAAGAGCAATGAGACATATGAAATTTTATTTTAATGGCAGTAAGTGCACTTTACGTTTTTGAATGTGTGGTGTTCACAGTGAAAAATAAAGACAATTGTCTCACGCAAAATGATTACACATACGGTAAAAGAGCTTTGAATGTTTTACTACCTCAGCATAGGCTGACAGTAACTGAGACTATACGTGCACAAAGTTGTATAATAAACTACCTAATCATTTAAAAGCGATGGAAGGAACAGGAACTTTAAAAAAAAAACCTGAAACGGATCTTAGTTCAGCTGGAAACATACAGTATTTTTGAATACATGAATGCTTCGTTTTAGTGTTTGGATGGGTATGCCGCTAGTCTAGATCTATGTGATTTTATACATATGTATTCGTGTATTATCATTATTATTTTGTTTACTTGACGAAAGTGACGAAAAGTGTGATTAAACGCTAACATCTGTTTTGTGGATGCTATGTTTTTGGTTAGACATCTTATCTCTTTCAAATTTGTCTGTCTTCTCTTGGTATAACTACTCTTTGGACTTACTATCTATTGATCAGCATCAATGTACTTACAATTTAGGTAGATTGTTCAACGAGACCGTACAAGCTGGAAAACTTATAAGACTATGACTTTCGTCATGTACCCTGTTCATCCACTGTATGGTAGGCTTTAAAAGTCTGTCAGGATCTCGAGGAACAAGTTGGCTAGATTTGCTCCTTATTGTTGGTTTACTATTGTCCCTTTCTCGGATTTTTCTTGCTCTAGCGATATACATATCGTCTTGACTTTGGTATTGTCTTATCAGTCTGTTAGCCTCCATAGCTCTGTAATACGAGTAATATTCCTTGACGTGATTCGAGCATAAAAAATGTACAAACAATTGTTTTTGAAGCATTTCGTCGGTAGTCTACAGGTAGATGAAACATTACCGTTTTTTCCTCTCTATTTCTTCAATTTTCTTCTCCTGGCGGATTTTATCTTCCTCTAATGCAGCTTTTGTGATTTTCCATTCGTTCACGATCTGTTTGATCTCTTCATTCCTCTTTCGTCTCATTTCGTCTTGTTCTCTTCGTTCAATTAGTTTCTCCATTTGTATTTTTCGAGTCAACTCATACTGTATCTGTTTAGTTTCCTACAACAAAAGTCAGAGTGATTTCATAATTCAGAAATTAATGGTCAGTTGCAAAGACTCAATTTATCCTAATTATTCTCACTACTAGGCCAACCCTAGAAGAGAGAAAGTTAAAAAACCTGTAGACAAAATATCTCATTTTCATAATAGCATTTAGCTACCATTACTCCTGTGGCAAAAGTTCAACATTCTGAAATATAAACAAATATGCGTTCGATTTATGTCTTGCCAGATGTCTAGATGCTGTTCGAAGGGATAATTTACGAACAAATCATTGAATTCATTGAGGAAAACAAAATTATGACAAAATATCAAGCTGGATTTGGAAAAAAAGATTCTTCCGAAACAGCAGTTCAAGTGGTGAAGACTGGAGAAGAAGTATAAATGAAAAAGAATGTACTAATAACAGTATTTTTAGACTTCAAACTACCTATTGAAGGATAATTATTAAACATTTTACAAAATCATTTAGTAAATAGAAGTCAAAAAAACTAACATTGGAATTTGAAAATTGTCAAGCGTTCAAAATATATCAGTGGGGATGCCGCAAAGAGGTAAATTATGCCCGTTACTATTCATTATATATTTAAATGATATCTTCGACTTTTTAGAAGACTGCAAAATTCAAATATTTGCAAATAATATATATATATAACACAAACGTTTGGACACTGCCTTGGAACTCTTAAATAGTGATATCAAAAAAATTATGACTTGCTATGTTAATAAACTCAAATTAAACACTAATAATAAAATTCCAATAGGGAAACACTCGGGTGACAGTACAATCAGGCTCATGATTAATGATAAAAAAATTGAAGTGGCCTTCAAATGTCAATTATTTTCAATTTGTTTTTAGCTCCTGATGATGGCAGCATAGTCTGTCGAAAGCTTGAGTATTTGTAAGTCAAAAGGGTACACTTAGCATAATAATTTGTCGATATCCCCAAAGACAAGTCTTCCACTTAGCTAGTTATTATCGACAATAACTATGAATCGTATATATAATATATATGTATAGTAAACTGCTGTTTCAAGAGCATTATGAATAAATACATTATTTCAAAGGTTTCAAAAACGATAAATTACTTCTATAAAGTTTCCCATAATCTCATTATGTATTCCAAAAAAACTGTCATTACACTATAATTCTTCCATTTTTATATTGTTCAGCGTTTTGTTTACATCAAATCAAAACATATTTACAAAATTACAAATTGTACATAATAAAGCTATGAGAATTATTTCAAATAAAAACAAATATGCCAAGCATAAGTATATGTTAGAAGATCTACAGTGGTAAAAAATATATGTTATTTTCATATTCAAATTAAAAAATAATTTATTACCACCACATCTAGAAAATAGTCGTTATCATAACTAGGAAACTAGAAGCAGCTTATATTTTGATCTACAAAATTGTAATTTAAAAATGTTTGAGATCAAATTAATGGAAGAAGTATATATAATACCCAAAATGCATAGTGGTGTAATTTTAATAGAGAAGAATGTAAAATAATTATACAAGATTGGCGTTATAGCATTAATGCTGAATAAGTATTCAACAAACAAACCTTCCATTTCATTAACTTTTCCTGTATACTTTGCTTATTCTCAGGCTCCAGCTTCAATTTTCGAGCATATCTACTTTCGGCGTGATTCTTGCTTGTACTTTGTTTGTTTTTCGATTTTTTCCAACGAGTTATAGCTTCCTTTTTCTTTTTGTTCAAGTCTAGGTACTTTTCATACCATTCCTCGTGCTCATAGACATCCTGAATGCTTACATCTAAAAGCAGCCAACTGATGAGTTCGACCATTGAACGTGTACTCGGAATCACTTCTTTTTCGTCGGGAGCGAAGTGCATAGTGGGGGAGCTGGATCGACCGCTGCGCACACGCCGGATAAAAAGGGAAACATCGAACAGATAGTGGAATATGGTATATCTACGATGAATCCTGTCATGTGGGACAAACTGAGTTCCGGCAAAGGTGCAAATATTTCGCTGCATCAAAAGAGAATGGTCTTTAGCAAATTTTTCCCAACCTTTGCTATCCGCTAGGTGTCTCTATCATCGCGCTCCCAACGATCGTAGTAGAATGACTAATAGATAGGCATAGTTCTATTATTTTGCATGGCTTTGTCTGACAACTTTTGACTTTTCGAAGGGTTAGTGTCAAAAGATGTTTTATACAATTTTTGTGAAATCATTAACGCCAGATTCACCAATACTCCATTTGGTGTTCACTAACCTTTTTCTTCATATGGTGTCAAAGAACTGTATGCAGAAATATAATCCCTAAACCAAGGATTATCGAAGATATACAATTTTACGATACGAAAGCGAATGAAGTATGGTGAATGTAATTTCACAAAAATTGTAGATAACGTATTTTGATACTAAGCCACATAGGCGCTCGCAGGGAAGGGTGGGTCGAAGGTTCATGGCCTTCATCTTTAGAGATAAGTCTGAAGCCTATGGGCGACCAAATGACTCGAGCGAGTTTTTATATGTGATACAAGCAGTGCAAAATTGGAATTATCTTGACGCAAGTTTTACCATACTACCTCTATACGAGGTTGAAAACGATTCATGATGCTAAACTGTTGAATTGCGTCAATTTTTTTTAGGAATTATCTTGGTTGATGCAAACATTTAGCTTATAAAGAGCTCGTTCATTTATCTTGAAGATACCAGATATTGACTAGGAGACAAACCTGGTAACACATCATGAAGATTTTCAGCGGCTATTTTAATGTCCTTATGTTTACTTCTGAGTTTAACAAACAAGTCATGGTCCTCCTTTCGCCAACCATTCTCGTGACCTCCACTTTTGTGCACGAAGTCCATGAATTCTTTGGCTTCCTTGAAAATAAAAAATGCTTAAATCTACATTTTTAAGTTTTTTTAGTAACAGTGAGATAAATGTCCATTATCACAATTAACATATGACGTTCTCAAAACGTAGAGCAAACATTTTTGTAGTACATTTTTGTCTTTTGATTTTCAGAAAAACCACTTTTCGCGAAAAAAATTTCTCAATTTTATATATTAACGATATTCCTGATATTTTACAACACTGCAAAATTCAACTATTTGCTGATGATACATGGATATATATCAAATAAAGACATTGAAACTGCAATAGAGCTGTTAAATAATGATATGGAAAACGTAATAAGTTGGTTAAATGTAACTAAACTTAAACTAAACACAAACAAAATCTATGCTAATAGGAAAATCTTCAGATCAAAATACGATAAATCTTACAATTAATCATGAAAAAATGTGTCAATTGAATGATTTAAATATTTGAGCATATACGTAGACTGTAAATTAAAATTTGAAGGGCACTATGAATATATTATTTCAAAAAGCATTCATTCAAAAAATTGTGTACAACACTATCATTCTTCCTCATTTGTTATATTGTTCGACTATTTTGTTCACTGCAAATGAAACTGTATTTTCAAAATTACAAATATTACAAAATAAAGCTATGTGAATCATCTTAAATGAAAAGAAATATACTAGAATAAATTTTAGGCTGAAAGAACTACAATGGTTAAATATCAAAAATTGCATAGCCTACTTGGTTTTCATTTTCATATTCAAGTTAAAAAATCATCTTCTACCAAATCACTTAGAAAATTTTATTGTATTGAACAACGAGTGCTACAATTATTCTACTAGAGCAAGTATCGACTTTCATTTACAAAACTGCAGTAGCAATATAACGAGCAAGTCAGTATTTAAAAAGGGATTGTACGAATTTAATAAATTAAGTAATGATATCAAGATGTGTGGCAGTTTGAAACTGTTCAAAGGGAAATTGAAAAAATATCTCATGGAAAACCAGAATTCATAGTAGTGAAATTTTGTATAAAAATATGTAGTCTTGAATACATAATATATTTTGTGATATACTGTGTAATATGGATATTATGGACATTGTAGCATTGATGCTAAATAAATCTGAAACAAACAAACAAAATATTTGACTGACTTTAAAAAAGCGTTATGAAGCTCTAAGATTATAGTTGTCTGTTTTTTTTTAGCCGAAAAATTTTAGGAGCAACGGTTGTCATTCAATTCTAATAGATAGCATAAGAAAAATGTTTTGCAAAATTTGTGTTTTCTTCTTTTTAGTCCACGGGCCACCCGTTTATTCAGGTTCAATATTCTGTTTTTAAAATTTCCATAAGAACATTTGGCGCCGAGATATCGGATTTTGAATGAAAATGGATCCCTTTGTCATCGACCACTGATAGCTTGGTAACCAATGATCGGACAGAGAATGTAAGGGTATTTCCGAAAACTGCAATAAACCTCCAATAAAATTTGATTGCAATCTTCGAGGATTTTTTTTCTTACTCAGTATTGATCTTGGAAAAGTCAAAAAGTTGCTTTTTGCCATGTTTTGGAAAATCTGTCGCATTTTTGGAACTGCTAATGAGAAGGCTAATGTGTTTAGGTTTTTTGTACCTCATTGTACCCCTAATAACCCTGCATGACGACAGATCGATCCATTACACGGTTTCTCCGGACCAATTGATCAAAATTTGAATGAAATCAAATGAGTAAAATTTTTGTACCAAAACATCATGTAATCTGGTTGAAAATGGAAAAATCATTTTTCTTCTTTTGTTGTCACTATTAGATATCTGTCACATCTTCAATTATATAATAAAAAAGCACTAACTTTTTTTTATTTATTCCAGTTTTCGTAAATACCCATACATTCTCTGTACGATCACTGGTTAGCGAGATATAAGTGGTCGCTGACAAAAGAATACTTTTTCATTCAAATTCAGATATCTCCGCGCCACATGATCGTATCCAGATTTTAAAAACATAATATTGAAGCTGAATAAACGGGCTATCCGATCCACGCCCCACCAGAAAAAAAGCTTTCAAGCTTGTGGACTAAAAAGAAGAGGGCTAAATTTTTCTTGCGCTGTCTGTAAAAGTTGCATGAGAATCGTTAGTCCTGACATTTTTCGGCTAATAAGCCTCAAAACTAGAATCTCCAAACGCGTGTAAAAAATCACAAGAAAAAAAATATGTTTCCCTTAATTTCTTGAGCAGCGTAGATGAAGTTAAATTTTAGTTTAGTTAGATTAACATTTAGATACGATCTTTTTTCACGAAAATACAGTTTTTTCAAAAATCTCCGAAACAATTGAATATTATTTTCAGAGAAAAGAATTTACCCCGATGTATTGGCTTGTCACTTTTGTAGGGAATGGTAGGCAAATTAGCTAAAGGTATGTACCAAAACTATACAATTTTGGCGACAAACAATACAATGTAAACATATAGGCGTGGCTCCTTCTAGTCTATTCGAATTTGTTGCGAAAACTTAACGCTCGGCGGCTTCATGGAGGAGAGCTCCGAGTAGCGAAGCTCGTTAACATAACTGTAGAAGAAAGCCAAATCACTGTCCGCCTGTCAATGCGAAATGATCCCGAGATTATCTGTTACAGAAGTGTTATCTATGAGTTGGAAATCCCTCCTCTGAACAACATCGATTATGGAAAATGTAGTCGGTGCGGCAGCACCCCAAACGTGAGCAGTACTCGAGGCTTGGTTATATCTGAGAATTGTACAGAGTGCGGAGGTTATTTGGAGAACAGTACTTAGCCCTAAAGAAATAACTTCATAATAACAACAAAATAACTGGGTATCTCCAGCTAGAATTAAAGATAAAAAGATAGAAATCTTGTAGACAGCCCACCACTTTCACATACACCAGGATTACTACTTATCGAGTTACATGTTCCGTCCAGCAATTTTATTTTTGACAGAAGCGTAGGATGAGTCAAGGAGGACTTTATTTATGACCTAGGGAAGGTGTTTGGGAGATAGCTAGAATATACATATAATAATAACATGAAACTCATAAAGTGACTTTTTAAATCTATCAATCAACACTTTTCATTCGACAAAAATTCGCGAAGCTAATGAATGACGCGTTCGAGATTTTTTCACCGTTCGCCCAACGGCAGATGACAAAATATGAGTATGAGTTGCTTAAAAATACTTACTTTTTCACATATATTGCATCACTAATCACATTTCCCCAACACCCGTCTTTAAATCAAATAACTTAATAAAGGGACAGTACCGTGACAAACGATGACAACATTCACAAAAATAATATTCCAGTGTCGCATGCGAGAATATGTCGCATATCAGGTTGGAGAACTGCCCAATCTCTGGACTTGAAAACCGTATATATGCCTATCCAGTCTCCCATATTATATGAGAAGATAGGAATGTTGAATTCTACCTAGATATAGTAATTTTGAGCAGTTTTTGAAGGCCAAGAAGCTTCATGTGTGATTTTGGCTAGTGCAAAAACTGTTGTTTTCGAAAATTTTGCACGCTTGGTACTTTCGAAATGAAACGGTTCTTCGAAAAAGGTCGAAGAACAACATGAGGTACAAAATAGTTGTAGAACAGTGGAACAAATGTTTGCCCTATGTTTTGGGAACGAATATACAGGGTGTCCGCAAAGTTGGTGTTTTCCTTTTCAGAAACAACTACCCTTGAAATAACAAAGGTAATGTGTAGTGAAACGAGGGCGACCAAGTAAAAAAAAATAAAGGAAAAAGTACTCACTCTCCAGTTGACGAGAAGGGCTAAGTACGTCTCTGCCCGAAATCATACCGCTCCAACAGAAAATGAAATCAGCTGATGCGGTACCGAGCAGACGCAGGCAAACAAGGAAGGCAAAATGTTGTGTAAAAAGTTCTAGGTATTGCATCCCGTCCAATCGATTTGGGAGAATAAATGGTCCAATGAGCATACCGTTCACCATGCCATCCCAAACATTCACCGAAAATGTTTGTTGAAAATGAGCCCGACGGACAGCGTGCGGATTTTCTACTGACCAAACATGAGTGTTGCGAAAGTTATTCACCCCATTACGCGTGAACGTAGATTTGTCTGTCACCAATATGCACTTCAAAAAGTCCGGATTATTGTCATGTTGATGCAACAACCACTCACAAAACCGCACTCTTGCTGGAAAATCATCAGGTTGAAGGGCTTGTACACGTTGGACGTGATACGGATACAGCCCCTCTTCACGCAGCGTTTGCCACACTTTAGTTTTTGATACTTGCACTTCTCTAGCCACGTCTCTAGTGCTTGTTGTTTTTTGAAACGCAATCGATTATATGGGTTCGTTTACCTCTACACGCGTGACCGTAACCGTCGGTTGAAGGTTGCATACTGACCTGACACACTGACCCCGACCCAGTTCTGTCGTCGGGTTGAGCTAGTGTCCTAGTACCATTCGGGGATGTCGCGGCTACAGGACGGTATTAAGATATTTTTGATGTTGCAGAGCCCTTTATCTCGATTCCCTTAAGACATTGGTGTATATGGTACTAAGAAAAATTGCTTATGTTTTCAAGATGTACACGTCGTTTAAAGGAAAACCCCAACTTTGCGGACACCCTGTATATAAGGTGTCCCAGAAGTGGATCTCAACCATCGCGGAAAATTTGAAATTATAGGCTATAAAATAAAATCGGAAAATTCCACATCCTGTGATGATCTTTTAGTAGTAAAGTGGCGTTGCCGTCATTCTATAATTACGTTGAATGACACTGTCTGTCACTCTGTCTAAGAAAAAATCGAAATTTATATTAATGGGAACTAAAAGATCATCGCAGGGTGCAGATTTTTCCGATTTTTTTTAAAGCCTATAATTTAAAAAGTACATGACTTGAATTTCTTATAGCTATTATGACTTGGCCTATTCCCCGTTTCCGGTTTGACGTCGATTTCTGGGACATGCTGTACATGTTAAACCAAAGTTTAAAATTGCACTTGGATTACGGATTTTGACGATTAAGATACCTTGCTCTGGTGTTTTTTGCTAATTGATTTTGGTTTGATAGGATTGCTATTACAGTAAATGTTTACTTTCGTGGGTTCTGCCCATTCTAGCATCTTACTATTATAAAACTGTATATCTTCCCATAATCCTATATTTTCATCTGTTAACTCCTGTAGTTTTTGCCTAGATTCATACTTTAGCTGATCAATTTGGTCTTGAATGCATATCATTTCTCTTTTAAACCCGTCTACGTCTGAAATCAGTTTTTGGTAGTTAAAAACACTATACCTACATTAGAATTCATTGTCTCACCAACTATATTAACATTTCTATTCCTTAACTGTTCCTGCTTTGAATGCAGATTATTGATCAGTTCTGTGATTTTTATCTTGAGACCCTGCCTTTCTTCTTGCCTAATTAATTAATGAAATAAATATTATATATGACTATACAGGATGTTTATTAATTGAATGCCAATATTTAAGGGGGAGATTTTTGGGTCCATTTCAAGAACAAAACTTCTTAAGTCCTAAAATGTCTTAACTTTTGAGATACAGGGTGGTAAAGATTTCAAAAATAAATCATTGGCATGCCGATGAGTTTCCATAAAATAAGAAAAATGCAATTGTGTTTCTTAGAATTAGAAAAATGCAATTGTATTCGAAGTAGAAAAATGAATAGGTATGTATTGATCAAAATGATTGGTGATTTCAAGGATAATTTTTATGAGAGAAATCAATGTTTGCCAAAATATACAAGTAAATTTCCGTACGAATGCCACTGGTGTAAATTACAAAAATGTGTTATATTAAAAAAATACATACATAATACATGTATGCCAGATTTCATTAAAATATCCAAAGTGGTATAAGAGATGTTAATAAAAATTGACCCCTTAAATATGGATAATCAATTAGGAAACATCCTGTATAGTATTTACGCATCGTCACCATGTGCGCTATATGTCTGCAGAGAGACGCTATCTCGCATCACGAGCAGTTTTCCCTTCGCATTCTCAAACTACAAACATATAGGGATCAGCTCAGATACTAGTATAGCTGATGGCTGTGATTGATTGCCCAAGCGTAGAGGTGAACCTAAGAAAACATTGTGTTTCGAGAAACATGACGCCAGTTTCCAAATTTAACCAGAGGCATCGTAAGTCCTCCCACGGGGCTTCTCCAGCAGTATTGTTGGCCATTTGCCTTGGCTACAAAGTTTTTGCTTTGTACCACTGAGACTCTTCTGCCATAATAAAATGCAGGTGTAAATCGGATATATTTTTTTAACATACCTTTTAATTTCCAACTCGAACCCATAATCAAGAAAATCAAATCCAAACTTTTTCAACTGGACAAGTGTGGAATGTATAGCCTTTTCTAAACTGTTTTGTAAGGTTGTAAGTTTATTTAATTCTACAGTAGCAGATTCACTCATTTTAATGTTTGTATTGATACGAATTTTTATTATCGAACAAGCAACATTCAAAATCTTTCTAACCCGCCAATTTTTCAAAGTTGACGTTATATGACTAGTTGAGGTCACGAGGTGGAGACCATGAAAATAAACGCAATGTTGCCATGCTGATAACACCATTTAACAGTAGTACCCAAACGATAAGTAGGTAAACATGACATAAAATGGAGAGGTTTTCAAATGATGCTAACTTCTATTAGGCCATGGGATAAACTTATTCGGAGGAGCAAAGACGGCAGATAAAAATACGTGTTTTCGATACGGTTCTACAGCTTGATTAAGTCTTATGTGTTTTGTGACTTGATTCTACTTTTCCTATCATTCTGTCAAACATGTGTCAGTGTAATGTCAGTTGTGACAGAACTTTTAGGTTATAATACGATAAAAATATAAACAACGTTTTTTAAACAACACATTAAAAATGGATTCTGAAGAGAATATTCATAGATTAGAGGCAAGCACAAGTACGAAAGGAGGACTGATTGTGAAAAAGAAGCCCCCAACGTTTAAAGTACCCCAACCATCTTTATTTGGACTTGATAAACTTGCTGCACAGAAGCGTAAGGAAAAGGAAGATGTGGCGAGGAAAATGTCTTTTAATGTGGATGAAGAGGACAATGAAGACAATGCACCGGGTTCTTTCAGAGGAACATCAAATAAAGAAAGGAAATTCAGGACACCACAAGAGGAAACACCTACATATACAGGTGGTTTGACAAAAGAGGCTAAGGACAGATTTATGGAAAGACTAACCAATGATAAATTTAAAGAAAAAGGTGTATATGCAAGTACCAAAGATGAAAAAAGGAATAGAGATAGAGAACATGATAGAGATCGTGATCATAGGTATGTAGAAGTTAACTTTGTAATATTATTATGTGGTTATCTTAATATGCTTTACTGGTTGGTCTGTGATCAAACCACACAAAGACTTGAAGGCAAGAACCAGTTTTATGCAATTGTCACTTGAAGTTCAGAAGATGAAGCAAAGTAAATATATTGTGAAATCAACAATGAATAACTACCATATGCCATAGTCAAATTCTTTTTGAGAGTTTGTAAAACCAATTCTTTTCACAAAAAATGTTACTAGTTCTTGCAATGAGTATTGATGTGATTAATTAATTAAGATTAGTTCAGATTTTGTCAACTTTGGTGCACTTCATTTGAGATGCAAAGGTTAAAACTAATTTTTGAATATACTTCAATGTGCTGTCTCTAGAATCACATTGTGCTAATTTAAAACTTTGCAACTGTGAATAATTATGAAAATATGTTACCGGCATTTGTAGACAACTTGGATGTTTCCAAAGATGTATTTTGCATTTTTCAAATGAAGAAAACATCAATAATGGAAGTACAACAATTTTTTCCTATTGATATTTTGACTATCATATGCTTTTTTACCTCTTTCTACTTTTCTACACTAGCAAGGTCATATTAATTTTGTCTTTATATTTTGTTTTTAATGTTATGTGGTATTTTTGGCATCACAGTTTTAATCCTCATAAATATGTTACCAGCATTTGTAGTCAACTTGGATGTTTCCAAAGATGTATTTTGCATTTTTCAAATGAAGAAAACATCAATAATGGAAGTACAACAATTTTTTCCTATTGATATTTTGACTATCATATGCTTTTTTACCTCTTTCTACTTTTCTACACTAGCAAGGTCATATTAATTATATCTTTATATTTTGTTTTTAATGTTATGTGGTATTTTTGGCATCACAGTTTTAATCCTCATTATCTTTAAAATTTTATTCATGTTTATTGATATTAGTTTTCTCTTCTCACTTCAATGATAAGGAGGCACCGGGATCATGACAGAAGTGAGAGAGACCATCATAGAGATAAGCACAGAAGTAGAAGTAGAGATAAAGATAGAGATAGACACAAACATGACGACCAGCACAGCTCAAGAAGAGAAAAAACACCTGCATTCAAAGATGAGCCAAGGACACCAAACTTATATATCAAAGATAACACATCTAAAAGCACTTGGGATGAAGATGATGAGCCTAGCTCTTTGAGGAGATCAGACTGGGACTTTCCCACACCTGCTAGCTATAAGGCAAGAGGTTAGTAAGCCACCTTAACTATTTACCATGATACTTAAACACATTCTGACATTTTTTGGTTAATTTTGTACTACAGGCAACAGTAAGTCTGTTAAAATAAAGTGATTTACCTGACTTGAAATGTAGTCATGATCATTATCAGGGATATTGATTAGATGATTCTGATTAAATACAGAAACTTCTCTGGATACTTTATGCACACTCAGTACCACAAAAGTGTTGGCGTTGCTGGTAGGTATGAAACAGTATGAGGTCCACCTCTGTTACTTGAAAATATGGGGTGTTATAAATGTCATTAAATGATCATCTATCATTTGTTGTCACATTTAAACATGTTGAACTATTTTGGAAAACAGTGTATTTTGGCACCACCCAGATTTGCCCAATAGCCATCTCCTTCTGTAAAAGAACAGAAGTGCAAATATGTGAGTTAATCAGAATATATTATGCGATCATACAATAACAATTTGTTGTACAACTTTCATAATAAAACAGTGAGAAGTCGAAACGCATTTCACATTTGAAAGGCATCAACAGTAAAATTGAAACACATTACTACTTCTCCTGTATTTTATTCTGAAATATGTGCGTCAAAATGCACTGTTCGAGTGCATCAGGGAAGGGTGTCCTACAATCACAGAACAAACTATTTTAGGTGATTGGTCAGAGCACAGTATAAGATCTGCTATGGAAAAATCAGATAGGAAAAGTAGTGTCAGACAACTGAAACAAGAAGATGATACGCCACGGCCTACGCCTGCGCACAAATTCAACGCGTGGATGAGAGACAGGAAGAAAACTGGAGCAACACCTGGATTGGGCCAGGAAAAAGATGGAGCTTTAAAATGGGATGCTACCGATGATAGAAGAGATTGGGAAGCTGAGCAGAAGAGGCTAGATAGAGAGTGGTATAATATGGATGAAGGTATGTATGTCTTATTTACCTATTTTCTGTTATACAGAGTAACACAAAGTCAACATTATGATTCACATTCATGAAACCTGTTAATAATTAAAATAAATTTGTCTGAAAAATGTGCTATATAAATCAGATACGCATTAGCGCCAGTATTAGCATCTTTTTTAATCCCTCAACAGAAAAAGATGTTTTAAGCATAATAATGAATATGCAAAGATTCGATTCTACTAAAGATGATGCATTCATCACTAATTTACTAAACCAGTTTACATGCAGATATTAGAACCACTAACATATTTGGTTAATCTATCTCTACAAACAGGTACATTTCCCCTCTTATGCAAACTTGCATCGTATGGCCTCCCAGAGAACCTTTGCAGATGGGTGGCTGACTTTCTCTCTGGGCACAAGATATCCGTCTCCTCTTCATCCCACAACGTCAACGCGGGTGTTCCCCAAGGATCGGTCTTGGCTCAGACACTGTATCTCTTACATATCAACGACCTTTCCTGTACGATCAACCCAGTCCTCAGCTTTGCTGATGACAGCACTCTATATGCAGGAATCTGACGAGAGACCTAGAGGTGATCACTGCTTGGGAACGCAATAGTTTAATGCGTCTATTACTGTACCTTGACGAACACAAAGCGACCCAGCGCTCATCCCGTTTCGATGGATGGCCGAGTTCTGCCGTTCATTTCAGATAAGACCTGGCCTTGAGTATTGCTCACACGTTTGGGGTGGTACCACCCCGTCTACATTATTTATGCTTGATCCAGAGAAGGGCTGTCCATCTGATCGATGACTCTTCTGTAGCAGACAGTCTCAATACCCTTTCTACCGCTACACCAATGGGCTTTGATCCTCAGAGCTCTCCTCCCATCCTAACCGTGTCGGACTTCATACATCCAGAACTGGCCGATTCGACCGCTCCTTTGTCTCGAGGGTGTCGACATTGTGGAAAAATCTACAACAGCTCAAGACAAAGCGTCCGCGGTGTCCTGGTAGGCTTCTGCCTGCACAGCTGCTTCAGTATCAAAAAAATTCTGAAGATATTAACAACTATAGCCCATTTGCAAAGATAATGGAAAAATATGTTGCTATTTGTCTGAGGGAGTTCTTTATTAAACAAGATTTCCAATTCGGTTTTTTTAAGGGATTGTTCACATCTTAAACTTTTCTAAACATGCTGTATACAGTTACGGACAAAAATAGAAAAACAGTGTGAATATTTGTAGATTGAAGGGCTTTTGATCTGGTAGATCTCATGTTTCTTCTACAAAAACTGTAGCTATATGGAGTAAGGGGACTTCCACGTATCTAGGTTGAGAATTACTTAATCCATTGATCTTAATATCTACAGATAGGTAACCGCAAATCCGACTCAATCTCATGCGACAGGTACCTCAGCGCTCAATATTCGTAACTCTGATATGCATAATCTACGTAAATGATTTCAACAGCAACAACTTTTTTAAGTATGATGATGATACACGACTCTTAATTAAATGTTACCATGGTTTCAACATTTGCTGCATCCGCGACAAGTGCGTACACGGATTAATAACCCCGTATAATGTTGAATTTTTTATAAGAAAATTGATTGGTTTGCTGATCCTGTCATTTTTATTGTAGGATATGATGAAGGAAACAATCCATTTGCTGGAGTGAGTGATGAGTATACTAAGAAAAAAGAGGAGCAGTTGGAACAAAGAAAGAAGAAAAGATTGTCGGCTCAACAAAGACAGATAAACAAGGACAATGAATTATGGGAGAGGAATAGGATGTTAACATCAGGTGAGTTGTTTTCAAATGTTTTGTGAAATTTGAATAAAATTAATACAATGTTTCTTTATTACGAATATTGATTCAATTGAAACATACGAGGTCTGTAAATTATGTAATGAGTCTGGCGACGTAGTGTTCGATCTGGCAACACTGGATGCGCCGGGCTTGGATGGGAGACAGGGGGACATGTGATCCGCCTTCAGTACAAGTTTGAACTCGGTTGAGTAATTTTATTGTCCGTAGCGATTTTTTTTTTTGAAACAGTTTTTTCTGTTGTATTCTAAAAATGAGTGTTGGCAATTTCGAGCAACGCTGTGCTATCAGGTTTTGCTTCAGACTTGGGCACGGTGCAACGGAAATTCATGCTGAACTCTAGTAGCCCTACGGAGATAGTGTTTTGTCAAGAGCTCAGGTTTTCCGGTAGCACAAGGCATTTTCAGAAGGGGGAGAGTCGATTGTAGATAAATCACGAAGCGGAAGAACCAATGCGAATATCGACAAAATCCGGGATCTTGTGCATTCAGATCGTCGGTTGACAGTCAAAATGATTGGGGAAGAATTAAATTTGACTCTCACCACCATTCATCAGATTTTGACCAGTGAATTGGGAATGAATAAAATCTGCGCATAAATGATTCCAAAAAACTTTTTTCAAGACCAGAAGGACATCAGGAAGGAAAAGTGCCTTGACTTTTTGGATTTGATTGAAAATGACCCCCATTTTTCGGAACGTCTCATTACTGGTGAGGAGTGTTCGGTGTTTGAGTACGACCCAGAAACCAAGCCCCAGACCATGGAGTGGCACACTTCAACCTCTTCAAGGCCTAAAAAAGCAATAAAGACGAAGTCGAAGGTCTAATGCATGCTGATCTGTTTTTTCGATATCCACAGAAAAAGAGTTTCTATCTCAAGGCCAAACGGTCAATCAACACTTTTACCTTTTACCAAACATCAAGAATAACTTGGTGTTGCATCACGCTAATGCTCCTTGTCACACAGAAATGTCAATAAACGAATTTCTGGACAGTAAAAACATTCCTGTGGCTCCTCAGCCTCCTTATTCGCGTGATTTGAGTCCTTGTGACTTTTTTCTCTTCCCGAAGTTGAAAAATCGCTTATTTTGTGACGGTCGAAAACATTCAAATGGCTGTAACCGACCAGCTGAAGGCTATTCCAGAATCGGAGTTCCTGCACTGCTATGAGGAATGGAAAAACTTCAGCGCTGTGTGGCTTCAGAAGGAAGTTATTTTGAGGGTTACAATATAAAATTGTAATTATATTTGAATAAAAAAAAACTTATTACTTAATTTACAGACCTCGTATTTTAGTATCACTTCTGCAATTTACAATATATTCGTAACACAAACATTATTGTTTATCAGGAGTTGTACATTCTGTTGACATCAACGAGGAATTTGACGAAGAAACAGTGGACAGGGTACATCTGCTCGTCCATAACATTGTTCCACCGTTTTTGGACGGTCGCATTGTGTTTACCAAACAACCAGAACCGGTGGTACCAGTTAGAGATCCCACTTCTGATATGGCGATGATAGCTAGGAAGGGATCGCAACTTGTGAGGATCTACAGGGAACAAAAAGAAAGGAGGTACATCACAAAAGCCCTATTAGTTAGACAGATAGGCAGATATCACATTTTGATCATTAGTATCCAACTAATTCTAGATTTGCTTAAGTTTTGAGCTCAAATTCAAATTTATTGGTGCCAATATGCACATGCACATGTCAAAGTCACAATAGTTAAGTCTAATTAAAAATGAAACAAAAAAAAAAGTAGAGATTAAGACATCAAACAGCAAAATCAAAGTTTTAAAATGTATGCCGGAGAAAAACAGACTTTAAGATACTTTTCACATTTTTTTTATATTTGTTGACAGACATGTCTCTGATGCTTTTCGGCAGATGATTAAAAAATTGTATGCCCTAGTACTCTGGAGACTTCTGACAGCCTGTTAGCCGGAAGTACTCTGGCATTAGATTACTTTTGAACCTGGTATTTGTGAACATGACTATGCATTCTGAACATAGTAAGGTTGTTCTTTATATGGAGATGATGTATTGGGAGGGCAATGTGAAAATCGCTAGGTCTCTAAAAGCTTTCTTACAATCAGCCCTATAATCCAGTCCTTTAATTATCCGAATAGCCTTCCTTTCAAGGCCAAAGACACGATGATATTGCGCCGCGAATTCCCAGATCAGTGAAGAATATTGCATGATGGAATGAAACAATGCTTAAACTGTTTTCAACTCAAATTTACTCACGCATCTCGCTAGACATCATAACGCAACCAGTGCAGACCAAAGTTTTTTCGTCACATGGTTTATGTGGACATCCCATTAAAGATGCTGGTCGACATGCACCCCCAGGAATGTTGCAGATGTTGAATTTATATTTACATCGCTCAGCTTTCGTAGTGAGAACACCATCTGTTGGGTTTTGCTCTAATTTAGCAGTCCTCATGTCTTAAACTCCGACTGTACGGCTTCCAATTCCAATATTGTTTTATCCAGGGAGCCTGTAGTTATGGAGAGAGTGGCGTCGTCCGCGAAAAGGGTGAAAGCAACATCTATGCTTGCCAATGACAAGTCGTTAATGTACAACAGGAGTAATATGGGACCCAATACTGAGCCCTGTGGAACTCCGATGGACAGTTCCCTTTCCTGAAACATCACTTCTCCCACACTGACTACCTGGGTTCTATTTCCCGAATGTGATGTAAAGTGATGATGAGTTGAGAACTTAGTAATGTTTGAGACTACTTGATTGAATCTTGTGAGCAATTTTTTGTCAATCTTTTGCAGGAAGGCGCAGAAAAAGCATTGGGAATTAGGAGGCACGAAGATAGGAAACATAATGGGTATAAAGAAAGAAAAAGATGAAGACGATAAAAGATTCGACAAAGACAACGATACGGCTGACTACAAAGCAGATCATAAGTTTGCAGAGCATATGAAAGATACAGGTAGATATATCACCTAATTGTTTTATTCTGACTATGTAATATATAATAAGCTATACAATTTGAGAATATTGCAAATGAATTGCCTGATAAGTTTGCTTGTTGAAGATTTCATTAGCAGTGATGCTACAACGTCTATTTTGTATAATTATTATCCTTTTAGACTTTTTGATTACAGAATATATGAATTTTTTTTGAACTTGGTATTTTTATACGCTTCAAAGTCCGGTAATTCTATGGACCTATCAGCCAGGTCTCACACATCATAGATTTACCCGTACATTTGCCTTTAAAAGAATTATAGAGAGCAGGAAAAGAATGTCTATGGGCAAACTATATGAGCCTGTTTGACTGACTTAATACGTTTAATTTGCACATTTCCGTAACTCGATTTTTCTCAGAGGATTTAAATTGCGCTGAACTTGATCCGTTATGAACTGATGACGGCATTGCGTAGGAAGTGCAGAGTCAACCCACTTGATGCCATTTTTTTGGAATACATACCGAGATTGTATGAAACTCTATAGAAGTAACTTATCTTTTTTGAAATTTTTGAAATATTATATTCATAATGCTCTTGTAACAGTAGTTATACAAAAATTAAATAAAATCACGTTTGTCACACGCTTATTATGAAATTAAATATTTTGAAAGTTACAATTATTTCTGTTTCCTAATGCTTGCTAAAATTTTCGTTATTTAAGTTTTTGAAGAAAAAACATTCGATATTATCACAAATAATATGAGACTCATAACTTTCACAACTGGACATAAATCTTAGTATTGTTATCATCGGAAAACTAATAATAACCTTTGCGATCGGTGGATTATCTTTCGAGATTCCTTAAGTAGCTTCTGAATTGGGAAGTTTTGAAATAAGATTGAAGTAATCTTAAGATCGTTTTGTTTCAGGAGAGGCAAGCAGCGACTTTGCCCGTAAGAAAACCATACTCGAACAACGTAGGTATTTGCCAGCGTTTGCGGTCCGTCAAGAACTGCTGAACGTGATACGAGAGAACAGCGTGGTGATCATAGTAGGCGAAACTGGCAGCGGGAAGACAACGCAGTTGACGCAATATCTTCATGAAGATGGATACAGCAAATACGGAATGATCGGGTGCACACAACCTAGAAGAGTCGCCGCTATGTCTGTCGCTAAGAGGGTTAGCGATGAAATGGGAACTCGATTAGGTGAGATTTTATATTGATTAGAATTTTTTGCGCTTTCGTTTTGCTTCTTTATGATCTTCCTTATTGTGATTTTGGGCAATAGCGAGACAATCCTTTGTTCTTCGTTATTGAAATAAGACAGCTCCGTCAGTTATTTTGTAAGGTTATTTTTTCCTTATTCAGCACTGTGGCCGGATATCGTATAGCTGGGTAAGCTTAATTAAAATAATTTCAAGGATTAACAAGGTATTGATTAAAATATAATAGAAATATGAGTTTTAAATCACAGATAAAAATCAATTCAAGAAATGTTTGTTTGTTTAAGATTTACTTAGCATGATTGCTACAATTACACCTTCAAAAAACAACACATAACATACAAATATTCAGAACAAAACTTGCATCTCTAAGAATTTTCACTGTCTATAATTTTCTATTAAACACGTTTAAATCATTATTTAGTTTAATTAAATTCAAGTAATCCCTTCTGAAATATTGATTTGCTAGTTATATTACTATTGCAATTTTGTTTAATAATCGCGGTAATGATTGTTCAATTCTATGTAATGTTCTAAATGTTGTGACAAAAGATGATTTTTTATTTTAAATATGAAAATAAGAACCAAATATAATATGAAATTTGTTACATTCAACCACTGCAGTTCTTTGTAACATAGACTTTATTTTGGTGTATTTATTTTTATTCAATAATACTCTCGTAGCTTTGTTTTGTAGGACTTGTAATTTTGAGAATACAGCTTCATTGTCAGTGAACAAGATAGTTGAACAATATAGAAAACGCGATACAATAATTGTAGGGTGTTCAGTGGGAAAGTTCACTTTTTGATTTAAGAAAAAAAAAACACAAACTTCATGAAAAGAAAATATTTATTACTATCAACATATTTGTAAATTCGGCGGATTTTATTTCTTAAATATCATTCTGTCCAAATGTTTCTCTTCTAATCGCGCTCGCAAATTCTGAATCACTCTCTTGCAGTGTTCCGGAGTGATGTGAATTTCTCGTCGAATGTTGTCTTCAAGCTCCTCCAGTCTTCGTGGATTTTTGGAATACACTTTTGGTAACCTCACAAAAAATAATCGTATGGCGTGTGGTCGGGTGACCTAGGAGGACAGTGAATGTCTCCAAACTTCGATATAACTTTTTGAGGAAAAAGTGCTTTCACCATGTCCATCGATTTTCTGGAAGTATGGGCAGTGGCCCCATCCTGTTGAAACCATGTGTTTCTGTTGAATCGACGTTTTGTTCTTACAGTAGGAGCAAAAACAGTTACAATCATGTCCTTGTATGACCATTTCCATCTTCAAAGAAATACGGCCCAATAATTCCGCTAGAGGATATGGCGCACCAAACAGTCACCTTTGGACTATGTAGCTGTTGTTGATGTTTCTCTTTTTGGTTCGTTGGTGCCCAATATCTGCAATTATGCTTGTTCTCATAAACGTCTAAGTAAAAATGGGCCTTGTCACTGAAAACAACCGATTCAACATCCGTTCAGCACAAGATTTCCGTAATACGTATTAAAGCATAGACTAATTTAATTTTATAAAGATGAAAACCCATTTTTTTTCTTCATTATGCCGTGCAGTGTTGACCTACGGATTCCCAAAGCCGCGGAATGCTTCCGTACAGTACGCCGAGGATTTGCAATGACCGAATCGTTACGCTCCGGTCCAACGTTCCATTGTGACTATTTAACCCGCACGCCGAACCTCTTCACACCGTACTAAGACGATGAGAAGCCCTATAAAAGTAATTTGTTTTTTGGAGATTTTTGAAATAATGTATTCATAGCGATCCTCAAATCCTCGTAAAAATACCCGTATATTTAATTTATTCAACTTTTTCAATTATTTCACCATTTATCCTGTGATAGTATTTTCATTCAAGTATTTCCCTATTAGTACACATTTTGTCTTATAAGCATTCAAGTTTAGTTTATTTACATTTAAAAAATTTATATGTATCATCTGCAAATATCTGAATTTTACAATAATCTAAAATGTCACAGTTTACTACCTTGTGGTATACCAAGAAAAATATTGAGTTGGATAATGTAATTTTGGTTTTTCGACTTCTATCATTTAAGTAGTTTTGTAGTATTTTGTATACAGATCCTTCAAATCCTTAGTGCTGTAATTTTGAAAGTAATTTATCCCTGACAATAGTTTCAAACACTCTTTTGAAGTCCAAAAACACTATCAATGTAAGTTTACTATTTTCCATACATCTCCTCCAGTTATATATGCAATGTGGCAAGGTAGCTTTTTATTGTAGTTTTGCTTATCTTGTGGTCCTGATTCTATTCATTTCTTGTCCGATTTTTACACAACTATTACAAACACTTTTCTAGGAAAAAATTTAGGTCAAAACCGCATAATAAACAACCTCTCATGACTGTCAGTAGTCAGAACTGTGAAAATACCACAATTGACTTTAGTGGTCATAAAAACTCTTGCTTTCCAACAATCCTTATTTGCCATCGCTGTCATAAATAACATAAGTCTTAACGTTTCCTTATGAATATACCTTGTCGAGCTTTTCAACTTTTTAGGTATTGGTACTGTAATTATCATGCCCATAAGGTTTGTATCCAGTTTTAAAGTTTCCTATCCTGTATGATTAAGTAACTGTGATAGCATTTTCATTCAATTATTTCCCTATTAGTGTAAATTTTGTTTTAGAAGCATTCAATTTTAATTTATTTACATTTAACCAATTTATATGTATCATCCGTAAATATCTGAATTTTACAATAATCTAAAATATCTCAAACGTCACTAATTTATAAAGTAAATAGTAGTGGACTCACCTTACTACCTTGCGGTACACCAAGAGAAATATTTTGACTTCTGTCATTTAAGTAGTTTTATAGAATTTACGTACATACATCTCCTCCAGTTATACAGGGTGCGGCAGAGAGGATGGACGGTTTTAAAAAAATCATAAAATTGTTAATGTTTACTCGAAAACAAATTTATTGATGGAATCAGGTTCACAAGGAAATAGCATTTGAGACAGTCAAGTGTGGAAAATCACATCAGGCATGTGGTGGCCGAAATCGTTGATGCAGTGCTGGAGGCGTTCTTGGAAGTTCGCGTAGACTCTCTCCAACATCGCTCTCTCAACTTGGGCGACTTTCACGCGAATTTCGCCCTTCAATTCGTCCAGAGTTCGGGGCTTGTTCGCGTATACTCTAGCCTTGAGGTGTCCCCATAAGAAAAAATCGCATATAGATAAATCTGGGGACCGAGGAGGCCAATGAACATCACCAAACCTGGAAATAAGGCGACCAGGGAAGAGAGTGCGAATAACGTCCATGGATGCTCGGGCTGTGTGGGCGGTCGCCCCATCCTGCTGGAAACACACACGTCGAACTGGAACACGTCGCCGTCTTAATTCAGGGAGAAAGAAGTTGGTGATCATGTCGACGTCGTAGCGCTCTGAGTCCACGGTAACATCACGACCATTACCGTCTTCGAATAAGTAAGGGCCAATGATGCAAGTTTGCGATACAGCGCACCAAACCGTTACTTTTGGGCTGTGCAGCGGTCTTTCGTGTAACTGTTGCAGATTTTCATTAGCCCAATAACGACAATTCTGCTGGTTAACCATGCTGTTTAGGTGAAAGTGGGCTTCGTCACTCATAGGCGAAAACGCGGTGCTCCACCGTCCAAGGCTCCATAACGACAACTGGTAAAATAATGCTAGGATCTCACGAGTCAAACGGCACCCTCCCCACCTCTCTCGTAGACGGAGGCGGAGAGTACTACCCATCCCAAAAACGTCCGTCTTCTCTGCCGCACCCTGTATATGCAATGTGGCAAGGTAGCTTTTTATTGTAGCTGATCTTGTGGTCCTATGATTCTATTCATTTTTTGTCCGATTTTTACACAATTATTACTAACACTTTTCTAGGAAAAAATGTAACAAGGTTAAAACCGCATAACAAACAACCTCTCATGACTGACAGTAGTCAGAACTGTCAAATTACCACAATTGACTTTAGTGGTCATAAAAAGTCTTGCTTTCCAACAATCCTTATTTGTCATCGCTGTCATAAATAACATAAGGCCTAACGTTTCCTTATGAATATACCTTTTCAAACTTTTCAACTTTTCAGGTATCGGTACTGTAATTATCATGCCCATAATCTTTGTATCCAGTTTCCTAGCCTGTATGATTAAGCAGTATACAGTATACGTGACATAATTAGTTACCCATTATAAGTAATATTAATTATTATTTTTCTGTCTTCAATTTTAGGTGATGATGTAGGCTATGCAATTCGGTTTGAGGATTGTACTTCCGAAAATACTGTTATCAAATACATGACTGACGGTATTTTGCTGCGAGAAAGTCTCAGAGAACCTGACCTTGATCATTATAGTGCTATCATCATGGATGAAGCTCACGAAAGATCGTTGAGTACTGACGTTTTATTTGGACTTTTACGTGATATAGTCGCCAGGTAAGAAAAAAAATTACAAAACACAAAACTAAAAAAGAAAAGGCGAATAAATGTTCAACATGTTCCTAATTTCTAATGATTATAAATTAAATGTGGCACTTTGATATCAAGAAAGTAGGTAACGGTGGATTTTTATACGCATCATACTCAGAACATATTATTTCCAATGACTTAATAAATGTATTTCAAACGTAAGATATACTCTTTCTTTATGAAACTTTTTATAATTTTCAACAGGAGACACGACCTAAAGCTCATAGTCACCTCTGCAACAATGGATTCCACAAAATTCTCGATGTTTTTCGGCAACGTTCCAACGTTCACCATACCAGGTAGAACGTTTCCTGTAGAAATACTCTTCAGCAAAAACGGCGTAGAAGACTACGTGGACGCGGCTGTGAAGCAGGCTTTACAAATCCATTTGCAACCGCCTTCTGGCGATATTCTCATTTTCATGCCCGGTCAAGAGGATATTGAGGTCACTTGCGAGGTAATTTCAGGATATTTCGAATTTACTTCTTACTATCTATTTACAATTTAATTCAACAACAGCATGCCGAAATACTAGATAGCTATGGATACTCATTTTATAGCATATGTTCGGATTCGCAGGGTGTTTGACGGTAGAATTTCAAACTGACAATTCTATTTTAATACTAAATCATATGATGTAATCTCCCACGTAGGGTCCTAAGAGTTAATCAGCTAGGGCAGCGTTTCTCAACCTTTCACCATTCGCGACCCTTTTTTAATAACTATTTTCACCGCATTCTTTGTTAGTAGTAGTAGAAAGATTTATTTAGCACATTTGGCTACACGAACAGAATAATTGTAAACAACTTAGAATTAGTAAATTCAAGCCATATGATGTATGATGTAAATGCTGGGCAACCTATAATTGTCGGTTTAACAAGTGATTCCTCAATTTTACTTTAAATTTTGTCAAAGTTTTCTGGTCTTTTATCCCTGTGTATAATTTATTATATTCAATCAACTCTTGATGGAATACAGATTTGTAGCATATGTTATACTTTTTCGTCATTAAATGGAAGTCATCTTTATTTCTGGTATTATGTAAATGATGGTCGACATTTGATGATGTTAAATTAGTTAGACTTGATTGAAATATATTATTTTTTACTTTATAAATGCATGTCATTACAAGATATGTGATAAAAAATTTTACATTGAGCCATTTTAATTTGCTAAGCATTTGTCTAATTGGAGTATATTTATCTTTATTCAGTATTATTCGCATGCACTTATTTTGTAAAATTTGCAGTCTTTCAAAAATGGAATTACTTGCTAAATACAGAATAGTCGAACAGTACAAGAAATTTGGAAGAATGATGGTATTATAGATAATTTTTCTGCTATATAAACTCAGACATCCAGAAACTCTTGATAAATATCCCACTTTACTACTAATCTTATTTATAACTATTTCATAATGAATATCAAAAATTAATCGAGAGTCAACAAAAAACACCCAGGTATTTAAAATTTTCTATGAATTCAATATCTTCACCATCAATATTCAGTTGAACATTTGTACATTGTTTTTTCCGATTAACATAGCTTTCGTTTTACTTGTATTTAATTTTAGTCTGTTAGATGCTAACCATTTTGAAACGAGTTTCAAGTCTTCATTTCTATAAGAGATACCAGTCTGAACATTTTTAGTACTTATATAAATTATAGTGTCATCGGCGAAAATCTGAATTTTGCATTTTTTGACTATGGCAGGTAAATCATTTATGTATAAAATAAAAAAAAGTGGCCCCAGGATACTGCTCTGTGGAACACCCAACGTACATATACAAATAATTTCTAAACCAATCTAAAACACTTCCTGATATACGATATGCCTTCAATTTACCTAACTAAATATGTCTATCAATCGTTAAAAATGCCCTCTTCAAATCCAAAAATACTGCTATGACAACTTCTTCTGAGTCTATGGCTCTTCTCCAATTCTCAGTTACCAACTGGAAAGCCGTTTCTGTCAAATATTTTTTTCGGAAGCCTGCTTGCGCCTCCACTAAAATTTTGTTTTCTTCTATAAAGTGCATTAATTGGTCATGCACTAGAGACTATAATAATTTTTCAATGTGTGGTAACACATTTACTGGTCTCATATCGCTGCATCTTTTAGAATTTTTTATTTTGGGAACTGGTGTTATTGTAGAGCATTTCAAATTTTCAGGAAAAGAAGTGCTTCTCAGTGTACAATTGATCCAATTTAATACACAGGATATCCCAAAATTTCGACACAGTTTTTCAGCACGTTTTTAGTAGTGATTTCGGCACAGTTGTTATTTGATTTACTTTTTTCTTAGATAATTTAGTGATACGCTATGAAATTTTGAAAGTGTATGCAACACTTCCCCCTGTTGTGAAATAAAAAGTTTTCAAATAAAAATTGGTATACCCATTTTATGCGTCCATGTTTTAAATACCCCCTTGAGCAACTTGCACTAATACAACCTGATTTTATAATTATTTCGGGGTAATTTGCTAATATGATTAGAGTACATGCCGAATCTACTGTTTTAATTTCCATGACAACATTTTGTAACTTTCTCTATATGTCAACGATTCCTCCTACGTTTAAATGAACTTTTTTTGATACTTCAACGTGCTGAATCTACTCGTTAATTTTTATGACATTATCTTATAACATTTTATATCTAACCGATTCCATTATATTTTAGTTTTTCGTTTTTTGCAGGTCTTGGCCGAAAGGCTGTCTGAAATTGACAACGCACCCGAGTTATCCATTCTTCCAATCTACTCTCAATTGCCCTCCGACCTGCAAGCGAAAATCTTCCAGAGATCTCCAGAAGGTGTAAGGAAGTGCGTCGTCGCTACCAATATCGCAGAAACTTCGCTTACAGTTGATGGTATCATTTTCGTCATTGATTCTGGATATTGCAAATTGAAGGTGTATAATCCTAGGATTGGTATGGATGCTTTGCAGGTAAATAATGGCTTTTGTGTATATTTAGATGTGTGTTGTATTATTATTTTGTTTTAGATTTATCCCATCAGTCAGGCGAATTCCAATCAAAGATCCGGCAGAGCTGGGCGTACCGGACCGGGACAAGCATTTAGGTAAGTTTTTTGAGCATTGGTGAATCTTATGCTTATTAGTCGTGAAAAAATGTTGCACACTACCAGTAAATCTGACTGAGCAACCATTACTATGACGATTCGATTTTCTAGGCGAATTTGGAACTAGAAGCCAACGAGTATGGAGTATGATCAAAATATAATGGCCTTCGTCTATAATGAACAAGGAGGTAGAGCGAAGATGAGGAAGTGCGTCAGTTTGGCGTCTTACCATTCTTTATCAGCATTCTGGAATTTTTAGTTTATCCTAAAATTAATTTAGAGATTGGTTGTTGCAGAAAAATTGTAATTTTGGTTGGATCTATACCCCGTTCGTAGTCCATTTACGCCCAGACAAAACGCAACATGCCGAAAAGCCAGATTGTACAGGTCCGTATTTTCATCAACGGTCTTGGAATAATCTAACAGAATAAATGATTATTTTTATAGAAAGAAGTGCACACACTTTCCACAATTCTTTATTCGCTGGAAGTACTTGAATCATCGTCCGGATGGGTAATATTCATCATTACAGGTTCAATTTGAATATCGATCATATTGTCCAGATCCCACATCTTTGTTTCCATTTTTTTGCCGTCACTCTGTTGACAGCTTCATAAAACAAATCTTTCACGTCAGAAAATTTGAATGTTCTATTTTTTGAAGCCACATAGCCTTTTATATTTGCCCAAATCATTTCAATGGGATTTAATTCGCAGTGATAAGGGGGTAGCCTTAAAACAGTCTTATTTTGGTTTTTAGACATTTCTTCAATAACATTAAGATTATATTTATATTTGTGCTGCCTGACTAGATGGATAAGTTCTGCTTTGACCATATTTTCATTGCAATTAAAGTCTTTTGATATGAGGCATTGTTGAATTTCTGCCTTTCTTGCGGACATTGTGGGATATTTTTCTAGTTTTCTAGTGTGGTATGCAGCATTATCAAGTACAATGACGGCATTGTCGTCAAGCTTTTGGGAGCGTTTCTTCAAACCATCGTTCAAATGAACTCCCGTCCATTTCTTCATGATACTCGATCGTTTTCTTTGACTCAAATGCCCATAGGGCAGTGTGCACAAAGCCATCTTCACTGCCAATGTGACATAACAAATCGTTTCCCTTTTCCTGGAAAAAATTATTTCATTCAATATTAAAAAAATAATGCTGTGCTTGATTATACAGGTCTATTTTCAAATATGCTGTCTTTTCAACAGTATCATTCCGCTTATAGCACAAGTATAACTAGTTTTTGATATCTGTAATATGTAGCCCTATCGACTCGCGTTAAATAACTAGCTTGTCAAAGCTGGCCTGTGTGCAATTTTGGCGCTTCTCAGGTGGACCACATGACCTTTCTTCTCGTTCGAAGCTTGATGCTCTTATGAAAACGTGCTTTTACTTGAATTGATGCATACAACCTGGCTTCTATTTGGAGATGATCATTATGTCTATTTTATTCTATTGATTTCTCAGGTTATACACGGAACGCCAATACAAAGAAGAACTCCTCGTGACAACCGTTCCAGAGATCCAAAGAACCAACTTGGCCAACACAGTTCTCCTCCTCAAATCGCTTGGCGTACAGGACCTGCTTCAGTTCCATTTCATGGACCCGCCTCCGCAGGACAACATTCTAAACTCCCTCTACCAACTATGGATCCTAGGGGCGTTGGACCACACTGGGGTACTGACAAAACTCGGGAGACAAATGGCAGAGTTCCCCCTAGATCCCCCTCAGTGCCAGATGTTGATCGTCTCGTGCGAGATGGGCTGCACAGCAGAGATCCTGATTGTGGTGTCTATGCTGTCGGTGCCGTCGGTGTTCTATAGGCCGAAAGGGAGAGAGGAGGAGGCGGATGGGATTAGAGAAAAGTTCCAGGTACCGGAGAGCGATCATCTGACGTATTTGAATGTTTATAATCAGTGGAAGCAGAATAATTATTCGTCACATTGGTAAGCGAATATTTTTTATTTCATTCAAACATATGAGGTCTGTAAATTCAGTGATGAGACAGATTTTTTAAATTTTTATTATCCAAATAGAATTATAATTTTACTCAGCGCTGGAGACGATTCTTCCACACCTCATAGCAGTGCTGGAACTCCGATACCGGAATAGCCTTCAACTGGTCGGTTACAGTCGTTTGAATTTTTTCAACGGTCGCAAAACGCCCCTACGGTGATTTTTTTTTTCAACTTCGGGAAGAGAAAAAAGTGACCAGGTCTCAAGTCAGACGAATAAGGAGGCTGAGGATCCACAGGAATGTTTTTACTGGCCAGAAACTCGTTTATTGAAATTGATGTGCAACAAGAAGCATTATCGTGGTGCAACACCCAGTTGTTCTTGGTCTGATTAACGGTGGGGTGAGTCAAATTTAACTCTTCCCTGGTCTTTCTGACTGTCAACCAACGATCTGAACGCACAAGATCCCGGATTCTGTCGATATTTTCATCGGTTCTTGAAGATGAAGGCCTTCCGCTTCGCGATTCATCTTCAATCGTCTGAAACTGCCTTAAACCATCGAAAAACCTGGGCCTTTATCAAAATACTATCTCCGGAGGCCTGCTGAAGTTTAGAAGAGTATCCGTTGCACTGTGCCCAAGTCGGAAGCGAAACACCGTTGCTCGAAATTGATGTCATCCATTTTTAGAACACAATACTAAAATCTGTTTTTCAAAAAAAATTTGCTATGGACAACCACAGTACTCGAGCCAGTTCAAACTTGTACTGAAGGCGGATCACATGTTCCCCTATCTCCCCCTCCATGCCAGGCGCATCCAGTGTTGCCAGATCGGACGCTACGTTGCCAATCTCATCATTCAATTTACAGACCCTGTAGGTACGCACATTTTATCTCATTGCATGGCTCAACCCTACACCCGCGACGAGTTTTTAATTGTCCAATGACAATATTGACCTTTTTCCCACACCAAATCATTTGCAAGATAAGCTTCAATATGGCTACTGTCAATTGTTCAAGCACGAGTCTATAATTAAATGCATTATTAATGTCGTTTGAATGCAGATTCCAGGACCTTGACAGTAAAAAAAACAAAATATACAAATTTCGATGAATCCTTTGATCATCAGTTTATCCGAAATTTGGAACTTAATGATCTCTTAAAAAATCTTTTTGCGGAAAAAGTATCCTAGAAACCCCAAAATTCTTCAGAAGATCTTGTATACGTAGATTTCTGGAAACTGGTACCAAAGGAAGATTTTCTGACAATAACTGACGTAGCGTTACGGTTCCTGAGAAATTTCGGATCAACATACATATATTTGTGGAAACGTTTCCCAATCCTTGATTATGTAAAAAATAAATACCGCACATCGTTATCTAAGCAACTATTTGTGACGTGTTAGTGTCAACATCGAATTTGACGCCTAACATTGAATAATGATTATATCACCTTACATACCTTGAATTTGGATTTGAGATTCTTTATTTTTGTTTTATTATTTCACTTAACAATAATTAAAGACAAATAATTGGATTTTTTATTGCAAAAGTTCTAAGAATAACTAAAATAGTCAGTGGCTGGCTGAAAATGTCAGAATACTCCGCTTGGTCCGATTATTAAAAAGAAGTGTCTATAGTTAGTGAGGGTCAGAATATCAATACTTTGCCCTCGAAAAGTAAATTTTTTAGAATGTCCACTATTTTCTATGATTTAGATGCCCTTTTGTCATCGAGGATATACAGGGTGCGGCAGAGAGGATGGACGGTTTTAAAAAAATCATAAAATAGTTAATGTTTACTCGAAAACAAATTTATTGATGGAATCAGGTTCACAAGGAAATAGCATTTGAGACAGTCAAGTGTGAAAAATCACATCAGGCATGTGGTGGCCGAAATCGTTGATGCAGTGCTGGAGGCGTTCTTGGAAGTTCGCGTAGACTCTCTCCAACATCGCTCTCACAACTTGGGCGACTTCCACGCGAATTTCGCCCTTCAATTCGTCCAGAGTTCGGGGCTTGTTCGCGTATACTCTAGCCTTGAGGTGTCCCCATAGGACAAAATCGCATATGGTTAAATCTGGGGACCGAGGAGGCCAATGAACATCGACAAACCTGGAATTACGGCAACCAGGGAAGAGAGGACGAATAACGTCCATGGATGCTCGGGATGTGTGGGCGGTCGCCCCATCCTGCTGGAACCACACACGTCGGATTGGAACACGTCGCCGTCGTAATTCAGGGAGAAAGAAGATGGTGATCATGTCGACGTAGCCCTCTGAGTTCACGGTAAAATCACGACCATTACCGTCTTCGAAGAAGTAAGGGCCAATGATGCAAGTTTGCGATACAGCGCACAAAACCGTTACTTTTGGGCTGTGCGGCGGTCTTTCGTGTAACTGTTGCGGATTTTCATTAGCCTAATAACGACAATTCTGCTGGTTAACCATGCTGTTTAGGTGAGTGAAAGTGGGCTTCGTCACTCATAAACAAAATGAGGTTCTCATTTTGATCGATCAGTGCTTCCATCTCACGTGCGAAGTTCATTCGTTGTGCGTAATCTCCGGGTTGTAACTGTTGCACAATGGCCAATTTGTAGGGGTGAAAGCGGAGATCCATATGTAAAATTCGCCTTACCGAACGATCACTAAGGCGAAGTGCAGCAGCATGTTTCCGGGCAGATCGAGTCGGACTGCGAAGATAGACCTGTCGAACGCGTTAAAAATTTTCAGGAGTTCGAACTGTTCGCGGCGCTCCTCTTGGTCTTCTGTTGATCAGTTCACCACGCCTGAGAAGTGATTCAACCCAGCGAAGGATGGTGTTTCGAGAGGGAACAGCTCTATTCCGAAGAATGTTGAAGTGGCGACGAAACTCACGCTGTACGACGATGACTGACTCATTATTTCGGACGAAACAATCATAGGCGAAAATGCGGTGCTCCACCGTCCATGGCCCCATAACGACAACTAGTAAAATAATGCTAGGATCTCACGAGTCAAACGGCACCCTCCCCACCTCTCTCGTAAACGGAGGCGGAGAGTACTACCCATCCCAAAAACGTCCGTCCTCTCTGCCGCACCCTGTACTTCTATCTGGAACCCTATTTTTGAAAATGAGGGAGTAAAACCAGTGAGAGAAACTGGGCGTAGTTAAGGGTGGAGTAGAGGGGGTAAGTACCCCCCAGACCCATGGCTGATACTGGTTCCAAAAAGCAATTATTTATTAGATAGTGGATTTTTCTTTTTGGAATTGTTAGTGAATTCTGAATCCTAAATAATAGCTTATATAACTTATTGATTAAAATTAAAAGTTTAAAACCTATATAGCGCTGCCTGCATCTCACAACTGTCATTTTTATTATTAATTGCTTTTTGATTTCACCCCTGCAGTGTAGCTGTATGTGAAATATAGTGCAAGTAAAAACTGTCCGGCAGATTTGTACTATACCCGTCGATAAAGTCGAGATGGAGGAGTGCACTTGCTGTCAGGTGTTTTTCAGTTCTTTGTTCTCTTGCACCAGAGGTGGCACTCGCACCACCTTGTTACGCACAAATTGTGGCGCCAAAACCTGCAAAAGCATAACCTTGCTTTGTAACAGTCATCGACCTCGCAGTGTTGCCAATCGGCCGAATAAGCTTCGATTTGCGAAAATTTTTCGATTCGTGGAGGAAATTTTTGGAACCTGCATTTTATAGACACTTTTTGGAAAGATAGAAATTAATTTCAACGGTCGAGACTCATTTAGAATCAGGCCCATGATGTTGAACATAACGGACACGTGAAGTAGTCTCAATTTATTCGTTGCTAAGCGACGGTGCAATTATCGATGACACAATAGTACGGTCAATATATTTTTATTGTAAATTTTACTTACAAGCTCCTCTAAACTTTCGATTATAGCCAGTCATAGATAAAATTTTGTACGAGGGATGTCTTTTAAGTTTTGCATATGGAAATAAAACAATACGGTAGGTAGTTTTAAATGACTTTATCGTTTTTCGAAGTATTCTCCACGAAGATTAATACACATCTGCATGCGCTCGAACCAATTTTCGAAGCACTTATTCCACTCGTTTGCTGGCAGATCCAAAACGGCATTTTTGAATGCGTCAACTGCTTCTTCTGGTGACTGAAACCTTTGACCACGCAGTCTGTTTTTAATTTTCGGGAAAGTAAAGAAATCGTTAGGACTTAGATCGGGGCTATATGGAGGATGGTCCAATAATTCCATGCTTTCGTCCGTTAAATACTGAGTTGTTTTTTTGGGCTGTGTGCGAGCTTGCATTGTCTTGGTGGAGGATGATTCTTCTTTCGGGGTTGATTTTTCGAAGCTCGGTGATGACTTTTGGCAAACAAATGGTGGTATACCAATCCGCAGTAACAGTTCTTTGCTCATTAAGAGGAATTGTTGCAATATGACCCGCTTTTGATACAAATGTCGCGACCATCTTTTTCGAAACACTTCGAGAACGGATGACTTTTGTTCTTCACTTTAGAACACCCAAACAGCCGACTGTCGTTTATTTTCTGGAACATAACAGTAAATCCACGATTCATCAGCACTAGCAATGCTGTACACATTTTCTGAGTTTCCGGAATTGAAACGGTCAAGCGTTTTTTGACACCAATTAACCCTGGCTGCTTTCTGCTCTTCAGTCAACAGGTGGGGTATCCAACGAGAAACTAATTTTCTTACTCCTAATTCTTCATGTAAAATTTTTTGAATTGAGGTCTTTGAGATCTTCAAGGACGCCTCAATCTCGCGATATGTCACATGTGTATCTTCAATGATGAGTTTGCGCACAGCATCGACGTTTTCCTGGGTGACTGCCGTTTTTGGTGCACCCACCCTGGGATCGTCGCAAGACTCACCCGTCCACGTTTGAATTCTCCATACCAACGGGAAATTGTCGACTGATGTGGCGCTTCGTTGCCGAAAACAGACAGTAACTCAGCAAGGCATTCCTGTTGCGATAATTGAAAGTTGTAATAAATTATGGCGCGAAAATGTTCTCGGTTGAGTTCCATTTTTCTAATGACTTGGTGACACTTAAAAATTCACTGTAGTCAGAACACACCACGCATTGTTGTGAAACTTTGAATTTAAGTTTACTAAAGAGTGAGGTTAAGATTCAGTACTGACGTTCGATCCGCGCGGCCTACTATGTTTCTATATGCAAAACTTAAAAACGTTGCATGTCCATTTTGATATAACTTCACGGATCATAACCTATCGCTTAACGCCGTAAATATATAAATAACTTCTCTGGCAGTGATAGTTTGTCATAAAGTATTTATAATGTATATGTAGAAACCTAACTACCGAGGCGCCACGAATTCGATAAGGAGCTAAATGACACCTTGATGTAAACATTTCAAGACTAGGTGGAAAACTCGTCAGACATTTTTAAAACGGGTTTCACGGACAAATCACTTTCTTTTTTTGTTTTCCGAGTTTCTGTCAAAAATGGAATTTGACAGTTGCGGAGCACTTACTCTGAGGGTCTACCGATGGAATAACTAGACGTGCTTCGGTATACGAAGGTTTATAACAGCAATGTAGGTTACAATACTTTTCTAATAATGTCTGTCTTTTGTGGCACCATCATAAGAATTGCGTCTTGCCTCCGTGGTTGGTAACAAAAGCCTGTACATTCCCGCACGGTCGGTAATGTAGGGTAACTGCCTGGTAGTAGCAATCGGGCGATGAGTTAAAGCGCCACTCACTAGATGGCGCGGGAAGTACTGTTTTGATCTTATGGTGGGTGCGCTTAACAACAGTCATTTCTCAGAATATCTTTTAAGTTGAAGATTTCTTTAATATTATTCAGATCTACTTGAGCTTTTGAATTAAATTAAAAAAGGTCATTCACAAACGGCAAATAAGTATCAAAATACCCCAAATTTATTTTACTCCTGGGAGAAATTTTGTAATGAGTGCTTATTTCAAACTCTAGTTGGTTGCTTTGATTCCTCCATTTTTTCTTTTGCTGCAGGTGTAACGAGCATTTCATCCACGTCAAAGCCATGCGAAAAGTCAGAGAAGTGCGCCAACAGCTGAAAGACATCGTCGTTCAGCAAAAATTAGAAATAAAATCATGCGGCACCGACTGGGATATCGTCAGAAAATGCATCTGCTCAGCGTATTTCCACCAAGCTGCAAGACTAAAAGGCATAGGCGAATATGTCAATCTAAGGACGGGTATGCCGTGCCATCTACACCCTACCTCAGCCCTTTTTGGACTCGGCAACACGCCTGATTACGTGGTCTACCACGAACTTGTCATGACTGCGAGAGAGTACATGAGATGTGTCACATCTGTGGATGGTCAGTGGCTTGCAGAATTGGGCCCAATGTTCTTCTCTTTGAAGGAATCTGGGAAATCCGGCAGGGCCAAGAAGAAACAGGCGGCGGAACATTTGTTGGAAATGGAGAATCAGATGCAAAGGGCTCAAGAAGAGATGAAGGCTCGCAAAGAGGCGGCAGATAAAAAAGAGGCTGCACTCAATAAAGGACAAGAGATTGTTTCAGCTGGAGCCACTCCAAGGAGGACTCCGGCTAGATTTGGATTGTAAAATATGCAGGTTAACAGAGTTTGATAAAATTGTTTGTATTGTGTAAATAAAATATTGTTGAGACGTTATTAAAAGTCAGTTGATTGTCATTCGGAGGTCGAAAACTAATTTCTAGATCGATTATTAAAAAGTATCTGATCCTATAAACGGATTTCTTTTTTCTTTATTGTCGATTCTCTTCTTTTTACCTGTTCCACCATCTAGGCATTGAAGAATATTTCAATTTAAAGAGACTGTAGATCATTTCAAGAAATAATAGCAGATCGAATGATTACCTATTTCATAGAACGTGTCAACGCCATTGTAAAATTAATTATTGACGGAGATCCCAATGTCCCATTAGCTAGCAGATTATAATGCATCATTCAGTGAGTTTAGAACAATAAACATTAATCGTCTCAAGAAGATTATATCAAAAATTAAATCCAATCAAAATAAGAGTGAGATTTTGTCTAAAAGTGTACTTGATGAATGTTTTGATAGTATTGGAGCAAAAATATTAATCCTGATAAATTACTGTTTAAAATATGTCGAATTTCCAACAAAAGATTATATTAAAAATTAAATCAAATCGAAATAAGAGTGAGATTATGTCTAAAAGTGTACTTAATGAATGTTTTGATATTATTCGAGCAAGAAAATTAATCCTGATAAATTACTGTTTAAAATATGGCTAATTTCCAAGAAAACTGAAGTGTTCTACCATATCTCCTGTTTCTAAAGTCAAGAATTCTGAGTTGTACACCAATATGCGGCCAATAAATGTTCTGACAGATGTTGAAAAAGTTTTTGAAGAAATTATTTACGAACAGATGATCGAATTTTATGAGGGAAATAACATTTTAACCAAATTTCAAGCTGGATTCAGGAAGAAACACTCAAATGAAACGGCATTACAAATGGTTTTAGAGGACTGCAGGAGATGTATGGACAATAGGAAACATACAGTAACAATGTTTTTGGACTTCAACAGGGCGTTTGAGATTATTGACAGGGATAAATTACTTACAAAATTGCATCGCTACGGATTTAAAGGATCTGTATTAAAAATTCTACAAAACTATTTAATTGATTGAAGTCAAAAAACCAAAATTGGATCTACATTATCAAGATCAAAAGATATTTCTGTTGGTATACCACAAGGTAGTAAACTAGGTTCACTACTATTTATTTTATACATTAAGGACATTTGTAATATTTTAGAATATTGTAAACTTCAGATATTTGCAGATGATACATTAATATACATATCAGATTAAAATATATACACTGCTTTAAAAATGCTAAATTCTGACAAAAATCGTAAATTGGTAAAATGTAAATAAACTAAAATTGAATACTTCTAAAACAAAATGTATGCTAATAGGGAAATACCTAAATGCAAATACTATCACAGTTAGGAAAAATGGCGAAATAATTGAAAATGTTGAATCAATTAAATATTTAGGTACATATATTGATAGTAAACTAAAGTTTGAAGATCACTTCGAATACATTATTTTAAAAATTGCCAAAAAAAACAAATTACTTTTATAGGGCTTCTCATAGACTTAGTACCTATTCCAAGAAAGTAGTTTATAATACATTTATTCTACCGCATTTACTATATTGTTCAACTATCTTGTTCACTGCCAATGAAGCTGTATACTCAAAATTACAAGTCTTGCAAAATAAAGTTATGAGAATAATATTGAATACAAATAAGTACACCAAAATAAAATCTATGTTACAAGAATTGCAGTGGTTGAATATAAAAAATTGCATATCATATTTGGTTCTTATTTTTATATTTAAAATAAAAAAATATCTTTTGTCAGAACATTTAGAACAATACATATAATTGAATAATCATTATCACAATTATTATACAAGAGGAAATATAGATTTTCATTCACAAAATTGTAATAGTAATTTAACTAGCAAATTAATATTTCACAAAGGATTACTTGAATTTAATAAACTAATAATGATATAAAGTCTACTTGTAATTTAAAGATATTCAAAAAAATAAATAAAGGAATATTTCATGGAAAATAAAAATTCATAGAGATGCATTTTTTCCTAAATATGCGTACGTTATGTAATTGTTTAGTTTTTTAGAAGAATGTAATAGTAGCAATCATGCTGAATAAATAAATCTTAAACAAACAAAAAAATTAGGAAGGGGCATGCCCTCGCCTACGTCAGCATTTTTTGGACTCTATAACACGACGGACTACGTGTTGAACCACGGACTTGTCAATGACAGCCGAACTTCCATTGTCTATAAAATCTTTTAAAGAATTTTGGTCTAACATACTGTGAAACTTTATTTTTAGAACGCCTGAATTATTAGTCGTGATGACACTTGCGACAGCCGACTAATTTTTAACCACGTTCTCTGCGACCATTGTATTCATTATAAGAAACGGTATGGATACGACGTAGCCCATTTATCCTGAAAATTATACATGGTGTCCGCAGAGTTGGTGTTTTCCTTTACACGATGTGTTTTTCTTGAGAAAATAAGCGTAGTTTCTTAGAAGCATATATACCAATGTCTTAAGAAATCCGAGATATTGGGCTCCGCAAACTAGATCAAACCTGAACCAAATCGAATCCGGTCCTATTCCTAGTTCACTGCCACAGTGCCAGCGTACAGTTATACGATGTACGACTACGACGTAAATACGCTAGTATGCAACCTAATCTAGACGCCGGTAGTGTAGGCCAACAAACCATTACATTGGTAACCGTTTGCTATTCAAAAAATAAAAAAAATGGCACACTCATGTACCAATAGCAACCGAGTCGACATGCTGTTAATTTACGGTGAGTGTCTTCAAAATTCGACCGAGGCTTTGCGAGTGTATGCAGATCGTTTTCCCAGATGTCATCATCCAAGGCCCCATAGATTTGTTTACCTTGTGCAGAGACTCAGGGATACCGGTCATTTGGAGGAATATCGAGATGGGCACAGTGGGAGACCTAGACAACCCCGAATGGTGCAAACCGAGGAAGAAGTACTGAATCTCGTAGACAAGAATCCTTCAACAAGCACTAGGAACGTGGCTAGACAAGTGCAAGTGTCGAAGTCTAAAGTGTGGCAAATGCAGCATGATGAGGGATTGTGCCCTTTTCACGTGCAACGTGTACAAGTCCTCCAAGCTGAGGATTTTCCTGCAAGAGGGCGGTTTTGTGAAGTGGTTGTTGCACCAACATGACAATAATCCGGACTTTTTGAAGTGCATATTAGTCACAGACGAATCCACGTTCACGCGTAACGGGGTGAATAACTCGTCTGGTCAGTAGAAAATCCTCACGGTGTCCGTCGGTCACACTTTCAACAACAAAATTTTCTGTGTTTGTTTGCTAGAAGATATGCATTCGAGTACAAGACAATCAATGTGATTTCTCAATGACGGTCCACCGCCCCATTTTAGACGCGAAGCGCGTGAGTTCTTAAACCAATCATTTCCGAATAGGTGGATCGAACGTAATGGACCCGCAGTCCTCCGCGATCTCCAGACTTAATACCGTGTGGTTTTTTCTTTGGAGCGAAATGAAACGCTTGGTGTACAAAACTGAGGTGCACACGGTTGACGAATTACGTCTGATAATTGAGCAAGCTCTGCTCTTACAAATTTTCATCATTTTTTGATAACCATATAAAGGAAGCAAACAATGAACCATATAAATGACAAGTGTGAACATTCTTATTCGCAAGGTTTTGAGCACAGGAAGAAAAGCGTACCTTTGCAGTAGCATTACTTTAATTACGAACGCTAAAATTGTAACAGAGCAAGTACATGGTACAGTGTAATAATTTACGAACGCAGCCTAGCGGGCGCAAAATTTTATATCACTGTCACGCATAACGTTTCACACGTGATGCAGAATAGACAAGAGGTATACAGTATCATACCAAGGTTTTCTCGGTCGGTACATTCGTACTGACAGATGTCATACATGCATACCGATGCAACAGTGTTAATTCACCGGTTGAGCCACCGGTGTATGTCGGTCCTTTGATCTTGGTGTCGACAACCATTAGATAACTATCCTCCCAATTCCTATGGGCGTAAGATCTTTTTTAAAAGAGCGCAAATTAAAAACATGTGATTGGGCTCCCGAAGAAATGTTCCTTCTGATATTAGTTATCGAGAAATACTGTCCCAGAAGACATCATATGCACACACTTTCTCAAAATTATTTGTTGAGTGTGTCACGGTGACATTGACGGAAATACGATGCAATCACCCCGCCACTCGGCAATGCGCGCCAAACGGTAATTCGCTGCGGATGCATTTGTTGTTCGATTATTACAAGGTTTTCAGAACCCCAAACTTAGCAGTTGCGCTTATTGACGTACCCGTTCAAATGAAAATGTACCTAATCAGAGAAAATGGTTTTCGAGAAACCCGCATTAATTTGGTGGTGATTCAGCGCCCAATCAACGAATTCACGGCGCTGCGCATGGTCCATTGTCTTGAGTTCTTGCGTCAGTTGAATCTTGTACGCATGCAATCCCAAATTTAGCAGTTTCGCTTATTGAAGTACCCGTTCAATTGAAAATGTCCCTAATCAGAGAAAATGGTTTTCTTCGGGAAATCCGCATTAATTTGGTGGTGCTTCAGCGCCCAATCAACGATTCACGGCGCTGTGCATGGTCCGTTGTCTTGAGTTCTTGCGTCAGCTGAATCTTGTACGCATGCAATCACAGATTTTTTGTTAAAGTTCCTTGCAGAGTGGGTCTGGCAAGGTTCAATTCTTGGCCATGATGCCGAATGAAAGTGCCTGGATTCTCTGCCACACTGCGACTATATTTTCGAGGGACCGACCAGGACGGCGACGAACAGTGGTATTCACATTCAGTAACGTGAATTTTGTCTCAAATTTTTTAATTAAACGGCGAGCTGTCGACTTATTTGGCGCATTATTGCGACCGAAAATTGTACGTAATTTGCGAACTGTTTCCGCGTAACTTTCTCCATTTTTGTAGTTTTCAGATTAATTAAACGTTGCTCGTTTGAATACTGTTCCATGGACTCTAATCTCTAATCGCGTGGTATGGACATGACAGCTGTCATCATATAAATACCATACCATTTGTACAAAAAAATGGCGGCTAAGTCAAATCCAGCGCTCTCGTTGAGACCCTATATACACGGTTCTTCTTACTTATTTTCATTACTTGGTTCGAAAACTTACATTTTGTGTGACATTTTTTTGTATGTATCCGAGTACCCAGTAATAAATACAAATATAATAAGCCATATATATTTGGAATAAGAAAAAAAAAAGCCGCCATCAGTTTCACAACAAATATACAGGGTATTCCATTTAAAAAATACAACTGGATCCGATAGACCTTTCTGAGACACCTACATAAAAAAGACTGCCTTACAACTGTTCTGTACATTGTTTTTCAGGCCCCGAATAGCCAACCATTGTTTCTTCTGGCTCATAAATATCCCGACTTCGATTTTATATTACGTTATTGAAAAACTAATGTGATCATAACATTATATCTTAAGACGATTAATAGCTTCGTCGCAGCATAGGTTGGGCTGTTTAAATTTGTGATCCAGTAGACAGCACCCAATGGAAGTGATATGGCAACACCGCTTTGGTAGAATCCTCTGTCAATCGTCAAAATTGTAGAAAAAGCTACGTCATTCACGTCAGAAAACTAACGATCGTCTTCATTTAGAACTGTTCATTCGTGTGGTTTATTGAGATTTTGCATACATAAAAATTAATTTTAGTCATTGAAAATACAATTTAGTGTACGCATTAGTTAACATTTACATATATTAATTGTGAGAATGGCCGATGTACATCAAGGGTAAGTTTTCATACGTCCCCAAATTAGACATTGCCGGTTCCTTTCATTTGATGGTGTTATATTTTTTTACTTGTCATCATGGTGGAACTAGAATATTCTGTTTGTAATTTGGCGATATTTTGAATGAGAATGGTTACTAAAATAGAAAATTATCGCAAAACGTAATTGGACTCCATTTTGTTTTTTGATCGTTTTATTCGCCTTTATAATATTGCCTAATCATCTTATTTTAGTTATTGGCAAAATTTGTTGTATGAAGGTGTAGGAGTTCTTGAATAATATGTTGCTTCTTGAAGTCATGTTATAGCAATTTTTGGTGTATGAATTAAAACCAAAGTCACTGGGAGTAATAACCTATGGGGTAGGAGAGGGCAGAGTCCTCACTTCAAAAGCCTGTCCGAGCCTTATGACTCCAGAAGCATGCAGCTTATGCTTCTCAGTTATTTTCTGCAACAAAACTTTCTGTTGTGAAGAAACTTAGTCAAATATAAAATCTATATAAAGTTGTTTCTTTGTGATTGTTGTTCATGTCACTGAATGGCTCTTTGTAATGAATAGTTTTATGCTTACCATCATGGACCTTCAAGCAGTTTGCAAATTGTATTGATATTGTTCACCACTAGCCCATTTAAACTGCATGTTAAATCCTTACAAAACAAATGACCATGTTTATACTGTGATCAGTTGTACTGCTCTAAGTCCTTGAAGCATGCACCACTATAAATTAACTAGGCTCACACAATCTCTTAGCACAGGGTGGTATTCACACACAGAAAATCACATTCCTGTGGCTAGGTACCCAGGGTGAAAACATGGCCAGTGGTGTGATCATAATGTGAAAAGCAAAAACTGTCTAATGGGTTTTCAATAAGAAAGTCTTTGTTTTATATATTTGGAGCTAGAGGGCCAGCTAACAGCACCCTTCACTGCATATCATTATGTTTATCATTTTTAGAGTGTATAATGATTTTTTTTATCTAAACATGCGTACATATGATACACAACAACTCTAGATATACACCCATAAGATTCTCATATGATTGACAATGCAGAACATATCATTTGTATTTTTGCAAATAAATCTTATTGATCCATTGATAGATATGGTAAATTCATAATTGGTATGTGGTAGAGAAGTACTGATACACTTGCAGATTTTTATTCAGTAGTTGTTATGTTTATGATTATATTTAAGGAAGTGATTGATACATGTCAATCAAGATTAAGGTTAAAACCTTTATCTATTTTTCACAATACTTTCATCATGCTTTGAGGTCAGTTAAGCTGAACAGCTTACTCTGCAAATGACATTTTTATATTAAGTCTAGGCTGTTGGGAGTAATGAATCTGGTGAAACTCAGGACCGTACTTACAACTGTTTGCATTAAACACTGATGAACATTTGTTTCATGTACCTGCCTTGTAATGCAGTCATTATTATTAACAACAATTCTGATTGTATCATTTTTTCTTTATCCATCAAAACTTTTTGAAATAAGAGTTGTTAGAGAGTATACAAAAAACCACTTCAATATATGATTCTTTCTGTGGATCTGGCAGATCCATCAGTGTAGTGTATCTGTTACCAATGTGGGGGTATATTTTGAGTATTGCTGGGCAATTGGCGGTTAATGTCAGCTTCTGATATGATACAGTCTTATGAAAAATAGAATATGAGGTATTTGTGATTGACAAACTTTCTAATAGGTATATATACACAGAATACAAGAATTGATATTAGGCGTTTCAAGTGAAATATATTGTAATTACTAGAATATTTACATCTTGGAGTTATTTTTTATGTGTTGCATTTGTAGTTTGTCCCTGCCATGTTATTTCTCATTAATAGCACAATGTCTTCTAATAGATTTTTAAAAGATTAACAGCATGTAAGTGTTTGTTTTAGGATAAAACATTCATCGGCAGTGAAGTTATCTTTGCACAGAACTAATTAATATCAAATATTTTAAAAAATTTGGATGTTAGTGTACCCCAATTTATAATGAACCCAAAATACATTGTTATTGATGATGCCAAATAGCTTAAAATAGACTCTTATGGTATGCATTCAAGGATTTATTGAATTAAACTATTTTTTTGGAGCTTCTTTATGCTTAATAATCTTTTCTAACACTAGATATCATAATGAGTATTATTTTATTTCATGATCTTCTGTTCTCTTAGTCCTTTTGTAAAGTTATTGTTGTTATATGCATTAATATTAGATGATTGCATATTTTTTTTTATTCATTAGCTTATAGTATAAAATGATAGACAATCATTCTTGAGGATATGTTGCTATAAAGGATGTTTTAACAACCAATTAAGCATTTTTATATGTTATATAAACATGTATTCAAATTGTTTGTTTAAAAAGCACTCTCATTGTTTTAAATCAACTCTATTATATCAAGAAAAAAGAGAAAATATTAGTCAATAAAGTACTATCATTTCATTCATTATTAGATGATAACTGATGTTCTGTAAGTAAAAGAAAATATGGGAAATTTAGGTCATTTAATAATAATAATAGCATTTATTGCCTAACAGATATAGAATTCCTTTACAGAGCAATATAAAATAAAAAAACTATACTATCAACAGGTATTTTGTGTCATATTGTGAGTAGCCCACTTTAGTTCCTTGAGTTTGGAAGTAAATATGTCCACATGCAGCGATGTCTTATTATAATGTGAACACATTACTGTTTAAATGTTATTGATTGTCTAGAGTTAAACTTAGGTAACGTTAAATTCAGTATGAAATAAATGACCTGGACAATCAATAACATCATACATCAATTTATGAAGGAATGACTGTGTCGGCTGGAGCTCCAAACTGTCAATGGCAAAAAGGTTTAACAAAAGATTGCTGTGGATATATGTGGTGCTTCTTCAACACTAGCAATTTCAAAAACTTCCTATGTAGTTTATCCATTATTTCGTTGTGATACTGATAGTATGGGTTCTAGATGTTCAAACAGTACTCCAGTTTAGAATGTACGTAAAAAAATAGACATTCCAATATTGTCTTACTATTGAATGATCAATAATCTATAATGATGAATCCATATATTTTCTATGCTTCAGCAATTTTGTTATCAATATGATTAATGAAACTGATTTGCAAATTGAATAATACTTCTGGTTAAATGATGCCCCAAAAAAAGACCATCAATGTTGTAGTCAAATAAGATTGATGCAGTGACAATCTACTATTAGGACACCATAAATGAACTTTGTTGAGCATGACGTGTAACCTATCACAATTTTCTATAGCAGTTATTTCAGAGAAGGCTTTAAGATCTCAGCATAAAACAAGTTCTGGGTTTCAATTACATCTTCCAAGTAATTAATGAACATATTAAATAGTAGTGGACTTAAGTTTGATCCTTGCAGAACACCCTTGTTTACTCTATATGTGTTAGAATAGTACCCATTATAGTATGCATACCTATTCAATAAGTAAGATTTACAAAATTCCATAAAATCCGTCGAAAAAACTGAAATTATCATGTGTTTTTACAAAGAAAACCATGATCCACTCTCAAAAGCTTTTGAAACGTCAATGTAGATTACATCTATTTGACCATCCTGATTTACAGTAATGGACAAAAGTATATAGACAAATATGAATATTTACTCAAATACCTTTAGAAAACAAATTCATACTTCATTGCTCCATAAACAAATGCGTTATTAGTAGAAAAACTAAATTCCTTGTTTTTACATTATCTGCAATGGACACAATACAAGTCTGCATATAAGCACTTTTTTATGAGGGACAAAAATATGTAGACAAATTCTTTTCAACTTAGTTTAGTATAGTTTCGTGTCAGAAGAGGATAAGTTTGTGTTCATCAAGTATTGTGGAATAAGTTGAGTGATTTTAAGACCATGCCGCGTGGTCCAGAAATTTCTTGCGATGTGAAAACTAAGATCATTGAGTTATACAAAGATGGTCAATGTCAAGTCGACATTTCTAAAAATTTGAAGCTGAAGCGTAAAGCAGTTTGGGCAATGTTGAACAAATATAAACAAAAAGGTATCTTGGAAGCCTCTAAGAGAAGTGGTCGGCCTAGTAAACTAAATGCTAGATCATTTTGATTAATAAAAGTAGTTTCCTCCAAAGATCCGTTTAAAACCCCAAGACAAATGAAAGCCGAAATCTAGACAAAAGGAATTGTCAGTGTTTCTACGAAAACTATAAGTAGAAGATTAAATGATTTGAAGATATTTGCACGAAGAAGCCGCTAATCTCGAGGAAAAACCCTAAGGACCGATTACAATTTGCACGGTTGCATCTTGTTTGGAGCATCTGTGACTGGAAGAGGGTATGTTTCAGTGACGAATCCAAGTTCAATATGTTTGGATCAGATGGTGTTCATTACGTTAGACGTCCTAGTGGACAAAGATTGAACCCCAAGTACATTTTTTGCCCACTGTCAAACATGGAGGCGGGTCTGTTATGGTTTGGGGGTGCTTTTCGGGGTTTGCGATGGGACCTTTACATAGAATAGATGGCATTATGGATAAGTTTGTATACACAGACATACTAAAGCATGTCATGTTACCCTATATGGAAGACAATATGCCCTTAGGATCAATCTTCCAGCAAGATAATGACCCGAAGCACACTTCAAATCTCGCAAAGAAATTATTTCTGGATGAAAAAATACCAGTTCTCAAATGGCCTTCACAGTCTCCCGATATAAACCCCATTGAAAATCTATGGAAATACTTAGATAAGCAAATACGAGATAATAATTATTCAAACAAGGATGAACTTTTTGCTGCTTTAGAGCAAAAGTGGAGACAGATTGATGAATCTTATATATCAAGAAACTTCTACAATCTATGGCGAGACGATGCCAGGCGGTGATTGATAATAATGGTTATGCTACAACATATTAACACAAACGTGGTTGATTTTCTATAATTCAATGAACTTTGCTTCTTTTTTTCTGCAGCTTTGTCAATGTATTTTGGTCCTTCATGGTTCCAGTTCCAGCCTTATTTCTTAAAGGTTGAATATTTGAAAGAGGTACTGATAATTGAGAGCTATCTTGAAGAGGTAGGTGTATTCTCTCTTAAAAATCTACGTTCAATGTTGTTTCTGATGCAGATTGTCCAAAGGTAATTTTCCCTTCAGTACAGATATAATTTCTCTTGCAGCAACCCCGATGATCTGGCCACCGCGATACTGCGCAAGAAGGACCGTCCGAACCGTCTGATCGTTGAGGAAGCCGTGAACGATGACAACTCGGTGGTGGCCCTCTCCCAGGGTAAAATGGACGAGCTGCAGTTGTTCAGAGGCGACACGGTCCTCCTGAAGGGCAAGCGCCGTAAGGAGACGGTCTGCATAGTACTGTCCGACGACACTTGCAGCGATGAGAAAATTCGCATGAACAGAATCGTCAGGAACAATTTGCGTGTGCGTTTGTCCGATGTGGTTTCCATCCAGCCCTGTCCGGACGTCAAGTATGGAAAGCGGATCCACGTTCTTCCTATCGATGACACTGTTGAGGGGCTCACTGGGTAAGTTTTTCAATATTGACTGATTTTACGTATTTATACAAATGGAATATTATTTTCATTTATCGAATCTCACTGGCTGCAAAGTAAGTGGTCCCTGCAAAGTTATTCAGGTTTTAATTTAAACAAAATGTGAATAAAGAAGTTAATGAACATAGGTTTTAAAAATATGCTATCTACGAGGTCTATAAATTGAGTGAAGCTGTTTTTTATTATTTTTTTTTTCCAAATATTTACAATTTTATATTGACTCGAGCGAGTTCAAACTTGTACTGAAGGCGGAGCATATGTTCCCCTGTTTCTCCTCCAAGCCCGGCGGCTCCAGTGTTGCTAGTTTCAACACTTAGTTTACAGACTTGTTATACTATGTCAATTCAAGTACCAGGAAAAACAGAGAAAGCAAAAATATAATATAGTTGCATAAACAAAAAGTAAACTGTCAAGCTTTCACTTAAAAGTTTGTTTAAATTGGAGCAAATTAGTGCCAGATACTTGTGCTTACTAACATACACTGACAATTAAGGTTTTATTTGCGAGCAAGACATGTAAACGTTCCTCTCTGAAGAGTTCATACTTGAGCTAAGATGCTGAAAACAATTAGGTGCAGAAACATTTTTCGATTAGTGACGTCATCCTAAAAATGATCCAAAACAACAGATATGCTTTATTGTCTGAAAAATACAATCATTCATAAAGAGCTAACTGAAAACTAAATAAAATTACATATGAGGATCTCAAGTAATGAAATGGTTAATTAATAAAACATAATGATAAATACTATCTAACGGTTGGTCCAAGCAAAACAGTTGTCTAGTGGCGTGCAAATTTAGGACCTAGCTCAATAAAGCGGAGAGTAGGGGGGGTGTTAACAGCGCCAGTGACTTAGGACGGATTAAGCCACAACTCCCCGAGATGTTAGTCGGAACTTGTTTTGCTTGACCACCACACAAAAGGAGAATCTAACAGATATGACGAAATTTAAAGAACAGTACACACAGAGAGAGCCAAATAAACAAGATATCAAATGAATCACAATATATTGATTAAAAAAAACGCACATGTGCTCCACCACTGGAGTACGAGTAATGAAAAAGAGAAAGTATGTTACAAATCTTAAATCTGACCTGACAAAATTATTTTTCGAGATAACCTCGCGAAACGCCTACCATGGTATACGCCCAAAGTATTTACAGATATTTTGCGCCTAAATACTAAACCTGTAGGTCTTCTTTGTCAGGCGCGGCCGAGATATCCTCGAATCTGGTATGAAGGTGGCCAGTAGTGGGCACGTCACTGGGCAGGGGCTGCTTGCCTCGCTGCCAAAAATTATGATGGTAACACAAAAAAAACCCTAGAGAGAGAAAGACTTTAAAAATTCACTCTACTCTCTGTCTGAGATAAAACTACACATTGAAAACAATCGCACTTGAAGTGAAACCATGTAAATTTTTTTGTACAAGAAAAGTAAAGCAAAAGCAAAAAAAAAGAAGATAAAAATGTACTAAACTAATATACCCTAGTTCTAAAAAGTTAGCAATAATAAATGTATAAAGATCTACGAAATTGTTAATTAGAATGATATTTTACCTGTTCACATCAGGGTTTTTTCAAGGGGATGGCTTTTAATTTGTAAAACTGCAACAATGCAACTGACTGGAGGAGAAAATTTGATGAATTTCTTCTCTTTCTATTGACAAAAAGAAAGCAGATATTCAACGAACGTCATCAGGACACGCATTAAGGCACGCGGTGCGAAGGTATATAAAAAATAGCTTACCGCTGAGGGTCAAAATCCCATAAAAAAATGGAAGACGTAGCACCCAAAATAACTAAACTTAAGTTACACAACAAAACGAAAAGGGTGCTAGTCCATGAATGGGCGCTTGGGGCCTAATATCCCAGAGTCCGGAAAACGACAAAAAGACCCCTGCACCACGACCTCAACAGAAACAGAAAAGCGAATCACGCAGAATACGTAACATTCTACGATACCAGCTAACGGAGAAAAACTACAGAGTTTTTTTGCTGATCATCAACACCATACTGTATCGCTGAGAGAAACTATTAAATTTGCAAAAAGAAAATCATTGAAAAGGGTTTGGCCTAGGAATGGGCACTCTATTATCAATGAAGAGAAATTCAAATTAAGGATAAGTGATAAATATTAAAAAAAAGGTTATGTGATTTTGGCACGTGACAGAATAGAAGAACTCGCACATAATGTTTAAAAATAAGGTTTTTAAGTTTACGGGGAAATAACCTTAAATTGTTCATTCTTTTGATAACATCAGGGATGTACTCGTAATTTTTCAACCATTATAAATGATTGAGTCTTTCACAAGTGTTGATCTAGGTACTACTAATTTAAGATCTTGTTTTCATCTAATACGTAACTCATATTTGTGATGTCTCAAATTTAGATTTATTTTAAAAATAACAAGTTGCTGTTTTAAAAATAAACAATGATTTGACAGTCATGATTTCAATATTTTCCATTTAGCTCTAGCATTGCTTTTAGTTATATATCTAATAGTTCGTTTTTGAAGCACTTTTTTAAACAATTTTGAGAACATATACATCAAAAGGGAATGATATAACTCAAACTACTTTCAAATACGAATTTTTCAAAGTTGACTATCTATTAATGTAATTTAAGTATGGCTAAAAATTTATATATTTTCCGAACCCAATCTACTTGCCTTAAAATGATCATGAGATTGGAGGACAATGAAAGATGGCGTCAAATAGGTTGACTCCTCACTTCGCACGCAGCACTGTTGTTAGTTCATGAAAGATTATGTGTGACAACTATCACAAAAAGGTTAACTACAAATATGTATAACCAAGGAACCTTCCGATGAGTGAATCATTCTAAGTGTTATGTGCAAATGTACTGGGGAAATCTGTATGTGAAATATGCCTAATAGGTGCGTATAATTACTGGGGTTGTAAGCACATACATTTATTAACGCAAAATAATTGAGATATACCTTCCCCCATACCCTACTATTCCCCAAAAAAATGTTCCAAATGTTCCATACACGTCCAGGGATCTCTGAAACGTCAACAAACAGAACTTGGAAGATTTTCATTTTCGTTGCCGCCACTGGATTGACTTTCAAAATCTACAAGGCTTTCTCGTCCTTGCTATAGTAGTAACATTTTCCAAAAACGTCATCCAAAAGTCTGAACTGTGTTTTTATACTTATGGACGAGCCAATGATTAATGGATAAACCGGCAAACAGACTGATGGAAATGGTTTTTGTAATATACATGTTATGTAACATCCAAAAAACCATCTCATTTTCGAAAATATTCGTGTGTACAATACTTCCTCACCAATTGGCGCAGAAAATAAGATAAAGCTTGATGTTTTAAATATAATTTCACAAATGCTTTTAGGTCATTGTTGCTGACTGATTTCATATTTTTTGCAGATAAGTCTACAAAAAACCTAGATGACATAAAATGGTCTTTATTATAATAATTTCATCTCCGGGCGTAAAGTGAAACTTTAGTCATTTCCTACGATCATCATGATTACCAATAATATTTTGACATACAATAGACTGATGAACTTAACTCAAGTGTGTATAAAGATATAGAAGCACCACGTTGTCTAGTAACCTGTGTAAGGAGGCATGGACGCAGCTGCGGCTTGCCGCGTTGCCGTTGTCGTACTCTTTCTAACATACGTATTGCATGCTTCTCTCTCGTAGAAATTACGACGTCAGTGTTATTTGGATTTCTCTGTGTATTTATCCGTCTTAGTCGAAAAATCGTTTTTAGTGACATCGTTTAAATTCTCGTTTACAGAAACATGTTTGAAGTGTACTTAAAGCCATACTTCCTGGAAGCATACAGACCTATCCACAAAGATGACGTGTTTGTGGTTAGAGGTGGAATGAGAGCCGTGGAATTCAAGGTCGTTGAAACAGAGCCATCTCCGTACTGCATAGTGGCCCCAGACACCGTCATCCATTGTGAGGGGGACCCGATCAAGCGTGAAGAGGAAGAGGAGGCATTAAATGCCATTGGGTAAGTTGAACATTTCTGCCTATTATAGACAGACAAAATACTACATTTTGTTGTACAATTTTTTATACGCTAGAAAAAATGGTAGAGTACAATGGCAACTTGGAGCGCTAGTATCGCCATTCAATATGAAGGAAAATGCGACTGACTGAAAATAGTGTTTTATGTAAGATGCCTAAATACCAGTGTCAATCTACACTGGGTTCACTGATTTTATTCCTTAGCTGCTAGACACGCAATTATCACACTTAAGTTGTAGCAAAAAGTTGTGCAAAGTTTGAAACATTATTCGACATCTGGGCATCTGAACTAATTGATATACCACAAAATATCACACTTTCTGATAGTAATATCCAAGTAAGTTAGCAAACTAAAGTGTTAGGAATACATGTAGATGAATTTCTTGGACTCCCCACATCAATAAAACTGCTTTGAAACTGGGTAGCATCAGCTATGGAATAAGAGTGTTGTCTAGATATATAAATTCAGAATGTTTGAAAATTGTATATTGTGCAGATTTAGAATCGATTTTACATTTTGGATTAACCCTGCTTGGAGGCAGCTCAGAACTGCAAAAATTTTTATTTAAAAGAGCAATATGAATTTAATGAAACACAGATGGGGTACAAGAGCTGTGAATGTTTTGTTTCCTGAGCATAGGCCGACAGTTACTGAAAAATACTCTTTTTATATGTACGCAAAGTTGTATAATAAATTACCTAAACATTTAAAAGTGATGGAAGGTACAGGAACCTCAAAAAAAAACCTGAAACAGTTGAAGTTCTGAATACATAAATACTTCGTTTTAGTTTTGCATGGGTATGAAGTTAGCTCCACATCTATGTCATTGATACATATTATGTATTTGTGATTCTGGATTTGGAATAAATATTAATAATGGATTGGGTATTTTTTACTTTAATGGTTTGTTCGCATAATGGTCGGTGGCTTGTCGGTGACTGTATCTGGGATCCGGCCGTGTGAATTCTGTTTGCATATAGGATCTCACCGCAATTTAAAAAACTTGAAATTCATACAAGCAGTGGTCTCAAAGAGATTCAGTCAGCCGATAAAATAAAATACTTATGCGTGATTTTGGACAAACACTTAAAATGGGATACCCATACAGAGTACCTTGTGAAGAGACTGAGATGTATTATTCCAAAATTCAGGTACTTCAGAGATATTCTAGATAAGAAATATCTATATAATCTATATTATGCTCTTGTTTATCCTCTATTACTTTACGGAATTTTGGCTTGGGGGGGAGTTATGAATAATAATTACAAAAAGGTTGATGTAATCCAAAAATTAATTCTAAAATTGATCATCCATAGGGAGATTACTTATTCAAGTGATTTTCTATATGTGGAGGCTCAGCTATTAGATTGCAGACAAATTTATTTTTATTGTGGTCTAATACATTATTTCAAATATTCAAAATACTTTAATCGTACCATTCATAACTACCCAACAAGATTCAATCAAAATTCAATGTGTATTCCACAAACATCAAAAACCATTACACAACGATCTCTGTTTTTCTTGGGACCAAAATTCTATAACTTCATACCAGAGTCATTAAAAGTAATTAAATCAAATAAATCATTTAAAAAACAACTAAAAAAAATGGATTTTACAACAACCAAGGTACTCCATCCACGAAATTGTAGATCTGAAAAATCATTATCAAAATCAATAATATTTTACTTACACTAACATCCATACTTTTACTTCAGTTCTAATTGTCTGGATATTTTTCCTGACATTACCATAATAATTCACAAAATTATACAGTATTAACGGGTTTTTTCTTTTTTTTTCATACACTGACTGTACTAGTTTTTATTTTGTACAAACCCAAACACAAGTGCAAACTTTTTTTGGGTGCTTTATGTTTATTGTGCACAATATTTGATATTTACTTGTACTTTGTGACAATAAACATTATTATTATTATTATTATTATTATAGTGAACGAAATTCGTGTGGCCGGCAGCCATATTATATAACTTCGAAAGTTAAAATATATAGATGTTTTGAAATTATATAGGTTTTTTTGGTATCATCTACGTTTTCCCAAAAAATGTCACCTTTTTAGTTGCTGACATTAATTTGACTCTGACAACTGCCTTATAAACAAACCATAAAATGCTCTTTTCGATATTGTAACGCTTCCAATTTGGCTCAAAATTGGATAATTTCAGAAATAATATTTTGTCACCATAAATATTGTTTTAACATGATAGGTTTCGGCTGAAAAGAACACGCTCTAGCCCTAAGAATTTAAAGCTATTTCTGCCATTGAGGTCGTGCTTCTGTCAGATGTGAGGAGATTCATGTTTTTCAATGTACCTACTAATTTCGAACACATTCTCTTTGAACACACTAGCGAAAAAAGACGAGGAGGCAAAATGGATACAGACAAAGTATTTCAGCTATTAAAAATGCAGTTTTGTCTAGGTGGAAATACCCATTCGTTTGAGATTGTCCAAATCCGGAAAAAATGACTTATTTATGATTTTTATATTTTCAATGAATATCGCTGTTTCTCAAAACTAGTGACACTATTCAAAAAAAGCTTTTTTTCGGGAGAGGCATTTTTATTTTTTGAAGAACAATTTCGGATAACTGTAGGTGAATTTAATAATTTGGATTTAAAAAAATTATCAATTAAATAAGGTCTAATGAACTTTCAGATTCATTGAATAAAAGATCAGCATGTTTTCAAAAATATCCCATTTTATTAATTTTTGGCAACTTTACAGGAATGTGTCATTATTCCTAAAAAAAAATAATGCATTTCTAAAAAATGTATGACAAATAATTCGTGGTTACAGAACAAAGGGGGAAAATTTATTGTAGTATTACTACCAATGATACACACATTTTAAAGGCTAAGCGGAACTAAAAAATCAAAGGTAAGTACAGAAAAAAACAAGTACAATACAAAACTTGGTTACAAATTATTGTAAAATCCCTCATGGTATGAGGGTATTATATTTTAGGGCGCTTTTCTTTTCCTCGGAAATGGGAATCTTATGTTTGTACGCTTTATTCAGAGGACCTCTTTTTGTTGCTTCGTTTTTAACACGATTGGTTATTAGCGTACTTTGCTCTAATATGACGTTATTCTTGAGAAAAATGTAAGCATACGCTTTGAAAGCCAAGCCGCAACTACAATATGACATTACATATTCATGACAACCCCAAAACATTCAACATTAACGAACAACGACACTAGCGACATCTTTGGCGAAAACTTTGAAACAATTGCAAATGTCTTTATCCCTAATAAAATAGTCAACATTCGGAGTGGATCTGCAATTTTAACTAATTCATCTCGTTTTTTGGATAGTGTCACTATTCTTGAGAAGCAGCGATATGTCAACGGGATGAGAAAAGAAAATGATGAAAGCAGTGATGAAACTCTGACAACCTATGTTATGTTGGCATTTAAGGAGGTGCCATTTTGCCATTTGCATTTTCTAAGCGACCATTGTACGAGGCCTATATTATTAACCCCTAAGAATATTTTCATAATAATCGCTTCCAGATACGACGACATCGGAGGCTGCAGACGTCAACTGGCTCTGATCAAGGAGATGGTGGAGCTGCCACTGCGTCACCCTAGTCTGTTCAAAGCGATCGGCGTGAAGCCCCCTAGGGGCATATTGATGTACGGTCCCCCAGGTACCGGTAAGACCCTGATAGCGCGTGCCGTCGCCAACGAGACAGGCGCGTTCTTCTTCTTGATCAACGGACCGGAGATCATGAGCAAGTTGGCCGGCGAATCGGAGTCGAATCTGCGCAAAGCGTTCGACGAGGCTGACAAGAACTCTCCAGCTATCATCTTTATCGATGAGTTGGACGCTATTGCACCGAAACGTGAGAAGACTCACGGAGAGGTGAGTTATGTTCTTTTTTTTTAATTTTTATCAGGTTCAAGTTCTTCAACCCAACTGAGGAGTTAAACTAATGTGACATTTGAAACTTATCCTGCGATTTTCATGTCGATAATTTCCCATGTTTGTTTAGCCAATGAAAGCACATGTATTTGAAATTCTTCTTTGATGTAGTGTACGTTTCGGTCACGTTGTTTTTGTTTTTCCAAAATGTGTATGCATTTATGTTGTAGATTTGTATGTAGTTTAAAAAAATATGATCATGTTTCATGTTATATTAGCGAGCTGGGTTGGTTATGTATGGTCGATGCTTACAAATATCAAATGCTCACTCTTACCCATAAGGTATTAATTACACAATCCCCTTCTTACCTTTATAAAAAGTTTGCAAGTGAACATTTGAAAACTCTGTTGGTAAATAGTAGGGAACAAACAAGCTAAACCAGCTTCTTCTACATCGTTAGCGTTACCTTTGCAGATTGATTCAGTTTACTCTTTTATGTTGTGGTATTGTGCTTTTCATCCATTTGTTGTGGTTTAATTTCATAGTATCCTCTTTGTCCGACATATTAATAGAATTTTTGAATGTAATTCTATACTCCAAAAATAAGCGACCATTCGTGGATATGTTTCGAGGTGGAAAATATGTTTAATGAAGAGGGAATCAAGAGAAATCACAATTATTGACTTTGAAACATTACGAGAGTCACTCTTACAAGCTAATTTCACTGAAATTTTTATTGATGCTGTCACTTACTTCTCAAAAATTATGGATTGTATGGAGAACTGCATGAGAGACGCACAAATTAGGAAAGTGGTATATCAAAGGAAAAAGCCAACACTCTGGTTTTCACAAATATTTCTAGACTCTAAATTGACGTGTGATAATGACTATAAAAAGTTTATGATCACTCAAACTGAGGAAGATTGGATACAATATAAAAATCAAGAAACAAATGTTTAACAAATCTTAGGAAAAAAAAGAAAAAATATTATAAAAACAAAATCGATAGCAATAAAAATAACAGTAAAATGATGTGGAAGACACTAAAAAATATTGTATGGCCCAGTAGGAAGAATGAATTATCAAGAATGTGCTTCGAAGATGATATAGTAACTCAAAAAATATTGATTGCAGTACGAATGAACAGTTATTTTATAGAAAGTATAAACAAGTTAGTGGTATCAATCAAAGATGGGGATCCAAATCTATGTCACATGCAAGTTACTTATATACTAAGTGACATATTAATCCGAACACCCAGTTTAAATGGTTTTATTTTAATAAAATTTTGTACTTAATGAAGCATAATAAGTAAATGATAAAAATTTCAAAATGATTGCACTGCTTTAAAGCCCTTTGACCTTTAATAATGTGTGGATGCACCCTGATGTGTTACGCATTCTTCAACGCGCCTAGGCATGCTTCTGATCAGGTGGTCAAAGTCCTCCTGTGGTATCTCATTCCAGGCAACCACCAACTCCTCTCGAAGTGCTTCTAGAGTCTGAATAGGACGTTGCAAATTGAGCAATCTCCTACCCATCATATCCCACACGTGCTCAATTGGGGATAAGTCGGGAGATCTTGGTGGCCATGGTAACAATGTGACATCATTATGTTGAAAGAAGTCTATTGTGACTCTTGCAACATGTGGTCGGGCATTATCTTGTTGGAAAGTTGGATCTGCCAGGGTGTCAAGATAGGGTAAAAGATGGGGTTCTAGAACTTCGTGGATATAACGCTGCGCGTTCATGTTACCTCTGATGAAGATTAAAGGTGACCTGGAACCATAAGCTATAGCACCCCAAACCATAACTCCAACAGTGTGATGAACATGTTTTTCAACAAAAAACTGTGGATTCCTCCTTTCACCACGTCGCCTTCTAACCCTGGCACGACCATCGTGCATGCCTAAACAAAATCGAGACTCGTCAGTAAAGACAATACTGTTCCATTCCTGATCCCAGAGTGACCGATGTCTGCACCACTCAAGGCGATTACGTCGGTGTTTTCGAGTTAAAGGGAGGACCCAGTGTGGCCGGTATGAGAACAAACCAAAACTTCTCATTCGTCGGTAAACACTTCGCATGCCAATAGGTCTTCCGTGTTCTGTAAACCATTCATTTGCAATGGACCTGGTAGTAGAGAAACGGTCCCTTAAGGCCAATAATCTTAGGCGGCGATCTTCACGGTCTGTTGTTCTACGGCGGCGTCCAGTGACCCTTGCTCTTTGCGTACGGCCTTCTCGAAGCCATGCCTGACAACACCTAACCACAGTGTCTACACTTCTTTGCACTCTAACTGCAATTGCCCGAAAAGAAAGTCCAGCTTCCCGAAGTCCCACTATACGACCCCTATCAAACTCACTAAGTTGACGAAATCGTACAGGTCTCCGTACTCTAGGCATCGTAACCGATCGTAAAGGATGCCTAGAACCAAAATCCGCCAACGTTGATTCTTCACTGCGGCTGAAATATTCATTTTTAGAGCGTTGGTGAATTAAAAAAAAAAAGCAGTATAAAAACAGGAATGTCCAACTGATAAGGCTGAAAATTTGTTCACTTGTTATTTACAGTAAGATAAATACATTCACCAACTTTTATTAAAATAAAACCATTTAAACTGGGTGTTCGGATTTATATGTAATTTAGTATAATTTTGCTATGAGACAGTTCCAAACAATAAATATCAGCTATCTTTCAAAAGCTATTACAAGATTGAAATCAAATTGAAATCCTAGTAACATCTTTCAAAAATCGTTATGAAGGAATGTTTCAACATTATTGGAGAGAAGTTATTATTGTGAGTGAATAACTGTTTAGTGTATGGCGAATTTTCTTCAAAATTAAAATGTTCTACATCTAGCTTTCAATGGACTTTGCCATCATCATCAGGAGCTGCAATTACAATGATAACAGTAGCAACAATAGTATAAAATGAATTTAAATTGACTCAACTTACAGTAGTATGTCAGGATGTTGCTAATTGTTGTTTACGTATAGGATGAGGGAAACGTCCAGTAACATGGTGAGAGCTGGATAGATGGTACAATGTTCAAAATTATATGAAATATGACAAGAACAAGTTAAAAACAGATTAAAAAATTATTTAAAAACATTAAAGCATTACATCGTGAAGCTACTTGATGATTGCACAAAATGGTGGTCATGGAATAATGAGTGAGATGAACCCTTTGACAGAAGGCCGAAGGTTGTCAATGTCTGTGTAGAAAGATGGAACGAATTGTGGGCGTGTGCCAACGTTGCCAAATCACTTCAGATGATGTGATTTTCAGAATGTTATGTAAGAAATTGTTAAACCGACCAGAGGCAGTTGAATAAACTATATTTTAATTAATGGGAAATTATATTAACAATTATTATTGAATCGTGAGAAGAGAATTATTAGAATTTGAGTGGAATGAAATTTACTGGTGGAATCGACCAAGATACAGATTCTATTTATGGTTGTGAAGAGTCAAAATTTGGGGAGATATGTAAGTTCTCCAATTTTTCGCAGTTTAGCAAATATGAGTAAATGACACTCAGTTGTTTGACATCTGTCTTTTTGTTGATACAGTTGTTATTCATGAAAATGTGGGAGATTTCCAGGAATAAACGTTTGGAAAGGTGTTTTTCTTTATCACATACTACTGTAAGTTGAGTCAATTTAAATTCATTTTACACTATTGTTGCTACTGTTATCATTGTAATTGCAGCTCCTGATGATGATGGCAAAGTCCATTGAAAGCTAGAGAGAATTAAAAAAGTATAAGTTCTTGATTTTTTTTTTGTACCCGCATTATAAATTTTCATTTCGGTCCGCAGGTAGAGCGTCGTATAGTCTCGCAACTGCTCACGCTCATGGACGGCATGAAGAAGAGCTCTCACGTGATCGTAATGGCGGCCACGAACAGACCCAACTCGATAGATCCGGCCCTGAGACGTTTCGGACGTTTCGACAGAGAGATCGACATCGGCATACCGGACGCAACTGGCAGATTGGAAATCCTCCGTATACACACGAAGAACATGAAGCTGGCGGATGACGTCGATTTGGAACAGATCGCAGCTGAAACTCATGGACACGTTGGTGAGTGTGCGATTTTTTTTGTTTCGAAAAGTAATTCGTGGGAAGGAGGGGGCACAAACCCTGATCAAAAGTTGTCATGGTCTCTTAGCAATCCTATGAATCATTTCCATGATATACAGGGCGTCCTAAACATGCAAGACCGAAATATCGCTTCTAATAAAAATTTGTCAAAGAAAACTATTTGTGGGTTATTATGCGTGGTATCACATGGTACATTTCTAAAATACAATTATTCAGGGTGCCCCACATCAAAAATAGTTTTTTTAATGGAAGACCTTACTTTTTTTTACACACTAGGATAGGTCTTTTTTAAAAAAGATTGATATAACCTACTTATGGGTTTTGATTATTAATAAAAGTCAATATCGTCATCCACGCGGGGAAGTTGATGATGAAGTTAGAGAAAGTTTCATTAAGCCTTGTGTGGCGTGCCCAGATCCCGTGGACTCAGCTTATCAACCAGACGCACATTTTGGCGCTATAAACGAGAGGATTGATCAATTTTTGGAGGAGTTTCAACAGTTCAAGAAAAATAAGTCTAAAAAGGAGTTTTATACTGTGATGTTACCTCCACAGTGCTCAACTATTGGTTTATCGAATCTTTTTCGTATTGGTCGTCTCACATATACCGTACCGTCAGATCCAAACAAGTTATATTTGCTTTCATCGCTCCATAAATCTGTATTCCATTGTTGTCCAAGTTAGATGAGTTGCCACGCCTTTTTTTTTGGTTAATTAATAAATGACAATGATAAATAGTATCTAACGGTTGGTCCAAGCAAAACAGTCTAGTGGCGTGCAAATTTAGGCACTAGCTCAATAAAGCGGTGAGTAGGGGGGGGGGGGGGGGTTAAGAGCGCCAGTGACTTTGGACGGATTAAGCCATAACTCCCCGAGATGTTAGTCGGAACTTATTTTGCTTGACCACCACACAAAAGGAGAATCTAACAGAGATGACGAAATTTAAGTAACAGTACACACAGAGAGAGCCAAATAAAACAAGATTATTAAATGAATCACAATATATCGATTAATAAAAAAACGCACATGTGCTCCACTACTGGAGTGCGAGTAATAAAAAAAAGAAAGGATGTTATAAATCTTAAATACAACCTGACAAATTTCGAGATAACCCCGCGAGAGGTCTACCATGGTATACGCCCTAAGTATTTACAGATATTTTGCGCCTAAATATTAAATTTATCTGTAGGTCTTCTTTGCCGAGATGTTCTGAACTCTGGTCAAAAAGTGGCCAAAAAATTATGGTAGTAAAAAAACCCTGTTCACACCAGGTTTTTTTTAAGCGGATGGCTTCCACCAATTTGCAAAACTGCAACAAGATGTAACCAACTGGAGGAGAAAGAATGATTCTCTTCTGTTTCTATTGACGCTGAGGGTCAAAATCCCATAAAAAAAAATTGAAGACGTAGCACCCAAACCAAAATGACTAAACTGGAGTTACACAAAAAAAGGGTGCTAGTCCATGAATTGGCGCTTGTAGCCTAATATCCCAGAAGATATGTTTTATAGGAAACCAACTAACGTAGAAAAACTACAGTTTTTTTTGCTGATCGTCAACACCATACTGAATCGCTGAGAAAGAATATATAATACGAGTGAAATTATACAATCAATAAACTATTAAATTTGCCAAAAGAAAATCATTGAAAAGGGTTTGGCCTAGGAATAGGCACTCTATTATCAATGAAGAGAAATTCAAATTACGGATAAGTGATAAATAGTAAAAAAAAGGTTACGTGATTTTGGCACGTGACAGAGTTTTAGCAAATTCAAGCTGTGTAATACGATTTTTTTTAAATGAGAGGCTTTTGCACTGGACGCCAAGAAGTCCAAAATCCACCACTGTTCTGACAAAAAGATTCTCGGCACCCTCTTCTGCGATTCTTTATAAAATCTGTGTAGCTGACAATCGTCTAATGTAGCGATCCAAACATAATCGGTTTTTTCGGTCTTCCGCACTTGTGCTGTTGATCTGTATTCTTGATATTCACTAATAATTTTCGAAAATCCTTTTACTTTTGGCATTCTTACTGATGTTAATATTTACCGCACGCAATATCAGAGTATCGCAGAACGAATAAATACGGCAAAACTGAAACGTTTCCATACTTTTGTCGTTACAAAAAGTGTGATGTTTAAAAAAAACGCGTGTTTTTATTTTCAGAGAATTTGAATATTGATAAGATAAACCTTTTATTAGTACTGGAGCCAAAGGTAGACTTCCATATTTATATTATCTCTTCCTTCACAATTGTAATTTATGTATATGAAATAGTTTATATACTAAGTGACATATAAATCCGAACACCCAGTTTAAATGGTTTTATTTTAATAAAAGTTGGTGAATGTATTTATCTTACTGTGAATAACAAGTGAAAAAATTTTCAGCCTTATCAGTTGGACATTCCGGTTTTTATAGTGCTTTTTTTTAATTCACTAACGCTCTAAAAATGAATATTTCAGCCGCAGTAAAGAATCAACGTTGGCGGATTTTGGTTCTTGACATCCTTTACGATCGGTTGCGATGCCTAGAGCACGGAGACCTGTACGATTTCGTCAACTTAGTGAGTTTGATAGGGGCCGTATAGTGGGACTTCGGGAAGCTGGACTTTCTTTTCGGGCAATTGCAGTTAGAGTGCAAAGAAGTGTAGACACTGTGGTTAGGTGTTGTCAGGCATGGCTTCGAGAAGGCCGTACGCAAAGAGCAAGGGTCACTGGACGCCGCCGTAGAACAACAGACCGTGAAGATCGCCGCCTAAGATTATTGGCCTTAAGGGTCCTCCCTTTAACTCGAGAACACCGACGTAATCACCTTGAGTGGTGCAGACAACGGTCACTCTGGGATCAGGAATGGAACAGTATTGTCTTTAGTGACGAGTCTCGATTTTGTTTAGGCATGCACGATGGTCGTGCCAGGGTTAGAAGGCGACGTGGTGAAAGGAGGAATCCACAGTTTTTTGTTGAAAGACATGTTCATCACACTGTTGGAGTTATGGTTTGGGGTGCTATAGCTTATGGTTCCAGGTCACCTTTAATCTTCATCAGAGGTAACATGAACGCGCAGCGTTATATCCACGAAGTTCTAGAACCCCATTTTTTACCCTATCTTGACACCCTGGCAGATCCAACTTTCCAACAAGATAATGCCCGACCACATGTTGCAAGAGTCACAATAGACTTCTTTCAACATAATGATGTAACATTGTTACCATGGCCACCAAGATCTCCCGACTTATCCCCAATTGAGCACGTGTGGGATATGATGGGTAGGAGATTGTTCAATTTGCAACGTCCTCCTCAGACTCTAGAAGCACTTCGAGAGGAGTTGGTGGTTACCTGGAATGAGATACCACAGGAGGACATTGACCACCTGATCAGAAGCATGCCTAGGCGCGTTGGAGAATGCGTAGCACATCAGGGTGCATCCACACATTATTAAAGGTCAAAGGGCTTTAAAGCAGTGCAATCATTTTGAAATTTTTATCATTTACTTATTATGCTTCATTAAGTACAAAATTTTATTAAAATAAAACCATTTAAACTGGGTGTTCGGATTTATATGTCACTTAGTATAATAATGTTAATATTTCCTTACAAACTTTTGCCCGCATAAACCTTTTATTAGTACTGGAGCCAAAGGTAGACTTCAATATTTATATTATCTCTTCCTTCACAATTTTAATTTATGTATAAGAAACAGTTTATGATAATGTTAATATTTCCTTACAAACTTTTGCCCGCTACTGTATATTTACTTTCTTACTTTCTTTGAAATTGCCGAACCTGATTATGTAGTTGACAATTTTTGACTTTTATCCACCACTTATTTCGAAATATATTGTTCTAGAACTTACTGTATTCAGTAATAACTATAATGAGTACTCGTCCTGAGAATCGTATGACCGAGTAATTTCATTTCTAGGCGCGGACTTGGCGTCTCTCTGCTCGGAAGCCGCTCTCCAACAGATCAGGGAGAAGATGGACCTCATCGATCTGGACGACGACCAGATCGATGCCGAGGTGCTGAGCTCGCTAGCGGTGACCATGGACAACTTCCGGTATGCGATGTCCAAGAGCAGTCCCAGCGCGCTCAGGGAGACCGTCGTCGAGGTGCCGAACGTCACGTGGGACGACATCGGTGGCTTGCAGAACGTCAAGAGGGAGTTGCAGGAGTTGGTGCAGGTGAGTGCTTTCGGAATTTGATCTATCATGCTAGAACCAAAGTTTATCCATCGATTATAGAGGGTCGCAGTACAGCCAAAGAGTAGTTGTATCACGAGAAGATACATACAGTAATGGACAAAAGTATACAGGGTGTTTAAATTTACTTTCTAAAATAGTTTTTTTAAATATTTCGAACAATACTTGATGTATAACAGTGAAAATTGGTATACAAGGGTTTTTTGGTACGACAAAACGAACCATGGGCATAGTTTTACTGTAGCCGCTAGAGGGCGCTCTCTACTGTACCTGTAGTGTATTAAAATGAACGAAAATTTTTTCTTAGTGCAATTTTTTGCTTTTTGAATAAAAAAAACTGATTCTTCGCACTTTTCAACATAAAAAAGCTCTCTTGTGAATTTTCGTTATAGTTAGCCGTTTTTGAGATATTTCGATTTTTAAGGTTCGATGCATTTTTAATTATTTATGATAAAATAACGTTAAAAAGTCAGTATCTCAATAATTTTTAGAAGTAGGCTGTGCCTGCAAATATTTTTGAAATTGAAAGCAGAATAAGGTTAAACGTCAATTAGTTGACAGTTAGTTTTGTTGTCTGTTGAAACCTGAAACGTTTTTTTGCAATTGTGAATACAAGAAATTTAGTTTCTTTTACCTGTTTTTTTTTGTAAGTTTTATAAAAATGCCATTTTTATTCTCCAATCAAGAGTTAGCGGATATTCATTTTGTGTATGGCTTTGTAAATGGAAACGCAGCAGAAGCAGCCAGAGAATACGCACGAAGATTTCCAAACAGACGACATCCAACTCGCTCAGTATTTGTAAGAGTGCATCGCCAAATAATTGAAAACGGTTTTGGAAATCTCCAAAGGGATCAAAACATGAATGTTCGTCAGCGCAGATTTACCCGTATGATTCTGCGTGAGTTTGATAGAGATCCGACCACAAGTGTTAGGAGAGTTTCTGGTGCCTTGGGAATTTCAGCAAGCCATGTTCACCGTGTTCTTAGAAATGACCATAGACGTCCTTACCATTTGCAACCTGTGCAAGGACTACAGCCAGGGGACGGAGAACGAAGAATCACATTTTGTCAGTGGATTCTTGATAGAACTGATAATAATAGGGAGTTTTTAAGTAACGTTTTATGGACAGATGAGTCATGCTTCACTAGACGTGGAGTGGTAAATTTTCATAATCAACATATTTGGTCGCATGAAAATCCGCATGCAGTTCGGGAAAGAAATTTTCAGTATGAATTTAGTATGAACGTGTGGATTGGTATCTACCGTAATCGACTATTTGGACCCTGCCTGCAAGGTTAAATACTGCGACCTTCTTGGAATTTTTAAAGGCTGAACATGCAAATATGTGGGATGATGTTATGTTAGATTTAAGAAGATTGGCCTGGTTCCAGCTTGATGGTTGTCCAGCTCATTATTCGAGAATAGTTAGAAACTGGCTGGACGAAAATTATCCAGAAAGATGGATCGGCCGTGGAGGACCAGTCGCCTGACCTCCACGATCCCCTGACCTAAATCCATTAGATTTCTTTGTGTGGGGATTTCTAAAAGAAAAAGTATACCAGACTCCCGTAACCACAAGAGATATGCTAATTGACAGAATCAGGAATGCATGTGATGAAATGAGGCCTTATTTGAATAATGCTATACCACGTTCGATCATTCGTAGATGTGAATTGTATATTGAACAATTGGGTTTACATTTCGAGCAACTACTTTAGATTTTGTATGTTTGTCCTAACTATCCAATAAATAATTAATTTAATTTGTTAAAAATAATATTGGAAAATTAAACAAATTAATATTCTTTTTTTGTGTTTATTTGGAGTTAGGAATTATTGCTGGGTTTAAAAACACAATCTAAACGATCATCTTAATTACTTGTAACGCCCAAATCGAAAATGTAAAAAAAATATTATTTTCCCATAAATAATTAAAAATGCATCGAACCTTAAAAATCGAAATATCTCAAAAACGGCTAACTAACGAAAACTCACAGGAGAGCTTTTTTATGTTGAAAAGTGCGAAGAATCAGTTACTCCACGTCTAGTGAAGCATCCATCTAGTGAAGGTCCATAAAACGTTACTTAAAAACTCCCTATTATTATCAGTTCTATCAAGAATCCATTGACAAAATGTGATTCTTCGTTCTCCGTCCCCTGGCTGTAGTCCTTGCACAGGTTGCAAATGGTAAGGACGTCTATGGTCATTTCTAAGAACACGTTGAACATGGCTTGCTGAAATTCCCAAGGCACCAGAAACTCTCCTAACACTTGTGGTCGGATCTCTATCAAACTCACGCAGAATCATACGGGTAAATCTGCGCTGACGAACATTTATGTTTTGATCCCTTTGGAGATTTCCAAAACCATTTTCAATTATTTGGCGATGCACTCTTACAAATACTGAGCGAGTTGGATGTCGTCTGTTTGGAAATCTTCGTGCGTATTCTCTGGCTGCTTCTGCTGCGTTTCCATTTACAAAGCCAGACACAAAATGAATATCCGCTAACTCTTGATTGGAGAATAAAAATTGCATTTTTATAAAACTTACAAAAAAAAACAGGTAAAAGAAATTAAATTTCGTGCATTCACAATTGCAAAAAAACGTTTCAGGTTTCAACAGACAACAAAACTAACTGTCAACTAATTGACGTTTAACCTTATTCTGCTTTCAATTTCAAAAATATTTGCAGGCAAAGCCTACTTCTAAAAATTATCGAGATACTGACTTTTTAACGTTATTTTATCATAAATAATTAAAAATGCATCGAACCTTAAAAATCGAAATATCTCAAAAACGGCTAACTATAACGAAAATTCACAAGAGAGCTTTTTTATGTTGAAAAGTGCAAAGAATCAGTTTTTTTTATTCAAAAAGCAAAAAATTGCACTAAGAAAAAATTTTCGGTCATTTTAATACACTACAGGTACAGTAGAGAGCGCCCTCTAGCGGCTACAGTAAAACTATGCCCATGGTTCGTTTTGTCGTACCAAAAAACCCTTATATACCAATTTTCACTGTTATACATCAAATATTGTTCGAAATATTTAAAAAAACTATTTTAGAAAGTAAATTTAAACACCCTGTATTTCGGAAGCAACGCATTTTTCGACCCATGTTTATATAGACTTTATGCATTAATTTTAAAAGTTCTATCGAATCTTAAAGTTATGCAACAATAAACTGAAACACCCTGTATAGACAAATTAATATTGTGCTGTATTTCTTTTTTAAATTGTTTTATTAATACACCAATCTGTATACTTAATTCGTTATAGCATAATACTCACTTATACATAAATAAATTCATTAGACTCCCTTCAATAAAAAATTTGCTTCATTTGCCTTATCTGTCTTCTCTTGGTATAAGCACTTTTAGGTAAAACTACCGGTATCACTTCCATATCTCGATTTGAGTGTTTAAGTTGTATTGATTTTACACTTGATATGTGCAAGACCAAAAACTACGACCAAAAACCTTGACAACTTTTCTGAGACATGAGACTATGACAGCGTAAAAATCGAAACAAGTCAGTTGCGTGAAATATTAAATTAGTCAGGCTTTTTGCACTCAGGCTGAACATCTAGTAATTCCCAATCGTAATTTCAGTATCCAGTGGAGCATCCAGACAAGTTCCTAAAGTTCGGCATGCAGCCATCTCGCGGTGTCCTCTTCTACGGTCCACCCGGTTGCGGTAAGACACTGTTGGCCAAGGCCATTGCCAACGAATGTCAAGCTAACTTCATCTCAGTCAAAGGACCTGAACTGCTGACGATGTGGTTCGGTGAGTCCGAGGCCAACGTCAGGGATATTTTCGATAAGGTAAGATTTGAGAACACATTGTGACAAGTCGAAGGTATTATCATGAACTACTCTTTTTCAACCCCCGATGCAAAACACGAGGGATGTTATAGGTATATTTAAGTGCGGTTTTTCTTAATTGAAAGTCTTCCATGTCGGCGTTGTTCTTAGCTATGTTTGATGAAATTCGGTTCTGATTGTCAAAAGTAATAGGGGGTGAACGTGAAGCTGAGTATCAGAAGGAAGTTTTAGATTTGTAGATTATTAAATCAGACTTTTAATGGAAATTGTGATTTTTTAACAGAAGTCTCAACACGAGAGTTAGTTGAACGTCGAGATTTTTTTCATTTGTCTAGAGAATAGCTTGTTTGATTTGTAAATGAAATAAATGAATACGATTCGCTGTGAGCCTCTGGGTTAATTTAAACATTTTTACTAAAAATAAATTTTTGGAGAAACAAAAATGACAACACATACATAAAATCTGTCAACACTGTTACATATACATACAGACGGCCTACCATAGACAGCTGTTTCGTGCTTTTTGGCAAACTCTTCAGCATGATGTAGGCTTGGCCTCCGTGGACCATGAATGATAGCTGAGCAACTCTACTTTATTCAGATTATAAAGTTTATTGAAATCAGATAACACAAAGTGCTAGTGCTACTTCCAGAATCGACCACTGCGAAATTGAAAACAGCACTGCTGAATACTGCTGATTGTGATGCTATAGTAGTGGTCTATTCTGGTAATAGCTGGCACTTTGTGCTGTTTATTTCGATCGAAATAAATTTCAAGTGTCGAAATACCGTTTGAATGAGGCTCCAGGCGGGGAGTGTCAATACTTCTTAGGACACTATTTTAAATCAACTTCCATCAGATCAAGTGTGCAGCTGGAGGTTTGCGCTACAGCTGCCAATTTTAGTCACTATTGGCTAGATATTTTTTGTTTGTCTTATAACGTGTGCGAATAAAACCATTTTTGTTGTTGTCAGGCTCGATCAGCTGCGCCGTGTGTATTATTCTTCGACGAATTAGATTCTATTGCGAAAGCGAGAGGTGGCAATGTTGGCGATGCAGGCGGAGCTGCAGATAGAGTTATCAATCAGATTCTCACAGAAATGGACGGCATGGGTGCCAAAAAGAACGTGTTCATCATTGGTGCAACAAATAGGCCAGGTTCGTAAGATTTCTAGCATTTTGCTGTTAGTAAACCTTTTATCATCTGTAAGCTTTTAACCTCAGTAATACTTTTTGAAGTCTATTTACATATTTGTCATCAATATTAAAAAAAGATGAAAATATTGTGATACGTTCTATCACCTATTTTTTTACACGCATTTTAATTTTTCTCTCGGTTCAAACAAAGTTATAGAAGTTGGAAATTATATTTTTCGCAGATTTTGAAGAAAAACGCAAACGCGTGAGCATGTCGACACTTGGTTCCTGAACAATTTACTATTTAAAGTCACACAAGGAGTGTTCCTAATACTTTTCAGCTGATTGTTCCACGGTGTTATAACTGTAAAATATTTTTTATTATTAAAAAATGCAAAAAATGCCTGTCTAATTATAAGTACAGCACTGAAATTTGATGAGAATATTCCACGTTTACAGTGGATAGTGTAAACTTTTTTTATCATTTTTTGTTCATCACATGATCTTTGTTTTTTTAACTCGAAAAAGTCGATTAGAAAAAAGTAATAACACAAAATAAAACCATAAAAAATGTAATTTTAGACAAAAACATTGGTAATATTGTTTTTTAGTCATCTCTAAACATACCATGAAACAACCTGATGAAGTGTTGATGAGAAACTGATGTGCTACTCAATCACATTTTGACACTATTGACAGACGAACGATCATAAATGAAAATTTGATAGTTAGTTTAACTTTCAGCTCTATCTCTGTCAATGCACGTTACAAGAAGTTTTGTTTGTGCATCATGTGGAAACGCTATTTAAATTTGTCGACGATCGCTCAAGATCAAAAGGACGCCAACTTTTCGACCATTGCCTTTTTCTAGCTATCACCTCGGTGATTTTACAGATTACAGAACGGAGCACTCTGTAAACTTATTGAAACTATGACTTACGCGCTCATTTATGCACGTGATTTGTGTTAGGCGACATTGTCACTCGAAGGTGACAATAACATTGTTTAATGACATTGTCACGCGACATAAATCGCGTTGTCGCGTGACACATCGAGAACATAAATGAGCGCTAACTGCGCCTACACGAGAGTGGACGGTTCAGTAGCAAAGCTTGTTTCGACCATTTACAATGACAAACACAAAATTACTTGAGAAAAGTGGTGAATTAAGGATGTTAACGACTATGCAAGACAATCAGGATTCCCTATCAAATGACATGCATATCTTGATGACTTTCCCTGTCGAATGACATGCATATCTTCTTGTCCGCATTTTTTGAGTTAGAACTTGAGCGACGTTATACAGGGTGTAAACGTTATGATAGTCATTATTTAAATGGGTGATAGAGGCGGTTAAAATAAGCAAAAAGTTTCATATAACATGCGGGTCAAAACGGCATTTTTTTAGAGAAAAGCGACTTTAAAGTAAAATAAAATCTGACAACGCCGCAATGACAGACGCAAATTACGACGGAACGCAGTGTAAATAAAGATGTAGTTTGTTATTTTTGGCTCTTAGGTATTTCATTATTTGATAATGTACTCGTAAAATGCAAACAATTAAAAAAAAAACGGTCTTACCACTATCTGTCTCAGCGCTTCACCTGATGTGTGAAAGTTTATTGAACGTATTAAAAAAATCTACTTATAAATAGGGAACACGATTTTGATACATACATTTTGAAACGTTGTTGGAAATGACCTTCACGAATGGTTTGACGGTTTTCTTGGGCCCACGTGTGAGTATTATGGAAATTTAATAACCCGTCTCCCGTAAATGTACATTTGTCCGTCGCTAGAATGTTTTTAAGAAAATCCGGATTTTCAATGTTTCTGTGTAAGAAAAGTCTTCTGGTAACAAGGCATGCACTCGTTGTACATGGTAGGGATAAAACAACATGTCGGCGAACTCTTGATTCGAGAGCATTGTAAATCAACACGACGACGTACGCGAACAAAAACAAAACAAGATACTAACCACTTTTACCGTTTGCGATCGATTGCCCGTTCGATAAGAGTGATGATGACCGACGCGCTGTTGTCATGAGTGTTTTAAATATTTAATTTAATGAAACTTACTTACTTACTGACTACAAATTTTGGCTTCACTTAATGCCATTTATTTGTTAGTTACACAATTTAAAGACGTTTTAGATTAGATTATAAAAAGATTGTCGTGATTGTGGTCGATATAAAGCACTGAAAGTTGTAAACTATAAAGACATTTAGATAAAAATCTATTGTCTTTGGACCATGGGTCATATGAACTTTTTGACTTGTTTTGACCCCCCTATTACCCATTTCAATAATGACTACCATAACGTTTACACCCTGTATAGTAGTGGAATATAGATGGTCCGAGTCAAAGTCACTTGTAACTGTACATAAATTCATCCGAGTTACTTCTGACTTCCAGACATCATCGATCCCGCTATCCTGCGTCCCGGGCGTCTCGACCAGCTGATCTACATCCCGCTGCCGGACGAAAAGTCGCGTGAGGCAATCTTCAGAGCGAACCTGCGCAAATCTCCCGTGGCCAAGGACGTCGATATGGGCTACATCTCCAAAGTGACGCACGGGTTTTCTGGTGCCGATCTCACAGAAATCTGCCAGAGGGCGTGCAAGCTGGCGATCAGGCAGAGCATCGAGGCGGAGATTAGGAGAGAAAGGGAAAGAGCGGAGAATCCGAATCACGCCATGGATGTAAGTTGAACTGTTTATGATACATTCATTTGACATTGTATTGGTTTTTGTGACATTATGCAGGTTTTTCTACAATATGTTAACTTAGCACTAGCTGATGGACACGTTGTGCACTTGTTTTGTGGTTGTACATGTTGCCTAAACGACATGAGGCTTCGGTTATTAATGTTTGGCTCTGATGTGATGTAAAATCTGCTTCAGGGATGGCATTACTGGAGGTTAAGTTGTATACTATAATAGCTAGAAGGAAACCGCAATGCATAGGTGCATAGTGAGGATTTGTGTGCTAATAATGTGTTGATGATAATTCCATTGGATTCTTGCCTCAAATACACTTGAGGTTCAAAGCTAAAAATTAGTTGCGCATCCACTTTTTCTTATCCATTCGGGAAATTACATAAGCTTTGCTGAATTTCAAAGATGAGATAGATAAGAAATAATTATATTCACTGTACACTGTCAACGCGGGCGCGGTGCTGATTTCCCGTAATTCTCCTAAAAATTTTTGAAAACACGAAAAAACGGAACTAATCGTAATTTATAACATTGAACATAACCTCTCTTCAGGAAGGACAGCATATAAATAACCCTCGGGCACAGCTAATTGATATACTTCATTGGCAGTATTTTCAGAAATCATTTTCTCACACAGCAAATATCACTGATTTTATACACATGTCAGACCAATACACACAATCATCCAGATGCGATCTTGCTATTCAACCAACTTTCTTACTTTCTTCTCAGAGATAAAACTACAGGCAAGGACCATTTGGCCTCACAAAGCATATGCAACCAACAATGCATGTAGTTGAGTTATTCCTACATAGATGGACGCTCACAACGATCCTAGTGAGCAATCGTGGAATGACTGTTTGCACCCTAAAAATTACCCTGCAAGATGACATTTTATGGGTTTTTTTGGCGTTTTATAGGTTTTTACATAATACCAGTGCGGGAGTTGATTGAAGTATGACTGAAATTTTCCTTCTTGGGTCACTAGCGAAGTTTATTTCACCTACAGACTACTAAAAATATAGACCTCTTGATTCTTTCATAAAATCAAATAGGTGTATAAGTCGTTGTGCATATGTCGATGGGCCAGGGGGAGTGCGGATGTAAGCAAAGCCTAAAAATAGCCGACTTTGGGGGCATATGATTTGCAAGGTCACACGTTCGAAACACGATCCAGTGGTGTAGCATAGGATCGGTATTCGAGGTCGGAGTCGGATTCGACAGTATGAACATTTCATTTTCGAATACTGTTCAGTGGCGGATTTAAGAAAAAATAAAGGCCCGGTCGGCAATTTTTCAAGAGGGCCCACTTGTTCGGCTATGAATTAAGTGATAAATAGGTAGAATCATGTAACTTTGAATCCTCGTCTTGGTTTTCGTTCAGGAAGAAAAATGTTACTTCTCAATAAGGCATTGCGGACGGCACTGACGATTTCATGACCTAGTAGTGGAAAAAATAGTTTATATTCCAGATCAGATGGCTCTTTCTTTACAGGATTCTCAGCATCTCGATAAAAAATAAAAGAAAAACGTCAACTTGACAAGCACTACTAAACTAATCTAAACTGAGGACAGTTGCTTTGCAACATGGAAAATTGTACTCAAATTCAAATCTCGATATGTTCGGAACAGTAAGAGATTTCGAGCTGCGGTATTCGGGAGGTTCTTGTCCAACTCGTTGAGAACACGTACAGGGTTCGATCAGTATATTTCTTTTATTTATCCACTTATACAGGGTGAGCGAACGAAGTTATGGTTTTTAGCAAAGTTTTTGCTATGTCAGATTCTCAATTTCTGATCTTAGAAATTTGTCTACGCATCTTTTTGACCTTTGGACTTGTTTATAAAATAGGTTAACATATACACCGCGCCGCCCCTGAGTTTTTCACGGATGAGGAGGAGGGAGTAGGAGGGAAATTGTCATGATAGGACTGGAGTTTCGGAACTTTATATCTCGGTTATCTTAGCGATTTGGTGTATGCGTTATTAGGAAAACTTGCTTCCTATATGCTCATTACCAACTTTGAGTATATGTTAGAAACGATGAGGCAATCATTCTCCAATTCGATTTTCCACAATAAACAGCTTTACGTTAACATGTTAAGATTGAGCTAGTACCCAATTAAAATAGTCATTAGAGAGGCGCCAAAAGGGATTGAAGATCGCACAGCCATATACGAGAGAGTAACAGAACCAAACCATTTAGCTCACTTCAAAGCAGTTTTTTGAATCCATTTTTGTTTGTTACTGGAGCCAGGATCATATCTCATTTTGGGCACCAGGATACAGTACAGGGTGATACACGTCGTGATCAAAAATGATACATCATACACAGGACCGCATTTTAAGGGGGGTCTGCTATGTAAAATTTTTGCCTCGAGAGCTTCATTAAATTTAAAAATCAATAACAATTTTTTGAACATCTTCAAAACCGTCAACTGTAATGAACTAAAATTTATTGGATTTACCTAGGTATTGTTCACATTCAAAAGTTTTTACTTAAAATTTACGTGCACCAGTGGCGGAGATACAGCGGACTAGTGTCATTATTTTTCCAAATAAAAATAGTACGCCACTGTTCATTAGAATTCATTTTTAGAATTTTACCTTCAATTTGCTTTAAATAATTACTTTTGTTTTTTTTCCTAGAATGTACTGTTTTCAAACAAGTGTAGACCTGTTAATACTTGTCCGATTGTTTACATTGTGGTGTCAGTTGATTAAGCGCTTTTCGGGTAATTACATATACCTCAGTTTGTATTGATCTCTCGAAGCATAACGATGGAGTGGGGCAAGGCAGAGAACCGTATTGCAGTGATAGCTTTACATAAGTGTAATCACAGTGCTAGTCAGATTTTTGAACTCTTACGCGGCCTTCAAATATCGCGTAAATTTGTGTCTAGGACCATTCAGCGGTACAATGAGACGTCCTCTGTTGATGACAGGCCAAGAAGCGGAAGACCTCGTCAAGTAAGGACTCCAGCAGCCATCAAAGCCGTAAAAGCCAGGATTCAAAGGAATCCACTCCGGAAGCAGAAGATCCTATCCAGGGAAATGAAGATTCCTGTCCGGACGATGTCGCGCATCATTAAACAAGACCTAGGGCTAGGGGCTTACCGGAGACGTACGGGCCAGCGACTTACGGCCACCTTGCGACACATCAGGGCGACAAGATCCAAGAAGCTCTTGGAGAGGTACGCAGCTGGGGGATTCCGAAAGATTTTGTTCACGGATGAGAAAATCTTCACCATAGAAGAAAAATTCAACCGACACAATGACAAAGTGTATGCAAGGAGTTCACAGGAAGCTTCGGAGATCATTCCGAGAGTTGAGAGAGGCCACCACCCTGCGTCAGTCATGGTTTGGTGGGGGGTGTCCTACGAAGGGGTCACTCAGCTCCATTTCTGTAAACAGGGCGTGAAAACAAAAGCGGCAAACTATCAGAGCGACATACTGGATCCTATCGTCAAGCCTTTAAGTGGTACATTGTTTGCCAACCAACACTGGGTCTACCAGCAGGATTCCGCCCCCGCTCACAAGGCTAAGAGTACGCAGCGCTGGCTGGAAAGCAATGTGCCAGAGTTCATTGCTGCGGAAGATTGGCCCTCAGGGAGTCCGGACCTCAATCAATCCTTTAGACTACAAGTTGTGGGACCTGCTAGAGCAGTTGGCCTGCTCCAAAGCCCACCGTAATATCGAGTCCCTGAAAGCGGATTTGATCCGATCAGCGGCAGCTATTCCTTTGGAAGCTGTGCGTGCAGTGATAGATGAGTGGCCCGCGAGATTGAAGCAGTGTGTGAAGGCCAAGGGGGGACATTTTGAATAAAACTGTTTGATTATGAATTCTAAAAATGTTGTCGAATAAATAATATCTTTCATATAAATATATCTTATCTTGTTTCATTTTTATCATGAGATTATCATGGGACAGAACTTATGGCACGACTACGTACAATTGGTTTCAAAATGAAATAGGAGGCCTTGACACCAACTTGACGTTTCTTGGGAGATATTTTGTCTAAGTTATGTATTATACGGTTATCATAACTATCATTTTTTTTTCTTAAAGTTAAGTCAAAAGTTTCTTTTTTCAATTTTTGAGTGTTGTGAAATTGAATTTAACAATGATGAGTACGCCGATATTATTTTTGTGTACAGGCTCTGTAATAAAAATGCTTTAGCGGCTTTTCGGGAGTAACAACGTAGATTTCCTAACATACGCCAACCTACCATAAAGGTTTTTACGCATACATTTCTAAGACTTCGGCAATATGGAATTGCCAAACTTGTCGGAGTTAGAGGCCATGGTGTCCAGCATACTGTTCGAGAGGGACTGGAAGTGATTAATTTGGCGTTGGATGATCGTAGTACAAGTCCTAGGCGTATTGCAGCCCAGTTACCATGTTCGCAAAGTCTTGCGTCTAGAATTTTAAATCGCTAAGTTTTACATCCTTACCATTTTCAAAATGTGTTGTAATGTCTCCAACCCGGCGACGAAGTGCAACGGCGAAATTTTTGTGAGTGGTTACTGGAAATGCATAATCAAAATGAAGATTTTATTGATTTGGGTTTGTGGTCAGATGGATCGCTTTTTACGAGGAGTGGAACCTTTAATTCTCATAATAAACATATTTGGTCGTTAGAAAATCCCGTTCTGCAAGAATCCACTCGTTTCAACACAGATTTTCTAGAAATGTCTGGTGCGGTATTTTCAATAGTTTATGCACGTATTGCCACAACGTTTAAATGTAAACTCATATTTAGCTTTTCTAGAGAATTTCATAGAAAACGTGTGAGATGATATTGCGTTAGCAACGAGAGTACGAATGTGGCATCAGCACGACGGTGCCCCACCGCATGTTCGTCGTGACATAACCGCTTGGTTAAATAATCATTTTAGACAACGATGGATTGTAACACAAACGGACCCATACATTGGCCTGCGAGGTCTCCTGATTTGAACCCCCTGGATTTCCTTTTGTGGGGCGCTTTTAAACAACTAGTGTATGCAGAACAAATTAATACTGTTGATCAACTGATCAAGAAAGAATAAATAATGTGTTTCATCAAATTCAAGTGCTAGCCAAGATCTTTGCTGCCAACTCCACTATGGTCCCCCCCCCCCAACGCCCAAGTGCCGTCAAATCAAAGGGTTTGTATTGTACTGAAGTGGTGTGCAGCGAAGCTTGCTCCAGTTCTTTCGCGTCTCTTCCAGATATCTTATGAATATGGCACCTTTCCAGAAAATTGGAAATTTGCTCATGTCCAACCCATCCCAAAAATAGGATCTAAGACCGACCCTTTCAACTGCAGGCCTATAGCTCTGCTTACTGGTATAAGTAAGATGATGGAGAGGTGTATAAATCGCGAGCTTCTGGACTATCTCGAGCGTCACAGCTTGATTAGGGACAAGCAGTATGGTTTCCGGCACCAACGATCCACAGGGGACCTCCTAGCTTAATTGGGGAGTAAACTCATCCAGTTTTATGGTGAGGTCCATGTCGTTGTTCTTGACATCACGAAAGCGTTCGATCAGCTGTGGCACGCTGTCCTCTTAAGCAAACTTCCATCCTATGGCCTCCCAGAAAAGCTTTGCAGATAGGTGGCTGACTTGATCTCTGGCCGCAAAATATCCGTCGTAATTGACGGGTTCTCCTCTTCATTCCACAACGTCAACGCGGGTGTTCCCCAAGGATCGGTCTTGGCTCCGACACTGTTTCTCTTACATATCAACGACCTCCTTTTCTGCACGTACAACCCCACCCACAGCTTCGCTGATGACAGCACTCTACATGTAGGAATTCAGAGTGACAAGCCGGTCTCTGCCGCTGAGCTGGAAAAAAAGAAGGCTAGCGACGACATCCTCTCTAACAAGAGACCTGGATGCTATCACTGCTTGGGGACGCAACAATCTTATACAGTTCAATGATTCCAAAACACAGTACTGTACTTTGACGAACAAAAAGCGTCCTAGCGCTCATCCGGTTACGATGGATGGCCGAGTTCTGTCAAAGACCTATTCATTTCGACTGGTCGGAGTCCAGATCACCGAGGACCTGATCTGGCACGAACACATCTCGTCAATAGCTGCAGCTGCTGGGAAAAAGCTAGGCTATTTGTTTAGGGCTAAGAAGTACTTTTCTCCGCATGACCTTCTCACTCTATACAAGGCCCAGATAAGGCCTAGCCTCGAGTATTGCTCACACGTTTGGGGTGCTGCCGCCCCGGCTACATTATCCATGCTCGATGCTGTCCAGAGGAGGGCGGTTCGACTGATCAATGACTCTTCTCTAACAGACAGTCTTGGAACTGCTTTCGAACCGGCGGGCCGTCGGCGATCTAGCTCTTTTCTACCGCTACACCAACGGGCTTTGCTCCTCAGAGCTTTCTTCCATGATGCCGCCGCGCGATGTGCCTGCCAGGCAGACCCGCCTGACTTTGGCGTCCCATCCTAACCGTGTCGAGCTTCGTACATCCAGAACTGGGCGATACGACCGTTCCTTTGTCCCGATAGTGTCGAAACTGTGGAACAATCTATAAGAGGAAGCTTTTCCCAGTTCTACTAGACAGTTCAAAAATCGTATTAACAAAATTTCCTTGGGAATGATGACATAGCAGCCGCGGTGTTTCGGCATTTAGGCTTCTGCCTGCGCGGCTGCTTCGATATATAAAAAAGCCACAACAAATTTTGCGGAAATACGTTTTTCTTGATGAAGATGCCGCACTTGTATCCGTCAAAATGGTGGTCTTTTTGAACATTTATTGAAATAAAGCTTTCATTACCTAATTTGTTTTTTGTTTTTTTTACGAAAACAATGCACTCTAGGAAAAAACAAGAGTAATTATTTGTAGCAAAATGAAAGTAAAATTCTAAAAAATGCGCTTTTCAAAAAAAAAAAAAACGGTGGCGTACTATTTCTATTTGGAAAAATAATGTCACTAATCCCCATATCTCCGCCACTGGTGCAAGTTAATTTTAAGTAAAGACTTTTGAATGTGGACAATACTTGGGTAAATCCACATTCCAAATGTTGATTCATTCCAGCTGACGGTTTTGAAGATATTGAAAAAATTATTTTCTAACTTCAACACCCCCTATCTTTTTATTGAAGCCCATGTTACATAGACTCCCCCCTTAAATCGCAGTCCTGTTTATGATGTTTCATTTTTGGTCAGGACTTGCGAATCACCCTGTACACGGTTAACCACATCACGTAGAATACGTTAATCAATGTCGATACTGAGTAAGGAAAACACTAAACGATCGTTTCCTTTCAGCTGGACGAGGAAGATCCAGTACCAGAGATCACGCGCGCCCACTTTGAGGAAGCGATGCGGTTCGCCAGGCGGTCGGTATCTGACAACGACATTCGCAAGTACGAGATGTTCGCCCAGACGTTGCAGCAGTCGCGCGGCTTCGGCACCAACTTCCGGTTCCCGCAGAGCGCGGGCGGTCAAGCGGGGGCGCCGGATACCGCCGGCGACCAGCCGAACTTCCAGGATGATCCGGAGGACGATCTATACAGTTAGGCGCCGGCCCGTCGAAGTGGGGCTTCAATAAGCACCAATTTTATCGATTATATTTCTTTTGTATTTATTTACACAATATTAAAATACATCAGTTAGATACAGTTTAAATTCATTTGTTGATATAGTTTTGGAATATAATAAAGTTTGTCTAAAAAGAACCTGTGTTTGTATCGAGTAATAGGAAAACTTGTGCTTGCCTAATAAACATACACAGTTAATTCATCTGGGTATTCCTTTATTCCATTTGTCATTTTACTCCTGTTCTAGGTGTTTGACAGCTTTATTAAATGGTAAATTTAACTTTGCAACTTTGGACGGGAGTATACAGAGAAATCCAAATATCGCTGACAGGGTAATGTGTACGAGAGAGGAGTACGAAAAACGTGCAATACGTACGTTAGGAAGGCAACGTGGAGCTTCTATCTCTTTCTAACACGTATTGCACGCTTATCGCGCTTCTCTCTGGTACACACGTCGGTGGTATATGGATTTCTCTGTAGATGTCGTGTACGCAGGTCTCGAAAATAGTCTGGTGAAAGTAACATCGTAAGTTGATGAAGTGAAGAAAAGTCAGATTATACGGGAAAACAAGTTAATTTTACCAGGATATAATCCAACTGACATCTACTATCATATTAGACGAAAATACCCCTGGTTTGCGAAATAACTGTTAAGTCTGGTTTTATTGCTGCAAGTTGTTGAAGGGGGTATTTAAAACATGGACGCATAAAATGGGTACACAAATTTTTGTGTAAAAACTTTTGTTTCATCTGTCAACGAAGAATGAGAAAACGTGTTTTTTATGCGAACAACAAATGTTACGTTTTTAACACGCTTTTATTCTGCTAAACAAATTCAAACATTTCGTATTTGTGAGTAATTGAAAATATGCGCTACGATATTCGAAAAACACGTTACTATATACATTTTAAAACAAAGCGGATGTGTCTATCATCTTTTGTTGCGAATTACTCACAAGTACGAACTGTTTGAATTTGTTTAGAAGAAAAAACGTAACCCATCCTTTTTTGCATAAAAATAACATTTATCTTCCGGAATGGTTTGGATTCATATCGGCAAGGTAAACTAGTGTATTTAGCTACAAAGTGCTCGTTGAACTAACCCTGTAGATTGCTCAATAAACTAGTAGTAGTAAACAGGTGTTTTGAGATAAACAATTAGAAATTCTCAAAAACTACTTGACCAATCTACTCCAATTTTGTTGTGATTATTTAGAAGTACGAATTTGAAGAATTTTAAGTATCTGTGAGGAACCATCATTGCATTACCAACAAGTGCCAAAACCTGCAGTTTGCCTCGGTTTTGTGCTATAACATTTTTGCTATTAATCGGATCTTTTTACGTGTGGTCTCATTTTGTAGGTCTCATGAATACCTAAAAATCTTATATGAAGAGTTTTTCGTTCCTGCCAACACTTTCGATTGAATCCCAAAAAACACGTTTTCTCATTCTTTGTTGTCGAATAAAAAGTTTTCCCACAAAAATTGGTGTACGCATTTTTTGCGTCCATCTTTGAAATACCCCCTTGAACAACTTGCATCAATAAAACCAGATTTTACAATTATTTCGGGGAAATTTGCTAACATGATTAGACTAATACACAACAATCCATAGTTTTCTTTGAACACTTTTTGTTTAGGAGTAATACTTCGTCCTGGCACGGTTACTTCAATCCGTTCGACAACGACTACTCCCGTAGGTGGTTTGCCAAATAAAATTCTGAAGTTAATTTCACCAAACTACATCCTTTAATCCACCCGAAATCCATCGATTACCACTCACGTTGTTGCCCAGATTCTTCGGCATGATCTGGACCAAATGGAACCAAAAATAACGTGCCATTTTGAGAGTGTTACTTCACTAAGGACATACCGATTTCAAGCACTAATACTCGCCCAAAGTCTGCCTATACTGAGCGTTATTTTTCCACCTGTCGTGAAAATGACCTTTCAAAAATTTATCAGGTGACAACTAATTGAGTGTAACATATTTCCAATATAATATGTGCTTTGATTTAAACTAGACTACTATATCTATAAATGCAAAATTCAATATCACTTCTGTACACATGGATACAGAGAACATTTTTATTGTCTTAACCTAACCTTCTGCTTTAGTCTCTTGGTTCTTCTTCCCTTCTAACGCGATTTGCATTGACCAAATACTCAAAGGTCTCATATAGCCAATAGCTCTATAGAACTTTTTAGCATATAGTGCTTCTGGAATGTCAAATTCTAAGCCAAAAAGCTCGGACATGGACCTATACATACCACCTGCAGTTTTCAAACCCTCGTCGTACATATCCTGGGATAGAAAAAAAAGTTAAGTAAATCTGAATCACGAATACATACTGGCATATCTTAAGAACAATTTCAGGCTTACCTCAAACAGCATAGTTGCTGCCAAAGCATAAGTCACTCCCGTCCACACTTCTTGACTTTGTAAGCTAACAGTGTCTGCCGCTCCATTCAAAAATCCGTTAACTGCTCCCATCGTTCCATTACAAAAGGATAAAACATTGTTTTCATAGATCGTTCTCAATGTTTTCCTAACTTTATCTTTCGGAAATACCTAAAAAAAAGACATAGATCGATCTTATAGTCACGTCGCAGATCTTCATTTTATGATTGCAATACTATTTGTTTGTCTGGGCGGTCCGTAGGACCTTTGGCCATTAGTCACTGTCTAATGTACGTAATCATGCCATAAGTTCTGTCCCTCGTTTTCAAACAAGTGTAGACCTGTTAATACGTGTCCGATTGTTTACATTGTGGTGTCAGTTGATTAAGCGCTTTTCGGGTAATTACATATACCTCAGTTTGTATTGATCTCTCGAAGCATAACGATGGAGTGGGGCAAGGCAGAGAACCGTATTGCAGTGATAGCTTTACATAAGTGTAATCACAGTGCTAGTCAGATTTTTGAACTCTTACGCGGCCTTCAAATATCGCGTAAATTTGTGTCTAGGACCATTCAGCGGTACAATGAGACGTCCTCTGTTGATGACAGGCCAAGAAGCGGAAGACCTCGTCAAGTAAGGACTCCAGCAGCCATCAAAGCCGTAAAAGCCAGGATTCAAAGGAATCCACTCCGGAAGCAGAAGATCCTATCCAGGGAAATGAAGATTCCTGTCCGGACGATGTCGCGCATCATTAAACAAGACCTAGGGCTAGGGGCTTACCGGAGACGTACGAGCCAGCGACTTACGGCCACCTTGCGACACATCAGGGCGACAAGATCCAAGAAGCTCTTGGAGAGGTACGCAGCTGGGGGATTCCGAAAGATTTTGTTCACGGATGAGAAAATCTTCACCATAGAAGAAAAATTCAACCGACAAAATGACAAAGTGTATGCAAGGAGTTCACAGGAAGCTTCGGAGATCATTCCGAGAGTTGAGAGAGGCCACCACCCTGCGTCAGTCATGGTTTGGTGGGGGGTGTCCTACGAAGGGGTCACTCAGCTCCATTTCTGTAAACAGGGCGTGAAAACAAAAGCGGCAAACTATCAGAGCGACATACTGGATCCTATCGTCAAGCCTTTAAGTGGTACATTGTTTGCCAACCAACACTGGGTCTACCAGCAGGATTCCGCCCCCGCTCACAAGGCTAAGAGTACGCAGCGCTGGCTGGAAAGCAATGTGCCAGAGTTCATTGCTGCGGAAGATTGGCCCTCAGGGAGTCCGGACCTCAATCCTTTAGACTACAAGTTGTGGGACCTGCTAGAGCAGTTGGCCTGCTCCAAAGCCCACCGTAATATCGAGTCCCTGAAAGCGGATTTGATCCGATCAGCGGCAGCTATTCCTTTGGAAGCTGTGCGTGCAGTGATAGATGAGTGGCCCGCGAGATTGAAGCAGTGTGTGAAGGCCAAGGGGGGACATTTTGAATAAAACTGTTTGATTATGAATTCTAAAAATGTTGTCGAATAAATAATATCTTTCATATAAATATATCTTATCTTGTTTCATTTTTATCATGAGATTATCATGGGACAGAACTTATGGCACGACTACGTACGTTAGTCGAATCTGTCAGTCCTGGTTGCCCAGAAACCAGACAATGTCAAGGAAAAAGAGAAAGGGAAAGAGAAGAAAAAAGGAGAAGAGCAAAGAAAAAACAGAAGTGCATTATTTTAAGAGGAAACACCTAAGCTTTTCACTTGGTACCCGGATCAATTTTGAGGTGAACTAAAAAAATTTTTTGAATAGGGTTTATATTAGAGTGTAATTTTGGGTTCCCTAAAAGTAGGCGCTAATTTTTGATTACAGTGAGAGCCGTGTCCTTGAATATTTGCGGGCTTGCTCCACTGTGTAGTCCACTGAATCACGCAACATAGGGTTGCTGTGCGAATCCGCTTGGCTATAACGTCGCTGCTTACATGAGGGCTTATGTCAAGGTCTCTGTCTTGTTTGAGAAATATCTGCATTGAAAAAGAAAACACCAAGCCCCACATGCATAAGTAATGGCTGGTCTAATAACCATTTTATATAGTTTAACTCTGTTTATCAAACTCAATTTGGAGGATCTACATAACAAAGGATATAGTTGCCGAAACGCAATTTGGAATTTTGTTTTCAATGCTGCTCCATGTTTCTGTTAGGTCATGCCTTTATCAAGGGTGATACCGAGATAATTGGCAGAATTTGTCTATGGTATACGATTTCCGTCTACCGAAACCTCGGCTGGGGGGCTGCGACGGTTTTTAGTACAGTAAATAGCCTGAGTTTTCGAATAATTAATTTTAATCAGCCACCGTTCTAAACACTCTAGTACTTCGTCCACCGCACTCTGCAACCCATCGTGAACCAGATCACCAGTACTCGACTGGGCGAAAAGTGCAGTCAACGTAGAGGTAGGCTGAGGCGAGGGACCTCGTGGATAAAAAACGAGTAAAGGATTGGTCCTAGGACCGAGCCCTGAGGACACCGTACTGGCCGTGTTGTTGACAAAACATTGTTAATTTGATCCGAAACTTCATTCCTTCAAGGGAGGATTTCAGTAGTTTTAGAAGCCGTATTAGTTTATAGAGGAATGGCACTTCAAGCAGTAAGAATTACTACTGCCAATAGCTAACATCAAAAAATATCCTCAAATTTGCATGGTGAGCTCAAATTGAGGTTTGAAAAATATCTGGTTCAGAATACCGAATACTTAAATGTGTGAACGAGATTGGTTTTGGAGAAAAAAATGCAACATTCAAAGTAATGGTAGAGCGATAGTTACTATGGCGATGGACACTTTTTAGTCAACATTTTAATGCAATAATAAATTAATGTGTGATCAGAGTCACAATAAATAATACGTGCAGAATCTCACAGCCTGGCATATCTTAAACCAATCACTATTTATTCACAGCGTTATACTTGAAACAGAAAACAAACATACGATCATGCTAGGCAAACGAATATCGAAATGCAGTATATACCCTTATTCCTTTTGGGCGGACTAGCGACTGAACGCTTCCTCGACAGATGTCATGTCAAATTGCAATGAGTCGTTTCGGCTGTATCTCGTGAAATAGATACTTCAACGTTATTTCCTGGGGTAAAAAGTAGCCAACGTGCTATTTCAGACTATAATCTTTCTCCGTACTAAATTTTATCTAGTTTGGCGATTTTGGCATGATTGAGTAAGGAACATCCACACCTTCTCATTTATAATACTAATAGGTACATAACTCACATCATAGTCGTTTATCCCACAACACCTCAGATACCAATGACCACAAAGTTGATCAGCCATAATAGCTGTAGATTCCTTGCTGGATGAATCAAAATTATAACATATTCCATTCCACAGCTTCTGGTCGTACGATTTTCTGGCCGATGCAAATACTTTTTCAAATGTTGCTTTGTCTTCTGATTTTCGAAGTCGGTCAGCTAAGGCGATCATAGTATAGAGAGCAGCTAACCACAGACCTCCACAATATGCACTGAAAAAAGAAGTTCAGATGAATCAGAAGACAAAAAAAAATGGCGTCAAGTAGGTTGACTCCGCACGTACCGATGTGATCAGTTCAGAAAAAAATTTGTAAAAAATTAACTATGCCCGTATCTAACAAAGGAATTAAACAGATCAGGTCAGTCAAATAGGTTCATACCATTAGTCTCATGCGTCCACCTATTTGACAACATTGCGATCTAGCAATCCCTCCCCTCCCCTACCGACCATCCGACAACATTGCGTTCATAGCTGCGATGAACGACCTCGTCAGTGGCAGCGGCCAGTTCGCGACAGGTTAATGCTGTCTTCGTTGTGATCGACGCGGGCAGTAAAAATATTGATATTCTTGGTTTGTAGAACAAATATACAAGAGAAATCTGTGTGAAATATGTCTAATATGTTATAATTATTAGGGTTAGACGCCCTCTCGACCCCCACCCCTTTATTTCAATCATTAAAATAATTTTCATGAATGAGCAAAAAAAAAACAGAAGTTCGTCAGTGGAACGATTTTTAAAACCTACAACGCTTATCCCTTAGGCATAACTTTGTGCAAGCATTTGATCAAAAGTGTTTTTTGAGTTTTTGAGATTTAGGAAAAATGAGGCAATATTTTGGAGGGCATAAAGTAGATCAAAAAATAATATGAAGAGTTCTTATAAATCTGGGTAAGTATTAAAGTGTCACCTTACCGAGATACAGGGTGTTGATGTTTTAATTTTGCAATCGAAAAAATATGTATCCCCGAGTGTGTCAAAATATTTACTTAAAATTTTGTACATGTAGCAATAACCGCATAGCCAATAGATAGAAAATTCCGTACCCCAGCCTACACCAGTGGAGTAGAAGTGAGGTAATTTTGACTACTACAGAAGTAAAAATAAGATTATTTTTTCGACGCCACAGACTTTTTTGAAACTTCTAATGCATTTTTGAATAAGGTATACAATTTTACATGCATCGTCTCTCTTGTGAAATTTTTGTAAAATAATGGCTTGAATATTCAAAGTTAAATCTATATGAAAAACTTCAAACCATTCTATCTTGGAAATACTTTGAAGTTAGCGAAGTTTGATATTGAAAATTGCATATAGTCTACTAGGAGAGTAACACTATTCATGTTTTGTCTCTATACAGTCTTATCAGTAGCATGGAAATTTACAACACCCTGTATTTTGGTAAACGAGACATTCTAGTATGGTGTATCTGAAGTCACTTGAAATAGCATAAAAACCTTTGGTCGGCGCGTCCTTTGTAATTTCATGACGTATCATAGGCGTGCGGCATTTATTTAGAACGATAATAATAATGTTTTTATATCACAATAAATGGATTTTACTATCTTCTTATTTTTTTGATTGGGGATAAAAAATACTTATATTGGGAGTTTAATTTATGTTGACTGAAAGTTAAGAAATGGAAAAATTACAGAATTCCAACGTTTGACATAGGCAAATATTTACATAGCAGGTAGGTATATAAAAAGGTATATAAAGACTTACATTATAGGTATTTATATATCATCCTCGCCTTCGGAGCTGTCGCTAGAGTCATCTTGTAGAGGAATTACAACGGGATTTACAGGAGGCAAAACACAATATTCATTTTCTTTTTCAATAATATGCCTAGAATACTGCTTCCATAGGTCTGTGGCAGCAATATGAGATACTGCATCTCTTATTGTGGCCAATAGCGATTCACTTAATTGAGGGGTCTGATTATGTTTTCTTACTTTTTTTTTAATGCAGCCCAGACCAACTCAATCGGGTTAAAAATGCAGTAATAGGGAGGTAGACGTAATACTTCATGGCCATTTTGCTGAAGCAGATTGTCAACAACATACTCTTTTTCAAATTTTTGTCTTTTAATAAGATCCAATAATATGGCTTTGGTTGATTTTTGTGGTATTTCCATTCCCTTATCCTTCATAAAATCAATAATGTCTTGTTTTTTTGTGCCTGTATTCGGAATTTTGTTTTTCTGTCGGGAATGGTATGACGCATTGTCCATAATAATCACTGAATTTGGGGAAATGTTTGGTATTAACTGCTGCTCTATCCACTTTTCAAATAAGTCGGAGGTCATGTCCTCATGATAGTCGGCACATGATTCTTTGATATTTTTGGCAGATAACAGCAAGGCATTAGGTATAAATCCATTTTCACTGCCAGCATGGAGAATAATGATTCGTTTTCTACGGTTGCATGGTGCATTTAAAATGCACTTGTTGCTGTCGTCAACCCAGCCGTACTGCACAACATCATGGGTATCATACCACGTTTCATCCAGGTAAATCAGATTTCTTTTCTGCTCTCTATAGATTTTAACTTTGTGCAAAAATTCTTGGCGCAATTGAACGATTCGAGACGACTTCATAATCACCATTCTTTTATCTAATTTTTTGTATTGAAAACCACACAGTTTTACAATACAGTGCAGTGAGTCTAAGCATTTGTAATTATAAAAATCTTCAGGATAATCTTTTAATTTATCCCGTATCATTTCCAACGTGGGCACCAAATTTTCTTTATAAAATCCGTATATTATACGACGAATATCTTCCTGAAAACCCACGTCTATTCTTTTTAATTTTTGCCCTATGCGCTTTCTGTGGAAGGAATGGTTGACTACATCTCCCCTTTTTATAACCCGATAAATGGTAGACCGACTGATTTTTGTCAGGATACAAATTCTGTTTAAAATTTGATTTTGCGAGGAATCTGGATTTTCGTTTTTCAGACAATCATACATATTTAGGATTACTCTTTGGGTCTGTTCCTCTAAATCTTTATGAAAGAATTCTGCCTGCACAGGTTCATCAACCATCTCCTCGTGGCTTGGAGCATTTTCCCAAGGTCTCCAAAGAGCCATATTTAGGACACACAAGAACAATCAACACAACAATTAAATCAACAAGTAAACTGAGTATTCAAAAGTCAAAAACACACAAACTAATAAAATCTATGAAAAAACACGGACAGACTAAAGAAAACACGTTTATTCACCGCTACACGGCACTGGCTAAACTGTTTCCATTTTCAGTAGCCACCTGCACTTGTTCCGAGCTCTGAAATACACGCTTTCTCATTGGCTATGTCCACACGCATAGGCGTGCTTTACTCCACGTGGACCGGTGAAACTGCCTTTGATCTCTTATATTTGCTGCGAAATTTGGCGATTTTTGCAGCAACAGAGCGTGTTAAATATAGATATATAAAACGCACCCGGTATTTCACAGTGTTTCAAGTGACTTCAGATAAAGTATACCTATGTTTATATGAACTGTTTTGTTATTTTTCGATATACTTTTTATTCTAGAAACATTGACACGTTTTTCTGAATCACCATGTAGGGGGGCCAAGTGTTAACAGACTGACGCATAGTGGTCTATTTATTTGAAAACTTGGCAAAAATTGACAAAACAAAGTATCGGAAAAGAATGAGAATGATTGAGATGAAATTTGTTTACAGTACCCTTACAGAGGATGATTATTAAGCTTCAAGTTCTTGCTATATCATTATACATTACTTTTTAACGCCAAAATTGAAGAGTTTCGGTATCATTCATTGTGATGTCTTTTGAAAATATATGAACATCTGGATATGGATCATAATACAGAGAGTACAAACCTTCATTGTGTGTTACTTCCCACAGTGCGGCATAAATGAGTGACATGGTTTTTCGTGATGTACGTCACGTAAAACATATCTCATTTTCGAAATTTTTCGCGATTACAATTCTTGGGAAGTTAACAGATAATCTTGTTTATCTCTGTAGCGATCTTACGGGAAATGGCTAGTCAAAAAAAAATCGGGAATACACAGTAATTGCTACTAAACCACATTGTACCCAGAAAATTCTAAAAAGTTCCTTCCGATTTTTGTGGTACAATATTAACTACAGTCTGCAAGCATATCGCTTACCTAACTCCTGTCATAATCCAAGTATCATAAGTCTGATCAGGAGTGCCACCATTCACAATGAGTCCATCGTCATCGACAGCAGTTTGCAAACTCTTGTGCATCACAGTATAACACGCATCGTACATATCAGCAATGTAGTCATTATCAGGATTGCCAGAAGCAAATGCGTCTCTGTACGTTTGGAGCACGAATTTTGAGCTCAAGTCCTTCCAACAACTTACGTCGTGGATCGGGTAAGAGTTTGGAAGTATGAATGGTTCTTCGCCTGAAAATACAAACGCTTTATGGAAAACTACAAATTACCAACTGATGAAACTGAGTACATGGTTCTTGAACACAAGTTGATAGAATGTGTTGAAGTTAACTGGTTAAATGGCGGAGTCACTGATGGTTTTGGTCGAAGTCCAAAATACTCTTGAACTACTCACTTGAGACTGAATTTCTTATGACTAAACTAGGAGTGATCCTTATGTTTCAAAGAAAGTCGATCAATTAAAACGTTGGAACGTAACGAATGAAACAGATAACATTGGTAAAGCAAATCTTGTTTTATGAACCATCAAAAATTTCTCAAAGTCAACTCATACGATTGGAGTTCTGATCGTTCAGGAAAAAATACAATAGTTATTATTTAATTAAGTACCATGAGCCTTTTTCATTGTTCGCATGGGCCTCTGACCTGATATGTGATTCACTCTTACTTTTTGTCAAATAAGACGCAATCAAAGCCAAGCTCAATATTATTGTGGACTTCAGCTGAAATTTTCGCTAGTCACTGCCTGACTACAGGGAGGTTTCATCACGCTCTGAGCCCTAAGCATTGCCTATGACATATCCTCCGTACATATACAGCGTAAAAAATATTCACCTGGTGTGCCCGCATCGTGTGGAACAGTGCTTGGGTACTTCCTTTCAACTACACGGCCATCATACATCATTTTGACCTTCTGCGGAACCTCTAAGGATATAAAGTCCCTCAAATCGTACTGCATGCATTTCTGGAGGTATGGCCAGTTTTTGAACAGTGCATGGGAGGCATAAAAATGTACGTCATAGGAGTTATACATCACATATTCGTGACCTTCTAAATAGGCGAATCGACCATAGGCCAATCTGGAATACAAAAAGATTTGACAGTGAAAATTAGTCATATATTTATTTGGATTCCTCATGTTACCTTGGATCATTAGGTCCTAGTTTCATGGATTCTTCTTCGTCCAACGTCAACCAAACGCCGCCACCATCGCTTATAAAATAACTTTGATTGAACAGTGCCGATTTATACCAATCCGGATATTCACTAAAACGAATGAGTTATTATCCTGATTAATTATTCTCTATTGATCAAACAATAGATATAGAGTAATGAAGCCCTAACTTAACATCGTTCGAAATAAACCATCGTATTACATTTTGCCACAGTGTGTATATTGTAGTCAAGGCCTGGCAGTTAAACTGGAAGGTTGCTGCCTGACCAGTGGTTTCTGAGCAAGTCCGAAATATTATCGAATGTTGAACTTTTGATGAGTCACTTTTGGTCAAGTGACTGACGCACCTAGTTGACGTAAAATGTGGAGAAGGTTCGAAGTGCTTTGATTAGACAAGTATACCCTCCACGTATTCACCAGGAGCGAAATGCATAATGGGAAAACTAAAGGATCGCCGCACACGGTGGAGAAAAAGGTAAACATTTCTAATCATATTAGGCGAAAATACCAATGGTTGCGGAATAATTGTTTTATTGCTACAAGTTGTTGAAGGGGATATTTAGAACATGGACGCATAAAATGGGTACACCAATTCTTGTGGGAAAACTTTTTAATCGACAACAAAGAATGAGAAAACTTGTTTTTTGGGATTCAATCGAAAATGTTGGTAGGAACCAAAAAACTCTTCTTATAGGATTTTTAGGTATTTATGAGACCTACAAAATTAGACCACACGTAAAAACATCCGACTAATAGCAAAACAGTTATGGCCGAAAACCGAGGCAAACTGCAGGTTTTGGCACTTGTTGGTAATGCGACGATGGTTTCTCGCAGCTATTTGAAATTCTTCAAATTCGTAGGATTCCCAGTTCTAAATAACCACAACAAAATTGGAGTAGATTAGTCAATTATTTTTTGTTAATTTCTAATTGTTTAACCCAAAACACCGGTTTTCCGGCCATCACTACTAGTTTATTGAGCAATATATAGGGTTAGTTCGAAGAGCATTTTATAGCAAAATACACTACCTTGCCGATATGAATCGTTCCGGAAGATAAATGTTATTTTTATGCAAACGATTTTGCGTCCTTGGCATTGTAGTAACATTGTGTAAAAATGTTATCGGAATCCGAGCGTTACTTCTCAAATTATAGGCGCTTATAAGATTAGCGGACAGACAGATAGACCGACGGAAATGAGTTTTTCGTGAATAAAATTAAAAATATCATTTTCGAAAGTTTTCGCGATTACAATACTACTTTTAGCTTTCAGAGAGTATTTTCTGAGAGTTTAGCCTTTGTTCTATGAACGAGAATTGTCATTTTTTCTAAGACGTGTCCTTAAACAGTGTGCACATGTGTGCGGCATCTCGCGAATTTTATTAACGATTCAAGAGACTCTTCCGCGTCGCGACGCCCATGATAACGGGCGAACACACATGTAGTGGCGGGGATAGTGCGTGGGAGTGGAGACAGCGGGGTGAGTACAAAGGGCTGGTGTTAACGTTAACGAATAGCGAGCCCCACACTGTCTTTGGGGCATCGCGAAACTGATAGAACATTACACCAGCTCGACCGCCTCCCGCAACGCCGGTTTCCGGCGTTTAGCCGCTAGTGCCCTTTTGGCAACTACATCGTGTCCGACGGGGCCAAAAACTTGTCGAACATCATCTACCGGCCCCAAGGAAGGACACACCAAATTCCACCTCCATATTTTGAAAAATAACGCCGTATTAAGTGCGGCCAGGTATTAGGAGATCAGGAGCTGGAAGGAGGTAGTTCCGGAGATAAAACCTTTTAAACGCTATACCTCCGGAACCAGACCACGTAGCGGCAAACGGTCTTCACTCCCATACGCAGAAAGGAACGAACTTTCACATCTTGTTGACGGCGGTCATCCGGCCCAGGCGGCGCACGCGCGATGGCCGACCTCGGGAAGGAGAGGAATGACCCCGCCACGGCAAGAGGAGAGAGCCACACACGTGGTGCCAAGGCACCACCTCTAGCAACCCTACGAATCCTAGGAGCGGAGAACTGAAAAGTCCGCCAGCGGGTGGCAACAAGACTGCCAGCGGCTCACTAGTCGCTGGAACTAGCAGGGCAGGCCCAAGAAAATGATCTAAGAATACAGGAGCCAGTTGTACGGCCACCCTGGGGCCTGCCCGAACAACTAGATACAATTGTGAAGATTGCGGAAGAGGATTTGTCACAAAAAACGGTCTAAACAGACACGAAAAATTAAAACCCAGCCAGTGAAATATGTACAATCATGTTCTATGTGTAACCAAATAGCGATTAATTTCTATTGGCTAAATCTGCAAGGCGTAGTTCAGAGCATTTAAATGAGTTTTTCCTACATACGGATAAGTGGATAAGAGAAAAACGAGGAAAAGTACGTTATCAATGAAAAATGTTATGTATAATATACAGGGTGACTTCGAAGTTGAGTCATTTATTTTAACAGTGAGTAGATATGATCAAAAGAAATGTTTTTTTTTACCATTTTCCTGGTAAAATTAAAGTAACAAAGTTATAGCCCTTTGGAAGTTTGAGTACCGCCCTGTCTCAATAATAATATTATGTGGTCGTGTTTGGCGACAACGGATATAATCCGCTGTATCGGTTCATCGCATCGGAAACAAAAAAGCGAAAGAATTTGGAACGATGCTTTTTACAATTATTTCATTCATTTGTATACAGTCAGTGTCAGTGAATAGTGGTATCTGTTGCGTGGCTCAAACGAAATAAAAAATGGCACATGTTTATGCGGATCGGTTTCCCAATCGAGTGCAACCAACCCCTCGTGCCTTTGTTAATGTAGTACAACGGGCTCGTGAATCAGGTGACTTAAGACCTCACAGGGGACCTCACGATCAAATACAGGTCCGCACTGAAATACTTGTCGGGAGGATACTTTATAAAACAAGGTAAATTTTTTTTTTTATTTTTACACACATATTTTGGTTTATCTTCCTTCTACAATCATTATCTGAAAATTAATGACTCAACTTCAAAGTATATATAAAGACCTATTTCAGTTACTAAAAATGCAATTTTGCCAAGGTGTAAAGTCTTCCATTATTTAAACAACTGTCTTTTATGAGGTATGTATGTTCATTATCCTTAGATTCAACCAGGGAATCAGAAACATGAAATTAGTTATACCAAAACTGTCGATTTGACCTGTAAAAGTCTTGCTTCAAAGAACCGTTGAATTTTGATTACAATCTACTGATTTTTGGAATATCCTGATTTTAAAAATCACATTGTCATTCCATACATACCTATTTTCAAGAACATCCTTTTGCCATTCATATATACTTTCTTCCCACTGGACATACTGGTCAAATGCATGTGACACAATTTTCAATACTGCATTGTCCAATCCAAATTTCCTTGTATAAAACCTGTGATAGTTTTTCCGTTTGCCTGGGAAAGTAATGGTTGGCATATCCCAGACCAGACTCATATCAATTTGCTTAGAAGTTGAAGGTGGTAACGTGGTTTTAGCTGCGATGCCACATGCCATTTCGCCATATACATGCCCATGAGAAGATCCACTAACCTTTTCAAATTCACCTAAAAATTGATACCTTTATGATAATGGGAAAACAAAAATTCTAATGTCTCTTGTTTCCATGATTCACAAAATTTGTAATCCTCTGATTGACTTATTCTTACAGAACATACTGTGAAAACAGGCACATGATTTGTCAACAACTTGAGCTTAGTTATATGTATGTCATTTGTTTTGCGTTAGTGTGAAGAAGATTGGTTTTAGAGAAAGAAAGAACTTCAATATTCAAAGTAATGCAATAGTTACTTTGGCAATGTTCATTTTTTATTCAACATTTTGATTAAATATTAAATTAATTTCAATGTTTCGCTTTAGATATCCTCAAGGCAGGGGTTTATTTGAAAATCTATCTGACTTCAAATGAGCTTGAAGGTCATGGTCAGGTGCATTGACAATGATACCCTTGAACTTAAAATTGTCCGCCATTTGCATTTTAGGAATTAAAAATAGATGTTTCCCGTTTAATATTCTTTTGATCTCCAATGACCTTGATGGTCAAAGTAAAGTTCATGGACATACTTGGACATAAGGTTACTTGCTTTTTTATTTTGGGTGTAAAAAAATGGTAGTCTCCATTTAAGAGAACTGTCTTGACCTTCAACCATGCTTGAAGGTCATAAGGTCACGTTCAAGGTCATCATTAGAAAAATCTTCAAATTTTACAATTTTATTACACATTTTTCTCTATGAAATGTTTTTTCAAGATATTTTGTCCTTTCCCTACTTTCTGCACACCCTCAATAACCAAGTCAAGATTATATACATATACTCTGAAAAAAACATTAATTTTATACATAAACGATTTACCTGCCATAGTAAAAAAATTCAATTATTCAGTCTGGTATCTCATATTATATAAATAAAGACTTGAAACTAGTTTCAAAATGGTTAGCATCTAACAAACTCAATTTAAATACAAGTTAAATGAAAGCCATGTTAACTGGCAAAAACAGATGTACAAACGTTCAACTATATATTGATGGTGAAGATATTGAATTTGTAGAAAATTTTGAACACCTTGGGGTTTTCATCGACTCTCAATTAAATTTTGATATTCATTATGAGAAAATTAGTACAAGTTTTTAGTAGTATGATATATCTAAAATATTATCATTCTTTTAGATGTCTTGTTCTGTTCGACGCTTCTATATTTAGCTGATAATTGAATATTTGAAAGACTGCAAATTTTACAAAACAAGTACATGAGAATAATACTGAATGAAGATAAATATACTCCAAGACACACAGACCTGCTTTGACCTTCAAATGACCTTGAAGGTTATAGTCAAGGACACGCTCAAGTTCACCAAAGGATGAATCTTTTGTATTTTATGTGCACGTCTAAATACAACCTAATGAGGATATATTAATAAATAATAATGCCAAATCTGTGTGTCTCCCAATGATTTGCTTACAATTTACGTTACTCACCGTTATTTTTCAGTTGTATCCATGGTTTCATTCCATCTGACTTTGGGTCAAAATAAAGACACTTAGATACCTTCACACCTTCCTCTGATTTTACTGCAAGTGCATATGTACACCTCATATTATCAATAGTGTGATAGAGAATGACACCTTCTGAATTTATGTATGAGAATATTTTTGAGCTACAAGTTGCTGAAAATAAAATGACTCATGAAGTTTATTATGCTTATAACTAAAGTCTATTTATCGAAGAAAGACATTAAGCCAAAACAATAAGCAGTGATCAGCACATTGATATACTTCCAAAAATAAGGAGCATAACTGTATTTGGTAGAATCGGTTAAGTCCACATACAGGACCAATGTGAAACCAGGAAGGTGGAGTGGGAAACGAAACGGCGCTGCATGCAGCCTGGCTAGCCCTGTCCGATCACGTTGAAGTATGTGTGAATAAGTTTGGACCTAGTTTCTTTCTTCAATAAAAGGGCTATAATGTAATTTATACCATTTCTGTCCTTCTTGTTACCAGTTCCATTCTTGAATGTTAAAGATACGGTAACTGTTCTTTGTTCATCAGATACATTTTCTATGCTCCAGACAAATACTGCACATGGTAAGCAACTATTCTGTAAATGGTAACGTTTATTTTAGTTAGACTTGTGATTGTGAAGGTTCCTAAAATCGTTAAATTAAATCACAATCACAGAACATTTGCTCAAAGTGGATCTTCAGGTTTCACAAATCAAGTCAAACATTAGCAAAGCCGGATAAAATGAGAATATACTTGATTGCAAAACACCTAATATTGGATATTAACACTTACAACATAGTCATGTGGTATTACTGGACTTATTTGCCTACATTTTAGTTTAATCCCATACTCCGTCAAATCATATTCTGTCCAAGATCTTGGGTAAAGTCCTGTATAATTACATTTGCTTCCGTCAATGAGGCTTTGCCAAGACTTGAGTGATTTTTTCCTGTAAATATTTATCAGATAAAAAATGGCGTCAAGCATGTTAGATAGTTAGATTCGAACATTTATAACAGAGAAGTTGAACAAATCAAGTCAGTCAAAAGGGCTCATACACCTGTCCTACCTCGCCAACGTCGCCTCTCCAGATATCTGATCGCATGACGCGGATACAGGATACAGATCGAAACCGGTACGCCCGTCGTTGAACCCAGAGGGCAGAAGCAGACACGCGAATCAAAAACATTTCTCATTGTAAGTTTTAAGGGAAAATGTATGGGGAAATCTGTGATGTGTGAAATATGTCTTATAGGAGCATATAAATATAGTAACATCAAAAAATTGAGACATTCCCCTCACCCGCTCATCACAACCCCAAAAAACCCTACAAACATGTTCTGTAACTGATCAGGAGCCACTGATACGTTAGAAAATAAAGTTTGAGCTTTTTTTTTTAAACTACAAAGCTTTTTCATCATTGGAAGTTTGTGTACAATTTTCATTGAAAACAAAGCAGGACTTTCCTAGTTATAGATGAGCCAAGGATTAGCGGACAGACTGACAGACCAACAGACAGACATACTGACAGAAATGAGTGACATCGTTTTTGTGATGTATATGTCATAAAACAACTAAGAAACATAATATCTCATTTTGAAATGTTTCATGATTAAAATGCTGCCTCATCAGTAAAAAGAAGCATATTTTTATTTGAGAAGCCATACAGTTTGTTTTCAGAATCATACAGTTCAGATTACTTTTATGATTGTAAGAAATTCCATAAAGTTATTTTATATTATTTAGATCCAGTCTTTATGTCTGTGTGAACATGAAAACATGCTGGAAAAAAGAAAGCCAACCAAAAATATGGCAATTGGCAGTTTAAGAGTATTCCATGGCTCTGGAACCCACCTATATACCCATTTTACACTGGCAATAAATCCACAGACTTCGTCATGAATTTGAAAAGTGTAAAACAGAAATCTAATGTCCAATACATCTAATATATATATATATATATATACAACTTCGAAGTTGAGTCATTTATTTTAACAGTGAGTAGATCTGATCAAAAGAAATGTTTTTTTCCTTTACCATTTTTCTGGTAAAATTAAAGTAACAAAGTTATAGCCCTTTGGAAGTTTGAGTACCGCCCTGTCTCAATAATAATATTATGTGCTCGTGTTTGGCAACAACGGATATAATCCGCCTTATCGGTTCATCGCATCGGAAACAAAAAAATTGTAACGATGTTTTTACAATTATTTTATTCAGTTGTATACAGTCAGTGTCAGTCGGTAACGCGTGAGTGAATAGTGGTGTCTGTTGCGTGGCTCAAACGAAATCAAAAATGGCACATGTGTACGAAAATGCTGAACTTGTGGACATGATTCTTATTTACGCGGCATCACGGATTTATGCCGATCGGTTTCCCAATCGAGTGCAACCAACCCCTCGTGCCTTTGTTAATGTAGTACAAAGGGCTCGTGAATCAGGTGAGTTAAGATCTCACAGGGGAGGGCATGCCGGTGCTCCAAGACCGCACGATCAAATACAGGTCCAAACTGAAATACTTGTCGGGAGGATACTTTATAAGACAAGGTAACATTTTTTTTTTATTTTTACACACATATTTTGGTTTATCTTCCTTCTACAATCATTATCTGAAAATTAATGACTCAACTTCAAAGTCACCCTGTATATATAATAGAGCTCAAAATCTTTCAAGCAATAATTTGGTGTGTTTGGCAGCACTGTGTACTGACTGATAATCTATGACTTTGTCCATTTATGTTAACATTGTAAAACATAATCAGGATGACCTTGAAGAAATGCAACTGAATGAATTTGTGATGAAATTGTTGACGTAAAATATCAGTTTCATGATGAAAAGTAGACTTACGGAAATGTAGTCAAAAGACTGTGGAATATTGTTTCTTGATGTTGGTCTTTGATTGTGATTATAAACTGATTTGCATCTACAGTATTCCATTCATAAATGCCAGGTCTCATCTGAAATCGGCAAAATTCACCTCTATATCCTCTACCAATAGTGCCACTGCCTATACCTCCTACAGGAACACCTAAAAGAATATAAATGTAATTTGTTATGATAGACATACCAAAATTCACACAAGATTTGAACTAAATAGAACACTTAGTTCTTGTTTAGATTATTTCCCCTTTAGATCTGCTGATACATATGAAGTCTATTGTTTTTATAAAATTTAAAAAAAAAAGGAAAACAATCCAAGGAAAACTGCATTTTTCATTTAATTCAAATCTTGTGCTATTTTTGAGTCTCTGTGAAATTTTTGCAAGTAATCTGATGGAGCACGATTAGCAAAATACTTGCAACTGCTTTTTTCCATTAAAGGCTTTTTCACTATGAATGCTATGAACTAAATTAAAAAACATACCATAAATTTGTTTGGCGTTTTCAACATATACATAATCCATGACCACATAAGTTCCTCGTATCTTGGAGATAACATAGTCCCACAGGTACCTTGAAATCAAAGAATCATTAAGTAATAACACAGGTAATACAGCTCTACTACCGTAATATAAGAGGTAACATGCTCCATATAATCTTCAAGGAGGGTACAAAGTTCTGAGTCCTTTTTTCTGGATATACATGGTTCAATTTTACTTTTAACCCATACTTGGGTACTGAAGTGATTTTAGTTTTCTGGAGTATATAATCACCCATATTTATTTCAGTTCACTTTCAGGATCATAATATAACTACTTTGGTAAATTCATGCACTAGTGGTGTGTTCAACAATTCCGATAGCTAATAAAATGGTTTATCTTTCTACGTCCATACGATAAGAGATAACAGAAATCAAATATTATTGCGGTCAAACACACATTTATAAATATTATTTGAATTGTGATTTGAATAGACAATAAAATCTCATGTGAAAAAATAACCATAAAATAAACAAATCGACGTTAAAACTATATACAGTGTTGCCAGGTCAATTTGTTTTCGGTAAATTTTTCGGCAGACAAACTTGTGCATTAAACCATCAAAGCTTCAAATGCCGAAATGTTGCTTTTTGTAGTGTGCGGGGTTTCATCAAATCGAAAATTGTGGAGTGGGGGGCTAACGGAGGTGACAATTCTCATGTTTCGTTGAATTATATCAGATATACGTGTATATGGTACCTACCAGAAAATTTTCGGTGGATTTTGCGTTAAAATTGGAATTCGGTAGGATACGACCAAAACTGGTAGATCTACTGAAAAATTGGAAGGCTTGGCAACGATGATCATGAGCAGTCATAGGTGTCAGAACACCAGAGTTTAATTTAACATTGTTCCCTATTGCCACAGTAGTCAACTGGATAAAGGGGCGTGGTCAACAACGCCTCCTTTCATAGTATCTGTCTTCTAGCACAGAGCACAAAAGTATAGGAGCGCCATATTGCAGGTTACGTTACAGGGGATGTACAATAATTTTGCCAACGATCCTCAGCCAATGACTATATTTTTGTCTGACCAGACAGCAAATCATAGACAGCTATGCTTTTAGCCAACTTTCCAGCATGATCTACTATTGGACAATTGTCGTACGAAATCATAATAACTATCCTTATACTTTGACCACAGCCGACGTCAACTAGTAGTAGTTGACGTCGGCTGTGCTTTGACTTATATGACGGTCGATCGACTGCCATTCATAATTAATCAGTTGTTTATATTTATTCCAAGATTCTTCAGTTTTGGTAATTTTGAACTCAGTTTAAGTCTTGTTTTTTTTATCATCATACGTTTCAGGTTTGAAGTTAACCAAGCGACAGTCGGTTTATTAACCCGTACAGTTCTTAATGCATGCTTGTCGAAGGTATACTTAATTCCATCTGTTAGATACGCAATTTTCTCATTTATGTAATGTAAGTTAAATGTAATTATATTGTTCCTAGGGTAGATTACAAGGTCGTTTTGAAAATGAGGTACACTAAAATAGTCTCAATATGTAAACATTTTTTGCTTTGCTTTAGAAATAAAAGTTGTCTCAGCTGATGATCTGTAAATGGATCCATGTTTATAGTGCCCACATTTGAGAAGATTCTGGGATTCCTCAAAAATATGGGATCCAGTAGACTATTTGAATTTTTAGTGATCCTAGATGCTTCATTTATGATATAATTATAGAAGCACTCCTGTGATTTAGTATTTAAAAAATGTTAACATTGATGTCTCCTAAAGTGACGACAAGGTCGGAGCATGGAATAAAGAATGATAGTGCATTTTCAAAGTACTCAATAGAATTTTTCAGTTTAGTGTGTAGAGGATGATATTTTATTTATTCATTTATTTGTTATATTATATAAATGATATGTATGACAAGTCACTGGATGTAGATGCCATAGAGTAAAAGAAAGTCAAACATTCACAATAAAATAATAAGGGCACATGAAACGTGAGTCACAAACGAAACTAAACATTGTAATTTAAAGATTCTTCAAAAGAGTAGGAACAGTGATCAAGGAGGATGCACATCATTCTTTCTTTGAACTGCATATAATTCAGTTCGCGGATGGTCTGAGGTATTTTGTTGTAAACATTCAGATTTAATGAATTTCTCGCGGATATATCTAGTCGACGAGTATAATGTTACAGTCTCAGGGCTCCATCCTGTCCTGTATCAAACTTGTGGATTTCTGATCGGATTGTGTAGCAATTCAAGCTTTCATGAATATCTTGGAAGAGAGGTTTGTAGCGTCCATTGAATAATTTTCATTGCATGTTTTTGCAGTTTGAATGCTCGCACAACGAGACATGATCCTCCCCAAACCATGATGCCGTACATCAGATGCGAATTAAATATGCTGAAATCTGCATTTAAAAGGCATTCTTTCGTAGAGATGCGATTCAATTATCGCAATACGAGTAAATGTGTTGAACGTTTTTTGCATAAAGAGTCTACGTGAGCCTGCCATCCCAATCACTTAGACCACTTATTATCTTTAATCCACAAACTTCACCTTTAACTCTTCACAAGCAAATTCATCATTTACATATATTCCCACTCCACCACCGCGTCTGCCTCTATCTTTCCGATAAAAAGTGTAACCACCAATATTAAGTTAACTACTGTCGATTTTACTACTAAGCCATGTTTGGTATATAGTAAATACATCAAATTTATGGTTTTCTAGGATAGAAGGTAACACAGATAGTGAAGGTAAAAGAGAACGTATACGATGTTTGTATACCTAAACCGCATTAACTGTGGACGCGGGGATTCCCCGAGTATTGCGTGCGGTATATTTTTTCAAGATGGCGGTTCTGCATTCCATTTCTTTTCAATCTAGGATTGCTCAATGGCAATAAAATAAGATATCTTTGTAACCTTCTTGAGATGCCCCCACAGGCGCGGCGCCGTGGGACTTGGAATGTAGTACAACGACTTCATAATAGATGACTGTTGGATTTAAGATGAGCCTTGTTGTGCGAAAAAGTATCAGTGTTTTCATGGATCTTAAGTCTAAATGTGATCTGATTGAAAAACGTGCTATATACCTCATATCAAAAAAGTTCTATTAATGATGTAGAAATACACAGGGTGCGGCAGAGAGGATGGACGGTTTTAAAAAAATCATAAAATAGTTAATTTTTACTCGAAAACAAATTTATTGATGGAATCAGGTTCACAAGGAAATAGCATTTGAGACAGTCAAGTGTGGAAAATCACATCAGGCGTGTGGTGGCCGAAATCGTTGATGCAGTGCTGGAGGCGTTCTTGGAAGTTCGCGTAGACTCTCTCCAACATCGCTCTCTCAACTTGGGCGACTTCCACGCGAATTTCGCCCTTCAATTCGTCCAGAGTTCGGGGTTTGTTCGCGTATACTCTAGCCTCGAGGTTCTCATTTTGATCGATCAGTGCTTCCATCTCACGTGCGAAGTTCATTCGTTGTGCATAATATCCGGGCTGTAACTGTTGCACAATGGCCAATTTGTAGGGGTGAAAGCGGAGATCCATATGCAAAATTCGCCTTACCGAACGATCACTAAGGCGAAGTGCAGCAGCATGCTTCCGGGCAGATCGAGTCGGACTGCGAAGAAAGACCTGTCGAACGCGTTCAACATTTTCAGGAGTTCGAACTGTTCGCGGCGCTCCTCTTGGTCTTCTGTTGATCAGTTCACCACGCCTGCGAAGTGATTCAACCCAACGAAGGATGGTGTTTCGAGAGGGAACAGCTCTATTCCGATGAATGTTGAAGTGGCGACGAAACTCACGCTGTACTACGATGACTGACTCATTATTTCGGACGAAACAATCATAGGAGAAAACGCGATGCTCCACCGTCCAAGGCTCCATAACGACAACTGGTAAAATAATGCTAGGATCTCACGAGTCAAACGGCACCCTCCCCACCTCTCTCGTAGACGGAGGCGGAGAGTACTACCCATCCCAAAAACGTCCGTCCTCTCTGCCGCACCCTATTTGAAATTTATGAGAAAATGTACATTCTTCATTTGAAATACTTTGTATGAATAGAAAAATGTTGTAGCATTTCTTTCAGATCAGCTTAAATCGCTGATAATGAAAATTTTGTGATCTAAGGTTGATTTGAATATCTTCAGAAATGGCGGGAATTTTTTCAGAAGGTTGACCAAATATCTAAACAATTGAGAATCGAAACCATATGTTACATGATGCTAAACTTCTGTTTTTTTTGGGAGCTCTATCCAATTATGGAATAGAAATTTAAAAAATATATGTTTGGTATGGAACGAAGTATGGAATACCCTGTATGTATCCAGTTAATGTTAAAATTTGCATAAGTAACATATCAAGGTTGCCACGAAAACGGAATTTTGATATCTTTTCCCGTTTGCTCACAATTTTTTTTCCATTTTGTTGGGACACCCTGTATACGTTCAAGATGCACGCCTACTGAGAGCATGCTTGACTTCATTGTCGAACATTGTTCACTGATATTTTCGCGCGACACTCATCGCTTTCATGCTCCTCGGTGTGCGAGTGGCCTTAATCACTGACTTTCTTCAATTTTTCTGTCATCAATAATGACAAATTAGGCTGATTGGTAACTGAAAATATGAATATAACTGTTCCGGAAATTTCTAATAATATTTATACCTATCATGGCTGAAGGTAAGTTTGCTACTTCATTTGATAAGATTCTAGTTGCTCATCGCGATAGTGTATTTATGGCTGTATTTATTCGGTCCTCAAAATGACCTAGTTATAGAATATAAAATATAACAAATGTAAATTAAAATGAATAATTTCGCATTGGCCAGCCAGTTTCAGAGAACACAATTATAAATATAAAAATTGATGAAAACCACACAATGACATATTATCAACGATTTAAGAATTGATTTTCCGAGTAAAACCGGTTATTAACAATAATAGATCGAGTCGATGTGACAGTTTTGGGGCTCTGTTGAAACTTCATTGTTTTGAGTGGTCAAAGGTGGGATTTTTACGCAAACGCTGATAATTAGTGCAGTTAACAAGCTTGTGGAGTGAGATTTCTATACAAAATGCATAAAAGAAGATATAAGCAATTTTTAATGCTACAACAAAGATACGTACAAAGAAGCAAGAGAGGTTGGTGATTTTTTCTATGTAGTCTGCAGATAGTTAAATTTCTAGCAAATAGAAACGAAAATAGTATAAGAGCTGGTAGCACATAATAGAACAAAAGAATATACTTAACTACTGAATAACGCTTACGCCCCTTCCACACGATCCGGTTCGCGGCGCGCGGCGCGCACATGATGTGCCGTTGATATGGGAGTAGACAAAATATCCGGCGCGCGCGGCGGGCAAATTGCCGTCGGACTCAACTACGCCGGACATGCGGCCTCCACGCCGGACTTCCCTGCGAAGAGCTATTGTTATCATTGGGGTTTTCACACTTATAGTTTCTATTATAGTTTGGCCACTGAGATCTGTTGATTATTTTTTTAACAAAACAGTTTAAGAGCTTGTTGCGACAATGAAGAATTCTTCTACCCTCTAAAATGAGCTCCAGAATTCCTCCCACAATTCCGAGGCATTCTGATCTACAGGGCCAACTTGTATCTGTGCAAAAATGCCTGAGAAGGAGCCTTATGTTTTTCGCGCATGGAGGTATGAATGTAAACAAAAATAATCCTCCATTTCTACAGTCTAAGTGAATCGATGAATTTTGACATTACGAGGTGTTGTTAGATGCTACCCGATACCTCCCGAGACGGACATCTTCCTGGTGATGAATCTGTGAGTATCCATCCCCCCACTCTCCATCACCCAAAACATTTCAATTTCATCGGATGGACCTTCTCCCAAAATATTTTTTAGACCCGCCCCTGCTTTTGATAACACAAAATTGTTCTTTTCGGCTTCTATAGTTTGTTCCTTTGTTTACCTTTAAAAAGGTACTTTTTTTGTTATAGCAGAGCGTCCAAGAATTATCACTCCGCCAGAGGAAGCTAGAAGATTCATGTACGAATGTTTACGAGCAGTTGGGATGCCGGAAGGAAATGCAGCAGTTATTGCTGACAATCTGTTAGAAGCTGATTTAAGAGGATTGTATAGCCATGGAATGAATCGGTTAGGTAGAATTAATATTATATTAACGTTAAAATACATCTCACTTATCTACCGATACGATCTACCATACCGTCGCGTTTTGAGACTTCTAGACGTACATACTAGAATGCTGTTCATATTGATTTCTACATAGGTTTGGCGGCTTGGATTTGGCTGATACTGTAACGAAAACACCGTTTTACTAATTCATAACAAGTTTATAACCATGTCGACTAGATTATTATCCATCTCAATCCGCGCCCGCTGTCCACTGGCTCGTCTGATGATGCTCTACTGCGACGAAGTGCTTTCACCGTTTAATCGGGTATTTATCCACCTATCGAAGCGTCTAGAACTGTTCTAGCATTTACCAGGCAGAGTCATGAAGTAGTCTAGATGGCAGCAGGTGCCTCAAGACATCGCGAATGGTTCAGAATGCAAGCACGCTCCATACATGGTCGCGCAACTCTGATTGCCTAGGTCTCGACCCTGCCAAGCGACACCACGCCGCTCTAGCTCGTAGATATACGAGGCGTTACAATACGATCGCTCCTTTGTCATTAACGTATCGAAAATTCATAACCTGCTACTAGTAGAAAATCGTCTTTAATATTTATCTTGCTTTATGTGCGTTCGCTACACGTCCTATCCTGTTAACTCTTGCAGCATTTCATCATAGTGTGTAGAGTTGAGTTAAAGGCTAATAAAATATAAATAATATAAATGAACACAATTACAAAATGCTAATAACAGAAAATACCACTTCTCTATAGAGATAATTATAGTAACAGAGCTTGTACAAGCTAGCAAGTAGAAACTGCAGGGTTTTTTACATAACAAACCTATATAATGTCAAAAAACGACAAAATGTCAAGTTGCTGACAGCGTGCAAATAGTTCATTCCTCGTTTGTTCGCGGTGAGCGCTATGAGCGTCAACTATAGTGTCACCTATGGAGGAATGACTCAACGACATGCTCAACGACTATGCTGCAAGTCAGTGCCCCAGCATGCTTTGTTGTTTGCAGAATGCCGAGATTGTAGAGTGCATAAGTGACAAGTCATGTTCAAAGTTATATCTAAGGCTTTATTTTCAAAAATAAATATATTCACATACCTTCAAAGCCATATCACAGAAAAACGAATGATGCATCACACACAAAACATTTTCGCAGCGCCTCACATCTAGGCTCTGCTTTGTATTTATTTGTCATCGCAAAATTATATAAAATTATAGTGACTGGAAAAAAATAATTTAAAATGTAAAAACCTTAATAAATATTCCTGTCTGTAGCATATTTTCTCACTTGTTAGTACTAATCATGCTTCACCAATTACGGATTTTCTTCATTTATCTCTCTATTTTTTTAAAATAAGCAAATTTGCATATATGTAACTTTCAGGATGAATAAGAAAAAATGGATGCGCAACTAATGCATGCATCTCAACTAAGTGTATTTGAGACAAGAAACTAAAGGAATATCAACACAGATTATTATTGGCACAAAAATACTCACTAATCACCTATGCACTGCCGTTTCGTCCGTTTCCTTCCAGCTATAGTATACTAAGTGACATATAAATCCGAATACCCAGTTTAAATGGTTTTATTTTAATAAAATTTTGTATAAGTACTTAATGAAGCATAATAAGTAAATGATAAAAATTTCAAAATGATTGCACTGCTTTAAAGCCCTTTGACCTTTAATAATGTGTGGATGCACCCTGATGTGCTACGTATTCTCCAACGCGCCTAGGCATGCTTCTGGTCAGGTGATCAATGTCCTCCTGTGGTATCTCATTCCAGGCAACCATTAACTCCTCTCGAAGTGCTTCTAGAGTCTGAGGAGGACGTTGCAAATTGAGCAATCTCCTACCCATCATATCCCACACATGCTCAATTGGGGATAAGTCGGGAGATCTTGGTGGTCATAGTAACAATGTTACATCATTATGTTGAAAGAAGTCTATTGTGACTCTTGCAACATGTGGTCGGGCATTATCTTGTTGGAAAGTTGGATCTGCCAGGGTGTCAAGATAGGGTAAAAGATGGGGTTCTAGAACTTCGTGGATATAACGCTGCGCGTTCATGTTACCTCTGATGAAGATTAAAGGTGACCTGGAACCATAAGCTATAGCACCCCAAACCATAACTCCAACAGTGTGATGAACATGTCTTTCAACTAAAAACTGTGGATTCCTCCTTTCACCACGTCCCCTTCTAACCCTGGCACGACCATCGTGCATGCCTAAACAAAATCGAGACTCGTCACTAAAGACAATACTGTTCCATTCCTGATCCCAGAGTGACCGTTGTCTGCACCACTCAAGGCGATTACGTCGGTGTTCTCGAGTTAAAGGGAGGACCCAGTGTGGCCGGTATGAAAACAAGCCAAAACTTCTCATTCGGCGGTAAACACTTCGCATGCCAATAGGTCTTCCGTGTTCTGCAAACCATTCATTTGCAATGTACCTGGTAGTGGAGAAACGGTCCCTTAAGGCCAATAATCTTAGGCGGCGATCTTCACGGTCTGTTGTTCTACGACGGCGTCCAGTGCCCCTTGCTCTTTGCGTGCGGCCTTCTCGAAGCCATGCCTGACAACACCTAACCACAGTGTCTACACTTCTTTGCACTCTAACTGCAATTGCCCGAAAAGAAAGTCCAGCTTCCCGAAGTCCCACTATACGGCCCCTATCAAACTCACTAAGTTGACGAAATCGTACAGGTCTCCGTACTCTAGGCATCGTAACCGATCGTAAAAGATGTCAAGAACCAAAATCCGCCAACGTTGATTCTTTACTGCGGCTGAAATATTCATTTTTAGAGCGTTAGTGAATTTAAAAAAAGCAGTATAAAAACCGGAATGTCCAACTGATAAGGGTGAAAATTTTTTCACTTGTTATTTACAGTAAGATAAATATGGTTCGAACAGCCTAAGGTTATGCCCGCTACGTCATCACTTTATACCCTCTCCCTTGCGTCGATTGTACCCTATAAGAATATAGAAAATTGTTGTGACAGTCTCTGGTAAGATTTATGGACATCTGTTACCGCCCTCTTAATGTGGTCCAGTTCTAATCGTGGCGAATATTTATATCGTAGAAAGCTTAAAAATGTATGTGGTCTTCAATGTCCAGAAATTATGTTGCTGTTGACGCTGTTAAGGGACATCCCACTCTCAGAAAGCCATAGGCGGAACGTTTTTTAGTATGTAGATACGCAAGTTTCAGTCAGTTGAGATTGTTGACACAATTGGGATCTGATGAGACGTTTCTTCGACTTATTTATTTTTTATTTATTAACCATATCATATTTTATATTTGATTGTGTTGAAAATTATTAATCTTATGGGGTTTGTGGATATTTGATGGAGATCCATAAATCAAAATTTAAAATAGTGAACTACCTACATATAATAGACACAATATTGAAGGGTAAAACCCCAAAGTTGGCAAACAACTGAAAGAAATTAAATTAATCCTAAGACTGTGATCCGCTTATATCTATACCAATCATGAGATTTCCTAGAGTGCATCATTAGTACCTAGATAAATAGGCTAATACCAATATCAAGGGAGGGTAAACAAAATTAGTAGAAACAAATCTAATAATAACAAGTGTAAAATTGAACTACCTGGAATAATTCCCGGTTGCTAAATCCCTTCGTTCGTAAGTAGCGTTAAGAGGATGAGTGTTAATCAATCACATTTATTTTACCTGCAACAGATATATAAACCTGTCCGTTAGTCATAAGTTCAGTTTGTAAACTAATTTGAACAAGGCACCGTGTGTAAAAATTGTCAAATAGATTGCAATATAGTGGAAATTTTTACTATTGTTCAAATTTAAATTATTAATAGTTTTGAACCAGTGATCTAAACAATGTATGTGAAAGAGATTGGCGTGAAAGGAAAGGCGATTGGGAGTCAAGGAAAGGAAATTATCAACAATGTCAATAACTTCATGGTACAGGAAAGTGTAGAGGGATTAAAGTTTCCACTTCAACAATACCGGTATGTATGAATGTAAAAGATTTTTATAATTATTGTCAATTAAAACTGATTATTCTTCAAATAAAATAGAACGCCACTGCGCTCTGTCGACGACCGCGTGATGAGCGGACCCGCCCACGATGACGTAGCGGTCATATTCTAAGAGCGTTCGAACCATACATTCACCAACTTTTATTAAAATAACTTACAGCTTAGAGGCTTAGACCTCCAGTAATACCATCTCTGAAGCAGATGTTGCATCACATCAGACCCAAACGTTTTGGCAACACGTACAGCTACGCAACGAGTGCACATCAAGTAAACAAAGGTAGTTCAGAGTTCACATCTTATAAGAAAACCTTGGTACATTATATACTGTATTTGGCAATCCTAATCTTATACATATATTCCTTTCATTTCAAGACAGTCAATAGTTTAGTGTGGTTAACATTACACTTAATTTCACTCTCTGCTTCCTCTAACAGCAAAATGATGAATTTTTCAGCTGTAAAAAAGACAAATCTACGTAATATTTTTTTAAAATATTCCATCAAGCTACTTATCTCTTGTTAAACCTAAAATTTCCATTTCCCATTTTTTTTAAAGAATTACAGTACGTTAAGAAACAAAAATTACCTCAAATTCCACGTCTAGCAGACGGAAACTTGATAATTCTAAATTTTAATACAAGTAAGGATATGTCCACGACAAAAATTCTCTGTTCCAACAGAATAGTTCGGAAGTAGTTCTGAGCTGTATTTAAATCGGGCATGTTCAGAAAGATAATTAGATAAGATTAGTTCTGATCTAGTTCGGAGCTAACTGTTGGAACAAACCTACTATAGCAAACGGTCCAGCCCTAAACTCAGCTATATTAGCTACATTTCGGCTATATCTTGGCAATATTGTCTGTAATGTAATGTGTAAAACATACACTTTTCAGAATTTCTCCTCAGAAGCGCTACAAAACCAGGCAATGACTGACGAAGTTGTACGCATCGCGGAAGGTTATATTAAATTAAGTAGGGCTCCGATCGTTCTGCAACCTGACAATAGATGAAAATAGGTCGTAAACGCGAAACATTGATTCAATGTAGCCGCACCATACCAAACACATTGCCGTGTGTGTTAGCTACTCTATTGAAGCTAGATAATGCACTAAAAATCTTGCCTTTGAGAGACTTCATTATGTGCTTGGCAAAGTTATCTGCAGTGAGCCTCTCTCTCAAGTAGATGAGCAGGAGTATCCTCCTGTTGGTACAGTTTGTGTGCTCTGCCTTTCCTACCATCTTTCGTTAGCTGTCAGAGCAATTATGTCCTGTGAGAAATTATGCACTATAATAATCTACAGCTCCGGTCCCATGTCAATCCAGTTTTTAATAGTCGGAATAATCAGTCTTCTCGAGCGCACATCTTTCCTCAGCCAGCAAATCAATGGGCGGAATACCAGCTACCTCCATTAACGCATCAGAGGATACCGTCCTGTACCGAAAACACCATTTTTACTATTTAAAGTCTAATTTTTTACTCTTACATTAATTTATAATAACACCTGCAATTGATTTATTACAAATTTGTTACCGTGTCGACTGGACTATCGCGCTGTCGCTGACTCATCCAACTATAGTCAACGCCAAACAAAGTGGCGTGCACGTCATCACGATAAAAATTCCCCGACCTAATGCCTAGGTTTCTATCACAAACAATTGCTCTATTGCAGTTTCATATTAATGTGATATATAAATTGTAAAATGGTCATTACTCTCTTATTATGGTTAATAGTCATATAAACATTGTTATTAAAATATCAGATAAGTTGCTTTCTGATAAATTTAGACGCATTATGCGAAATAAAATGTTTTGCAAACGCTCCAACCACTTATCGACATGTAAACGCACTAAACCGATTTCGCAGCGTTGACACATTGTCACCTTGAAACTTATTTAAACTGGGAACTGACATTTGTATTAATTTTGACACTGAATCAATTTGTGGCATTTCAAATCTTTATAAATCCTTTGGCCCCGCATACTGTAAATCAACAACTGTTTGTTTCAAAACAAAATTATTCATTTTACGAGTAGATAAAGGCAATTTTGGTATATAAAGATGCCCAAACAGTTAAATAGTCGGTGTAAGGAACTCGTGGCCTCGTTAATGCACTACTTTGAGCAAGAAAGGGACAACAACGGGCCTTTGTTGCCTTTAAATGCTGTTCAAGAGGTAGGTTACTAATAATTATATGTAATGTATATTAATAATAGTGAAATTTTATTTCATTTTTTGTAGCGTGTTGCTGCTGCTTTAAAAATTAATTTAAGGACAGTTAGTCGTATTTCCGAGGGTGTGAAAAGTGATGCAAATTTAGAATCGCCCAAGAAAAAGCGGAGTTATATTAAACGTGTAACCAACACAGCGACATTGGATACAAGTGCCATTCGAGAAGTGATCTATAATATGTATCACAAAAGTAAGATCTTATTATAATAACTTATCAGAAATTTGCATTAATTTGTTAACTAAATTATAATGTCACATTACACATGGTTTCAGAAGAACAAGTTACGATACAAATTTTATGGTCTCGATTAAGAGATAGGGCATTATTTGATGGTAGTGCCACGTCTTTAAGGCGGTTGCTTAGAGATCTTGGATTTAAGTGGCTTAAGGACAATCCGCGACGAGGGCTCATGGAACTACCAAGTATAGCTTTGAAAAGGGTGGAATTTCTAAGGCAATACAATCAAGCCAAGGTTGAGGCCTTATACCAGTTTGTCTTCCTCGATGAAACTTGGATATTTCAAAATGGGACCATAGGTCGCTCTTGGCAAAATGGAAACCAAAAAAGCGTGAAAGCTATTAAAACAGATGGTAAAAGGTATGTACTTTTACACAATTTGCACTATAAAATTTAAAACTAATATATTTTAGATACATTATATTACATGCTGGAAATGAAAATGGGTTTATTGAGGGTAGTGAAGCGATATTTTCTTCGAAAACAAAATTGAGCGATTACCATGGAGAGATGAACCAGGACAATTTTTTGAAATGGTTTCAACATCAGTTATTAGAAAAATTGGAGAGTCCATCTATGATTATACTGGATAACGCCCCTTATCACAGCATGATATTGAACAAAGTGCCCAACAATGCATGGACAAAAAAAAATATCCAAGACTGGTTGACAAATCAAAACATACCATTTTTAAACACAATGTTTAAAACAGAGCTATTGAGTATTGTTGCTCGGTACATAATGCTTCTTAATTATATATATTTTGGTCAGTTTATATTTCTTTTGTTTATTCCTATTCTTAAAATAACTGCTTTTTTAGAAACAAACCACCTAAAATATACGTGATTGATGAATTGGCGGAACAACATGGGCACAAAGTTCTTCGTCTGCCTCCTTACCATTGTATATTTAACCCTATTGAGTTAATTTGGGGCATAGCAAAAGGTTACTATAACAGACATATTGGTAGAGATGGTAACAGTGAAAAAGACTGTTTGGATATGTGGAACGAGGCTCTACAAACGGTTACCCCAGACATGTGGAAAAATAGTGTTCGACATACTGAGCAAGAAATTTTTAAATGGTATGAAAGAGAACGAATTTTTGATCGACCAGACATCGAACCTTTAATAATCAACTTTGAGAGTGATGAAGATTCAGATTCAGATAGCGCTGAAGAAAGAAACTCCGACTAACTTTATTGTACAGAAAAAGCTTACACCAGTAGCTTACCTAATTTTAGAATGCATTTTTCTGTATGAATTCTGTAAAATAAATACCATGCATAAAATTTGGAGGACCCCATTTGGATTTTTATTCAGTACCTTTAAGCTATCAATTAAATATGGTAGTTTCATAGTGTCATCTGATCAATAATTGTCATACTTAATGATTATGCAAGTACAGATCTATAATTTTATTATACTATTATTTTTGTTCTCATTTGAGGTTAATATTGCTTATAAACCTAGATATGTAAATAATAAATTTTATTATTTTACAAAAAGTTTGGCAACAATGTAAATTTTTCAACACACCCACCTTGATGACGTGCACGCCACTTTGTTTGGCGTTGACTATACTCGATTTTATGGCTGGCTGTCTACGTCATCTGTGTTTGTATTTATTTAGTGAATCGACGGTACAGAGCTCGATTTTGTTTTCAAAGCTGGTAGATGGCGGTGGATTTCTCTTGAAGCGTGTCGAAATGTTCGTGATGCGGCGTGTGGTGCAACTCTGGTTGTCTACGTCGATGTTAGGAGGGTGTACATAGTCTAGTTACGAGGGCGTTACAGTAAGAGTAGATCATTTTCATATTCAAATTTAAAAATCATTTATTGCCACCACATTTAGAAAACTTCACAAATTATTAATTATCATAACTACATCTGCAAAATTGTAATAGTAGCATAACTAGCACATCTGTATTTCAAAAGGGAGTATTTGAATTTAATACATTGAATAATGACATTAAACAATGTTCGAATTTAAAAATGTTTGAGGTCAAATTAAAAAATCACTTTATGAATACTCAAAATAGTGTTGTAATTTTAATTAAGATATAAAATTACTGAAAGATGATTGAAAAAAATGTGTAAACAGATAATTATACAAAACTCTCATTGTAGTATCAATGTTAAGCAAATCTTCAACAAATATAAAAACAAGTACGATCTTTCTCTGGCTGCTGAGCATTTGCTACCTTATTCCTTCTTCCTCAAGGAGGAAGAAACCAATTAACTGTCCTTTTTATTTTCAAGAGAGATACATAAAGGACGTAAAACAAGGCAGTGCCGATGGGGCTGCGACTCCAGTAGTGGTCAAGGAATCCACCTCAGCCGCCGTGGTGGATGGTCGAAACTCAATGGGCTCTGTGGTGGGGACATTTTGCATGGATCTTGCAATAGAGAAAGCCAAAGCGACAGGAATTGGGATTGCCGTAGCCTTCAGTACGTATTGGAAAACTGTTAAAAATACAAGGTGATCTCAGAGTTGAGACTTTCCTCCTCAGAAACAACTATGATTGAAATAACAAAGCTTACATTTATTAGAAGTAAGCTGGAATACGCTTCATTAATTTGGTCTCCAATCTACAACAATTCAAGGGTTAGTATTGAATATGTGCAGCTTTAAAGTATTTGTATTACAAATGTTATGGCAATGATCCTGAAAGAGGTTTCGACCATTCTATTTGATTAAACATTTTTGATATAGAGTCATTGCATCTTAGACGCGACATATCAGCACTACATATTTTGTACAAAATCATACACAATCAAGTTGATTGTTCATTCATATTAAGTAAGCTTAATTTTCGTGTGCCTAGGTTGGGAAATCGTGCTCAAATTACTTTTTATCCGGTTATTGGTAATACTAATTTATTGTCTAGATCTCCGGTAAATATGATTTGTACATGTTTCAATTCTGTTTGCAGTTCCTGTGACTTATTTTTTGATAGTGAGAACTTTGTTGTGAAGTGCTACAGAGACTGGTACCTTTGTCAGTGAAAGTTTGTTTTTTCTTTTTTTAAGTTTTTTTTGTGTTTGGCGTTACCGCTGTTGCTATTTATGTAACTTTTTCTTGTATTTTTTCTGTAATTGGGTGTTAACTGTTGGGAATAAATAAATAAATAAATAAATAAAGCTTCGCAGCGAAACATCAACGAAAAAGTGATGATGAATACGCTAGAGTTGACATAATTATAACAAACTATTGCAATAAAAAAATAACGTCGTGTAAAGTCTCAACTTTATTAATATCCTGTATGTATAGGTGCTGCTCATCTGGAGGTGTGTGATTTGGGTAAAGCGGGGATGGGGGTCGGTGCATATGTCGAGTTCTGCCATACAATACTAAAATTATCATGTCAAAGCGACAACTCAAAAAATGTAAATATCCCAAACATTAAAAAACGCTCCAATACAATGCATTTCATACCGAGTTATAGTATCATTAGTCTAATCATATTAGCAAATTTCCCCGAAATAATTGTAAAGTCTTATTGGTGCAAGTTGTTCAAGGGGGTATTTGAAACATGGACGCATAAAATGGGTACACCAATTTTTGTGGAAAAACTTCGTTATTTGATAACAAAGAATGAGAAAATGTGTTTTTTCGAGTTTCAGTGGAAAGTGTTGACAAAAACGAAATAACTTTTGATATAACATTTTTAAGTATTTTCGAGACCACACGCAAAAAGATCCGACAAATAGCAGAAGTGTTATGGCCGAAAAACGAGGCAAAATGCAGCTTTTGGCACTTGTTGGTAATGTGACGATAATTTCACGCAGCTACTTGAATTTCTTCAAATCCGTAGAACTCATACTTCTACATAACAACAAAATTTTAGTATAATGGTCAAGTAGTTTTTTGAGAATTTCAAATTGTTTATCCCAAAACACCTATTTTCCGGCCATCACTACTAGTTTATTCAGCAATATACAGAGTTCATTCAAAGAGCATTTAATAGCAAAATACACGTGTTTACATTGCGTATATGAATCGCAAGCCATTTCGAAAGACAAATGTTATTTTTATGCGAAAAACAAAAGTTACGTTTTTCTTCTAAACAAATTCAAACATTTCGTATTTGTGAGTAATTGGCCAAACGCGCTACGATATTCGAAAAACATACGTTACTATACACATTTTAAAACAAAGCGGATGTGTCAATCATCTTTTGTTACGAATTACTCACAAATACGAAATGTTTGAATTTGTTAAGAAGAAAAAGCGTAACCCAACCTTTTTTGCATAAAAATAACATTTATCTTACGGAATGGTTTGCGATTCATATTGGCACGGTAAACTAAAGTATGTTGCTATAAAATGCTCCTTGAACTAACCCTATATATTGCTCAATAAACTAGTAGTAATGACCGGAAAACAGGTGTTTTGGGATAAATAATTAGAAATTCTTAAAAACTACTTTACCAATCTACTCCAGTTTTGTTGTGGCTATTTAGAAGTACGAATCCTACGAAATTGAAGAATTTCAAATATCTGCGAGAAACCATCGTCACATTACCAACAAGTGCCAAAACCAGCAGTTTACCTCGGTTTTCGGCCATAACTTTTTTTCCAATTAGTCGGATCTTATTACGTGCGGTCTCATTTTGTAGGTATCATAAATACCTAAAAATCTTATATGAAGAGTTTTTTCGTTTCTGCCAAGACTTTCGATTGAATCCCAAAAAACACCTTTTCTCATTCTTTGTTGTCGGGTAAAAAGTTTTCCCACTAAAATTGGTGTACCCGTTTTATGCATCCATGTTTTGAATACCCCCTTGAAAAACTTGCAGCAATTAAACCAGATTTTACAATTATTTCGCAAACCAGGAGTATTTTCGTCTAATATGATTAGACTACATGATGTGTAACGTGTGGTAATATAGAGAATGCTTCATCTGGAATATCGCTTTTTAGATTCAAATCACTTTGGGATAGCTGGAATATATGCCAAACAAGCCATTAAACAGGGATGCGTGGGCTTGATATTCTCAAATACCACTCCTATTATGGTACCAACAAGAGCTAAAGAGGTAATATTTTATTTGTTTACTAAATAAAAAGGATAGTGTCATTGAGCATAGTTAGCCGTCTGTGATCGGCGAACGAAATATATATTACTAGTTTGTTTAATTTCGAGTATACCGTATCTACCATAGGACCAGAATCGGCGGCATCTTGCGGCCACACTGGTGACCCAGCTGACAATGTTTACTGGCATGCAGTGCCAACAGACAGCTTGCTGTTTTTACTTTTGCAGTAGTCGATTCTGGTAATAGATGGCACTTTATGCTGTCTTATTAGAATAGTAGTTATTCATTTGTTGTTATACCTATGTTTACGTTTTTAGCCAGCCTTGGGAACAAATCCACTGGCCATGGGTGCTCCAGGTAAGGGTGATGAGTTCGTGCTGGATATAGCGACAACTGCTGTGGCAATAGGAAAGGTAAGTGGCCTCTTCACCCTGCTTGCACGCTAGCTTTGGAGGAATCTACTACTTCAAAATGAAAAACGCCAGAAGTTTTTGTCTATTTTCCCTCCTTGAGATTCAAAACAAAAGGCATGGAACTCATTGTGGCGCAAAATTAACGTAATGGTTCAAATCTTTTATAACCTTCTTGTGAGCTAGGTATCAATGATCCGATCGGACCTTAAAATTTGCATATTGCATGATGTACGATATTTAGGATTTTTATTATTTGCCACCTTTTGGAAAATTTTACAACCCCCCGCTCATCAAAAAGTTTTGGGAGCAGATACACTTTGACATAAAGTTATCTCTTGCCAATGGTCGGCCCCTCTTGAGAATAATTCCTGCGAGCGCCAATGGATAACGTCTTCGCGTTTTCCATATCTTTTCGCAAGATTTCCAATGCGACTCCATTACGAACAATATCATTCAAGAAAGCAAAGAATCTATACTATAACTATCTAAAACTGTAATGACTCATCGATGTTCACGTGAACATCACTTAACTACCAGTAGTCGGCTGTTCATAGGCGGGGTATGAATGTTTAATATGGGTGAACTAGATTTGTCACATGCTTAATAAAGAGTGGTTTGAAACATATTGTAAGTCAAAAATTTGGGAATTACCTTTATTCATCGTCGCTTCCACTTACATTTGACAGTAATAAACTGTCGCTATCGCTTTCCTCGTTGAAATTGACTATAACTGGCTCTATGATGGTGTCGATGTGGTGGACAAGCTGCCACATTTTTGTTTCTTCCTTCACAACATGACGGATAGCATTCTGCCAAGCTTCGGGCGTTACTAGCTGTATGGAAGTCTCAAGTAAAACCTTAACGTCTGGTAATTTGAAGGTTGTGTTATGGCGCGCAATATAACCCTTCACTTGAGCCCAGATGAGCTCTATTGGGTTCAGTTCACAGTGGTAGAGCGGTAACCGCAGCACAGTGACACCACATTGACGGGCCATCTCATCAGTCACGTAACTAATGTTCGCAGGTTTGTGCTGTTTAATTTTTTCATACAATTCCGCTTTCACACATGAATCGTCAAACGGGATTCCTTTTTCGCGCAACCATTGCTGCATGTCACTTTTTGGAGATCCCATAGTCGGTACACGTTCGGCTCGACGACTATGGGAGGAAGCATTATCCATGACGATCACAGAGTTGGGCTCAACTCGCTGAAGCACCCCTTGAAACCAGCTCTCGAAGCAGCTGGCATTCATTTCGTCATGGTAATCACCTCCTTTCTTAGAGACGAAAATCAAGTCACACTCTTCTAAAAAGCCACTATCGCTACCAATATGAGTTACGATCAATCTTTGACCTTTCCCTGACGGTCCACGAAGACCTGTTGACAAACCTTCAATGCTTGCTTGTAGGTTACCCACTACGTTTTTGTCTATCCAGGTTTTTTTAACTGTGTGACCTGCATTTACCCATGTCTCGTCCAAATAATAGATTTTTCTGCTTTGTCGCCTATATTCAATCATTTCGCGCAGGTATTTTTGACGCCAGGCGACTATTTCAGGTCTCTCTATCAATACTGACTTCCGATTACGCGTTTCGTAACGAAAATTAATTTCGTGCAGGGATTTCCTCATTACCTCGACGCTCATTTGGGGTATAATTTCATTTTCCTTGATCGCTGCATGTACAGCCTTGAGGGTTGGTATCTCATTCCTAAAGAAGAATGAATGTACGGTTCGCCTTAACGCGATTTTGCTATCGTCATCCAATTTAACGGCCTTTCGTCCCTTCAAATTAAACTTTGGATCAGTAGTAGCTCCAGTTTTCTTCTTTTCATGCACCACCCTGCGAATGGTCCACTCTGGAATGCCTGTCATACTTTCACAACGCGCGAGTGCATCTCCCTGCGACATAGTTCTGTTCAGATAATTGAACACGTTGAGCACGATTTCTTTCGCGTCCCTCTTCAGTGCTTTACGAAGCCGTCTACTTGCTCCCTGGTTTATAGGTGCGATTGAACTGCCTAACACCAAGAGCGGATTTAGGAACCTGTCTAGGTAGGGGGTGCAGCAGTTGTCACAACTGTCATGTTCAGAAAGATGTTCATTCGGGGGAGGCGGAGGTTATCGGCTATTAAAGGGGGTGTGATGTCGATTCTCAGAGCAAATGCCCTTTGACAATGGATCAGCGCGAGGCTGGAAAACGTACCTGTGCGCGAGACTAGACCGCGTGACGTCAGTAGCTAGACACACCTCGCTAGCTCGCGCGCTGCATTTACCATTCTCAAAACGCCCCAGTAATCGGTTTGGAGTAGTTAGAGCTGGTACTATAGATTATGGTTAAATTCTGTGAACTTTGACAGTGTTAAATGTCGAACAGAAAGTGGTGTTTTGTGCCAAAATGTACAAGTACGTCAAGTACAACACCACAAAAAAAATTGTGAGTGTTCCAAAAGCTGCTGCTCAACGTAAAAAGTGGTTTGACGCAGCTCGACGGGATGTAAAATCAGTTACTTCTACGTTGACCATGTACTGCTGCGAAGATCATTTTGATCTGGAAAAAGATATTTAAAACTATCTACAATACAAGATCGAGTCCGGATGAATCCTAATATTGCACCTCATAAATTTGCATGTCAACTGGGTAGACAATTAAGCTCTACAAAACGAGTATTCAGCGAAAAAAGTGCAAGGCAGAAAGACATCGCCAAATATTTGCAGCCAGGGCGGGACCCTCAAGCGAAAAGTCTGAGCCTGAAGGCGTGGAAGTTATTGCCTGAACCTTTACCAGTAGAAGTTCAGTCACAGCTATGTGACAAGGCATGCCAAACCAAACAGGTACATTTTAGAAGCAAGTCACTTCAAATCTCGCAAAAACGGAAAGTAATGGATGTTGCTGTATCGCCAATAAGAATTCCTGCGCTTGCTAAACAGATTTCGGAGCGGCCAAAAAAATGGTTTGCAAGTGGAAAGTGAACGGTCAAATCTTGAAAGTCCCGCAATAACAGAAACATCTGAATCTGATTCGTATGAAGCCAGTGGAAGCAGTACTGAAAGTAGTAACAGCATACTGCCGAGATCGTAGTCATTCTAAGCGCAATATTAGTCAACGTTTAGAACCTGGCTTCATTGCCCATTCCCCGAATGCAGCCCTAAACTTTGTTATTTTAGTAGCTATAAAATTCTATAATCTGACTGCCAACCCCTAATTTAAGTATTCTCCAATAGACCCTAAAAAAATAAGATTCTCTCTACATCCCTGGAATTCCTCTCATGGAAAACATATTAGGTACCATACTTTAATTCAGAATTGTGTAATAAAGCCTCATTTTGCATGCAAAAAGAACCAGTTTCGGGGCTCTTAATAGGCGTAACAAGGTAAAAAGGTATGTATGATAATTTAAATTCCATAATTTTTTACCTAGGAAAAAAAAGCAGGGATAAATAGTCTTCAAAATTATTTTCACGAGCAGGCATTATTATGTCTTAATATTATTAGCTTTCAATAGACTAAAGCAAAGCAGGATCAATTATTGCGGAGAAATATAAAAAAATACTACCCATTGGAGATAAACAAAAAAAATTTGCTTCATATAGGTACTCACCGAACTAGTTTAACACCGCTGCTTTGAGGTTCATTTAAATTTGCATTATTTGCCAAAAACTCGTACACCATTTCCACATTCACATGGGGTAAATTTCGAGAATCAGCTTTCTGATAACCTTGGAGCATTGTGCTAGTATGCAAACGTCGGTCCCAGCTTATACAGGGTGACTTCGAAGTTGAGTCATTTATTTTAACAGTGAGTAGATCTGATCAAAAGAAATGTTTTTTTCCTTTAACATTTTTCTGGTAAAATTAAAGTAACAAAGTTATAGCCCTTTAGAAGTTTGAGTACCGCCCTGTCTCAATAATAATATTATGTGCTCGTGTTTGGCAACAACGGATATAATCCGCCTTATCGGTACATCGCTTCGGAAACAAAACAGCGACAGAATTTGAAACGCTTATCACGATGTTTTTACTACAATTTTATTCAGTTGTGTTCAGTCAATGTGTCAGTCGGTAACTCGTGAGTGAATAGTGGTGTTTGTGGCGTGGCTCAAACGAAATAAAAAATGGCACATGTTTACGAAAATGCTGAACTTGGGGGGGGGAGTCTTTACAAAATACTGCCGCGGCATCACGGATTTATGCGGATCGGTTTCCCAATCGAGTGCAACCAACACCTCGTGCCTTTGTTAATGTAGTACAAAGGGCTCGTGAATCAGGTGACTTAAGACCTCACAGGGGAGGGCATGCCGGTGCTCCAAGACCGCACGATCAAATACAGGTCCGTACTGAAATACTTGTCGGGAGGATACTTTATAAAACAAGGTAACATTTTTTTTTATTTTTTTTATTTTTACACACATATTTTGCATTATCTTCCTTCTACAATCATTATCTGAAAATTAATGACTCAACTTCAAAGTCACCCTGTATAAACTCGTATTCGTATACCCTTCACTCCGTATACAAGACAATACAAGATACAAGTACTCTATGAGGGCGACAGCACGTGTCTGGCTACTGACGTCACGCGGTCTAGTCTCGCGTACAGGTACGTTTTCTAGCCTCGCGTCGATCCTAGATTTTAAAATGCTTTCCGTAGACGTAAATATTAATATTTTGCACTCAAATTTCTTTGACCGTTTTTTAATAACAAAATACCTCGATTTTAATTAAAATAAGAGAAATACAAAAAATGTCGAACCTTCCTATTGAGGAGCGGAGGGTGGCATATGTCTAGGGAGGATCTCATGAGTAGCATATCGGTTAACTAGTCTCTGGGAAAGTGAAATGTATTTTCATTAAACCGGAACTGTAGGTTTGGATAGCCTTCCACAGCCCTTATTAAAAGCCGTTGCAGCATTATTCAAATTTGAGTATAATGGTGTAAACTTTCACGTAAATATCAATATGCCCTTTATTGACAAAAATTTGGTACGAGATGGCTTATTTTTGGTACTCAGCGGTCTCAAGTCTTACATTGTAGCGAAGATATCCACGCTGACGTAAAAAATAAAAATCGACAATTCTTATTCGTTACTGCGTGCTGTATCATTTCCTTTTAGAAGACCCCGCAGATACCTCAAAGAGGAATCACTTTCAGATATTTATTTAATAGTATTTTGTAGGCACGTAGACAGGCGCGGATCCAGGTTTCGACCACCAATTTTTAAAGTTCCAAATCTCTTAGATAAATCTGTAATGCACACATATTAAATGGATGCCGTACTGGTATTTTCTACTAAACACTGGCAGCACTGCATTCGTGATTTAACTGTAAGCTCATATATGATAGCGCAAAACTTCTTTGCGCGCGCTTAGGCTATAAGTAAATTTGATAAAAAATACTTTTTGACGGACCAGTGGCGGATTTAAGGAAAAGGGCCCGGTCGGCAATATGCGCTGGGAGGGGCCCAGTGGTATGATCGGGGATAGACGCCAAATAGTGCGCAATATAACTGTTTTGCGAATAACATAAATTACTTCAATTATTGACAAATAAAATACGGCAATGGAAACTTTAAAAGTTGCATGATAACTCAGAAATTAATATCAAAATTTAATGCGTAATGTCATGCCCTAGTAAGATATAGTAATGCGTGTAATGAATTTACCTTAACTATTCAGGCGGGGGTGAAAAATGTCTATGCCAATCTCCAACCCTTTCGAGTATTTTTTTTGGTGTTATATTATTTGCTCGTATTTTGATTCTATTATGCATTAATACTCCAATAAACATTATTATTATTATTATTATTATTATTATTATTATTATTATTATTATTATTATTATTATTATTATTATTATTATTATTATTATTATTATTATTATTATTATTCGTGTTTGGTTGGCCTTTCACTGTTACACACGGGGTATGTACACAACAGGGGAGGAATTCACCTCAGCCTATTGCGAAGAACTTGCGAACTATGTGACATGTTTGCAAGATTGCGGTTTTCTGCATCAATGCAATAAAATGCGCTGGAACTATGATTTTCTCTAAGTGAGAGTGGAGATTGACAGAGATTGCCCCTTCCACCGACACTACTACTAGTATTATGCAGACCTCTGATAGTTTCCAAATGTTTTTGATTTCAATGGCAAGGTTTTGGTACTTTTCAGCCTTGGTGTATTCGGTTCTGATTATGTTTACTGTGAGTGGAACTGCGATATCAATTATGTATGCTTTCCGTTTATTTTTATCGATCAGTAGTATGTCTGGCTGGTTATAGTCAACTGTTTTATCGGTTATGACTGGCCTGTCCCAGTACAATCGGGCCGACTGATTCTCGAGTACTGGGAATGGTGTATATTTATAATATGGCGCGGTTGACTGAATGAGATTATAATTTTGAGCTAACGTGGAGTGTATTATTTTGGCTGCTTGATTATGCCGGGATAAGTAAGCACTATTGGCCAACATGTTGCAGCTGGAGGTGATGTGTTCTATTGTTTCACCTGGCGTATGGCATTTTCTACATACATCGTGTGTATGCAGGCCTAGTATATGGCGTTCATAGTTTCTAGTTCGAATAACCTTATCCTGAATAGCACATAGAAAACCCTCCGATTCCGGATGTAGGTAGCCTTTCACAAAAATTGATAGTGAGGACTTTTTATCAATTCCATCTTTTTCAAGTGTTACAGGATATCTCCCGTGAAGGGCTTTCTCTTTCCATCTGTTGAGCAGGTCAGTCGACGTCGGTATTGATCGATCTGAGGGTTCATGATTTCTGCCCAAATTCATGGGGGTGATGTTGCTATCCATAGCTGTAGTGCTCCTAATGTTGCAAAAATATCGACGAAGCTTGGACACTTGCTCTTTGCAAAGACGCTCAACATTAATCAGTCCTCTTCCCACAAGGGCTCTAGGTATGTATACTCTTTCCGTGGCAGATTTTGGATGTAGCATACGAAATTTGGAGAGTAATTTTCTAGTTTCGCGATCGATTTCTGCTAGGTTTGTATCGCTCCATTTAATAACCCCAAAGCTAAATGACAGCACTGGCACAGCCCAAGCATTTATTGCCATTATAAGATTTCATGAATTAAGTTTGGTGTTGAGGAGTTTTGTTATCCTGCTGATGTATTTTTGCTTTACGATTGCTTTTAAGTTGGTGTGATCCAACCCTGGGTTTTGTTGAAAACCTAGATACTTATAATAGTCTTCTGGGGATAACATAGCTATATTACATATGCTACTTGCGGCGGGTGCGGTCTTACCCCCATTCATTTTGAATATTCCACACCATTATTATTATTATTATTATTATTATTATTATTATTATTATTATGTTCATCAGATAGAATACTACAAAAGAAAAAATGAGCCAATCCCCGAAGGTTGGGCACTGAATGAAGCAGGTGAAGTGGAAATCGATCCAAACGTTGCTCTGAAAGCAGGAAAATTGATGCCACTTGGAGGTACTGAATTAAATTCTGGTTATAAAGGATTTGGACTTGGAATGTTCGTCGAAATACTTTGTGGAATACTTTCAGGTTTGTATAATTTCTCATGGCGTGCCTGGGGTGCCGTGCCCCCCTGAGAATTTTGTTGACTTGTCGGACTTGGTTTCGGCGGTAGGTACACTTTCACAAAAAGCTACCTCTTTCCGATGGTCGCCCCCCTCTTATAAAGATTCCTGTGAATGACCATGATTTCTATATCCAGACATGGAACATCTGCAATATTTTTGTGCAATATTATTGTTATGTAGGTACTTGTTTCGAAAATGACACATTTCGTTTTTTGAATCATGCATCACATATAGGTTAGGGTATGTATCCCATAGGGGACCTCGGTTGGCCGCGTGGGTCAGAGTGTCGTGCTACTGATCAGCCGGCCGGCCGGGCCGCGAGTTCGAATCTCGCCTTCGCCATGGATGTTGTGTGTGTATTTTAGGCAGCAGCGGTGGCCGCAGTAGTAGACTCTTCGGTCTCCTGATCAGTCGCCGTGCGCTGTGCGGGTTCGATTCCCGTCCCAGGAGAAATGTTTCTCTTGGCCATGGATGTTGTGATTGTCCGTAGGTGGTAGATGGTCTCTAACTGTCGAACGCGGAGGTACCACCCGGCGGTTCTCGTAGGCGGAGCCAGAATGTGTGCATGTTGCATGCACACGTGTTCCCTCGCCAGAGTCCGTGTGGCGTCCCCCCTTTCCCATGTATCCCCCTATAGCCCCACGATACCCAATAGGTGCTTAGGCCTTAGGCCTTCGTGGTAGTTGGAGTATAAAAAAAAAAAAAAAAAAAAGGGCAAACAAATTTTTGTTTGCATTGAGATATGCATACCCTCTATTTTTTGAATTTGACTCTAACAACTCAAAAAATAGAAATTATTTCGATCGGGGTACGATAACTTTCGGTCATAAATTAGGGCATTATGATATTTCTGTGCTTGATTGATTGATGAGGCAATAAGGTCCCAGCCATTTTCTATGTTAATCATTTTCTTTTTTCTAAAAACGAACGTACCAATATACTTTACTGTAGTATACAGGGTGGCGCATCGAAAACAAAACAGACGCATTTACTGGCAGCTCACGTTTTTTTTTTGGAAAAACGCTCAGACCCGTCGATTTTGTTTTCGACGGGGACACAAGTTTGGCAAAAAATCACGTTAACACGTGCAGCCCCCTAAGCGGGGGTGACACCACCCCCAAAATCTTAAATGGAAAGGGGGGTCAAGTGATACCTTATTTTAAAGGTCTTTCAATTCCCTTTATAATGATATAAAATTAATGTACTTCAGTTCAGTAGTTTTGAAGATTTATTGATTTAAAGCTTAAATAAAACTAATACATCTTCATTAGTGGAGATCAATACATTTGGCAGCAAAGTAATTTAAAAATGAAGAATGAACTGACCCGTTAAGCAAGTTAATGTCGAAAATGGCCACCATGACTCTCCATGCAATAATAAAGATTTTGCTCAAAACGTTGCCGCACCTTTTGCAATATTTGAAGAGTAATTTGAAGGCACTCATTCACAATTCTTTGTCGCAGGTCTTCTAATGATGTTGGCTGAGTAGCATTGATTTTGCTTTTTAAATGACCCCACATAAAGAAATCCAAAGGTGATAAATCTGAGGATCTTGGGGGCACCTCTTCTACCAATCCATCGATCTGGAAACGTCTGATCTAAATATTGTCGAACACGTAATTCGTAATGTGGTGGGGCACCATCCTGTTGGAACATCAACCTATTCTTAATGTACCGCCGATTATTCTGATTTTCAATTATGGCTGTTAATGCAGGATCTATGGCGTCTTCCAGTAATTCCAAATACATTTCACCGGTCAAATTTCCAGATAAGAAAAAAGGACCAACTAAATGACCGCCAAACATACTAGCCCAAACATTTAATTTTTGTGGCTGCTGTGTATCAACCTCATAATAAATTCTGGGATTAGAATCGGACCAATATCGGCAGTTATGACGATTTACTACGCCATTTAAGAAAAAGGAACATTCGTCGGAAAAGCAAGTGTTGAATAGAAAATGTTCATCGTTTATAATTCGTTCACTCATATCTTCACAAAATTGTAATCGCCGATCAAAATCGTCTTCATTAAGTTCTTGTACCAGGTGAATTTTATACGGATGAAAACTATGGGCCTTTAGAATCCGTTGGTCAGTACGTCGACTAACACCACACACAGTCTCCAATTTGCGGGTACTTAACGTAGGATCTACATAAACTTGCCCTAAAACCCCACTTCTATTGCTTCGTTCCTTATGGGAGTTTCAATGTTGCGTTTTTTATTGGCGACTGACCCAGTTTCCAGAAATTTAGCTACAAGTTCTAGAACATATTTTCGATGCACGTTACTGTTCTCATGTCGCTCATTAAATATTTCTGCATGTTCTATTAGCGCACTGATTATTTCCGAAAAATATTTCGATAACTTCAACTCTTTCAGCTGTGGAATATACCATGGTTAATTTATGTAATAAAGCGTTACCAGTTATTTTAGCAACAACGTTTGGTCAAATCAATCGCAAACTATGTACTAAATTCTTACTTAAAATAAGTACGAGATATTTCCATATCTTTCTTCAAGAAATAACTTTTTTGCCACAAATAACGCTCCAATAGCTATTTTCAACAACAAAATGATAAACAAACCATGGGCGTAGTGAAGAAAAGGATTTACTTATTAAGTAAATTCTTTTAGTTAAATTTCTTATGAAAATTTCTTATTAAAGTCTACTTTAAGCTTTAAATCAATAAATCTTCAAAACTACTGAACTGAAGCTCATGTATTTTACATCATTATAAAGGGAATTGAAAGACCTTTAAAATAAGGTATCACTCGACCACCCTTTCCTATTAAGATTTTTGGGGTTGGTGTCGCCCCCGCCCAGGGGGCTGCACGTGTTAACGTGATTTTTTGCCAAACTTGTGTTCGCCTCGAAAACAAAATCGTCGGGTCTAAGCGTTTTTCCAAAAGAAAACTGAGCTGCCAGTAAATGCGTCTGTTTCGTTTTCGATGCGCCACCCTGTATATACTCCTCGAATGTTTTCGCAAATTGTAGAAATGGCAAAAGTTGTTCATTTTTAAGTTGCTTCATTCATAGAAAATGCAAAAAATCACGAATGAATGAAACGTACCTCATGATTCTAGGATCAAATTACGGACCGCTGATCCCAAAATGGGGAGCTAATGCAGAGAATAGAAACTTGGGACACTGCTTCATTGCTATTGATCCAAAGCATTTTACTCCTGGATTTGAGGACAGAATGACAGATTTAATGGATATAATTCGCAATTTGGAACCGGTAAGTGAAACGCACTTCACGCAAAAAACCCCTCCGACATTTATTTAGAATAACTGCTTACAAAATATAATACATTCTTTACAAAATATTGAGAGAACTGGTTTGTTTACACAAGAGCGGACAAAACTTTTAGAAACAATATTTTTCATTAGAAAAAAGCACATGTAGAATTTCATTCATATGATTATTGCTAATCAGAAATATAGCATCAAAATCTATTTGTTTTGTAATCTGGAAACGAATCGTCGTTCCAAACTATCAAAGCTCAAAATAGTCATATGTTAGTCTAAAGCTGGTCTACCCTAGCTGTGCTGATCTATTTTTTGTTCAACTATAATTACAATTTTATATTGCCACTCTCAAAATAACTTCCTTTTGGAGCCACCCAGCGTTGGAGACGGTTCTTCCAATCAATTCAATTCAATTCTTTATTTGTGTTAAGTACACCAGCGTGTTTACACAAGTCAAAAGAAAAACAAAATTAATACAAAAAAGCAGTCTGACAAAAGACTGATGTTCAAATTACACAGAAAAACATCAACTTATGACATTATGATTCAATAAAAGCAGATACAGTCCATAAAAGTTGTAAAAACAGGAGGACATATATACGTACATAGAGACACGCATATTCATTTAACCACAATACGTATGTTTACTTCTACACACACACACACACACACACACACACCTATACACACACACACACACACACACACGCATATATACATATATACACATATACACATATATACGTTAAAATGGTAAGACATATGAAATGTTGATATAAAAATTTACCAGATGACTTAGTAGAAAGTTCAAGGAGCCTAGTGGATCCCAGGTGTAGGAACACTGTTGTATTTGCTAACAATCCGACAAGTCTGAAAAATTGTTGCTCAAATACTCGTTGATCGAGTAAAATGCTTTAGTAGTCAGATAAGCATTAATTTTATTTTTAAAACTTTCGCATCCAGTTTCTTTATACGGTCTGGCAACAGGTTATAAAAAACTATCCCATAATAGTTTGTGCCGTTCCTGGTATTTGGAGACGGCTATGAGGTACTAAGATTTTATCCATATTTCTGGTTCTATAACTGTGGACATCACTGTGGGTAGTATATTGGCTCAGGTTAGTCTTTATATACATCAGACATGTGAAGATGTAAAGAGAAGGTACTGTCATGATTTTCAATTCTATAAAAGCTTCCTTGCAAGGTTCCGTGTATTTGAGGCCAGCAATGTACCGTAAGCAACGTCGTTGTAATCCAAAAACTTTTGACGAATGGGCCGAGTGACCCCAGTTTAACAATGCGTATGAAATTCTTGATTGAAAGTAGGAATAATATGTTAGAAGAAGAACTGACTGAGAGACATTTTGTTTCAAGTTTCTTATCAAATATATATATTTTGCTAGTGCATCGAGAACATGGATTACGTGAGTTTCCCACGACAAGTGTTCATCAAGGTAGACTCCTAGTAACTTCACGGACTTTAGTGTATTAGTGTCGTGCTGCCTCAAGCTAAGAATAATCATCTGAGACTTGGTGTCATTGATGGTCAACTTATTAGCGGTTAACCAGTTTGCTAGTTTTCTTTTATGAGCTTCAGAGTCGAATATCAATGAGGCTAAAGAGGCATTGCTATTCATCAAGGTAGTGTCATCAGCGAATAGGATTAAGTTATTATTCACATTATAGTTAGTTATATCATCGACGTAAATTAAAAATAAAATAGGTTCCAATACCGAGCCTTGCGGTACCCCGTGAGCAGCGACTAACTGTGAGGATGATGAACCTTTAAAGAATACAAATTGGCGTCGTTTACTCAAGTAAGATTTAATCATTGCAGTGGATGCTTCATGAAAGTTATAAAAAGGGAGCTTTTCCAACAGGATGTCGTGTTGAACACAATCAAAAGCTTTGGACAAGTCCAAGAAACATGCTGCGCCATATAGGTTGTTTTCAAAAGTCTCGTTCACAAACTGAATAAAACTGTTAATAGCTGATGTGGTGGAACTATTTTTCCTAAAACCAAACTGTGTTGAGCAAAATAGATTATTAGCCTCAAAGTATTCATTAATTTGATCTTTCAACAATAATTCCAAAATTTTCGCAAAAATTGGTATTAAGGAAATGGGCCTGTAGTTGCATAACTCTTCAGTATCCCCTTGTTTGAAAATGGGTATAATTTTAGATAGTTTGAAAAAATCCGGAAAAGTATTACTTTCTATACACTGATTGAATAACTTGGTTAGAGGATATATGATGAGATTTTGCAAGGTTTTGACAATCCTGACAGTAAAGCCATATGGGTCAGTACTCTTTGAGTTTTTTAGTTTATTTATGGCAGTTCTCACATCATGATATGAAACTTCCCTGAATCGAAAGTGTGAACTATGAGTAGGATGATTCATATAATGCGATGGAGAAACATCGGATGGGGTCATTTTATTTAAAAGTTTTTGTGCGATATGGGTAAAAAAGTCGTTGAATTGATGTGCTGTGAGAGATGTTGAGGAGTCCTGGTTGTGTCCGTTCGGTTTAACATTCTTTATTATATTCCAAGCAGCATGTTGTCTGTTGTGGGATTTATTAATTCATTGGCTTTAATCTTAGCTTTGACAATTTCTTGTCTGTAACTGTATTTAAATTGTTTCAAGCAGTCCGTACTAACTAAAGTAACATCGTCTTTATGAAGCTCTGTTAGGAAAGTCAAAGTCTCTCTCATATTTCTTATATGATCATTGAACCAATACACATTACAGGAGCTTTTATTACCATTAACAACTCGCGAAGATGTTGATTGACCGAAATTCTGACAATGGATATGAATTTTTCAATTTTATATTCGATTGTCGTACTTTTTTCATTAACAAATTCGAAAGATGTTGATTCCATATCATTGTAAAGTTTGAAAAGGCCGCTGTTTGTTATAGGTCTATAATAGAGTTTCCTACGTACTTTCGGTGCATGTGATAAATTAAAAGTATGGTCAAGCGCTAAATGATCTGAATAATGAGTATCAAAAACATTAACGCTAATTTCTGAGTCTACGTAGTTTATGAAGATGTTATCTAGACAACTTGAGTTTCTTGTATTTTGACTAACTATTGGCATGAAACCATAACAACTAAATAAGTTCACAAGCTCCTAAGCTTGGTGTTGTAACGTATTAAATCTAACATTAAAATCTCCTGTTATCACAATTTGCTTGCGGTAATCGAGTCCATCCAATAAACGACAAAGTTTCATAATAAAGTATTCAAAATTACCATCAGGAAATCGATACAGTGAGATTAACTGAAGATCATTCTCATTTACTCCGGCCGCCTGTAGTTCTTCTGACAGATTCAGAAGGTTATCTGATAGAGGTACGGCATTAACATGATTTGCTATATAAATAGCCACACCACCAGGAATTTTCACATCCCTACAGAAACTAGATACAGATCTAAAACCAGAGATATGATAATAGGATAACTCATCTTTTCTTAACCAGTGTTCATTTATAGAGAGCATTGTATATTTATTCTTTTCACACAGTGATTCGATGATTCCTGACTTACAGCGAACACCTTGGATATTTAGATGTAGTAGTCTAAAGAGCACGTTACTGTTTTTTACTGTTTTAACAGATCGTGGTTTTGGTATTGTATTATTCTGTTGTTTATCTTCCCTAATGAGTGCTTTACTTAAGAAAAAACTGTTTTTCAGACTTGTCGGGGATGTTGATTTGTACAGTTTTCAAAGGCATTTTTTAATTGTTCAAAAATAATATCCTTTACATGCTGGATGATTGTCATTTTTGATCCCGTAGCTCTGATGTCATAGAATAGGCTCAAAGAATAGTTTCTATTTAGTTTCCTGAGTCTATCGACTTTAGTATTAATACGAGTATTTCTAAGATGATAGTCGACAGATGTGGTCAATTCGCATAAAAAAATAAGATTGGTTACTCGACCGAGAGGTAAGAGGCAATGTAAACCTTTGTTTAAGGATGGGGTGTTACTTATATTGTTAGAGTTGATCATGAAGATTACAAAATCGTTCTCACCAAGAGATTTTGTGATGTTAAATACGTTTTTTTGTGATGTCTACAAACTCTAAATTGGGATAAACGTGAGCTTTTATGGATAACTTTGTCATGTCGGTGTATAATTCTAACGCTTTTCTGAAACTTTTTGCATATTCGTCACCAATTATAATGATTTTCCGACAGCTGTCTGAGGCATTACGTTTCGGTGATCCACCTGATGGTACTATAACGATTATTGGTGCATCATCGAATTCTTTTGGAGTTTGTCTTGCAATCGTTATGGTACAGAAGATTTACCCCTACCACTAAAAAAGAGGATCGAGTTTCCTGGATCAGCACTTTGCCTTATCCAGTCCTATTTTATTCTGTTCATAGTTAGTCAGTCTTTTGCTAGCGCTTGTACGACACACATCAATACAAAACTGTATTGTAATATTCAAAAATATCTTTTTGAAAATCAAGTAGGCCGATAATTCACTCCTCATAGCCTTCAGCTGGTCGGTTACAACCGTTTGAGTGTTTTCGACTGTCCCAAAATGAGTTCCGTTGAGGTGATTCTTCAACTTCGGAACGAGAAAAAAGTCACAAGGATTTAAGTCAGGCGAATAGGGAGGCTGAGGACCCACAGGTATGTTCTTAGTGGCCAAAAACTCGTTTATTGACATTGCTATGTGACAAGGAGCATTATCGTGATGTTCTTGATCTGTATACATTAACTGATTATGAAGACGCATTCTGTTGCTTCTATGATACATTTTTACATCACTTCAACATAAATTTTCCTAAACATAGTTGCCATAAACATAGTTAAGACAAATCATGGGTAAATAGAAGGGTAAGAAAATCTAGCATGAATTTGAAAGATCTTTATCATCTTGAAAATATCTTTCCCAGCCTATCGCCATATTATTTAAATGCCAGACGTAAGCACCTTAACCTAAGGTCCACTGTGAAAAAAGATTATT